CTAAAATACTATAGCAATCTAAGACACTAAGCAATACACATAAGTTTAGGTCTTAATCTAAGCTTATAAGTAACTCCTTCTAATAATTACTAAGTATAGTGTAAGAAGTGTTCTTAAATCTTATAAAAGGGGCTAAAGAGATGCTATATAAAAATATCCTTATTAAGGCCCACGTGCAAGAGCTTAAAGAATAATTAGTAGTAATAACTAAGAGAAAATTACGTAAGAGAAAGCAGATTTAGTATAGTAGCACTCTTAAGTATGGCCTAGCAGCATTGCAGGTAGCTGCTAAGGTGTCTGTAGCAGCTTAGCTATCTAAGAAGACTTAGGGTAGAGGCAGTTAACTAGGAGCTTAATTAACTATTTAGCGCTGTAGGAACTACAGCAAGACTAGACATAACACACAAACGTGCTAGGAGGGTATAGAAACATCTTCTAAATCTAATGTAAGCACGCAGTATACTAGGTTACTATTTAAAAGTAAGTAGTTGTAGTTGTAGTAACTTATATTATTTATGCTAAGAGAAAATGGCTGGTTTAGTGATATGGCTGGCTTAGTGATAATCTACATTATGTAAAGTTATAAGACTTTGTTCTTGTAATCTTTCTCTAGCGTATCTCCTTCTTAGTTATAGCGCTATGCTTACCTAAGCGTTGTTATTGTAATCTCCTAAAAGAGAGGATTAGAATGGTGTGCTTATAAAGCCTGTATCTCCTCTTATTCTTAAGATATACTATTCTCTATTTCTAGTAACTAGAAATGTTCTAGATCCTCTGCTTATAAATAGAGTAGCTGTAACAGAGTAGGCGCCCTGCCCTCGAAATCAATACTACGTGACTTCTCTGCCTATACGAAAAGGTAACCACAAGAATACTTAAGCAAGTATTCGTTGCGTAGTATAATATATATAGACAATAATAACGTAGATTATCACCGAGCCGGCCATATCACTGAACCGGCCATTTTCTCTTAGCACAACTAACACAAGTTACTGCAACTATAACTACTTGCTATTAAACAGTGACCTAGCATACTGCGTGCTTATATTAGATTTAGAAGATGTTTCTATACCCTCCTAGCACGTTCGTGCGTTGTGTCTAGTTTTACTGCAGTTCCTACAGCGCTAAACAGTTGACTAAGCTCCTAGTTGACCACCTCCACCCTAAGTCTTCTTAGATGGCTGAGCTGCTACACACGCCTCAGCAGCTACCCGCAATGCTGCTGGGCCATACTCAAGTGTGCCACCATGCTAAATCTGCTTTCTCTTACGCGATTTTCTCTTAGTTATTACTGCTAATTGCTCTTTAAGCTCTCACACGCAGGCCTTAATAAGGACGTTTTTGTGTAGTATCTCTTTAGCCCCTTTTACAAGCTTTAAGAACCCCTCTTACGCTGCACTTAGTAATTGTTAGAAGGAGTTGCTTATAAGCTTAGATTAAGACCTAAACTTGTGTGTATTACTTAGCGTCTTAGATTGCCACAGTGTTTTAGGTAGAGGTACTGCTAGTAGGGTATGTAGCTACACTTTAAGGTAATCTAACACTACCTGCATATTAGTAGGAATAAGCCCTAATACCTTAAAGGCCTTTTAGTAGTTAACCTTTGTAAATATATTAAGGAACATGTCCCTAAAGGCTAGTAGGAAGCCTTCCTTATTAATATAGAAGATGTGTTAGTGTGCTAAGTCTTAAACGCGTTAGGAGTACTTACGCTTTAATAGCAAGAAATAGACTATATTAAGTAGCTAGAGGATGTGCAACAAGTAAGGTGGCATGCAGAGAGTAAGGATTTAGTTCTCTAGGCAATAGTCCTTAAACTCCTAGTTAAGATAGCTCTTATAGCTGTCTAAGATAAGCAGCCTGTACACTCCTACCTAACGCGTCTTTGTATGCGTGTTAAAGTGCTTTAACTACTTAAGGCTAAGCATGTTGTTTATCTAACTATTCTTAGAGACTAAGAGCTTCTAATTATAGGGTAACCTGTTTTATCAGTGAGCGCCCCACCTCAGTGAGCGCCCCACGAACACCAGCAAAGCGCATGCGCGACACTCAACGCGTAATGTCTCAACAACCACAACCTCACAAGCCCTATACTGAAGCTGACGTGCAGCTTGCCCTCTCTGACATTAAATGCGACCAGATTACGAGCCTGCGACGTGCTGAGGCAGTCTACAGCGTTCCTTGTAGGACGATACAACGACGACGTGACGGGAAGCCCTCTAGACGCGACTGCGAGCCCAGATCAAAGCGCCTGACGAAGCTAGAAGAGGAGGTGATTCTGCAGCGTATACTTGACGAGAACCTACGTGGAGTACCGCCCTCGAAGCTACACGTACAAGATATGGCTAATAGACTGCTGCGCGACCGCGGTGGTGAGCCTGTTGGTAAATGCTAGGTTGACAGGTTTATTAAGCGTACACCTAAGCTGCGCACGCGCTAGACTCGTCCATACGATCACCAGCGAGCTCTCTGCGAAGACCCAGCAATCATCAAGCCCTAGTTCACGCTAGTTTAGAACATGAAGGCGAAGTACAGTATTGTGGACAACAACATGTACAACTTTAACAAGTCTAGCTTCCTAATAGGCAAGATATCTTCACAACTTATTGTGACAGGCATAGAGAAACCTAGGAAAGCGAAGAAGCTTCAGCCTAGTAATCGCGAGTGGACTACGTTAATACAGGGCGTTAGCGCAACAGGGCGTGTTATCCCACCCTTCCTCATCTTTGCTAGCAAGGTTCTTATCTCTAACTAGTTTACTAAGGACCTCCCACGCAATTAGGTTATTCAAGTAAGCCCAACAGGCTGGACGAACAACAATCTAGCGCTTGCCTGGCTTAATCACTTTAATACGCATGCGAGGCCTGTAGGAGCGTATAGGCTGCTAATTATCAACGGCCACAAGAGCCATTGCTCAATAGATTTCCAGGATCGCTGCAAGGAGAAGAAGATTATTGCCCTCTGTATGCCTCCACACTCGTCGCACCTCCTGCAGCCGCTTGACGTCGCCTGTTTCTCGCCATTGAAGCGCGCGTACGGTGATCAGATCTCAGCCTTGGCACGCGATCGCATCAACCACATCAGCAAACAGACCTTCTTACCAGCCTTTAAAGTAGCTTTTGAGAAGGCGTTTACAAGAGAGAATGCTTGCGCAGGGTTTTGAGGCGCTGGATTGTCTCCACATGATCTACAGGCTGTGTTATCGAAGCTGGATGTGCAGCTGCGTACGCAAACTCCACTACAGCAAGTTGACGCTGCTTGGGAGGCGAAAACACCACGCAACGCTAAAGAAATGGAGGCGCAATCAACACTAGTTCAAAACAGGATAAAAATCTATTAAGGGTCTCTAGCAAGTTCACTTGATGAGCAGGTGTGGCAGCTAACAAAAGGCGCGCAGCAGATGGCTTATAAGATAGTGTTAATGCGCGCAGAGATAGTGCGCCTTAATACTGCTACTGAAGCAGCAATAAAGTGTAAAAGTCGCAAGAGACGCTACGTACGGGCAGAGGAGACATTAACAGTTGGCGAGGTATCAGACTTAATTACTGAAAGGGAGGGTGGCAGATGTGAGGAGGGTGAGGAGCTGGCGAAGAGGGTGCGCGCAGGGCGACGCTGCAGCTGTTGCGGTGAGATTGGGCACAACTCTCGCACCTGCAAGGTAGAAATTAAGGATATAAATAACAGCGACGCTTCTAAATAATACTATACTGTTGCAAGAGTACAAAATTTGTGTTGTGGTGCTAAGCTACGTCGCTGCGCGTACGCCTCGCTGGTGTTCGTGGGGCGCTCACTGAGGTGGGGCGCTCACTGATAAAACAGGTTATATCTGTCTCCTCATACTAGGCAGAGATGTGGACGCGTCCTTTGTAGATGATGAAAGGCAGGGTTGCATACCTAGCAGCGCAGATGCTCTGGATAACGGTAACCCACTCGCGATCACCTGGCTGAACAAGCTCTGGCCGAGCACGTCTCTCTAAGCCTGTTACAACCTTTAAAGACAAAGCAACACCTATCTAGAACCTAGTTTTATTAAAGTTGTGCACGTTATTGTTGCAAACACTATACTTAACTTAAGTATCCTCTACTAGCTTAAACCACGCGCTAATTATCTTAGGATCTTCCTATAGTATCCTCTGTCTATCCTTAGCTTAATTAAAGGCTATTTTAAGCTTGTCTAAACGCGTTACAAGCCTGCTAGCCTATAGTTTGCTAACAGGCTCTTCACCACGCACACTAAGTATCTTATTAGCTATATCTGCCACCTCACATAGCTAGGGCGCAAATCCTTGCAAATTAAGGTTAAGTATATACCAGATAATTGTCTGCTCCTCTAGTATAGTAAGTTTCTAGCAATTAGCGCGTACGTCTAGTTAAAACGTAATATTGCAAAGGTAATTAGAGACCTACTAATAAGGTACATTCAACGCTCTAGCAGCGCTGTGGATACTGCAAAATTAGCCAGCGTAGAAGGCCTAGATAGCAAGGATAACTCTGCCTTCTCTAGTAGTATTCTGAAGTTGTTGTTGTTAAGGCATGTTGTGTTAGGGTAAAAGGTGGTTGTGCCAAGAGAAAGTGGCTGGTTCGGTGATATGGCCGGCTCGGTGATAATCTACGTTAGTGCTAGCCAGCTAGCTTTGCCTCTAGCTGCTATGAGCGCTATGCCACGTGTCGTGTCCGTGCATAGTCGTTACAGTAGCCTACTTTGTAGATACTAATATAAATAATTATGCATAACGTTGTAGGAGTGCTAGGATAATAAGAACACTAGGATATATTCTCTACACCTATAGGTCTTGTGTAACAACGCTCTACGAACAGTGACCCGATACCACTAGGATACGGTTCCAGCGACTCATGACCATGGCCCTTGTCGCATAGCATAAGCTCGCACTAAACTGCCACTAAACCCTTATATATAAGGAGCAAGGAACTGTAGCATTATAGAGTAGTTTTTCTGTATCCTTTTATACAAGACCTATAGGTGTAGAGAGTATATCCTAGTGTTCTTATCATCTCAGCACTCCTATATGCCTTGTAGCGGATTCACACCTATTCCAGATATCTCTCTTCTTGCCTGCGTTGTTACATCTTGTACAAAAGGATATAGAAAAACTACTCCATAATGCTATAGTTCCTTGCTCCTTATGTATAAGATTGTAGTAGCAGTTTAGTGCAACCTTATGCCATGTAACAAGGGCTATGGTCATAAGTCGCTGGAACCGTATCCTAGTGGTATCGGGTCACTGTTCGTAGCGCGTTGTTACACCCTCCACGTGCGCGTCAACGTTGACCGCACAACACCATGCTTTTCTGCTATTTTAGACCACAGGATCTCATCTCTAGATGCAAAAGTATTACAGTCTGCAAGCGCTTCTTCTAATCCCATTGCGTTGTGTTGTAGAGCTGAGATAATAGACGTGTTTTGGTGGTTCGGCGCATTGCGCGCACGGACACGGTACCCCGCTTTTCTGTGCACACAATTCCAGATACTCCTCCCCTTCGAGGAACAGCGCGCTCACCGCACGTCATTGACGAACAGCTTGGTACTCGGCTACATATGCGCATATATAATCTCATCTGAATCCCGGGCTGTCTCATTGAGCTGATACTTCCAGCAACATCAGATCTTAACCGAGCAGAACTATGGCAGACGAGAAGAAAAGACAGGCGAAGCGTGCAGCCGCTGAGAATGGCGTGTAGGTGTCATCCCACAACCTGACCAATGCGACTGATGAGAATCGCAGCATCAATCCCTCAGGCGCCATTGTGCTAGCAGCCGCACCCATGTACCTCGCCTTGGTGCCTTTGACATCATATCTGACGAAACCAAACTCCATTATCCAGTCCCTTACACACGCGCTCATCAAGGTCCTGCCCGGTGTAGAAGTGAACTCGATTACCTCTGGACGCGCAATTCCTGCACTTTCAGCACTATACTTGTTCTGGACGTTCGGCGCATCTGGCGCTGCTTCGGCCGCTGGTCAGGCTATGGCACGTGAAGACGGTCTGGACAATGACCACCCCAGGAAGCATGTCCATGACTTGGATGGACTGCCGTTGAGGCTGAGAAGCGCACATTATGCGTTGATGGAAAACTTCCCAGGTACACACTTTGCTTTGTGGATGTGCCATTTGATGACTAACCTAGTGTATAGGCTTTGCCCTTGCTGCAGCTCTTGCGCAGGTCCTCGCGCCCAATGACGCTCAGATCATCAATCTACTGGGTTTCCATGTCATTGCGAAGTTGCTCGTGCACTACCCAGCATATTTGGGCAATATCGCTTTGCCAAGGACGTTGGCTCACATTAGCGCTACCAGTGCCTTGGTCAATGTGTGCTGGAGATTGGCTGCTGGAGCGTAAGCACGGCTTGATCACAACGGGGTCTTAAAGTAGAGAAGCTGGGGCATCGAGAACGGACGCTTGGGATGATAATTGTACACGAGAAGAAGTATTAACGTAGCTGACTAGCTATGATGTGGTATAAACTGAACATAATTCAAAGAAAATTAATTTTGTCAGTGGCTCACTACCACCACAAGGCCTGGTTCCAGAATAGCGCCTTGCTGTTGGCCAAATCATCCTCTCCAGTGCTCATCGTCTCGTTAAAGATAAGTTGCACACCGCTCGTCGAGTTTGCTTCATTGTACTTCGGCCAGTACAGCTTGTCCTCCGCCCACAAAGCATTTGGGTCGCTCTTCAACACAAAGCTGAGAAGGTATTTCTGCATCTTGATAGCCACCTCAGAGTCCACAGATGTCGAGCCACCGCCCATACCGCCTCCCGAACTACCTGACGGTGGGCCGCCAGAGCCACTTGTAGAGTTTGATGAGGACGAAGAGTTGGTGGAACTGGTGGAGGAAGAGGAAGAGGTGAGAGTATATGTCGAGTACCAGTAGTAGCTCTGGTCAGTACCATGAGTGGCGGGGCTGAGGTCGACACGTGCGTTCCAGGTGTTATTGCCCATAGCATGGGTAGCTGCGAGGTTGTGCGCTGTGAGATCGAAGTGCTGTTTCATGTCGGCGAAGCGCAGTCCAGGAGATGTGTAGTCTGATTCAGGGTAGAGTTCAAGAGCCTGTGTCTGTCAGTTGAGCTGTCGCCCCAAGTCCTGAAGAAGTACTCACCCTTTCAAGAATAGCATCCGTAATCGAGGGGAAGAAGGTGCGAAGCATTGTTGAGACATCTGCGGTGGTGTTCACGCCACTGTAAGCTTGCGAGTTCGCCTCATGAAGCTCGTGGCTGAGAACCAAAGGGCCGGTAAAGTTGAAACGTCCCTGATAGAACTGAGCTTCGTATGTATCCGCAACAAAGTCTCCATCGACACGAGGTTGGAACTGGTATGGGTAGACGTCCGCAGCGTCAGAAGCAGCACTGGTGAGTGTATCGAAGTCGACGCCACGCACGCATGCAATGTGTCCGCCGTCACAACCAACAGCGGTTGAAACGTTCTGCCAGAAGGCCTCAGCATGCTCGTGACCAGCGCCGGGAACAAAGCCGGGTGACATGACATAGGCCTGCTTAAACAGTTGTTCAGCGTGTCCTGCGAAACGGGTCATCTGGAAGAGCGTCTGACTTCCTCCAGCAGAGAAGCCCATAGCAGTGACGGCATCCGCATCTCCGCCGAATTCGCCAATGTACTTCTGGACCCACTTGAACGCGTGCTCCACGTCCCAGAGAGCAACGTTGGTAGTGCCACCCTCATGAGCATAACTTGGACCGTTGCCTAGACCAGTGATACCCAATCGGTAGTTGTATGAGACAAAAATGAACTCGGTGCTGAGATTGAAAAGTCCTTCAGGCGTGTTCTGGGCCTTCGAGCCACCTGTGAATCCACCGCCGTATGTCCATACCAGGACTGGTAGCTTCGTGCCTTCTGGGATGTTGGCTGGTACCCAGACGTCCATGAACAAGCAGTCCTCTGCAGAGCTGCAGGCAACAGACGCGTCTGCCAGGTCACCGCTGTTGACTTCTGTCTCCTGTTCCGGCCATTGCGGTGCGGCAAATCGAAGATCGCCGGTGGGGGCAGCGGCGAAGCGAATGTTCTGGTACTTGTAATAACCAAGTGTGGAGTTACCAGCAGCGGGTATCGTAGAAGTATAGTCGAGCGTGATGGTCGTGCTGGTATCGTTGGATGCAGCAGGCAGCGCAGAGATCAGGCTTGCTCCACCCAGCGAGAGGGCGGCGGTCGTAAAACGCATGTCTGCAACTGAATATGTCGACTAGTGTACCGAGCAAGATAGGATATGCTTCTTGATTGGAGGGTTTTGAGTGTCGAGGAGTGTCGTGATGGTTGCTGTGCATGAGCTGTTGATGTTCATATATTGTCACCAACACAGCCATCTACGTCAAACGGCCACCCAGCCTCTGAAGACGCGTGTAATTTCATAGTGGTGTTTGCATCTAGCACGGCTGCGATGCGGCTACTAGGAGGCATTAGGGGGTAGGGCCGATGTTTCGAAACATTGCAGGGTCACGTTTGCCTGCGTCAATCACACACTCGAGAGCTCAGCCTTACTATGTCGCCATTTGTCCAATGCCAGACTCTGGCGCCACATGGGGCGCCGGCAGAGAAATACGCGTTCGTCCGCTTCTGGAAGGTTGCGCGTGCAAGGCTGTGGAGTGGAAACGCGTTCGCCCGCTTGCGGAATTTTCCGCTTGCAGGGTTGTTGCACGCATTGATCCGATGCATGGGGTATTTTGTGCTTGCGCGTACGTGGCTGCGCACAACTTCATCAAAGGAGATCAGATGCGGGTAAGGTCTGTTCCGGATTATGGATCTAGATGCTGCACTGAACGTCCTCGCATGGATCAGATGTGTCACTAGTCTTGTGCGCCAAGCCAAAATATAAGTTCTGGTGCCAGATTTAAGGATTGGAAGGCCGTTGAAACGCCAGGCGGACACGCGGCCCAATTCCCGCCGAACCTAGAAGGCTGCAACTCAACACTACGATTCCTATCTTCTTCAAGCATTGCGTACCGGTAGCAGACGCCTCGTACCATCGGCTCCCATAGCATCATTTGCTCAACCACAGAATAACACGAGCAGATCGGGAAGCCGGCAAAGCTTCCGATGCATGGATGTCCTCTCGATGTCACAGGTTCCAAAGTTCGATAGCAAAACATGACAATGGAACGATCTCTTAAATGGCGTCAAGATATTATCCTCCCCAGGTCGCCATGCATTCGCAGATTCAGGAGTAGAGCGACTATGTTATTTACCATGTGAGCTCGATGACGTCCTTGAGGTCCTCTTCGCGTCAACCAAATAAACACCATGGGCGACCGCTGCTGCTATCACCTAATGACCCCCACATCGACTTAATTCACTTTTATCAGCGATAGTAGCGATTGGCGTGGGTCTCGCACGATCTGATGATCAATATGTCCCACTGCTCATACTTTGATCTGTCAACGCAATTGGACTCGAGGCTCCACACATGTCATCAACGCAGAACAAATCTTAGGCGGCCTTCGACACAGCTTGCGCATATTGGTGCACTTTACTCGTCGTGCAATCGACTTCGCTGACAGATTTGAGGCACGCGCAACTCAAAGCTCGGGAAACATTCATGTAGGCAGCAAACAGGATCCATTCGTAGTGCATGGATCGGTCCTTGCCGACCACTCTGGCTTTTCCGCGCAGCTCTGACCGGTCGATTTGTAGGAGCGAAGGATGCGACCGTGAGGCTCAAGGGAGATTCGCCTAGCGTAGTCGAGTCCTTGCGCATTGGCTCTACCTTCGGCGCCTACCCAGCTGAAAGAAAGGCGACAATCCTGCGACAGCAGCAACGGACTGGATCATGAGAACGTCACCAAACTCTATGTTTTCGACGCCAAGTACGATTGCCCACGTCTTAGCAGAGACGCTGTTTGTCTACTGTCCGAGGACGTGGAGCTCAAGGGCAGGCCTTACAAACACTGGGTCTGTAGGCTACGTGGTCCAGGATCTAAAGCGTAGCGATCCTTTGTGTCGCCTCCTCGTTGATCTGACATGCTCTCACGATGGCGGCGAATGGGACGAACTCTGTCAAGAACACGAAAGCATGCCCTTCCTGCAGGCAGTGTGGAATCACCGCATCCAAACCCATCACCAGAGCACTGGAGGCAGCTGACTTCTCATAAAGCTTTGTGACTATCACAAGCGTGTCGATGGCGACGAGCGGATAGCGTGCGAGAATGCGAGAAGGGTCTGTGGAAGGGCAAACGAGGCTAATGATGGCAGCGACAGCAGTAAGACGATTCTTCGGACCCAGATTGAAGCCCAATATACGGTTGGTGACTTGAAACAGCCAATTGGGCCAACCAAGAGAAGTGGCACAAGGAACACATGTGCGTTAGTTAGGATGGCGAGTCAACGAAGCCAAAATGTGGCTTGGGCAAGATACTCTTCACCAGCGAGCGGTGTGCACTGCAAATGTCTGTGCGGTTCCGTTGATCACCAATCTTTGTGTGCTACTGCTAGTTAGACTTGAGATTCGGGTTCAGCAAGTTTATCAGGGAGGACGTCCAGATCTGTGGTTGCAAAGTCCACATCTAAAATTGAGTACTTGGTAGACCGACGTAGCCTCGATCTGGGAATTAATGGTATCCTCTTCCACTTACTTGGGCAAAAAGACACATGAGAGAAAACTTGTCGACCAGGTCAGTTACAAACTGTAGGTGTGCAAAAAGAATCGAATAATCCTGGACTTGCCAGGCACCGAAGCTAATGTCGCTTCTGTGGATCGAACACAGTACCTCCAGATTTAGCGACTGAACTTCAGTCTGGCGCTCTCCCAAGTGAGCTAAAGCGACTGGATTAGTTTTATGGACTGTTGGCCAACAATAATGTTTATATTCTAAAAGTATTTTCAGCTATACCGCAATCTACGGATCGTATCCGCATCCTGCTTCCCGTGTCTTCCAAAAATGTATAAATTCGATTCGATGCGGGGCAAGCTTCGCGCACTTCAAGCTTAAGCGAGAGCTTGGTCGGACGCGTTTCTGATGCATAACCGTCATGTAGAACAAATAATGTCTCTGGTTGTGCAAACTGCGAAGGCAGATGATGAACGAGGAACACCATTGTTCAACAAAACGTGTCGAGCTTATCAAAAATATCAGGTCCTTGTGATGCATGGAGCTGCCCTAGCGCGTTCAAGCTTGGCACCAAAATAGTCAACTCCTGACATCACCACATCCGGAGCCCTCGGCGATGCAACTATGCGCAAATACCTCAATCTCTCACCACTTTATTACGTTACGCGCTGAATATGGCCGTAATAGAGAACTGGCTCCCTCCGTCGCGTGAGAACTGGGAGTGGCTATGCTACGTCTGGCAATTCTTCCCTGTGGTGAGTTACTCGTGACGCGCACGAGAGCATCCTTGCTAATCATAGACTCACAGGTCACAGCAGTTCAATGGGTCATTGACTGGTACCCACAAGGCAAGACCTCGACAGAGTCCAGGTTCAATGTGCCGGGCAAGATAGGATGGGCGACCATGGAGTCTGCAGGGCCAATTACTCTTCTGTACATCTTCTTGACGCTGCCGAAGGAGCTGGGGATTGAGGAGCTACCGTGGGGCAATTGGACAATGGTCGGCTGCTTTGTACGATGCGCTCCTGTCGACATCAAAAAGTGCGACTGGCTGACTGCTCGCAGGTGATTCACTACGCCTACCGCGCTATTCTCTCGCCGCTGTTTCTCAACCCCAGCATGTCGCCAATGAGCCCGCTTGTGTGTCTGGCCATGCTCGCCTTCCAGGTCACCAATGCCATCTCAATTGGCGGATACGTCTCAGGCTACGGGCCCACAACTGACTTCGACTACCGCTGGCAAGGTCGCGCGGGGTGGATCTTTGGAGGCCTCGTGTTGTGGTGCTGGGGTCTGTTGGGCAACATGTTCCACGACGACGACCTGCGCGAGATCCGGCGAGCAGCCGACCGCAGACAGCGCAAAGATGCCGCTGAGCAGAACAAGCCCATTCAAGGCGTTAACACGGTTTACATGATTCCCAAGAACGGACTGTTCAAATACATCTTGTATGCGCACTACTTTTGCGAGTGGATTGAGTGGGGGGGCTGGTGGATGATTGGCGGCCTCGACTGCAAGCCAGCCCAAACATTCCTCATAAACGAGGTCAGTACGATGCTGCCTCGCGCGCTGCAGGGCAAGCGGTGGTATGTAGAAAAGTTTGGTAGGGACAAGGTGGGCAACCGGAAGGCAGTGATTCCAGGCCTGGTGTAGGCTCGAGATTGATCGGTGTGAGCAAAAAGTACGGTACGCTAGTACCGACATGGAAATTCAATGACTGTTGCATTAGCCGTACGTGAAGAGTGCTTTGCACTGAGCATGACTGAGCGGATGATGGTAGTGTTTCAGGTAATTCACAACAATGCACAACGATCGTTTTTTATGTTGACCCATAGCAAGTCCGAACTGCCAAGCGACGATATGGCATGGTTCACACTCCTACTGGCAGATTGTGAGACTGGCCTCCGCAGTGGAAGCATGGAAGTGGGGTGACAATGCAGGGCATCCTGGGTTTCCGCGATTGTTGGAAGAGGCTTGTTTTGTTGAATACGAGAGTACTTGACAAAGAGCGCAGCGAGGATGCAGCGGCGGCCTACAAGATCGCAAGCTCAATGAATTCTTTACGATGAGATGCGCTGTCCGCTGCGTAATCACGAGTAGCGGCGCAGATGACGACCGCTGCAACATCCCGGAGCGATTTGACCGTGAGGACTTAAATATAGAGCGGCTGAGTAGCCAATCAGCAGCGCCCGGGCGTATCGAAAACGAGCAGCCCGTGAAATAAATGATGCTATTGAGAGCCGGGGTACGTCGAGAACGAGCAGCAGAGATGGGGATGCTGCGATAGCAATCTGCGCGCACCTGCATCCATCTTGTGCCACGCCAGCTGCATCGTGGGTTGGGCATGTGGTGTTCGCCTTGAGCTGCCAGATCCTTGGTGAGATTTTAGACGCTCCTCTGTGTCGCTGCACACAGCCACATCCATCTGCGCGCTGGTGCCGCTCTCCCCTCGACCTACCCAAAGCAGGGGGCAACTAAAGGCGCTCTGGCGTATTGTTCCGCTTTCTAACGCTGGTCTCCGGCTAGACAGGTGCCGCCGTCAGCCAAAATTGCCAGCGGACGCCTTGGCCGTGAACGTGAAAAGCACCGCGCTGCCCTCTGCCCGTCCCAGTTGGAACACCTTTGTCGCGGAGTGCCCTGTTGATTGGCTCTTGACTGGCCCATCGCGCACATTGGGAGCTTCCGTGCCTCAGCAATCTCAGCCTTAGCCAGATAAGGCAGGCCTCAGTCGAAGTAAGGCCTACTCGATCAACAGAGCTTGGATCGCCCTCTTCCTGCCGCGGCGCTCCACTCTGCTTGCAACACCTCCTCTTTTGCACGTCGTCCTCCACTCACCTCTCAGGGCGCGCATCCCCGTTCCCCGTTCTGCAGTTTTCGCTGGCTCTGCCCTAGCCATACATCATCACTCGTATCGTCCCACCGCCTGTTGCCAAACAGTGGACCCGCGCATCACCCGCCGAGCGTGCAAGGGAACACTGGACAAACCAAGAAACCAGTGCTGCCGGCATCCGCGACACACTAACATCCTCGCTTTGCGCTCTGCTGAGTACTGAGGCGATTGCTGCTGCTGCTGCCACCTTTTACTGCTCGCTGTCCGGCCGTCGTGCCTCGAAATTGTCAATATGTCGTCGGCGAACAACACTGCTGCCAGTACGTTCATCTCCCTTGTCTCTCGTTCCTCAGCGCCTGCCGCATCGTCGGCCGCTCCTTCCTCTCCCTCCTCTCCCGCCTCCCCCGCCGTAGCTACGTCGTCTCAGATTGTAACACCGTCGGCAGCAACAGCGCCCTCGTCTGCTGCATCGGGGCCGTCTACGCCCTCTATTGCGACCTCGTCTGCGGCTCCTAACACGCCCTCTTCAGCAGCGCCGCCCGCCTCGTCTGCGGTACCAAGCTCAATAGCGCCTGCGAGCTCAGCTGCTCCAGCCTCGTCTGCGGCTCCTAACACGCCCTCCTCAGCACTACCAGCGTCCTCCGCTCCTGCGGCCTCCTCGGCAGCACCCTCTTCGGCCGTGCCTGCTGCATCTAGCGCTGCTCCCGCCGTCACAAGCAGCACTCCACCAGTCGCAACTTCAGTCGTCACTGCCTCATCTGCAACACCGACGACTGAGATCGCCACCTCTGTTGTCACCGTTACTCCGTCAGCAACCCGCGCCGGCGAGACTCCGACCCCTATCATCATCACATCCATTGTGACACGGGAGGGCACTTCTGCGACTGTAAGCACTGGCAGCCTCGCATCTACTACCAGCGGTGGATCAGCTTCCTCGAGCACCAACACTGCCGGAGCCGTAACATCACAGGGAGACCAACAGAAAGGTCTGAGCACCGGCGGCAAGACTGCAATTGCTGTCGTCGTGCCCGTCGTCGTCGTTGCACTGCTAGTGTTGGCTGGCATCCTCCTCTGGAGAAAGCGCAAGACTCGCCAGAACAACGAGGAGGAACGCCGAAAGGAGGTCGAGGAGTATGGCTTCAATCCCAATAACGACCCCACGCTGCCAGCAGTTGGCGTGGGAGGCTCTGAAATGGCCGAGGACTCAAGCGGCTACCGAGGCTGGGGCAACACTGCTACCAGCTCGAACCGCAAGGCCTCCACTACCCTGACCAGCGGCATGACCTACTCAGACAGCAACAGCAACCCTGGCGGCTACAACACACCTCACTCCCCCACTGGTGGAGCACACTCTGAAGGCTCTCACGACCCTCTGATGAACGGGCGCCGCGAAACCATAGACTCCGATGGCCTTGGTGCGCTCGGTGTCGTTGGTGGCGCAGTACCCAACTCGACACAGAACCAGGCCGGCGTACAGCGTGGACCGTCCAACGCATCCTCCTCCTACTCTGCGGCCAACCGATCCGATGCCTCGGGCGACTACCCCGGCTATACCAACGGCAACGCCAACGAATACTACGATAACCAAGGCTACTACCAGACAAGCCCGTATGGCAACAACGACCCGTATGGCGCTGGTCAGCAGCCTGTCATACGGGATGTGTCAGCACGGCGGAACACGAGGATCGAAAATCCTTCTGTCTTCCCACAACAAGGAAATTCTGGCATTGCTCAGAACTTCTAAGCACGACATCACCATCGCTCTGTACAGTTTCATCGATTTGCTCTCTGACTTTCATCATATATCCAAAAGGCGGCGTTTTGGAGTCCTGGACCAAACTATTGCATCGTATCGCACTTTCTTCGGCTGCAGGGACGAGTCGGGTGAGGGCATGCAGGCCTCACTTCAGCTCCTGGGTCCTGTGTACGATAATGTTGTTTCGCAGCACGCAAGCTTGCATCGGCAGGGTTTCGAAGCTTATACTTGTCAAGTGACCTTCACACATCTCGCCAAAACGTCCCTGTTCGCTCGAGCCTTGCACCTTCGACTTCCTGCACTGGACGTTGGATATGCGGTTTTCAGGCTGCCGGCACGCAGTACGCTTTGAAGAGTTGGAATTTGGACGTGCCGCGCACACACCCTAATTTTTGTAATTATCATCGATTTTTATGCATCGCCTCGGCGTTGGTTCTGCTTCCAGCGACTATCTTTACCCTCTCACCCCGACAGTCTCACGCCATCCCCTTTCCTCAACATCTCTATCGCTATAGCCTTTACGGCGCTTTCCCTTGGACCAATCAACAGTACCCGCAATGGGCAGACAAAGGAATAGCAACGGCTGGGAGAGAGATGATACACATGAAGCTTCCAGCGCAGTTAGGTAGGCAGATACACTGAAAAGTAAGCTTTTAATCATCGTCTCTGTCCATCGAACATGACCATGAATACTCCGCCGATTGATAATCGTTTACCTCCAAAAATCAATGACCACACAGCCTACAGACTCTACCGAACGACCACTACAACAAAGGGTGGATACAGTTCCGCCGAACAGGATGCACGATATTCTCGCATCCTCCTGTGTCATTTTCAGACCTGGCCGGTTGCGGCTCTCTGGTCACTGGGATACGAGCTCGGTTGCGGTCGGTGGCATTTTGAAAGAGACGGTGGCTGACGGTGGCTTGGCGCATGTCACGGGTGTGTATTTTGGGGGTTTGGCCGTGTGCGGTGGCGAGGATATCAACTACCGGTACAGTGTTCCAATGACGCCCGGGCGAACAGAGCAGCTCAGTTGGAACTGGGATGTGGGTTTCGCATGCAGGAAGCGACGATGACAGTGGGCAGACGAAGGCTAACATAAGAGTCACTACTCTGTTTTGACCTAGGAGAACGTCGCCAATGACTCGTGCTAGGGTCCTCGATGTGCGTTTCTGGGATCTCGAACCTCGGTCTGTATGCTCCGTTGTCCGGTGTCGTACAATGCCACGAATGGGTTGCCGACTGCGTTGGAAGGCCTCCGGGTCTCAACCCTCGTAGGGCTGGATTTCGGGGCACGCGTGCTGGGGTCACGGCCCGGGCCTTGCTTCCAGATGTTTGGTATATACCTACTTTGCGATGAGAGGGTTGTGAGTGCGCGACGAACAGGATCACAGTGCTGTGCAAGTCGGATGGCGGTTCCCAGCTCGCGCTGAGAGTGTGTTCTGTCTTATCATCTGCCGGCTCTGCCAGTCCGCTTCCGCCCGCTCTTCAGCAAGTAATGTGGTTCCGACACGCCGACACGTTCTCAAGGCCTTGTGGATCCAAGGTTTCCCACCGCTCACGATATCCGAACAGACGCAGACCCTGGCTGTGGTATTGACGCTGCAAGACCCCGGTGTCGTCGTGTCGCAGTCACCGCCTTCCATGCCCTTGGTATGAGTGCCGTTGCTCGCGTGCCTGACGCGAACGTGCAGTTGCTTAACGCGACGAGATCGGCGGACAAACGCCTGTCGTATTATCGGCAATGGGAAGAATAGTGCGTGATCACGGGCCGGTGCCAAATTCTGTTCAGCGTCAAGGAAAATGGCTTTGTGAGGTGGTGCTATGGTAAGCTGCAAGGTTTGAAGGCGGTAGTATGCTTTGTCGTACGAGTCTGGACTCACGATAGTGACTATGTTTGGCGTCGTGTCCTGCGGACGCGGGATATGGGCTTCGCCTCTACTGCATGGCGTTGGAAGAGTGCAGGTGCACTTGCGATACCATTCCTGTTCATCAGCATGCGCGGGGACAAAACGTTGTCCGCCACTGGCCGGATTGGGCCTCTTTCCGTGTGCATTTACTTCATCTCATCGCGAAGGTTTGAACAGGTTGTAATGAAAACTATGGATTCACTATGCCGTGCCATCCGCAGATGCGCAGACAGCTTGACAGAAACCGTGATTCTAAACTAGTCTACACAACCTCACCCCTGACACCAGCCGGAGCCGCCGCACCACTGCTCTGCATCAAATGACTCGGTACCCTCTCCATCATGCTCTGCTCCGGCACTCTCGCCTCGCTCTTCTTGTTGATGCCCCGCGCACCGGGAGTCAAATACGTGTTATCCAGGTTCGGCAGCTCCTCGCCCTCGGTCGGGACCCAGTGCTTGCTCTCCCACGGCTTGACGCCGAGGATGTACATGGTGTCGATTTCCTCGAGACTGCGGCCCTGCGACTCGCACAGAAAGAAGTACACGACTAGGGCGCCGGCGAAACAGCACCCTGCGAAGACATAGCCATAGCGGTAGTCGATGGCGGACGTGATGAAGGGCGTGAAGAAGGAGAGGAGGAAGTTCCAGACCCAGTTTGAGGCGGTAGCGAGGGCCATGCACTTGGCACGGTAGCGTGTTGGATAGATTTCACCTGCGAGTGTTAGATAGTTGATACAATTTCACAGGCGGAGAGCGAACATACCAACAACGGCCCACACAATGGGTCCCCAGGTCGACGCGAACGCCGCGATGAATAGACACGCAACCACGATCATGCCGTAGCCGACACTCTGCGAGGGGTTATCCTCCGGTCCAAGCGCGAAATGACCTAGCGAGGCGAATATGAGGAAGCACACAAACATCCACAGCGCGCCGCCGATGAGCGCAGGACGGCGTCCGTACTTCTCGACAATGTAGAGGCCAGGAAATGTACATCCAAAATTGACAGCGCCGAGAATAATCGACGTGACGTAGGAGTTGGAAAGGCCTACAGAGCCGAAGACGGTCGTGCCATAGTAGAAGAAGTAGTTGGCACCCGTGAGCTGCTGCAGCATCTGCATTGTGATGCCGAGCAGCGTGCGGTACGCCATGGCCGGGCCAGTGAAGATCTCGTACCACGGGTGGTGATCGCCGCCAGCACGCTCAGCCTCCATCTTCTGCTCGATTTCGCGGATCTCGCGCTGCACCTCGGCGTGGTCCTCGTTGACACCATACGTGAGCGCGATGGTCTTGCGGGCTTCATCAATTTTGCCATGGCTATACTCCCAGCGGGGCGATTCCTGCATGAACATGATTCCGACGACCATTAGCCCGGACCAGATGAAGCCAATGCCCATGGGCAGCTTCCAGGAGCGCGAGCTCTCGTCGGCCTCGGTGCCGAAGTTGATGCAGTACGCGGTGAAGATACCGAGCGTGATGAACAGCTGGTAGCAAGAAACAAGCGCACCGCGGACGTAGCGGGGCGCTGTCTCAGACTGGTACATGGGCGTGAGGACAGACAGACCACCGACCCCCAGACCTGCAACCCAGCGGCCGATGGCGACTTGGTACCAGGTGTTTGATGTCGTGATCTGGACAATGACACCGACGCAGAAGATGATGTTCCAGAAGACGATCGAGTACTTGCGGCCGAATTTGTCGGAAACTGGGGCAGCAATGAGCGCACCCACCAGTGTGCCAATTGAGAGCAGAGCAACGATGAGTCCAGAGCGGACGTTGCTGAAGGAGTACTTGCCGTTCGGAAATTCGGCGTTCGGTGGTGTGTAGTTGTCCGCGAACTTGCGGAGGAAGTCGGGCATCTCGAGGAAGCCAGAGATCTGACCGGTGTCATATCCGAAGACTGTAGGTCTCGTTAGTTGGCAGCCTACGGATGCTGCGAGACTGCTTACTGAAGCCGCCCATGGACACGATGCAGGCCATGGCGATGATCCTGGGTCTGAATATCTGCTTCGCGCCGCCAGATAGCATGATCGGCTTCTTCTCCACATCTCTCATTGAGGAATCATTCGAGCGTCGTTCGTCTTGCGATTTCGCCCTGTCGGCGCTGTTCTCCATCGCAGAAGCCATAATTGCGAGTACAAAGGGAGCAACTGGAGTGATGCTTCCAAAGCGCGGGGACTCCACGAGCCTATAAACCCGCAGTCTCGCACCCCATTACAGCACCGTGACCTCCACGCCGATCCTCTGCACCCCAATGCCGTCACATTTTTCGGCCGGGCTTCCACTTCGCGCTGCCACTACGCGATCACCCCGTGGTGCAACCGGCCACAGGTGCATGCACCGGTCGTTGGAGGCCGGTAAACGGTTGTGCAGACGTCATGCTGCCGTTGTGATGTCAGCCCTACAATCTAAGCCTGCAGTCGAAGGCTTGTCAAGGCCAAGCTCCACCCAAGCGTTGCAATCCTGTTGGTTGGTGCGGGTCGTGTTCGGGGCCCACTTGAGGCTCTGCCGGCAGAGAACCGACGTCACATTCTTCAAGACGTCAGCGTCGTCTCTTGTGGGGTGAGGGGTGAGGGGTCTCGCAAGTCATCTTGAGCGCGGGACGAACGTCGGTACATACCTAGGATGCTGTGCAAAACTGATTGTAGGCCGCAATTTCACACTTGGTGATGTCCCTGATCATATGCAGAACAGCTTCGCATCGTGGCTTTTGGTCGCTGTAGCTGCGTTCCGTCACCATGCTGTTCCTCTGCCATGTCAAGCACACAAACTACACATCACGAGAACTCTCGGTGCTTCGATGTTTCCGAGCCCACGACGGTGTGCTTACGCATCCTGCGTGCGAACGACGACACGATGCATATCCCCATCACACGAGCAGACAAAGCACGTTGGATCACGCGGCCTGCGGGGTCTTGCTTACCCGCGAGCAAGCAAAAGCGGAGCTGCACGATCGCTGTGGTGAGCTCTTCCATCGTCCTCGGGCGCTCTTCGCGCCTTCTTCAACAAGCGGGATGACGTCGTGGCCGGACGCGGCAGACACGACTCGCACCCCAGCAGCATTCGATACGTAATGACTCTTGTCTCCTCACCACCGCACCGACGCAGGGAAATGACGAAGAGCATCGCAGCGGGAAGGCGCCCGACTAGACAGCAAGCTCGCAGACCCGTTCAGGGGTGCCGGTGTTACTCCGTCCGGGAAGCTTTGGGCCTTGCGTTGATGCCGGCGGCTTTCTTGGTCGCGGTCTTGGCTGCCGTCGCGAGCAGACTCTGCGCACCGCTTTGGGCAGGTTGGACGTCGTCTCGTCGATTGCAGCGGCGAAACCGTGGTCTTTTTGGCCGATATAGTCTGGAGTTGTACGACATTCGGACCTGTAAAGATGCTGGGCATGTCGTATCTGGCAAGATGTCGAATTGTGTCGATTGCGGACGGGCCTTTTGGTCGATGGATTCGGCCAATACGCGCTGGGTGCTAGAGTGTGCTACCCCAAGTTTCCACTCCAGCCGCTACGCATCACGTTCCGTCTCCACGGGCCACAGATTGAAGAGAGAGCAGGCCACGCACGCCAGTGAGACACATCGGTGCTCTACGCATTGCATGCAGAGATTATCGTGGAGCTGCTTGGGGTAGACGGAGCCCATCAGTTTCAACGCCGAGACACGCAGTGCCGACGGTGTTGAGGTCTGGAGCCACTGGGCACAAGCAGGGCCGTGAGCGATATCATTTGCATGTATGAAACTGAGAAGTTGGACGGAGAGATGGAAAGTATACGCTATGCTATGCTACGCTATGCTATGCTATGCTGCGCTATGCTGTGCTGTACTACGCTACGCTTCTTGTATGACTGATGCAAATATGCACATGGCCTCACCCCCGCGACCCCTTGTCGGCGGTCGACTCATCACGCAAGAAGCTCTGGAGCTGGGGGCCCACATCCATGTCGCCACGCGTCGACTCCGTGAGACTCGGTCGCGGTGCAGGCTCGTCCTCGGGCTCGAGATACTCGTCCTGTTCGCGGCCCTGCGGCGGAGGGTCTGCAGGCCGACGGTCCGCCGTCGAAATGACAGCGTCCCGTCCCAGCTCTGCTTCCGGAACGCCAGCGGGCTCGTCGTCCGGCTCGAGGAAATCCTGCGCGTCCTCGAGACTGCCGTGATCCCAGTGCGTCGGCTCCTTGAATCTGACAGCGGTCGCGAACAGGCTCTTGAGGCCCGGGATCTTGAACCTGTCTTCTTCCTCCTTGGCCTTTTTTTGCGCGGCCTGGACGTCTTTGTGCTCTTTGGCCGTCCTGTTCGCCTCGAGGCTGGCGGTCAGGTCGGCGCGGCGCTGCACCCCAGCCAGGGTGCGGATCAGGTCGGGGTCGAGCTGCTCGTCTTCGCTGAGGTGCTGCATGGTCTCGCCGATGCGGTCGACGAGCTGCGCTCTGGCGTATCCGCGCACCATGACGCCGTACGTGTACGAGTCCGGATTCACGCCACGCGCGCGCATGAGCTCCAAGGCGCGCTCGGCAGCTGCGACCTGGCCTGTCTTGAAGAAGGACTGCATGAACATGTTCCAGGAGAAGACGTTTGGCGCGGTGCCGTGGGCGGTCATGTCTTTGATGAGCGCTGAGGCGGAGGCGTACTGCTTCTTTTGGCAGAAGGCGTGGAGGAAGGCGTTCCAGATGAGTGGCTTCTGGGCGAGGGAGACGACGCTCGGGTGAGCTTTTTTGTCGAAAACACCGCGTTTGAAGGTCTTGTAGAGCCTCTCTAGGTAGGCGATGGACAGGGGCTGGGCTGTCTGGATCTCCGTCTGAAGCATGAGGTACAATGCTTGTTCTGTTGGAGCGAGCTTCTTCCTTTCGGGGTTGGAGACCGAAGCGTCTTCGCCTTGGTCGATGTTGTCTTTCATGGCCCGGCTTCCAAACTTGGCAAAAGGCTTCAAGGGCGTCAGATCGAACAGGTCGAGATAGGTGCGCCAAAGCAGATTGGCGTCTGGCGAGTGCGCAGGCTGGCTCTGCTCGCAGATGTAGAGGTAGTAGAGATAGTCGGTCGCCAGCCAGGGATCCCTTAGCTCTTTCGCCTTGTTCAAGCAAAAGCCTGCAAAGGCCTTGAACATGGTGGGGTCGCTCTGTGTCGTGCAGCCATGGAGGAGGATGGAGTAGGTGTATTTGTCCGCCTGCAACCCGTGGTCTTCCAGGGCGTTGAAGACCTTGAAGGCAGTGGCAAAGTCGCCAGCGTCCATGGCGTTGTGCATGACCACGTCGTAGAGCAAAAGATCCATCTTGACGCCAAACTCGACAAACTTTGCCACGATAGCGGGCGTTTCATGGTATCTCTTTGCTTGGCGCATGCTGCCACGCAGCGTCGCTGCACAAACCCATCGGAAGAGATCCGAAGCGACGAATGCCTCGGCGTCGACCCTGTTGAACGACTCGACACGGCGCTCCAGACACTGCAGAGCATAGGCTGTCTCGCCAGCTTCAGCGAAAGCAGACGCATAGTGCAGCACAGTACTGACGGCGAGCCGGGCCCTGGCCTCAATCAAGGCGTCGTAAACTCTCTTCAGATCCGCCGAATCGGCCAGCAGAGCCAAGCTGTACAGCAAGTCCTGTGAGAAGACTGCGGCATCCACCTTCTCAGCGCAGTGGATAAACGTCGTGATGAAGTTTCGAACGTTGGCGGCTGGAGATGCCTCCCAGCCCTGGTCCGGGGGGTATCGTTCCTTCAGATGCAGCTTCGCCAGATAGGCGAGTCCGTCTGCCAGAATGACAAACTTGCTCTGCGGAAGCTCGTTATCCAGGGCCAGCACGGTCATCAGCTCCTGGGCGTATGCGGGCTTGTGTTCCAGCATGTACACAAGCGTAGTCTCGTAGTACCTCTGCTTCTGGTGAAACGTGTGCCAGTTCATCCATATCCGCCCTGGACCATCTCTCTCGACGCCCTCGAGCAGCTCTGCGGCGAAGATGCGACATCGAGGGTCGTGCTCGATGGTGATGGGTTTCGTGAGCGCATTCAGACGCGCGTACGCGTTCCTGTCCAGGGCGGCAAAAGTGTCGAGCAGCCAACGCTCGTCGTCTGCGTGGACATCGGTGTACTTGGACACGTTGACCACGGTGTGATCCCATCTCTGGAGACTGAGCACGAGGCGCTTCAGAGATCGGTACTGGCCGTCGTACAGCAGCTTGTTCTTGTAGTTCCTCCTGTCCCGCTGCAGTCGTCGAGCGTGGGCTTCCATGCGCGTCTCGGCCTGAGCGATCAGGTTGACTCGCCGTCGACCGACGGCTTGAGGGTCGAGGCCCTCGGTCTCCTTGGCCACCTGCTGCTTCCAGGATCGTCGCCTGGAATAGCGCGCCTGCGTGGCAGCCTTGTCGGCGACGAGGGTTCGTGCCTGGGTGAAGGGGTCGACCCAGCCCTCTGGAGCGGTGGCGTATGTTCTTGCATGGCGGCGAGCGAAGGATGCAATGTCGGCGTATCGACGGTCGAGCGAGCACCGTGGGGTGGCTCGGCATGAAGCACCGTTTGAAGAGGACGGGCTTCGTCGCGCAGTGCTGGAGAACGGTTGGCGGTGGGAGAGGCTCACAGGAGTGTTTCTCATAGTCGGTCCACGACTATGTTGCGCCTGCTCTTTCTGTGCTGGGTTGCTCCCGCCATCTCGTCGTTCACGCGTCCTCGAGACCGGAGGCTCGGCGAAGGCTCTCGGGGCGAGCCAGGGGAGGAGTAGGGCGTCGGCGCCGGCGGTAAGGCTAGCACTGGACAAGCGAGCGCGGGGCATGGGGGAAGAGGAAGTGGCAGTCTTTACCGGGCCATGACGCGTGGGATGGGTTGATGGGTGGCATGTCGCGAAAAGGTTAAAAGTTGGAGGGCGCCATCAGAGACTGCACGAGTGGTTCCGGTCGCCCGCCGTAACCATGTATGGGATATTGTACCTAGCTACACCACTCCACCACGCGCAAAGAGCACAGCGACGCCACCACGTGCAAAGCGCACAACGACTACACCACACACAAAGCGCACAGCGACGCCACCACACACAAAGAGCACAACGACGCCACCACGCGCAAAGAGCACAGCAACGCCGCCATGTCCTCGCACGAACACCTCTCGGCCGCATCAAACGACCGCAAAGCGCGTCTCGCGCAGCTGAAATCGCTCAAGCGAAAACACGCGCCCTCGGACGACAGCCACGACGCACAAGAGGCCTCCGTGTCCCTCCCAGAGCCCTCGACGGCGCTCGCAGCACCCGCCGAAGAGCCGTCGGTAGTATCCACGTACCTCAGCGGGCGCAACTTCGACCCGTCGACGCGCAACGTCAAGCTCGGGTTCGAAAACACGCCCGTCGCGGACCCGACGCGCACGCTCGAGTACAAGGCGCAGCAGCTCGCTCTGTCGACAAAGGCCGAACAGGCGCAAGAGCGCGAAGGCGAGGCGCTGGATCTGTTCAAGCTGCAGCCCAAGAAAGCGAACTGGGACCTGAAGCGCGACCTGGAAGCGAAGATGCGCGACGGCGGGCTGCAGGCGGGCACCGAGAATGCGGTCGCCAAGCTGGTGCGGCAGAGGGTCGAGGCGCAGCGGCAGGCCAGGGAGCAGAGGGCCGTCGCGAGCGGCGCCTCGGGTGCGGGTGCGACGGAGAATGGCGGGGATGGGCAGGAGGTCGGGATGGAGGGCGGCGAGCTGGTCGAGGCTATGCACCAGCGGGAAGTGGAGGAGGAGATGGAGCGGCGGAGGGAGGTGGAGGAGCCTGTGGAGGGGTGAGGGGCGCCATGTGATGAGCTGTGGCATTCTGAAAGAACTGAACGAAAGCAAGGCAGGCGTGGCAAGGCACTCGCATCGCTGGGCTGCGTGGGGGGGGAAGAAGGATGGCCCAAGTGCGCCGCTCGCAGCGAGACAGGTTGCTTGGTGTCTTGGGCAGCGAGCTCAAGACAATGCAAACCATGCAAACCATGCAAACCATGCAGGGCGAAGCGCACGACGTGTTGCCACGGGAAAGGCCTGAGGGACGCAGATACACGATGTGACTATTTCAGGGTCTCCAACACCACACGACTAGCTGAGGGTACCCAGCACCACACACTAGTTGAGGATACCCAACACCACACACTAGTTGAGGATATCCAATACCACCACCCAGGCTGCCAGCCTCGAGGTTCTGAATTGACATGCTGCCCGCAAGACGCCTAATTGCACAATGCACTCCAATCCCTAGCCGACGTTTTGACGTTTTGGCGTTTTGACGTTTTGACGTTTTGACGTTTTACTGCTACCGGTTCATCGATCGTGTCAGCGCAACGCGCTTGCTGAACGGACTCAGGCTCCTCTCCCTCGGCGCTGCCCTCGGTGGGGGAGGCTGTCTCGCAGGCGGTGGGCTGTCTCTTGTAGGCAGCAGAACATCCCTAGCAGGCGCATCGTCGAAGCGCGGCCGAGCGTCTCTCACAGGCGGCTGAGCCTCTCTCCCAGGCGGCCGAGCGTCTCTCCCAGGCGACCGAGCCTCTCTCCCAGGCGACCGAGCGTCTCTCCCAGGCGCAGAGTCGAAGCGCGGCCGAGGTGAACGACTGCGCGAGCGCGCGCGGTCGGTCGAAATGGTGCTCACCGAGTCGAAGCTCGCGCTCCTCGGGCCTCTGCTGCTCGACCGGCTCCTCTTCCGCCCCCTCTTCTGGCCCCTCGCGCGCTCCTCATCCTTCTTCTTCAGAATATCGTCCGCGGTGCCCTTGTTGCGGACGAGGTCGCCAGGCACTTCCGTGGTGAGCTTGGGCTTGAGGGTCGGGTTGAGTAGCTGCTGCGTGCGGCTGGGGCGCGCTTTGTACGGCCGCTCCGAGGCTTTGGCTTTGCATTCGTAGCTGTAGTGGCCCCGCTGGAGACACTTCTGGCACTGCGTGGCGGGCGATGCCTTCGAGGCGCCGGCGCCTGGGCGGCGGAACATGCTGCCTGGCCTATGTCACGTGAGCCTGTGGTTGCTGGGCGCAGTCCAAGTCTCCTGTGCCTGTGCAAGTAATAGAGTATTGTTGGTGGCTGGCAGCTTTACAGTGTCGCGGTCCGGGCAGCCCACCGGTATGGGCTGCCATGGCACCTCGGAGCGGAGAAACTGGGGCGGACTTTTGGTGAGCTGCCTTCCCAAGCGCAAGCAACCCTCTCTTGCGCACCACACCCCGCACACGACCAGCCTGCCCCGCGCGCGCTGTCTCTGCCTCTCCGTCCACCAGAGTCGCCCTCGGCCTGCTGCGCGCCCCCGGAGTTTGGCGCCCGCCTGCAACTGCCCGCTACGCGCCCAAGTCCTGCGCATCGGCCAGCCCTGCGCGTCGTCGACGGCACCACCACACACAGCACAACAGCCTCGCATGTCGGCACACCACAATGTCCAGCTCTCTGGCCCGGCCCACCGCGAATTTCCTTGAGCATCCCATTTCCTGAAGCCCCTGCCACCACTCGGCCCGCGAATTTCTTCCTTCTGGTCCCCGACCGCCCACGGCACCCTCAGGCCGTCCTGTCTTTTCTGCAGCAACGTTCGCTTGCGCGCCCACACTCGCGTCGACACACACCCGCGTCGACACTCACCCGCGTCGACACTCACCCGCGTCGACTCACCCGCGTCGACACACTTTCTGCGCTCGAGTCGACGACCAGCGCGCATTGCAGCGACTGCACCCCGCGAACATGGCTTCCGCAACGCCCACACAGCGCGAGCAGGCGCAGGCGAGGCTCTCCTTTGCAAAGGTGTGCAGCGTGTCTCGAGCGTGCCAGACTTGGGCTAATGATCATCAGGTCGCCGCCTCTGCCTTGCAGCCGCCCACAGCTGCCCAGACCACCAGCGCCAAGCCAAAGCCGGCTGTTGCGACACCCAAAATTCTGACCCAGCCGCACATTGCGCGCTCTGTGCCAGTCCCCGCTGAGGCGCCCCACACCCCACCAGGGAGCAACCAAGCCGAGGGCCAGAACGGCACCGCTGGAAGCAGCGTGGACCGCACAGGACAGTGGACTGCCACTGCTCAGGAATCAGCCGCGCCGTCGTCGGACGTGAAGCAGGACTTGCCAGAGCGCCCGCGGTCCATTGCAGTGGTCAAGATGTCTGCAGCCGAAGACAGCAGCACCCAGCTGTCCTCGTCTGACGGCTCCGGGAAGCCGCCCAGCATCGACGGGAAGAGCGTTGCTTCTGCCACCACCTTTGCCCTCGACGAGAAGGAGTCGCTCCGACCAGACGACAGCGCCAGCCTCAGAGCTGTCGAGGAGGAAGACATCACCTCGCCGCCAGACTCGGTCGTCAACGACTCCCGCCACGGCTCAGACCATGGCGCTGCGCGCGCTTTCCGCGACCAGCTGCACGAAATTGCAGTCATGAACCCTCAGTCGCAGCGTGGTGTGCCGCCAGGCCGCTTCCCCAACCTCCCGCCAGGCCCGCATATGCTGTACGACCCCACGCAGGCTCTGAGTGGTGGACGGCCACTGTCACAGCCTGCTGGAACTGGCATGCCCACCATGGCCGGCGTGCCCAGCCTGCCCTCTGCTCCCGACGAGAAGCTCATCGAAGCACTGCAGTCTCCGCGCGACCGACTGTTTGTGGTCAAAATCGAGCAAGACTTTATCGACTTCATCAAGGATTCTCGGTACGTTGCAGCAGATGCCTCGGCCTGACTTGGCTAATCATTCACAGCGAGAGCGAGTACTCGCTGCCCAACTGCAACACCTTTTACAGAATGCTTGCGCATCGTCTTGCCGACTACTACATGCTTGGCCATGTCGTCGACTCTACCATGACGGGTGTGAAGATCACGAGGACGCCCTTTTGCAGAATGTAAGTCATGGCCTCCATGCTCACCCTCCCATTGCTGACGCGCTCAGCCCGCCTCCGCTGTCGCAGATGGTCGATGTGTCCAAGGGCGCAGACACGCCTCCGGTCGAGCTCCCTGCCCGCAAGATTATGCGCCGTGAAGACGCCAGCAACGCCGCTTCCAACTCGCAAAACCCATCCAAGACGACCTCGGAAGTCGATGGAAGCGATGGCAGCAACGACGGCAAGGACAAGGCTGCCTTGACCCGTGAGGAGCGCGAGGCTCGGTACCGCGAGGCCCGTCAGCGCATCTTTGGTGCCGAGGCCGAAGAGTCTGCCGCTGCCGAGGCAAGCGAATCACCCGAAGACAAAGACAAGTCGGCAGACAAGTCGGCAGACGTGTCGCGGTCAAGCTCCGCGTCTGGCAAGAAGAAGAGCAAGAAGCAGCGCAACTACGACGACGATGACTTCCAGGCCAGGTCTCACTTCAACGTCTACTACCCGCAGCAGTTTGCAGCACCCGGCTACCCGGCTGAGAACGCCGTCTACTACAGCGGCTATTCGGGCGCCACACCCCACGCACAGTATGTCGGCTCGCCGTCGACGGCCTACAGCAACCCGTACCCGGTCATGGCATCCCCTGATGCTCAGTCTCAGTATGGGTGGAGCGGTCAGCAGTTCCAGCCGCAGAGCGGGTCGGCAGTGTACCAGAGCGGGTCGGCAGTGTACCAGAGCGGGTCGGCAGTGTACCAGAGCTATGCACAGATGCAGCCGGGCTGTGACCTGTCGGCCGACTTCCAGCGAGGCCTGTCCCTGCAGCCTCCAGCCATGCCTACTCAGCTCACGCCCAAAATGGCCAACACACCCATGGCCCCGTATCAGGAGCCTTTCCAGCAAACCCACCACATGTCCACCACGCAGGGTTGGCCGCAGATGAACCAGCCGCACCCGTACTCTGTGGGCCAGGCTCCCTACAGCGCACCCACCAGCCGCCCCATGTCCGCGCCCCATCCGCAGCCATATGCGTACGGTCAGTTCCCACCAAATCCCTACAACGGGCAGCCGAACCGCAACCAGCACCCTGTGCCCGGCAGCTGGAACCGCCAGCAGTTCAACCCGCAGAGCCAGGCCTTCATTCCGGGCGGCCGCAACATACCCTTGCACATGCACCCGAACATGGGCCAGGGGCCCCCTCAGATGAACGGCCACAGTCCCTTCCAGATGCAAGGCCAACCGCCAATGGGCAGCCAACTGCCACGCATAGGCCCCTCGGCCGGCAGCACGCCCTCGTTTGGCTCGCCACAAAGCCTCCACGGCAACGGCGCCGCGTCCATGCACAGAATCGCATCCCAGACTGGCGAGCACAACTCGTCCCGCATCCCCCCCGGCGAGCACAACTCGTCCCGCATCCCCCCCAGCGAGCACAACTCGTCCCGCATCCCGCCCGGCGCAAACAGCATCGCCAAGTACGGCACGCCGGCGCACCTACCGCCCAAGCCCCCGGCGCCGCACCCGCCGCCCGCGCCCAAATTCGATCTCGCGAGCCTCAGCGCGAGTCGCGCAAACGTCCCTGCCTAACGTCCTCACGAACGCTTCTCTTTGCATTGCGCCGGTGCCTTTTCTACCCTACTGCATTGTCATCTCCGGGTCCGGGTCGGGTTGGGGCGTCGAGATTGGAAGGCGAATGGCGTTTAAAAGCAGGCGGTATTGTTTGGTAGAGCGGTAATTCGATTCATGTCCTATATCGTGTCGTTTTATGCTGTGATGTGTTGTCTGACGTATGACTCTTTGGCGAAGCGCGGGATTCGTGGCAGACGTGGTCTTGTCAGTCTTGTCGGTCATGTCAGTCTTGTCAGTCTTGTCAGCCGCCCGAGTACGGCGTGTCGACTTTCAAGCAAGGGATGTCTTGACTGAGTACCGGGAAAACGACGTGCTGTGGATCAGAGCACGCGAGTGATTAGAGGATGCAATGGATGCGATCTGGATATTGTTGAGAGACTTGGATGCGATCTGGATGTTGTTGAGAGACTTGGAGACGTAGAAAGAGTCCAAGGCTGGCGTTGATCTGGATGATTCATGTGGAGCAGGGATGCCCGCCTCGCAGTCGGACAGGTTGCAAAACACAACGCAGAAGAATGATTGAGCTTTCGTGCTGTACAGGCTTGAGAATAGTGATGTGTCTATGTATATGCTTCAGATGCTCGTGTACCGAACCCCAAGGCCGTGCGAGGCCATTGTCCCATCAACCAACGCCGCGCTTGCTCGAATAATGCAAAATAATGCGTCTAACGCTCTACCATTACCGTTTCGGTGCATTTATCATGGCAAGTGATGAACACTCGCTCTTCGCGAGGCGCCTAGCGACGCTTCCAGAACCTGACGCCCCGTGCTGGGTGCGCGTTCTCCTTGGGCTCGACAACAGGGTCCGCAGCCCCGTCGGTAACGCCGCGCTGGCCATCCATCGAATACGCCTTCTCATTACCCCTCTTGCGCCCCGTCTTCACATCCCGCCGACTCGCGCAGCAGCAGCACAAGCCCATCTGGACCAGCCACGCAAAGATGGTGAATGCGCTCGCAACCCACATGAACGCGAACATGGTCACGCCGATCTCGGCGCCGATATTCAGCTCTGCCACGCCACCGATAGTGTTGCGGAAGATGATGAACATGACGGTTGCGAGGACCGAGGCGACGGTGACGAAGAGCGCGTTCAGGAAGGCCAGGATCGCAACGGGCAGCGCGAGCCAGCGCGTGAAGACAGAAAGCGGCATGACGAAGATCAGCACGAAGGAGAGGACCGTGCCGGTTAGGAAGAGGCCGAACATCCAGTTCGATACGAGCCTGATAAGGTCGAGGATGTCGTTGATGTCGGCGGGCAGGTTGACTGGGCTTGTTAGATGCGGACGCCTCGAGGGAGGGAGAAGTGCTTACTCGACGCTCCCGCGAGCAGCTCATTACGCAGAATCTCGACGGGGTTGAACCAGTACAGGGTCTCGGGCGGAGAGCAGTAGGTGACGCCCTCGCCCTTGTAGCCCTCGCAGAAGTTCCATAGGCCGACTTGGTAGAAGTCGTGCAGACCGAGTGTTTGCGCAATGGTGTTGATCAGCGCAAAGTTGGGCACGGACGAGGGCACGACATTGCTGAGGTCGAGACGGATAAAGTACCAATCCCTAAGCAGGTGCTTGTTGTACGTGCCGCTGATTTGCAGAAGAATGAGGAATATGACAGCGATGAACAGGAAGAAGGATGTGGTCAGGGCCCAGGTCTTGCGTGTTCGAGTGGCGCGCTTGAGCTGTGGCTTTGTGAGTTCGGGATGGGCACGGCCATGCTCGACGGCTGTGGCAGCCGAGTTCTCAGACCGGCGACGACCGAAGAGACCCATGATGTGCAGGACTCAGCAACGACGTGCAGCAACGGCGATTGCGGTGGATGTGGAAAGCAAAAACTGTTGTTGTAAAACGAAACTGATGTCCTGAATCCTGGATCCGGGGGCTCCCAGCCTCATACGCGCGGTCGTCGGGGCGGTCTCAATTTTTATGGAGATGCACTTAGGCCAGCAAGCTATGACGTGGGTGCCCCTAGGGAAGGCGCAGCGCAACGACGACACGCAAGCCGCTGAGAGGTCGTAGCGACCTCTAGGGACCGGAGCTGCGCCAGCAATTGGTCGACGAGCGCACCGGCGTCCTCAGAAAATAAGCTTGCCGAGCGTCGAGACAGGTTCCAGACTGACGCGTAGAGTTCAACCCGGTGGTGACGTCGGACGTCTTTGTTTTGACCTAAGAAAAGCACAAGTGTGCCGGCTGTGCGTATTGATCCAAGCAGCTTTGCGGTTGCATCGCATCAGATTATCATCTGCTGGCACGGCGACGGCGTGTAACAACATCGCGGGATCTTCGCAAGGACAATGAATGGGAATGCGGATGATCGACGCCGACGATTTCTTAAGGGCAATGTCGTAAGGCTGACGAGGCTTGCGGGATCCTTCGGGTATGCATCGTGAAGAAGCCACAAGCCGCAGACGTCGGCTCGAGCCGAGCATGCCAGGATCGAGTGAGACGAACTATGGTTCTTGGAAATACCCGAACAGTTTTTCAATAATACAGTATGTGGGATTTATGAACAAAGGATACGCATGCTCATCTGCAAGATCAGAATCACGCCATTTACTCTCAGGGCTTACAGTCACGAAGAACGTCCATCTGCAAAGCCTTCATCCCACATCCTTCGACACCACATGCCGCATCTTCGCTGGATTATCAGCGTAGCCCGTCTTTGCTTCGGAAATAAAGGCAATGTTTCACACTCTCTTGAAACCACTTTCGATGAACAGAACATCGCTTCTCTGAAACAGAATCCCACACTCTCTAGCAACGTCCAAGATGTTCTTAAGTTTGCTCTCGTGATGCGCCAGCGTGGAGTACTTAACCCCATTCTCCACAGCCAGGAGACACAATCAATGATACCAGCGTCCAGCAACCCATTCCTTAGCCCATTAGTGCTGCAGAGCAACACGGGTGATACTGCTGCCTCATCCAACCCGGTCGTGTCGCCATGAAAGAATTTTTGATCTGATCACTTGCCCTTCGTCCCAGGCATCGGTTATAAAAACGCCGCTCTCTATCCCATTGACTACCTTGCTGGGGACTACAATCATACGTATTGTTACATAAAAGAGACCGTTGTAGCATGTGATGATGGTATGCGCTTCTTTTCTGTAAGCTCATCGTAGGCGTGCAGATGGTGGAGAATGGGACCGGCATGGCGACAGTTACAAGTCAACGAGGTCAGCGTCCTACAAGGCGATATAGATGATAAGCTTTCGACCCAGGATCATCCCAGAAAAGAGACAGCACAAAGTCAAGTGTCAGAAGACGTCCATGGCTGTGGGAGAACAGCCACGAGGCGAAGAAACGCGCTAAAATCAGGGTCCACGAGGTGGCTTCCCACCAAACATCGTCATAGCATGTGAACACCTCTGAAGCTCAAAACACTGCTGCCTGTCCACAACAGGCCGACCTGCACACATACATCGCAGTCGCTTTACGAGCAAGTACAAAACCCTGCACGTCACCCGCGTCACACACCTGCCAACAGAGTCCTGCGCCCGCCATGGCAACAACGCGCCTCCGCAAAACATTCAACTACCCCGACTCCTCAGACGACGAAGACACGGTCGAAGCTGGTCTAGACGCCGAAGGTACTTGCTCCTCACTCCCACACCCGAGCCCGAGGATCCTGCATAAGAACCCTCCTCTCGCTCCACACAATCACACATCCACTAAACCCCCCACAGACCAAGCCGAAATCCTCAGCTCCCTGCACGCCCAAGACGGCTCCTCGACGCACCTCTACACCTCCCTCCTACTCCTCCTGCCCGCTGCAATCGCGCTGCTCACACTGCCCGGCCTCGTGCACGCATCGACGTTCGCCCCGAGTCTGCTCGCGCTCGCCAGTCTGGCTGCAAGTGCGTATACACTGTACTACCTCCCTCTGCCGCCACGGAGCGTGGGGATCATTGTTGATGGTCAGAGAGTCGGTAAGCGGAATGAGAAGGCGACGGGCAGGTGTAGATTGAACGCTGCGGCTTCGTCAGCGAGGGGGGAGAGGGTGGAAGTGCCGTGGCTGTCAAGTGAGGTGCAGGGGATTCTTGCGCGGTATATCGTGCCGGGGAACGGGGCGGTCTGTAGTATATTGGCGGTCGCAGAGCTGGTTCAGAGGAGAGAGTGGAGGGAGGGCATGATGATTGGGGGTGGGTATCTGCCGGGGCTGGTGCTGACGGTTGTGCTCTGGGCGCGGAGGGAATTGAGGGTTGTGGATATGAGTGAGCTGCAGCAGCTACGGTCTTGATGACAATGGAATCACGACAGCGATGACGACTGCTTTGAAGTGACATGTATTCAAGTGAATGGTATAATGCGTAAGAAAGATGACCTGGAGGTCGAGGTATCGTGCGAAACGCCATACACCTTTTCGGCTTCAAACGTCATATCATAACGAAGTGCTTGCTGATGACTCTGCGTCAGTGACGCGGCCCTTCCCGTCATCGCTGCTGCTCTCCTAAAGCATCATGCTCTTCCTCCGACTTGCTATCCTCTCCGCTCTCAGTGAGCTCGTCGCGCTCGCCTTCTCGGCATCACTCGCTGCTCCATCTTTTGTAGCCGCAGGTACTGCCGCAGATGCCTTCTTTGCATTCAGTCGAGCAGCAGAAGTGCTCTTTGCCAGGCTGATCATGCTGTTAGCCTTGATTGTCCCGTTGCCTGTGCGCTTGTGAAGAACCGAGGCCGACGCATCTGCATTTCCAGGCTCTTCGGTGGCCAATGCAGGCACAGAGGAGTGCCGCCGAGCACTGCGCGCTACTTTGGCAAGGTCGGTGCGTGGGGCTGCAACTTTGGCTGGTGAAAGTTCATTGAAGTCAAAGATGGCGAGGTTGTCTTTCTCGGGTGCTTCTTCCTCTAGGGCGGGCTCGGCCGACTCGACAGGCTCAGACGCGGGCTCATCCGCAGTCTTTCCTACGAAGTTCGAGGAGGCTCTCCGGCTGATCGTGCTGGTTTGCTCAATCAATGCGGCAATGGCTCTCGAGGACGTTGACTTGCTGAAGTCTGCTTGCTCTGGTAGTGTAGCGTTCTCGCGCCTATCGAGTTTCTGGCGTAGTGGACTTCCCGCCTCGGTCTCCTCTTCTCCCTCACGCTTGATCGGTACTCTTCCCGTTGTCAGAGGTGCCAGCTGTATCTCCACACTCGTTCTTCTGTCTGTCTGGGGTACAATAGCGTCAGCCATCTTGCCTTCACGGCGCATCTTCACAGCCAGACTCGGTTCCTTGTAGCTGACTTGTGGGCGTGCTCTTCGTGATGGGCGTCCAGCCTGTCCTGTCTGGTTTCCTGATGTTACATCGCCGGGTGGAGGGGTATCCTTGTTGTCTGCTCGCGATGTCGAGGGTTCTGTGGAGGGTGGAGAGAAAATGGCTTCTGCTGCGGGGGTCTCGGGTGGGAGCGAGTCAAGATTGATCTCTGCAACGACCACGGGCTCGGGTATTGGGAACATAGGAACCTCAGGCGGTGTAACAGTTCTGGTGATGGGAAGACGCTGGCGCCCGCGAGGGTTTGCGCTGGACAGCTTCTTCTTCTCTGGCTTTTCTGGCTTCTCTTTCTCTTTGACAGACGACCGTTGCTTTTTTGGCGATAAGACTGGATCAGTGTTGACAGATTCTGGGTCTGTCAGTTCCATATGTGAACGCAGTGAATAAGTTGCACTTACTGCTACCGAGGACTGGCCGCACAGGTGACGTGGCTCCATGTTCCTCAGAAACTCCGGCTGCCTCCACTTCTTGGGTGATCTTGCGGCTGAAGTTAAAATCCTCGTCCTGGGCCTCTAGCAGATCTTCGTCCTGTTGCACACTGAACTTCCTCTTAGCTCCAGTGCGGGGAAGCTTGCCGGGCTTTTCTTTGGCTTCCTCAGGCGATTCAAACACAGATATGCGGCGGATATTGAGCTTGGGCCCGCTTTCTCGTCGCTTCTTCCGCGTCTCTAAGTTCATCGGTAATGCCGGCTCGTCCACTGCAGGCGCATCGTCAACCCGCGCATCGTCCATTTGCCCATCTGCTTCAGGGTTGGGGTCGAATGCAATAGGTTCCTCTACCTCGAAGCTTGACGTGGGCGGGGGACCAAGGTCGGGCGATTGGCTGTCAGCATCTTCCAGCATGTTCCGGATCTCGTTTGCGTTCATGGTGCGTCGAGAGTAGTCCCGACCCTCGTCGATGGTGGGCATCATCCGGTCCTCCACTTCTTGTATGCACAGTCCACTCCTGAAGTTCCTCTCCTGCGGGCGATGTCTGACCAGCTGGCTTTTGCGCCGTCTCTCGGGCTGCTTTGGTTGGCCTAACGAAGCCACCAAGCTCCCGAGTTCCTGCATCTTAGCCTCCAATTGCGACCTAACGGCATCGATATTCTCGAACGAGGGACTGTTGTTCTGCTTGTCGACTGTATGCTGGAGGTGCATTGCGCGTTCGCGGAGGGCTAAGTTTTCCGCGAGGAGGCGTGAGCAATCGCTTTCGAGGACGCGGATGCGCATGGACTGCTGCGAGTTGATCCTGGCCTTTGTCAGAACTATTCGTCTCTAATACTGCTGTTCATCTGGCGCACTTTGCCAGCTCGCGGTTCTGCCGCACGAAGCGGCGCTTGACGACCTCGATGTTATCGGCCGACAGCTGAGGAGCAACCACCGGCGGCTCATTCAAGCGCGCCATCTGCGCTGGGTAGGTATGCAGAGGCTGATGATAGTCGGTGGGGTTTCGGCGATGGCGACGCGCGACGATCCAGGACGTGTGTCGTTCGTTGTTTCCGTCTGGTCTTCGTCATAGTCGAAAAGCTGCGGGCGTTGTTTACCTAGCAACCGTGAGCTAGCCGTTTGTGTTGACGGCTCCACTTTTGCGACCCTTTCACGACGACACGTGAGGGGTATGCGCACCTTTCGTTTCGCGACGACAGCGATATCAGCCAAACACTTGCATCAGATCTGATTAACATGTCCAATTTCTCTCGTCCGATGCCGTCGCACCTGCGTGGCCAGTCGATGGGTGCGTCGCAGCAGTCGACTTTTCTGCAGCAGAAAATCGCCGACAAGAAGACCGAGCTTGCCAACCTCAAGGACCTGCAGGCGTTGAGTGGAGGATTAGCAGATCAGATGCAGATGCTAGCTGATAAGCTGCAAACACTCTCAGATGGTACAGAAGGTGCGTCGTGTCCTACGAAGTTTCGCGCGGGCGTCGGGCTGTCAAAACACCAAGTTTGGTCGAGTACATAAGCTAACAGCATCTCTTAGCTGTTGCAGCAGTGCTTTCAAACTGGCATAACGTGCTTCGTGCGATCAACATGGCTTCGAGTAAGTGTTTTGCAGCGGTAGTGAAAGTGTGCACGGTCTTACTAGGACAGCGATGCTACCCAAACCCAAGGAAGAAGATGAGGCAGAGACGAAGCAAGAGTTGGAACCTCCTCTACCACAAACCCTTGTCAGGATTCCGACACAACATGCACCCGCTGTGATTGAGCAGGCCAACGCTGGTGCAGCCGCAACAGCCGAGTGAACTTCGGAGGCAGTCGCGAATAAGTTACGAAGTCAAAGAGACTACCAGCCAGACTCGCCATCAAGACGGACTCCATCTCGCACAGTGCGTACGTACGAGTTCGAACCGTAAGCCGCGGAAGTTCACGTCAAATGCAAAAGCATCACGCGATACATTGTCGTCGAAGACCCATCGATATGGCAGCTAGCGCTTGCCCTCACCGACAGAACAATCCGTCTCAAGAGCGAGCGGAGATGACAGGTGAACGCCAGGTGTAGACATTAAGGAGGACAAGATGAACCATATCACCTTATCATGCCTTTCTCTTGTGCGACTGTCGACATGCTTCGAGCTCTGACATCACTTTTCGAGCCTAGCGCGCCAAGCCTCACGCGAGTTCCCTCAAAATTCGAGTTCGACGCGTAATTCCTCTCATCACATATTGTCAACGGTCTCCTATAACCCTAAGGTTATTCCTAAATACATGGAAAATGCCTTAATTCCAGGAGAACCCAGAGAAATTGCACAGCCGTTCTAATCCTGAAGTTCGCTCGCGTCGACTTTCGAGTCGATATTGGAGCTCCGGGTTCGCTTTAGGCCAACATATCTGATACTCTCCGCCAATACATTCTGATTCTTGCCCATGTCGTTGCGCGTCTATAATTACCGCTCGATATGAGCAATATATGCCGCTTAATATGAGCACGGCAGGACGTCTGGTTTCTCGGAGGTGGAGATGTCGCACCTGCCGTTCACCAGAAGAACTCAGGTCGTTGCCTTCAGCTCGAGACTGAACAGCCAATCTGGCCCGCTCTCTCGTCCGTTGGGTTCTCAGAGTGAACGGGCACACAACAGACGAGTGTCGTCGTACGAACCCATCACAACGTTGACAGGCTCGGTAATTGCACGGCCTCACAGATTCCCCGCACTAGTTGCTGTGTGAGACCCCGGAAGAAGCATGAAAAGAACGTCGTGGCAGCACAAGCAGCACAAGGAGCGGCTGATGAGCGGCGGCCCCCAAACTTAACATGACTGCTGGACTGCGATTTGCTGCTTCGAAACGCCTCAAGCAACAATTCGCCAGCCAGTCCATCATCAACTGTAGCGACGCAGATTTCTTCCTGGCTCACGGGCGCGGAGTTCACGCCAAAGTTTAAAGGCTATCGCCACTAGCGGAGCCATCTCGTGTCCCGGATGCGGGAGCGCCAAGAAAGGAGCCTTTTGACCTCGTATCCACTTTGACACGGCACTATTGGTGCAGATGTCTCACAGCTTGGGGTAGCCAGCAGCGTTGGCTCAGGTGGAGTTTATCCAGCGGCCACGAGGCGCGGCGCGCAACGCTCAGGCTGTCAGCGGTGCTCGGAGTCTCGATCTGATCGCTGCGAACGCGCTACGAGTGGCGGAAGAGCATCACGCCGACCGCTAAGGCATCGCTCCATCAGCCCTGCACGACTGGCCTCCACGCTTGTAGATTAAACTGCCGACCGAGGAGCTTCTCCTTTCTGTCACTCTCGATTCTCCACAGGGTGCACCGTATGCCTACCGACCCCAAAGCGTCATGAATGCGTATCATGGCATGTCTTCGACGATGCCTGTTTGTAGCTTTTAGTCTCAGTCTCATCGGATTGTCTTACCAAAAAGACCCCATCGTTGACTTGTAGGTGATCATCTTCCAGTGCTGCATGAGTGGGACCGATCAAGCGTTGCGCCAACACCTCCGAAGCACAAGATGACCCTGGGAACTCTGGTGCGCGCAGCTTGAGCTCGGCGGTCATCTGTGAGGTGCCTGAAGGCCATATACGCGACTATCATCTTGTCTTGTCACGTCTTGTGTGCATGTTGCTGACCTGAAACAGCTGCCGGCGATGGGGTCATTCAACGGCGCAGGTCGACGGGAGGTTATACATTGATGGAGGCATGATTGATTGGAACACGGACAACATCAACTACACAAGTGAGATGCTGCTATTCCCTAGATCCTCTTGTGCTAACTTTACTTTAGATACCGCATTGATCTTCAGCGACCTCAATGCTTCGACGGCGTACGGCCTGCCCTACCAGTACGCAAATCTCTCGAAGCCTGCCGGAATACCGAGTGTCTCTGGCGGTATCCTCTGGCCCGATGAAGTCAACAAATGCTTCTACCAATTCGGTGGAGCGTTCACGAACGGAACTCCGACCAATTTCAGCATGTGGACCTACGACGTACTGCGCAATCAGTGGAATCAGACTGCGAACAAGACATCCGGTATATCCGCTACATCACGAGTAGCTTACGGCGCCGGCGCACACATTGAGGGTCTAGGCCTGGGGTACTACTTCGGAGGTTACAAGAGTAGTCAGACGGACCCACGGTGGACTGGCCCTCAGATTGCTACATCCGGCCTTGTTCGGTTTGACTACAGCACCGGCACCCTGTCCAACAGCAGCGGCCCTAACGACAACGTGGGGAGAGCCGAAGGCCAGATGTTCTACCTACCAGCGTCAGACAATGGTCTGTTAGTGTACCTTGGCGGCATTGAGGACAAGAGTCAGAACGGCACCACAACACCAGTGAGTCGCATTCACCAGGAATTCCGAGACCGAGAGGCATACTGACAAACTACAGGCAAACATGAGTGTATGTCAAGGATCAGTGCTGCCTTAGCATGTTGCGTTGCTAATATGTTGCAGCAAATTCACATATACGACGTCCAGTCATCGAAATGGTATACTCAAACTGCTACTGGCAACATCCCTGAGGCCCGCCGTCAATTCTGTGCAGGTGTTACCTGGGCGGATGACCAGTCTTCGTACAACATGTGAGCTCGCAATGGTCACCGACCAGCTGTCTCTGGCTAATTGTCATTTAGTTACCTGTATGGAGGATTCGGGTTTGAAGGGACACTCGCTTACGATGATGCCTACATCCTTACTATACCATCATTCACGTGGATCAAAGCGTTCCCCACCAAAAACGGCACCGGACAGTGGCCACATGGAGGCTGCACTGCCAACGTTGTCAACAAAGACCAGATGATCATTATCGGGGGTTGGTTTCCAGAAAACGGCCATGATTTCTGCGACTCGCCCGAAGTACAAGGACAGCATGGCATGAATCTAGGTTACAACGGCGAGAAGAAGGCTTTGTGGGACAAGTATGTTCCCGGGCTCTCGACATACGCCGTGCCGACGCCAATTATATCGGTGATTGGAGGAGGGTACGCATTGCCATCCTGAATCGAGAGATCTTCCTGGCTGACAGATCTGCAGACCTACAGGAGGCGCAACCAAAACGGCGCCAGCTTCCTGGGACAATCCCGACCTGGCCGTATATTACACCCTCAAGGCTCCATCTGTCACACGAACGGCAACGCGTGTCCTGCCCTCCAGCACCGGCACTTCTTCTGGGAGTTCGAGCAAGAGCAGCGTGGGCGCAGTCGCAGGTGGTGTCATAGGAGGTCTTGCTGGACTGATCGCCATACTGTGTCTGGTCCTGTGCTGCATGCACCGCAAGAAAGAGACCAAGAAAGAGAAGAAACAACCGCCTACCGAACTGCCCTCTCCAGTCGAATTGGGTGTCACTACGCCGCCACAAGAGATGCCAGTGCCTGGCATGGGCAAGTATATGCCTTTGTATGACCAGCATGAGCAGTACTCGCCATCGCCATACTCTGGGATTACATCCATGCGTTCTCCGCACTCGGCGTATGCGCAACAATCATCGGTCTCTGGATCACCGCCACATATTTCGTCTTATAGCTCCCCTCACGACGCCAATTACGCACAGCCCGCATACCCACCGGCTTTACGTCTTCCATCTCCGTCTTGGGAGCATGCACAGTTCTCAACCATCGACACTCGGTACACACAGCAAAGCCATCCTTTGCCAACGTCGCCCGCCTACCCTTCGTACGCTCCTCCTGCGGAAGCACAGCTATACTACCCACCGCCCCGTGAGGCTGCATATCAGACTCCTGAGGTATCTCCAGCCACTTATAGTGGCTACAAATCTGCTCAGTATCATGATAATGTCGCGTCGCCATTGTCGCCGTCTCCAGTCAGCGCGATGCCAACGCCCACCCAGTTCTATACGCGACCAGCACCATTTCCTAGCAACACGCAGTCGTTCTACGCACAGCCACCGAACGATTACGGAACATATGGAGACGACTCGGAACCTCAAAGGCGGCCGAAGTATGGGCGCTTTGTCGAGGTCGATCATGCATAGATTCACGCGGTACATCACGGCGTTTTGTAGTTTGGTTTGGGCACTATTTCACGGTTTTTTTACGCTATGTCGATCGATACCCAATGCTCTCTCATGATTTGCAGTTACAATCCGCAGTGAAAAGTATTAGTAATACAGTGGAACACGGTGAAATTGAGCGATTTGCGGTGAGGATACGCTTTGCGCGTGGGTCTTTGATCGTTGGCTAGCGCTCTCGGCATGGAGGTCATTGCAGCCCCCGGGCGCGTCTCCTCGTCGTGCTTTTGTACTTTGCCAACCAACGCCAGCCCAACAACAAGCTTGAGACGACAAGCAGCGCGCTGTACCTCCTCGCATTGAACTCACACCACGCTCTCCTCTCCCTGGCTGCCCTCACCTGCCATCACCGGTGCCTGCCCGCAGCCTTGTCCCGTCCGACGTGCCCCACCTCGTCTTCTCGCACCTCTGCAGGCAACCCAACCCACGTGCGCCAGCTGCCCACGCCTGCCACAACAACACACCACACATCCGTCGACCTCTGCAGAGCTTCTTGGGGCCACCGACTCACACGCGCGCCGAACAGGGAGCTGTCCCCACAGCAAAGCCGCCCGCCATGTCCATGTCCATTGAGGAGCTCGACGCCACAGTGCGCGCCTTCTACGAGGGCCGCGGCGACACAGTACGTGACGATGTGGCTTGACGCGGTGCACGCAGCAGAACTGAAGCTAACAACCCTTTCTTCGCAGCAAAAACAAGCTCAGGCGACGCTGAACCAGGTAGGCTAGGCTCTTTCGTCCGCCCTGTAGCTGGCTCGACTGACCATGCCACAGTTCAAAGAGAACCCGGATGCTTGGCTCCTGGTCGATAAGATCCTCTCGGACGCGCAGTATCCCCAAACTAAGTGTGCGTATCCGTCGCTGAAGAAGCGGTAATTGGGCCATGACTGACAGAAACCAGACCTGGGTCTGCAGGTGCTTGACAATGTGATCATGACAAGATGGAAGGTCCTTCCTCGCGACCAGTGTCAGGGTAGGCCGCTCTCTTGCTACTGATTTTGAGCTCTGCTTACAGCGATAGGCATCCGCAACTTCATTGTCAACTTCATCATCCAGCTCTCGAACGATGATGACCGCCGCCGGTCCGAACGCACTCTGCTCAATAAGCTGAACCTCGTCCTTGTCTCCGTCCTGAAGCAGGAGTGGCCCCACAACTGGCCGACATTCATAAACGAGATCATCTCATCGTGTCACAGCGGGTTGGGCATCTGCGAAAATAACATGGTCATCCTGAGATTGCTGTCAGAGGAGGTTTTTGACTACTCCGAGGAGCAGATGACATCGACAAAGCGCAGGGAGCTCAAGCAGAGCATGTGCGACGAGTTCACCTCAATCTACCAGCTGTGCTCTGAGGTCCTGCGCACAGCAACCGAGGCATCTCTCATCAAGGCGACTCTCGAGACGTTACTGCGCTTCCTCAACTGGATCCCTCTGGGCTACATTTTCGAGACACCGCCCAGCGGCCAGAGTCTCATCGAGACTCTGCGCAGCCGTTTCCTTGAGGTCCCTGAGTTCCGCAACATCACATTGAAGTGCTTGACTGAGATCGCAGGCCTTCATACCGAACCCGCTTACGACGATAAGCTCGTCCAGATGTTCACAGAGACGTTGACCGCCATCTCGAAGATCATCCCTCTTTCCCTGGACCTCAAGCAGACCTATGCATCAAGCAACAGCAGGGATCAGGAGTTTGTGCTCAACCTTGCACTGTTCCTGACAAATTTCTTCACATCGCACTTGGCTGTTATCGAGAACCTCATGAACAAGGACTTCCTCACACACGGCCACTTCTACCTCATCCGGATCAGCCAGATCGACGACCGCGAGATTTTCAAGATCTGTCTGGAGTACTGGACTAAGCTGGTGTCTGAGCTCTACGATGAGATGCAGGCGCTCCCGATCACCGACATGAACCCTCTGTTGAACATGGGCATCACCACTGGCAACCGCGACCCTTCGATGATGGCAAACTATCCTCTGCGTAAGAACAAGTATACCGAGATCTTGTCGAACCTGCGTACCGTCATGATTGAGAAGATGGTCAGGCCAGAGGAAGTCCTTATTGTCGAGAACGATGAGGGTGAAATCGTCCGCGAATTTGTCAAGGAGAGCGATACCATCCAGCTCTACAAATCGACTCGCGAGTGCTTGGTCTTCCTAACACATCTGGATGTCAACGACACCGAACAAATTATGTCTGAGAAGCTGGCTCGCCAGGTCGATGGCTCAGAATGGTCATGGGCGAACTGCAACACCCTGTGCTGGGCGATTGGATCAATCTCCGGTGCCATGAACGAGGAAACTGAGAAGCGCTTTCTGGTCACGGTCATTAAGGATCTCCTTGGTCTTACGGAGATGAAGCGAGGTAAGGACAACAAGGCCGTCGTCGCGAGTAACATCATGTACATTGTCGGCCAGTACCCCCGATTCCTCAAGGCCCACTGGAAGTTCTTGAAGACTGTTGTGAACAAGCTTTTTGAGTTCATGCACGAGACACACGAAGGTGTCCAGGACATGGCGTGCGACACATTCATCAAGATTGCCAACAAGTGCCGGCGACACTTCGTTGCGCTCCAGCCGGGCGAGAGTGAGCCGTTCATTGACGAAATCGTACGGAACCTGAGGAAGATCACCGCCGATCTCTCGCCTCAACAAGTCCACACTTTCTACGAGGCTTGCGGTTACATGATCAGCGCACAGGGGCAGAAGGGCATGCAGGAGCGCCTGATCCACGATCTGATGGCCCTCCCCAACTCAGCTGTAAGTACTGTGGTCAAATGCGAAGGCATAAGCTAATTTCATCAACAGTGGGACAACATTATCGCGCAGGCCAACCAGAATCCTGCCTGCTTGCAAGACTCTGAGGTCATCAAGATTGTTGGAAACATCATGAAGACCAACGTTGCGGCTTGCGGCTCGATCGGATCCTACTTCTACCCACAGATCGGGCGGATCTACTTCGACATGCTGACAATGTACCGCGCTAGCTCACAGTTGATTGACGAGGCTGTTCAGCGTGAAGGCAACATTGCGACCAAGATGCCCAAGGTTCGCGGTCTGCGCACCATCAAGAAGGAGATCCTCAAGCTCATCAACACCTACGTTGAGAAGGCCGACGATCTTGAAATGATTCACAACAACATTGTCCCTAAGCTGCTCGAAGCTGTTCTGATCGACTACAAGAACAACGTGCCTGACGCTCGTGAGGCCGAGGTCCTGAATGTTATGACTACAATCATCAACAAGCTACATGTACGTTGGACACCCAGAACGAGCAAACACTTTGTTGGTCTCGCTCAGCCATAGTGGAGTCGGTGCTAATTCTGCATAGAGCATGATGGAAGATCAGATTATCAACATCATGGACAGTGTCTTCGAATGCACGTTGGACATGATTAACAAGGACTTCTCTGAGTACCCAGAGCACCGCGTCGAGTTCTTCAAGCTCCTCCGGACCATTAACCTGCGCTGCTTCCCTGCTCTGCTGCGTCTAGACGCCCGCTCCTTCAAGTTCGTCATCGATTCGTGCATGTGGGCTAGCAAGCACGACAACCGCGAAGTCGAGAGCGCCGGTCTTTCCATGTGCTTCGAGCTTGTCTCCAACATGTCTGAGACCGATGAGCAGACCTGCAACGCCTTCTTCCAGACATTCTTCACCACCATCCTCCAGGATGTGTTCTTCGTTGTCACCGATAGCGATCACAAGGCAGGCTTCAAGTCGCAAGCTATGCTATTGGCTAAGATGTTCTGGCTGGTCGATTCGGATAAGCTGCGAGGCCCCATCTACACTTCGCCAGACATGGCCCCTCCCGGCACACCAAACCGCGAATTCCTGCGGAACTTTGTTGGTAACCTGCTGGCAACCGCCTTCCCCAACCTGCAGACCGCTCAGATCGCGTCATTTATTGACGGACTCTTCGCCACCAACTCGGACCTGAACCGCTTCAAGGTCATCCTCCGTGACTTCCTCATCTCTTTGAAGGAGTTCTCCGGCGACAATGCTGAGCTGTTCGCCGAGGAGCGCGAGCAGGCCGCGAAGCAGGCGAAGGATGAGGAGCGTGAGCGCGCTATGAAGATTGGCGGTCTGCTCAAGCCCTCCGAGATGGACGACGACGAGTTGTGACTTAACATTGAGCTTGATGCCAACATAGCGACGCGCACGCCTTTCGATCGCACTTCCGCCTCGACTCACCCGGCGGACTCGAACGGTGCTGACGACTGGTGGGCAGATACCCTTTGAGCGTCGCGCATGTGAGTTGGATCCGTACTGCATTGGGCGATGCATTGTAGTTGTCGATTCTTCAAGATCTTACCTGATTCCGCGGTCTATACCCATAGACTTCTCTGTTTCTCGTACGGCATGCAGCGGGTGGCGGGTTGGAGGAGGGGTCTTTGTTCGCGTAGATGATAAGAGCATAGGAAGGGAGGGATGTGCAGGGCATTCTAGATATCCTGCCTTGACGGCCACGAGAATAAATATCGATTGCAAATGGAGGACTTTGAGTGAGCTGAAGTGCATCGTGTACACAACGTGAGCAGTGGGGCGGCCTGTCGCCTGTTAGATGCAGTGCGGTACGTGTTCCTGCGACGGAAGCATGTCTACAATTCGAGGCTTGGTGAGCCAATGACAGACGGACAGTGACTCGCCTGTTCGCGCAAGTCATGCGTCTGCATGCAAGCCACGACGAGGCTCTCCACCGTGGGTCTTTCTTGTGCATTCAGCGTCATCGCATACACGATAACGTACCGGCTGGTTCCAGATCGGGGCCATGTTAACGGCACAGCGTCTGAAATGCCCCATCAGACTAGCACAGGTAATGCAGTCGCGGTGGGCTGGGCTGTCTTGCGCGACTGCTGCTATCTGATGTCGTGCGTTGCGCTTATCTCATGCTTCCGGCGCTCGGAAATAAGGCCTGGCTAATAGCAGCGCAGGAGGCTAATGGTCTGCTAGCTCTTAAAGTTTGCAGGCGCTTGGAGATTGTTCAGTAAGAGATAGTATTCTTTTTCTATGTATGTCTATAACTACTAAGATAGCTTATTAAAATGCCTGCAAAATCGTAATAGATTAACCTTAGACGCTCTGCTAACCCTCTGCATAGGCAAGTGCTGATACACCCTAAAGTAGCGAGCGTTGTGAGTTAACTATCTCCAGAGAGCTTAATTTATGAGACAACATTGCGCCGGCTGCAGTTCCACTTTCAGTCTTGGCGATGCTCCTTTGAGCAGGTCGCATTATGTAATCGCTTAGAAGAGTGCTCCAGGGCAGGTGAAGAAATCGACGTCTCCGAAAGGACCACAGGTCGGTCTCACCTATACATTTGTACTGCAGCAGCTTCGCTTCGAGCCAGCCGAACCATACAAGCAGGACCCCTGTCCCTGCCGGTGGATTCCTTCTGTCGAACGATCGCTTTGGCTCAGTCTGGCAGCTCTCACCACGCACGGGGTCCCAGCGCGCGCTCTCATTGGCCGTCTGCAGCAACCGTTCAATGACTGTGTGAAAAGCATCTCAGCGGCCAGCGTGCACAACCTCGTGGCCCTCTTATAATGTACCATCGGCATTTTAGCAGCGCCTGGCCCCCCATTCGCTGAGCGCTCATATCCCGCTAGTCCAGGTGCCACCAGCACCACGCGAGCCTTTGCATCTGCAGCGCGCCGTCCGACTACTGCTAAGGCGGCACCCTGCTGCAAGCTTGGAGTGACTTCACTTCTTGAAACTTCTACCAACACAGCACGACCGCCGTCTATAAGGCGCCCCAGGGGCCTCGCCGTGCTCACCGCGAGTTCTTTGCCTTTATCCGTCCGCGCTGCCGCATGGGCGTCTGCCGACACCCGTTTCCTCACACGTTTGCTCGTTACTCCCCCTGTATGGGCAGATCTGCACGCAGACCCATAACCAGGATTTACTCGCTTGTGCAGTACTCGCGCATCGCCGTTGAGGCTCCGGAAGCACCGCTGCTCCATTATCTCAGTCCGTCACCAACATGTATGTCGTGCCCCTCGTATGGAGACCCTTCAGCTGCGCCCCCGTGGCGTTGTGAAGAAGACTGCATCGAGCACCAGCTTGGCCTCGAAAGATGAGACTACTGACTCGGCTCGCTTTTCTAGGAAGTTCGGCAAGCATATCCAGAAGCGGCAGCTGGAGATTCCGGAGTACGCTGCGAGTTTTGTCGACTACAAGGCTCTGAAGAAGGTGAATTCGACCCCGGAGGCCAAGTCTAGTATGTGTGCTGATGTGTCTGCAGCTCATAAAGAAGCTCAGTAGCACGCCGGTGATTCCTCCACTAGGCGAGAGCAGTTATGGCCATGAAACCCTAGATCCGCAGACCTCTCTGCAGGCCAACAAGGCCACATTTTTCTTTCGAGTGGTATGCATATGCTGTGTCTTCCAGCTTGAAATCTTGCTCATAGTATCAGGAACGAGAACTGGAGAAGGTCAACAAATTCTACCTCCAGAAGGAAGCAGAGCTTCGTCTGCGACTAGCCACGCTCCTGGACAAGAAGAGGGTCATGCAGCAGCATCCGCAGTCAGTGTCCAAGACGTCTTCACGGTACATTGCGCTCGAAGAAGGTCTAAAGCAGTTTAGCACAGATCTCAACAAGCTCGAGGTGATTGGTCTTTGAACTTTTTGGCTATGGAGCTAACCGATACTAGCAATTTGTAGAAGTGAACGAGACTGCGTTCTCAAAGATTCTGAAGAAGGTTCGCATTCCTTTTGCTCCAAACGTCTGAATCTCAGCTAACGTTCACAGTGGGACAAAACATCAAAGGTATGATGTCGTGCTTAACACATTGATCTGTGTTGCTGACCAGTTGTAGTCGCGGGAAAAGCAGCTCTACCTTTCAAGAGCAGTCGAAGTCCAGCCATGCTTCAACCGCGAAGTCATCAGCACTCTCTCTGACCAAGCGACACAAGCGCTTCTTGACTTCTCTGGATGGGCAGAGGGTGAAGGAGTGCAAGCACCGCAACCGACCGCAGAGCCTAGGATATTCGAACCTCTGATCGAAGCGAACCTCGAGCTCGATAACCAGTTCATTCAGGCAATCAATATCTCGAACACCTCGAAAATTCAAGAATGTCTCACGCGGCTATCAAATCTTCCCGATGCCAGAGAGCACATCTCGCGCGCTTTTCTCAGCACGGTTGCAGAGGCGCCAGAAGAAGCCTTGAAGATCGTGCTCGACTCGAATCAAGTCAATCTGGAGCAAGAGGATGAAATCAATGAGCGCAACTGCCTACATAAGGCTGCCATCAGTGGACGACTGGAAATCGTGCGGCTTGGACTTTCGAGTAACGTCTCACCACACGCAACAGATGTGTACGGACGGATACCGTTACACTACGCTTCGATGCATGGTTATGTCGAGCTAGTCCAGGCCTTGATCGACGCCGCACCAGACACAGTGAACTTTCGCGACCAGGACAGCTTCACACCCCTTATTCACGCGATCGTGCGCTCGCAACTACCGTGCGTGCAGATACTCCTGGCGAGAGGCGCCGATATGAGCCGCATCGGACCAGGCGAGCATATTCCGCTGAATCTCTGCTGCCAGTACGCCTCGCTGGAGATCATGGAGCTCCTCCTCCAAAGGTCAGCGGAGATGCTTCCAGACGCGGAAGGCTTGTACCCTCAGCATCTGGTAGCTCGATCCGGGAAAACACCACAGATGCTGCTTCTGCTTCAGAAGTATGGCGCTGACCTCGATCAACCAGACAAACTCTACCAGTGGACCCCGCTGTTCCATGCAGCAAGCGAAGGGCATGTGGAGTGCCTGGAAACACTTCTTGAGTGTCGGGTTGATGTCGATGTTGTCGATGAGAAGAGCCTGTCTGCCATGTACTATGCCACGTGGGAAGGACACCTCGAGTGCATGAAATTGCTTGCTCAGGTGGGCCGTGGAGTGGGCTTGAAGACACAAAACCAGGTGTCGCCGCGGATAAACACGCTGCAGCCGATGTCGAGCACGGCGCCAGGGCCGATGGAAATGGATCTCGGCGATCCAGATGGTATTCCCGAGTTCATCCTTCCGCCGCCTATAATACCGTTCCGCAGGTATGGTCACAACTTCCTCGATACGAAAACGTTCGTGGTGATCAGCTTCGAGAAGGTTGGGAAAGATGCTATTCGGTTCTACAACGATCAGAAGTACCCAGCGGCAAGACTCACAATATCGTCCAAGAGCTCGGATCTCATACCTAGGAACATACTGCTACCGGTCCAGGACGAGTTCAAGGTCATCTCGTTCCAGATTGAGAACCTGGAAGCTTTCTCTATTGACTTCGACGTGTATCCCACCATCGGCTCGAAGGTCATTGCCCGTAGTGTGGCATCGCGCAAGGTCTTTACAGAACGGTCGAAGAGCGCAGGGAGATGGCATCTAGAGCTTTTCGACCCGCGGCTACGCGCCATCGGCCAGATCGCCTTTGACTTCCAGGTCGTCAAGCCCTTCCACGGCATACCGCTCGAAATCACACACTTCGCCACCTACTGGAAAGCTACAAGTCAAGACGATAACCAGCCTCACACCCTAATCACTGGCTCGAGCTTGTCCGGAGAGTACGTTCGTCTTTTTGTGCAACTTACTGCCGACGGCATTCCGGTGCTGTACCCGAGATGGAAGATCAACCATGCTGGTCTCGAGGTGCCAGTCAACATCCTCACATACGCACAACTCGCAGCCATAGGCGCGCAGCAAAGCGCAACGACGGCAACGCAGCTCTCGAGCCTGAAGAACGCCACCTCGAACGACATGTCGCATATCTACCAGGCGCTCGCATCGTCCTTCATCACACTGAACGAGGCACTGTCGTTGCTTCCAGCTCACATCCACGTCGAATTGCACGTGCTGTTCCCGTCAAGAGTGGACGAAGAGCGCCTCAGGCTAGGACCCACGCACGACATGAACGAATTCGCCGACAGGATCCTCTCGGTCGTGTTCGGGCATGCGCGCGCGCTTAGAGAGCAAGGCGCAGGCGAGATTGATGGCACACTGCGCAGCGTAGTGTTTACCTCGTTCAACCAGGACATCTGCACCGTGATCAACTGGAAGCAGCCAAACTGTACGTACACGAGCGATTCTGAAACTCGGAGCCCGTGATCACTGGCTAACACATGTAACAGACCCCGTCTTCCTCTGCAACGAGCTCGGCGCGGACGACTCGACGGCCTCGGCCGCCGCCGGCCGGCACGCCGTGCAGTCCTCAGGGCGGACCACCATCTCGGTCAAAGAAGCGGTGCAGATCGCACGGGACAATAACTTCATGGGCCTCATCTGCAGCTCCCGGCTGCTCGACCTGGCGCCGGCGCTCATCGAGAGCATCAAGACTGCGGGGTTGGTGCTGGTCAGCGACATCACAGACAGCGTGGCGGACAACGGGGTTGGGCTGCAGGTTGCGCAGCCCCGGAGGTATCGCACGCCGGATGGGGTGGATGGGTTTCTGCGGGGCAATGGCGTGCTGTGTTTTAACGAGACGGTGGATATGTAGGACTACATGGTCAGGAAGGATTCACACGCCTGGAGCCTGAATCATGGAGACGAATTGACAAGGAAAGAGGATCCGGAGGAGGAGCAAAAGCAGCATGTCACGCGGGATGAGACAAAACTTGCATGTTAGAGGAAGGCGGTCATTGTTTTCGAGGGCATTACTAGGGTAGACTGGGCGCATCAAGTCGACGCACACATGCATTAATACATGGTGGACTGGTGTCGAAGCCTCAATCCCAATGTGAACCATCGGTCCGCGTGAAAGGCATGCGAGCATGCACGTCGTGCGCCACATCCGCGGCATCACATCCCGAAGCGTGATAGCGGCTCGACTCGAAAACGCCGGCTCTACGACATCACCATCGTGCGCCAATCTTGTCTTTCCAGTCGAGCGTTCCAGCGCCCTGTCTCCTCCGCTCTCCGCTCTCCGCTCTCCGTTCTCCGCTCTCCGCTCTCCAACTATACAATGCCCGCGTAATGTCTGCGTCTCTCCTCTCCACGACCCTCCGCGGCGCGCCCCGAGCCCGCCCGCTCCCACAGTGGACGTGCCGCTCGTGTGCGCTCGCGCAGCGCACTGGCTTCGCTTCCACGGCGCGCCGACTCACCACCGGCACCGCTGCTCTCCCCGCGAGTCGAGCCCGCACGGGCAGAATCACCGCGAGCACAACGGCCACGACGCCCCCACAGCCGCCGTCCAAGAATTCCAGGAACGGGCGCAGGAGGCGCGGACTGCTTGTCGTCGGCGCGGGCATCGGGCTCGCTGCACTGCTGGTCGCCGTCAACGAGGATGCGAGGCATGCGGCCGGGGCGGCGCAGAGGACGGGGCGGGTTGCGCGGACGCTGGCGTTGAATATCATGGAGTGAGTTACTGTGCTTGTTATTTACGGTGCTTGTTATTTACGGTGCTTGTCATTTACGGTGCTTGTCATTTACGGTGCTTGTTGTCAACGGTGCTTGTTATTTACGGTGCTTGTTGTCAACGGTGCTTGTTATTTACGGTGCTTGTTATTTACGGTGCTTGTTATTCACGGTGCTTGTTATTTGCGGTGCTTGTTAACGCTGCTTGTTATTTACGCTGCTTGTTATTTACGCTGCTCGCCCGCCCAGTGACTGACGACCGTCCAGCTACCGCAGCACGCTCAAACGCTCGGCCGACGCCGACTACGACGAGCAGCTCAAAGCATGCCATCTGCGCTGCGCCAAACGCACGCTCGGCACGCTCGAGCGCAACGGCTCCATCTTCATCAAGCTGGGCCAGCACCTCAGCTCGATGAACTACCTGCTGCCCAACGAGTGGTGCGACACGTTCATCCCGCTGCAGGACCAATGCCCCGTCTCGTCCTTTTCGTCAATCGAGGACATGGTGCTCAAAGACACGGGCCGCCCGCTCAGCGCCTACTTCTCGTCGTTTGACGAAACCCCCATCGGCGCGGCGAGCCTGGCCCAAGTCCACCGCGCCGTCACGGTCGACGGCCAAAAGGTCGCGGTCAAGGTGCAGCACCCGGCGCTCGACGAGTGGGCCAAGCTCGACCTCGCCCTCACCAGCTTCACCTTCCGCACGCTCAAGCGCTGGTTCCCCGAGTACGACCTCACGTGGCTGAGCGAGGAGATGCAGGCCAGTCTGCCGCAGGAGCTGGACTTTGCCCTCGAGGGCCGCAACGCGACGCGGGCGCGGGCGTACTTCTCGCACGTGCCCAGCAGCCCCGTCGTGATCCCGCAGGTCATGTGGGCGAAGCGCAGGATCCTGGTCATGGACTTCATCTCGGGCGCGCGGCCAGACGACCTGCAGTACCTCGACTCGCACGGAATCGACCGCGACGAGGTCAGCGCGGCGCTGGCGCGCATCTTCAACGAGATGATCTTCGGCAAGGACGCGCCGCTGCACTGCGACCCGCACGGCGGCAACATTGCGGTCCGGCACAACCCGCGCGCGTGGGGGCGCAACTTTGACGTGGTCCTGTACGACCACGGGCTGTACCGCGACATCCCCATGGCGCTGCGGCGCGGGTACGCGAAGCTGTGGCTCGCGGTGCTGGACGGCGACGAGGCGGGCATGCGGCGGTACGCGTTCGAGACGGCGGGGATCGGGGAGGAGCACTTCCCGCTGTTCGCGTCTGCCATCACGGGGCGCGACTACACGGTGCTCACGCAGAAGCACGGCAGCGGCGGGGTGGCGAGCAGCAGGACCAGCGAGGAGAAGAAGGTCATTGGCGACGCGCTCGGTGACGGGCTGCTGGAGAACCTGATCCAGCTGCTCGGCCAGGTGCCGCGGGTCATCCTGCTCATCCTCAAGACGAACGATCTGAGTGAGTGCTACTCCACCCCACCCTGACCACGCGACATTTCAGCTGACAGCGAACAGCGCGCAGCCTCGACGAAGGGCTGCACACCAAGCAGGGCCCGCTGCGCACCTTTCTCATCCTCGCGCGCTACGCCAGCCGCACCGTGTACGAGGAGAGTGTGGAGAGCATCAGTCGACGCGGCAGTCTTCTCTGGCCGGGCAACCTGCTCGCGTGGCTGTTTGCGTGGAGCCGGCATTTCAGGGTCGAGGTCAAGCTCGGCGCTTACGAGTCGTGGCTGAGGGTCAGAGCTGGGCTGGGGATGCGGAGCGTTGGTGTTGCAAACTCGTTCAGGGAGTAGGGGGGTTGGATGTGGGGATGGACTGTGAATTCTTTTCCTGTGGGGATGGATTGCGAGCTCTTTCCTGGACTAGGAGTGGATGTGGGGGAGGATGTGGGGGAGGAGGTGCGAGGAGATGCACAAGGAGATGCACGAGGAGATGCACGAGGAGATGCACGAGGAGATGGGATGGTGCCGCAACCCCAGGTCTTAGACTGGAGAAGTGCATGTAGACCTGCATGTAGATCTGCATGTAGACCATGTAGACCTGCATGTAGACCATGTAGACCATGTAGACCACGTAGACCATGTAGACCATGTAGACCCACGCCCAAGACCATTCAGACCCACGCCCAAGACCATTCACCGCACGGCATACAGTGCATGCAGACTCGAGTCCACAAAAGAGCCTTTGAAGCCTTGTTCTTGGCCGGGTGGCTCAGTCTCACTGCGCAGGCGTCGGGCTGCTGGGCAGTCTTGGTCGAGCCTCATGTGTGAATCACGCTCTCGTGTTGAGACGGATGCGCGCGCAGCAGACGCCACTGTTTACTTCTGGGCGTTTGACGACGCGTTTGCAGTGTGTTTGGCGCTGCACAAGGCCGCAGAAGCGCACGTCGAGGGCGAGAGGGCGACAAGACGAATGTCGGCTGGGCGAGGTCCAGCAGGGCGCCCACCACGTTCCAGCTGGATTCTCGCCGGCCTCACGGCCAGTCTCGAAGCCGCAGGACGTGCTGCGAGACGACGAGAGGCTGACTCGGGCGGGGCAGCTGGCTGCCAGCTGCCAGCTGCCAGCTGCCAAGGAAAACGATGCCCCCAAGCGCGACGGCCGTCAGCGTCCTGCCCGTGGCACAGCGGTGGCGGCGCCCTGCTCAGTCCGAACCGCGCGTGCTCAGCCACTACCGTTCTCCCTCCTCCAGCAACCCTCGCCCGCCGACGAGACCTGCGCTGATCGCCGACCCGCACAGCGGCTCTTCGTCGCACAGAGCACCCGGCCACCAGCATCGACGAGCACTCGGCCACCCGCATCGACGAGCACCCGACCACCGCATCGACGAGCAGCCGCCGTCTGCCCGCGCGCCATCATGGACGGAGCCGGCCAGGCCAACCTGCGCATCACCAGTGCGTGCGCCGCGACCTCCAGCGGACACGGCAAAGCTGACAGCCTGCAGTCATCGCCGCCGACGGCCTCTACAAGCGCGATGTCTTCCGTGCGTGCCCTCGCTGCCTCTGCCTGTCTCTCTGCCTCTCTCTCTGCCTCTCTCTCTGCCTGTCTCTCTGCCTGTCTCTCTGGCTGTCTCTCTCTGGCTGTCTCTCCCTGCCTGTCTCTCTGGCTGCCCGCCCGCCTGCCCGCCGACTGACCCGCGGTGCCGCCGACTGACGCAATGCAGGCTTCCCGGACCCCTTCGCCGTGGCCACGGTCAATGGCGAGCAGACGCGCACCACGAGCGTCATCAAGAAGACGCTGAACCCCTACTGGAATGAGAGCTTCGACATGTACGTTGCCCGCCCCCGCCTGCCGCCGACGCTGACCCCTGCCGCAGGCGCGTGAACGAGGAGAGCATGCTCGCCGTGCAAATCTTCGACCAGAAGAAGTTCAAGAAGAAGGACCAGGGCTTCCTCGGCGTCATCAACGTCCGCATCGGCTCTGTCATCGACCTCGATGCGGGCGGCGACGGTACGCGCTCGCCAGCAGCCTGCCCGGAGAAGACGCGCTGACGTGTCCAGAAATGCTGACCCGCGACCTGAAGAAGTCCAACGACAACATGGTCGTGCACGGCAAGCTGATTCTGAACCTCTCCACGAACCTGCAGGCGCCCATCAGCAACCAGCCCGGCGCTGCAGCGTCCCGCCCCGCGCCCCCGGCCCACCCCTCGGCCAACGGCGCCGCCTCGACCCCGCACCAGTCGGCGCAGTCGCTCAACCCCAACGCGTACCCCGGCCAGCGCCCGTCGTCGACGGGCCAGCGACCGCCGTCGACGACGCAGCCGTCGGCGCAGCGGCCCGGCCCAGCGGGGGGCCCCGCCGGCCCGCCCACGACGGCGCCGCCCGCCTCGACCAACGGCGCGCCCGCCGCCGGGCAGAGCCAGAACCCCGGGTACAGTGCCTTTGAAGATGCACAGGGGAGGCTGCCCAACGGCTGGGAGCGCCGCGAGGACCACTTGGGCCGCACCTACTACGTCGATCACAACACGAGGCAGACGACCTGGATTCGGCCCGGTGCGGGCTTCAACGAGACGGACAACCGCAATGCCGTGGCCGCGTCGACGCAGCAGGAGCGTGTCCGCCACCAGAACCGCATGCTGCCCGAGGACCGCACCGGCGCCAACTCTCCCACGCTCGCCGAGCGCCAGCCTTCGCCTCCCAGCGCCGGCGCGGGTGCCGCCAACGCTGCGAGCATGATGGCCACGGGCGCCACCACCGCCGGGACAGGCGAGCTGCCGTCGGGCTGGGAGCAGCGACACACGCCCGAGGGACGGCCGTACTTTGTCGACCACAACACCCGCACAACCACCTGGGTCGACCCCCGCCGACAGCAGTACATTCGCATGTACGGCGGCCAGGCGGCCAACGGAAGCACCATCCAGCAGCAGCCCGTCTCCCAGCTCGGGCCGCTGCCGTCCGGATGGGAAATGCGCCTCACCAACACGGCACGGGTGTACTTTGTCGACCACAACACCAAGACCACCACCTGGGACGACCCGCGATTGCCGTCCTCCCTGGACCAGAACGTACCGCAGTACAAGCGTGATTTCCGCCGCAAGCTCATCTACTTCCGTTCGCAGCCCGCGCTGCGCATCGTGAGCGGGCAGTGCCACGTCAAGGTCCGGCGAACGCACATTTTTGAGGACTCGTACCACGAGATTATGCGCCAATCCGCTGCGGACCTGAAGAAGCGTCTGATGATCAAGTTTGACGGAGAGGACGGCCTGGACTACGGAGGTCTGTCCCGTGAATTCTTCTTCCTGCTCTCCCACGAGATGTTCAACCCCTTTTACTGCCTGTTTGAATACTCGGCGCACGACAACTACACGCTGCAGATCAACCCCCACTCCGGCATCAACCCGGAGCACCTGAACTACTTCAAGTTCATCGGACGTGTTGTTGGCCTGGCCATTTTCCACCGTCGCTTCCTGGATGCCTTCTTCATCGGCGCCTTCTACAAGATGATCCTCCGGAAGAAGGTCGCGCTGCAGGACATGGAGGGTGTCGACGCCGACTTCCACCGCAACCTGGAATGGATGTTGAACAACGACATCACCGACGCGCTCGAGCTCACTTTTGCGACCGACGACGAGAGGTTTGGCGAGACTGTCAGCATCGAGCTGAAGCCGGGCGGCGACGACATTGACGTCACAAACGAGAACAAGCACGAATACGTCGAGTGAGTACCCTGCCGCTGCACGGCGCTCGAATGCTGACCCTTGCAGATTGATTACAGAATGGCGCATCCAGAAACGAGTCGAGGAGCAGTTCAGCGCCTTCCTCAGCGGGTTCCACGAGCTCATTCCCCCGGATCTGGTCAATGTGTTTGACGAGCGCGAGCTGGAGCTGCTCATTGGCGGCATCGCTGACATTGACGTCGAGGACTGGAAGAAGCACACCGACTACCGCGGGTACACGGAGAACGACGAGGTCATCCAGAACTTCTGGAAGTGCATTCGCGGCTGGGACGCTGAGCAAAAGTCGCGTCTGCTGCAGTTCGCCACCGGTACCTCGCGCATCCCCGTCAACGGCTTCAAGGACCTGCAGGGTTCGGACGGGCCCAGGAGGTTTACGATTGAAAAGGCTGGAGAGCCCAACCAGCTGCCCAAGTCGCACACATGGTACGTCCCCCTTTATGTCTTTTTTCCTTTTGTCTTTTTTCCCTTACCTCTTTACACCCTCATTTCTTTACACCCTCATATCTTTCCACCCTCCGCGTCTTTCCACCCTCACCTCTTTCCCCCCTCATGTCTTTCCACCCTCACCTCTTTCCCCCTCCACGTCTTTCCACCCTCATGTCTTTCCACCCTCACCTCTTTCCACCCTCACCTCTTTCCACCCTCACCTCTTTCCACCCTCACGTCTTTCCACCCTCGCGTCTTTCCACCCTCGCGTCTTTCCACCCTCGCGTCTTTCCACCCTCGCGTCTTGTATTCGAGTACTGACCTGGTTCAGTTTCAACCGTCTTGACCTGCCCGGTTACAAGACCTTTGAGGCGCTCAACCAGAAGCTCACGATTGCCGTCGAGGAGACTGTTGGTTTCGGACAGGAGTAGACGGGGCTGCGAGAGCATCCGTGTATAAAACGAGGAGCGACAGAGAGCTCCGGCACGCCATACATATTCTTCCTCCCTTGGCATGAGCATCGACGTCGCGGATGCGAGACGGGTTTGGCGTTGGGATCGCGTGTTCTTAGGATAGCGCTCTTATTGAGCGCACGCAATTGAATGATTGAAAGATCCACCGGACGCGCATGCTCGGACGCACATTGGATGCTGACAGAAATGCCGGCGGCGATGCCTGTCTGACGTGGATGAGGTACGCGGCCGCAGCGGCTCTGTGCACTGACCACAGCGTGACTACTTTTCCAGTGGACCATCCGACTTTCGCGCCTGAACTCCCGGTACAAAAAGGACATGGCACAGCTTCCTTCATTCGTCTTTTTTATCCGTCCTCTCCATCCATCCATTCTCTAAAAAAATCGAGCCGTATCATAGCACATCCATCAATCCATCCACAGCCCCTCGCACCACATCCCCAAACCCCCTCCCCCTCCCCATCCCCATCCCTTCCAACCCTCTCCCCTCTACAAAAGAGATGCCCGCCCTCTCCACAGCGAACCACACCCTCTCCACGGCGAACCACACCCTCTCCACGGCGAACCACACCCTCTCCACAGCGAACCACACACACCCCCCAACCGCCCACCAGACCTCAGAGCACCCCCTCGACTCTCCAACCGCCCAGCCAACGAGGCGGTACTACGCGCGCGTCCCAACGGACACGCACGCCGACGCGGCTGAGTTCGTGTTCCGCCACACCGCGCCCGACCGCGTCAAGGCCGAGCCGACGGTTTTGGATCGCGTCAAGGCTGTGCTTGGGTTGCGGCGGCGGCGCTGAACTGCCGGACCGGACCGGACTGGACCGGACTGGACCGGACTGGACCGGACTGGACCGGACCGGACTGCACTGCACTGCACTGCACTGGACGGAGCCACGGGGAGGGAGGTTGGGGGTTCGAATTGAGTGGGAGATTCGAGGGTATCACAATGTGGCGATGGAGACTGGACTGGAGATGGAGTCTTCTGGATTCTGGATTGGGAGTATTATCGACATTGACATCAACATCAACATCGACATTGACATCGACATCAACATCGACATCAACATCAACATCGACATCGACATCAACATCGACATCGACATCGACATCCACCCTTCCTCTCGCCAAGAACAGAAACTACATCCCCCCGCAATACCAACACATCAAGGTCCCCCACTCCGTCCCCAACTACCGTCTAGAAAAGCCCTGCAGCAGCGAACAGCGCAATGACAGCCGCGCCAGCCGGTGTGGTCAGCGCGCTCGCAGCGCCCGTGGCGAATGCCGACGCCGACGCGGATGCGGCGCTGCCTGTTGCTGTGCTGGAGCCTGTGGCGGACGCGCTCGCGCTCGTGGGCGCGGCCGTGGTCGCCGTCTTTGCGACTGAGGCGACGCTGGCCATTGATGCTGAGGCTGCGGCGCGGAGACTGGACGACGTCAGTACGGGGACGGAGAAGGATACACGACAAGAGCTCGACGACGGGGCTGGGTGAACTCACGGCTCGGCAGCGGTGCAGTAGCTGATCTTTGTGTTCTCGACCGGGGCGCGGTCGGCGCTGTCCGGGCAGTTGTTGTAGCACGTGTACACGTCCGTGTACACGTCGCACAGGCAGATCCAGTCGTTGCCGTTCTTCTGGCACGCCTCGATGCGGGTCTGGTACCCGGCGACGCAGGCGTCGACAATGTTCTGCGCCGCGCAGTCGGCGGCAAGCGCGGTGCTAGCCAGGGCCGCGGCGCCGGCGAGGAACAGTGTGCTGCGCATGATTTCAGGTCGTCTAAGGGTGGTGGAATTAAAAAATGTTATATGTATATGTGTGTGGCTAAGTCACAATGAGTCCCAAAGCGAGTGATGGGATTGATTAAGAAGAGTACGGACGACGTGTGGAGACGAAGAGGAGTCGAATGCTCGCAAGGCGAAAAGGGAGGCTCGCGCGGTCATATACTCATCCCTTCTTCCCCCAGTGCTGGTGCCACGGGCAGGGTCCATTGTTGAGCCAAGCCCAGAGTAAACATTGAAAGCGTTGCACGCGCCTCTGCCGTCTCCAAGCGCCGCTGCACCATGGCCAATCTGGCACTCGCTTGCCCCCTTGTGGTGAAGCCTTGTGGAGCTGGCTGCTTAACGGGGCGTGGTGCACCCGAGATGCCCCCTAAATTTAGGCGGGGATGCATTGGGTTCAACGAGGTCCCCGTCGGAGAGCTTTCTGGACAGCCATCTGCCTCGAACGAGGTCGGTTGGGGGCTGGCATTGCAGACGGTGCGTGGCTGCGCAGCTGGGACGCGCATGGCATGCCATGTTGCCGCGGCCGGGTCGGGTCGTGAGGGTCTTCAGGGCTTGGAACATGTCACGATGTGCCGGCGGGAGGTTGTGAATCAAAAGGAGTGGATGTGATAGGCGGGGATTGTTTCCGGGTGTGATGGAGAGGCTCTGTGATTGGTGCATGGGGCGATGTGCGCAAGGGGCAAATTGAGAGTTTGAATTGCCCTGCGCAACGAATGCTGATTTACCGTTTGGGCATAGGCAATTGAAGCTGGTGCTGTTGCAGGTAGATGGTCGTGAGATTGCCGAGTGCTTTCCTTTGTTGTGATGATGCTCTGGTCGATAGCAAGAAGCGTGAGAAGCGACTCTTTGTCGGCTGAGAACGATACGATACCGATTGGACGCCCGTTGGAGACTGGCTGCGTGCTGACAGTGTTACTCGCTGTCACGGACACACTACTAGCGGAATTGTTGAGCAAGAGGTAGGTGTCTGTCTCCCGCTGAGTGCTGTCAACTTGCCGCCATGCTCGTCCCAGAATACCTCGTAGACAGAAACTTGCAAGAACTGCTTGGAGCTTCTGCATGGATCGACAACAACTGCCACTTCTGATCAGCTCCCGGCATGTCACTGTCCACCGTCAAGTGCACGGATGTTGTTGTCGTCGTTAGAAACAAGCACTTGTTGCTCAGCGTTCATGTCCCAATCGATTGAAGCTGTCTCGCTTGAGGCTCTCTGTGTCGCCTTGATCAATCCTTTTGTCACACAATGAATTCACCACGGGCTGCTGCAACCTCCCGTCTGACAGGCAGGTGCAGGGTAAACGTGGCTATGCGTTTTTGCGATACGAGCTAAAGCTGGTTTTCAGGTCGATCACTACCGCTCACATGCCGAATTCCCGGCTTGTCACGAGAAACGTCAGTTGGGTCACTTTCAGCGGCACTCGAGTGTGCCTCTTGCAAGCAGATGTGGCGAGACGGGCGCAGCGTCGACTTGCGGACTCGATATCCGTCTACACGCGCCCTGGTCTCGAGTCAGCCTCGCCTTCGCACACGTGAGGCTGTCCCGTGCCGTGCTACACATGACTTCTTGGGTGCCCACTCCGTTGGTCATTAGCGCTCATTGGACCAGCACCGAGCGACGTTCGACTGCCGCTATCGTTTGCATTTTCCCCAGAATGCGGGCCAGATTATTGGGCAGAATCGGTACTACCGAGACGCGCACTTGGCTGTCGTGTACACGAGCGCCTAGCCGCGTTGAGCGAGGACAAGACAAAGGGTCAAAGCGCAGACTCTGGGGAAGCTGGACTGAGCGGCTCTTTGCTCGGGGCTTCGCTTGGTGATGGTGGTGTTGAGCTGCAGAAGGCTCTGATTGCATCACGACAGCAAAGGGCATCTGCAACGCGCTCAGCCCAAGACATCAAAGAACAATATCGAGTCTCAGGGCATGGCGCGATGACTCGGACACTGGCGCGGCCCAATTCATACCGAGTTATTGACTGAGATTTCGCCTCCGTGACCGGCCGTTCTTCAGCCGAGTCCTCATCCCGCTCTGCCAATACATGACGGAATGGCGCCACCTCCACATCGTTCACTGCCAACCTGCTGCCAATGACCACATTTGGTTTGCACGCCAGCCCAAATCTGGTCCATATCGCTACTGACTGCTCCGCCGCAACATGTCTTTCTCTCCACCTTTTACTCGCCAGCCTGCAGCTGAACACTGCGGTATTTGTGGGGTCATCAGGCCCTTTACCACAGCGTCCCTTCCCTCTTCGCGCAACCCCATAATCTTGCACTCACACTGTCGTCCGCCGTCACTGCTCAGCCACGCGCACGTCAAACGCCCCGTCGCGCCCGCCCGCTAATCACATCAACACTGGTGACTGAACATGCTGTGGCCTGAATTTGCGATTCCACGACGTCCGCGGCCACGATAGCAGAATACACGTTGAAGAGCTTTGTACTTGGCAGAAACAGTCTAACCAGTGGATGGGCACAACACCACCCGCGCACAGATGGATACCCCTGTCTCCCGCGATGACTATCCGTCACGGGGACCGGCAGTGAGGGCTACCTCAGCTGCGACGCTGGTCCTTTGCTCCGTCTTTGTCGTCCTGCGGCTGATGTCAAGATTCTTCGTTGTGAAGAAGTCGGGGTGGGACGATTACACCATGATCATGGCATGGGTGTTGGCATTCGGCGCATCGTTCTCCATCATCTTCGGCACCACCAAAGGACTCGGACAACACCAGGACCACATTCCAGACAACTTTCTGGAGTCGATGCAGCAGTCTTCATACGCCTTCTCGGTTCTCTACAACCCAGCACTGATGGCAACCAAGACTTCGATCTTGCTCTTCTACCTCAGCCTCTCGGAGACGCAGAAGATCTTTCGATGGGCGACTATCTCGACGCTCGTCGTTGTCAACGCCGGCGGATTGGCCCTGACTATCCTCAACATCGTCCAGTGCCGACCGGTCAGTGCAGCATGGGCCTCACCTGTACCTGCGAGCGCGCACTGCACCAACATTGTCACCATCTATCTCTCGTCTGCGCCCCTGAACATCATCACCGACCTCGCCATATTGTTTCTCCCTATGCCGATTCTCACTAGCATGCGACTGCCAAAGAAGCAGAAGATCATCCTGGTCATCACCTTTGGATTTGGTATCTTCGTGGCCGTTGTCGATGTCGTCCGTATTGCCTACCTACAAGACGCGCAACGAGCCACCCTTGTGGCGGCGCAAGCGGATCGCGCTGAAAGCGGTACAAACCAGAGGAACACGAGCGACTTCTCGTGGTACGCCTCGCTCTCGTTCATGTGGAGCACCGTCGAGATCAATTTGGGCATCATGTGTGGCTGCGTGCCTGCGATGAAGCCTCTGGTCCGACGCTTCCTCCCCAGCTGGGTCATCGACCATACGACATCGCGCGGCAACTCTGGAACTGCCGCGAGCGATGAAGCGCAATTTCATCCAGATATCGTCGAAGTATCATGTCGTCGGTCTGATCAGGAAACACCACCAGACTCGCCCCTGACCAAGCCTCCACCGTCCCTATCCGCACTACGAGGCAACGATGAAACCTTGGACATGATGGATTTCCTCACATCCCCCGGCATGGACGAACTCCCGCGAATGAATCGCACTTCCACCGCGGTCACCATAGCACCAACCGCGCGCAGCACACGACGTCGGTCGATGACATTCTTCGATTTCGTCGACACCGGCCAGAAGAAGAACATTACATTGAGGAGCAATCGCGAATCTGTCTATCCAGTGTTAATGGTCACCATCCTCTTCTTCATATGGGGCTTCGCTTACGGTTTCCTGGATGTACTCAATTCGCGTTTCCAGGAGATTGCCAACATGAGCGACTGGCAGACCGTCGGTCAGCACAGTGCTTATTATATCGGCTATTTCGTAGGGCCCCTGACCTTTGGCCGCATCGTCTTCCAAGTCTGGGGTTTCAAGGTCTGCTACATAGTCGGACTCGTCGTGTACGCCTGTGGAGCCCTGGTGTTCTGGCCTTCTGCTGTCCTCACTAACTTTCCGGCCTTCTTAGTATCGAATTTCATCGTTGGAGCTGGCTTGTCGACCTTGGAGCTTGCCGCAAACCCTTTCATTGCTCTCTGCGGGCCGCCTGAGTTTGCCGAAGTGCGATTGAACCTGTCACAGGGTATACAAGCAGTCGGCACCATCGTCTCACCCCTACTTGCCAAGAAGGTTCTCTTCACTGCCAATGCTTCCAGCTTGATTGATGTCCAATGGACATATCTCGGCATCTCATTCTTCAGCATTGCACTCGCCGTGCTGTACTTCTATGTGCCGCTACCAGAAGCTACCAATGAGGAGCTCGAGGCGGCCAGTAGACGCTTGCCCGTTCCTAGGGACACGACTATCAAGATTGGTCCATGGCCTGTCAGGGTCATCTGGATTAGTCTTGGATTTGCAGTCTTCTCTCAATTGTGCTATGTAGGTGGACAAGAGTCGACATCGACTTCTTACTCTGAGTACCTTGCACTGGTGAGGCCGTCAGTAAACGCCGTCAATCATCAAGCGGTCGGCCATACCGCATTCGCCGTCTCCCGCTTTTTGGCCGCCTTCATCGACATTTGGGTCAAGCCACGGTTCAGTCTGCTGGTTTTCTACCTGGGCGCTATCGCTTTCTGTGCCGCAGCAATGAACACCACAGGGTCCACCGGCGCTGCTATGCTGGTCATGATTATGTTCTTCGAAGGCCCCCTATTCCCACAGATATTCGCCCAGGGCATCCGGGGCATGGGAAAGCACACCAAAGACGCTTCGGTACTCATCACAGCCGCAATCGGTGGCGGCGCCCTCATCCCACCGATGGCGTTCGCCGCGCTCAAAATTCATGATGCACGCTATGCTTTCTGCGTCATTGTGGCTACCTACTCCGTTGGCGCGCTCTACCCGATCTGGCTCAATTCCCTGCCCGTCACAAGACAACTATCCGATCCGCGCCGAGACGAGCAGACACGGCGTGAGTCCGAAGCGGAGGAGAAGCGACGCGAGTGCATGGGCGATGCCAAGCCACGAAGATGGAGCAAAGTAAAGAATCGACTGAGCTTCGGCAACCGCGAGAAGGACCACATGCCTTCGATCGAGCACAGGGAGCGGTGCAGCTGGCCCGAGGGCCTCGCGCCAATCCCCGGCAGCCTCGACATCGCACCAGAGCGAAGAGAATCGCAAGCATTGTCGATAGAGAGCTCAGACAGTAGCAGCAGCAACTCGAGCAGCAACGCACCAACTCCGCGCGGTGTGCGCGCATGATTTACGATTACGATTGCTTTGCGTTAGGGGTTATGGCGTTACGGGAGATACCACGGGCTGCTCTTCATGCACAGGCTGTGCATTGTATACTACTAGTTTTCGCTTGAGCGACTCTGCATTGTATCTCACTGTGACCGGAATCAGTAACAGATATATTTAACTCATCAATAACAGATATACTTAACTCATCAATAACAGATATATTTAACTCATAACTCCGGCCGTTACTGGTTCCCACCAGTCTTGGTGTCTGCTTCGGTGTTATCATCGTCCACTAGGATAGGTTGGACGCACATTCCTATATGAGGTTGTGAGCGTCTACATCTATATGCAGTAGGCGATGCGAGCACGTAACTACCCGTAGAGTGGGATAACCGGGCTGAGCTACTGCACGGCTTCAGCCGATAGTTAGGCTGGAAACCCTTGTTCATCAAAGTTTGGCTACCAAAACCTTGCAGTAGCACAGTCTGGTTATTTCAGACTCTACAGTAGCAACGAGCCTTGCTTTCACGTGAATTTCACCCTCGCAGCCAATGACGGCGGTTTGCGGTGACTGACTAGAGTTTCGGCTGTCAGTAACCAGCTTGCGAGGCTCTCGGTGGATCGACACTTGAAGACAATCATGCCGTTCGGCATCAACTGACTTGCAGTTCGACCTAGGCAATTCTTCGTCCAGTCGATCAAGTCTCTGCCTGTGCAACGCAAGGCTGTCGCAGAACGGCTGCTCGTGCTTCGGCAAGGGCGAGTTAGCCTCGGCATCCCCGCGATTCTGAATCCTGGGGGCGCGACTCGGCTTTAACACGACGACGGAGAGCTTTATAGTGCTGATCGCGCTGTGTTCTTGCTCCATTAATTCAGCGCTTTTGTTGTATTACTTGCCATCCTTGAGTGTCTGCATTCAGCATCTTGTTCCCTGACACGCCTACTCACTTCACCCGCACCTCACATCATCCGCCAACATGGTCGGCCAGAAGCAACCCGTGTACGTCCTCGGCGTGGGCATGACCAAGGCAAGACAACACACTACCGGCCCTGAGCATCGACTGACTCGACCAATAGTTCATCAAGCCTCGCGGTAAAGTCGACTACCCGGAGCTGGGCTTCGAAGCCGGCGTCAAGGCCATGCTCGACGCCCACATCAACTACGACGATGTCGACCAGGGCGTGGCCTGCTACTGCTACGGCGATAGCACGTGTGGGCAGCGCGTCTTCTACCAGTTCGGCATGACCGGCATTCCCGTGTACAACGTCAACAACAACTGCTCCACGGGCAGCACGGGGTTGTACATGGGGCGCAACATGATTGCGCACGGGGCCGCCGACTGCGTGCTCGTCGTCGGCTTCGAGAAGATGTTCCCCGGTTCCCTGCAGACGTTCTTCCAGGACCGGACGAATCCCACCGCGACCACGAACCTGATTATGAAGGAGACCAGGGGCATCACTAATGCGCCAGGTGCTGCGCAGTTGTTCGGTAACGCGGGACGCGAGCACATGGAGAAGTACGTCTTTGCACTCCTACCCTTCCCTTCTTGTGACCACACTCATACTAATGATACTGCCCAGATACGGCTCCGAGCTCAAGGACTTTGCGGAAATCGCCCGCATCAACCACGCCCACAGCAAGAAAAACCCCTACTCGCAGTTCCAAGACGAATACACGCTCGACCAGGTCATGAAGAGCACCATGATCCACGAGCCCCTCACAAAACTGCAGTGCTGCCCCACCTCGGACGGCGCCGCCGCAACTGTGCTCGTCTCGCAGGCCTTCCTCGACGCGCGCCCAGAGCTCAAGCCCCAAGCCATTCTCATCGCGGGCCAGCGCCTCGCAACCGACACCCCCGCGCTCTTCAACCGCAGCGCAATCGACCTCATCGGCTACGGCATGAGCGAGCTCGCTGCGCGCGAAGCGCTCGCCGAGGCAAACGTGTCCCCCGCCGAAGTCAAGGTGTGCGAGCTGCACGACTGCTTCAGCGCGAACGAGATGGTGACGATCGAGGCGCTGGGGCTGGCGCCCAAGGGCAAGGCGCACGAGCTCATCCGCGCCGGCGGCATCACGTACGGCGGGCAAGTCGTCATCAACCCGTCTGGCGGGCTGATTTCAAAGGGCCACCCGCTCGGCGCCACGGGGCTCGCGCAGTGCGCCGAGCTGGTGTGGCATCTGCGCGGGTGGGCGAACAACCGGTCTGTTCCTGACACCAAGGTGGCGCTGCAGCACAACCTTGGTCTTGGCGGCGCGGTCGTGTGCACCGTGTACAAGCGCGCTGATGGGTCTGCGGCGACGGATCTGAGCGATGCTGAGGTCGGCAAGGTTACAGGGCTGGGATACAACCCCGCGACGCAGGCAAAGGGGTGGACCAAGGCGCAGGTTGATAGCGTGAGGAGTAAGAAGGCGAGGAGCGAGTGGGCGTTGCAGGATGTAGAGCAGAAGGTTGAGGCGAGGTTTTAGTTATCTGCCGGTGGGTGTCAGGCGGTGATGTAGTGTACAATGTTTCTTACTTACCGAGTGTCTCTGATATGTAATAGGCTTGTCACATGATTCGGTTTGTCGTATGATCCGGTGACTTGAGTGCAATCACGGAAGCCAAACAGCAGCATGGAGGTCTCCAATCAGTGAGCTGAAGTGTACTTTCCTTGTATGTCTTGATGAGTCTAAGATCTAGCACCAAGTCCACTTCGTTCCGTATAGCTATCATGCGATGCAGCCATGTCGAGTTAAACACTGCTCCCAAACTCCTCGCTACCCGTGTGAAAGCTCAAGTCGACTCCATTCGTCATACGTCACACCGTGCCCCGGCAGGCCGCCCGGCCACACCCCCCTACTTCCTGGGCTTGGGAATCTTCTCGTAGGCATTTGGGCTCGGTGCTCTCTTCGGCTTCCTCTTCGGCTCGCCGCTGCCCTCGCCTGCGCCATGGTCGTGCGCGCAGTCATCGTGGTCGTGCGCGTGCTCAGGCTTTCTCCCGCGCTTGTTGCTCTTGCTCGGGCGGGCAGTGCTGTTGTCCGGCTCGCTGTCTGAGTCGTCCGAGCTGGAGCTGTCCGAGGAGGACTCGTCGCTGGACTCGCCGGCTTCGCGGGGCGCGTGGTATATGCAGCATACTGGTCCATGTCAGCCTTGTCGCCTCCGAATTGTCTGCATGGCGACGCGCTTCCACGCGCAGTTGAGTTGGACGCACCTTTGCTGCTTTTCTTTCCCATTCCCTCGTTGTCCACTACATCCTCCGCCCACTGGATGTGTCGTCGCTCCTCGGGCGCGGCGCGCAGGCGCAGGACACCTGACGGCGCTGAGAGACGTAGAACAGGGTTTGGCCGCGTTTGCTGGATTGTGTGGCTGCCTGTGTCGCGCGACGGCGTTGCGGTGCGTGAGGGTACGTTTGACATGGTGAGTTGTCCGTCTGGGAGAAAGGGGAGCGAAGAGCGGGTGTGATTGAGGAAGGGTTGAGGGCGACTTGGGATTGGACCCTGGTTGAGATGCGGGACGGGAGGGTTGCGAAGTCGGGAAAGTTTTGTGAGCTCGATGGAGACGGCGTCGAGTATTTGGGAATCCTGGTGTGGTCGTGAAAGGCGACTTGCCCGCGTGAGGCGATTGGGTGAGGCCGTGAGGTGGAGTGTCGTGTGCTGCACGTCTTTGTGGACGATGGTGATTTGTCTGTAGACCGCTGTGGACGCGGCTAACGGTGCGTCATTCCGTGGCCGCTTCCGCGTTCTGTGGCTTGCACTCCACGTTTCGATCACGACGGTTTTGAAACAAGAGATAACTCGTCTTGTGTCTCATTTCAAGTCACACGGATAGTCCAGAACTGACATACTCGGTCTTGTACTCGCCGCCAGCTCAGCTGCTCCTTGATCTGGGAGGTGTCCTCGACCGCTCATTAATCGTCGCACGAGCTGGTTGCGGTGTTTGGTACATGGCATTATCATTGTTCCCCTGACAGGCAAACATGCTCGTGCTCAGCACACGAGGATCCGTATCGATTCTAAACACGTCCGATCATCAAAGTACAACATTGCCTGTCCAGGCTGGCGTAGACGGAGTATGATACAGCACAAATGCAGGGTGAATTTGAGTAGACGTGAGCCAAGTTCCCATTTGTTCGAGAGTGATTGGAATCTCGGCGACAATCAGCTCCAGCATTGCTGAATCATGTCATCAGTCTCGGTGCCACGATGTGTACCACATCCCTGGACCTCGAGCATGGCCGGCTGCACAGGTACGATGCGCCGTACGCGTACATCGCGTTCTACTGACACACTATCGACATGGTATGTAGAAACATGGAAGGCTGGTTGTGCCCGCCAGACATTCCCAGTCAGCACGTGTAGTCAGCGAGACTATTAGACATGCATCAAGCAAATGTCCACGGAACAAACATCTAGCATCGATGCCATCACTTTCGCCATTGTTGGGACCGCAGGCTCTTCAGAGAATCTTGGAGAAATGGCGGTAATTTGCGGGTTTGATGAAGGGGGGTCCTTGTCGATCGGCGGCCGTCAACGAGATTTGCTCTTCCTTGGGGTCTTGCTGAGCGCAATATCATGTGCAAGGCTACCCTGTCGTATCCCAACACCAGCAGACGACGAATCGATAAAGAACGACGTGTCCCAACGACTGCAGGCATGGAGAGCTCGTATTGTCCCTGCTTGCCCTCGGTACCTAATTGCATGAGGTTCCTTTGTGCGAGCATCTCGCTGGCAGGGCACAAGAAAGGAGAAGCCTCACATCACCGTCTGCACAAGCTGCTGACTTGCGACATGTCGTGAGTCCTAAACCCGATTGGGCAAGGCTACTCTGTGAGGAGCTGGTCAGCAAGATACCTATGCTTGGCCCCAACGTCTCGCCGTGCAGACTGCAGCCACCGAAGCGGGCTCGGGGATGCTGCATTCAGATGACCGGACCGCGATGGAAGGTGCACAACTGGGCATGGGGGCCATGAGGCTGTGGCCCGGTGGGTGCGGGAAATGAAGCCACGCAGGCCGGGAGTTCTGGACTGAGGGCAGCCCACTTTGCGGGAATAGGGGAAGAATGCACTTGGCCTGACAGGGTGGGCTAAGGGGACAGTGTCGCCGGGCAACTTGAAGAATTTGTGCTGCGTCGAGGGAACGGTAGCAGCAGCTGAGCTGAACTGTTATCGTTGCTTGCTACAGCAGCTGCCACGAGCCTCAGGGGCAAGGCGCTTCGAGATGCAGTCGTGTGGTTTGACTGTTTGCCTGCAGGACCGTAAAACCCTGTCGTTAATCTATGTTGGCGGCCAATCACGCCGCGCAGGCTTCCTCGCTAAGCCGGTTCCTGCATCAAGCGCACGGGGTCTGCGCTGTTTCTAAACAACGGCCACGGCGCAGCAGGCACTCGGTCATTATTCAGGAGGGTCGGCTTGCAGACGGCTGACGCGATGTGCAGTGGATGCCATGTCTCGGGAGGGATACGAAGCTGGAGCCGAGTGATGTGGTGGTGGACACTGCTGGACAAAGAGCAGAACAAAGGGATTGTGGCGGCTGTTGGTCGATGGTCATACAGTAAATAGCCCAAGAATGCAGTCGAACAGATCAAACACGGTGGCTGACGCTGCGATTCACGACTCCCGCCAGGCTTGACCCGTGCAACGACCCACATGTGCCAATAGGAGGCGCCTGTCATCTAGACGTATCGGACTTCGCGCGAAGTGCGGCGCCTCATCTACTGCTGCCGCCCGGCCTTCCTTCCTCCCTCACCTCACTTCGTGGGCGCCGCTCGTTCGTAATCCTCCACCAGAGTTTGGAAGCTCGCAGTCCGTATCTTACCCCAGTCACTCTTTTTTTGGGCCCGGAGACAGCAGCGTTTGTTTTGACCGACACCGATTGCTTATTGCACATACTACACCGCACGTCTGCACATACACACGTGCATACATACATACATACACTCACTTGGCCATATACGACCGCATCACGATCTCACGCTGCTAATACACCACCCTACACGGCTCCGCGCACCCTCGCACCCCCGGCAAACACGTCGACCACCTGTAGCACCCTGTGGCTCGCGTCTGCCTCGCATATATTGCGACCAGACCCTGGATTGGCGGAGGAGGAGAAACATCTTGAAACAATGCAACACCGCCAGATGCACCACTTTGCGGGGAGGGCAGCCCACGTCGGTTCCACCAGTCGTACAATGATCGAGGAGGCCACCAAAGTCCTCGTCGCCAGAGGCACCTCAACATGCACCAGCGACAGCGAGCCCGGCTGCACAAAGCCCACACAGGTCCCCACCCTGGCCATCGCCCTGGCCATCATGTAGGTTGTATGCAACGTCTGCATTGTTCTTGCTGATCGTGTGTAGTGTCCCGGTTGCTGGCATCTCGATTGTGCTGTTCTTCCTGCACCGCAGGAATCAGCGGAAGCTGGCTGAAGAGGACAAGGACAAATACCGCTCCATGGACTTCGGCCTCGAAGACAAGGGCGGCCGGGTCGGCGGGAAGAAGAGACCTGAGATGACTGTCTCCGACATTGAGAAGGAAGTAAACGGCACCCACGCCCGCGCCCTCTCCCTGGAACACGGAAGCCCATACATTCTGCCTGTTGGCCTGCACGGCTCTCGCGAGTCATTCCATTCGCTCTCGCGCTCAAACCACGACCCGCACGACCCATACCGCCCGGTCACCTTCCTGACCGATGCTGCCAGCGTCCGCAGCTCAAGTCGCGCATACGGAAAAGACAACGGCTCCCTGTACACATCGTCAAGCGCTGGAACAAGAGGAAAGAACGCCGACGGCCTTACCTCTGGCCTTCTGCAAAATGCCCAGCGCATGTCCACGTCCAATCCTCTCCGCGGCGAATCACTTTCTCCTGACGGCACACGGTCGCCCGTCCAGTTCCCTGACCCAACAGGCACACCGCTCAGCCCATTGAACCCCCGTGCAAATGATAACTTCCCTGCACCCCCACCGCGTGCCGCATCCCCTGAAGCCAAGAGCACCGGTCGACCGGCGATCACGCAACAATATGCTGCCTTCAAGCCTGCGACCGATGTCCCCAAGATCATGATTCCAGACGCCGACGTCAAGAGTAAGTCAGTCAACAAGTCACCAGTCGAGCAAGCCGCCAGCTTCCCTCCTCGCATTCAGTCCCAGCAGGCTGTCGTCTCGCACGGTCCTTCTCAGAGCATTGTCAGCACGTCGAGCTACGGCGATGCCTTCCAGGTCACACCTCCCTCGCCCCGCCAGACTCCGCCGACCATCCATGAAGCCCCTACACCTGTTGCACCCGCGCCTCTGCGTCCTCAGCCTTCGGCCGGGGCTAGACTGAGCATCTACGAGAACGGCCAGAACAACCGTTTGTCCATGAGCTTGCGCCCCATGCCCCCCATGCACGATGACCCTGAAGAGAACCCCGAGGACCGTGCCAACCGCATTCGATCCTTCTATAAGGAATACTTTGACGACTCCAAGCCTGAGCCCGCCGGTGGACACCAGTACACCGACTACTACGAGGACTACACCTCCGAGTATCTTGATGGCGCCGTCTACGATTCGCAAGCAAAGGGTTTCGTTGCAGCACAGCCCAACGCACCCTTTGCTGAGCCCATTGTCCGCCGAGCTATGACACCTCCCCCACGTGCGCCTCCTAGGTTCCGCAGTGGCACTGTCGGCGGCAGCAGCCCCCACATGTCTAACGGTTCCATGGCATCATCTCAGTACCCTCCACGCAACATGACTTCCATGAGCGGCCGTCTGCCAGCGCATGCACCCAGGAAGCCTCTGCCGCCGCCAACCATACTCACATCGCTGCCCACACCTGGAAAGCTGACAGAGAACTCGATGGTCTTTGACGCCGCCGACTTCGCGCCCCCAGTCACATACCGTGACCGACAGAACGGCTTGCGCCCTGACAGCCCGCTCGGCACACCCAGGCCATTCAGTCCTGCTGTCCGCCCGCACACACCTCTTGCCACCTCTTATGACGACCTCGCTGTAATGCCAAGTCCCCATCTGCTCCGCAAGTCTGGCACTTTCACAGCGCTCGACTTTGCACCGCCACCAAAGTTCCGCAACGAAGGTGCGCCTTCCCGCCCCGGCTCGCCAGCGGGCTCGATCCGCTCCAACCGCTCCGGCATGTCCAATAACGCACAGTACGCTATCCGCAGCGGCGCCAACCGCGTCAGCCGGATACCGAAGGAGGTCGTCACCACTAGAGACGACATCATGGACCAGCTGCGACCGCAGATGAGTTTGGTGACGAAGGCATAGTCTCACTGCGATCCATGCATACGCCTTTGACGACAATTTCAGCACATTCCAGCTCACTGGCTGAGCTGCCCTTGATCACTTCAAAAGCTCATCGACATCGCCTACGACGACTATGGCATAGATAGCGTTCTCTTCTGGCTTTCTACCTTCTGGACCCACGGTCCGTCGCCTCTTCTCCTTGGATCCTCAACTTCTGAGATTCAGTGCGCCCAAGTAGTGTACATAGGGCCTTTTTTAAAGCGATTAGCGGCAAGGGCGGCGTTTACAATGTCTAATTTCTATTTCTAAGCAGATAACATACATTTCGGAGGGAGTGGATATAGGAGGAGACGTGGACATGGAGATGGAGGAGATCTTGTATGTGACATATAGAGAAATCGAGATGGATATACTGTTGAAACCCCAGCGAACCTTTTGCTCTCTGCTTCAAGTCATTGCTCGTATCAAATGCACATCTCCTTCCGGGTTCCTGCTGTATATGCCTCATCCCAGTCGTCCCATGCGGTTGAGCAGTGTTGCTGACCCTGTTTGTCTCTCCCCGAGCCGGCTCCCTTGAGCAGGCTCGCGATGACAGGCCGTATCGCAGCGTGTCCTACCATGCACGGTTGGATGGCTATTCTTTTGCCTTCTCGGGGAAGGGCGCTTTCGCTACCAAGATGTGGAGCGGATATTTTTGGTTCGCTGCGGTTATCGTGGATGTACTACTCGAGAGGAGAGATGGAAGGTTTGGGGAGCTGTCTCTGCGGTAGTCTGCCATGTCTCCGGGGACCTTAGTAAGGACAATGTAGTAGTGGGGAGAGAAGACACGAGGGGCTTAGAGGAATATGATCTCAATTGATAGGGTTGTACGCATATGAACAGGGGAAACGACCGATCAGTGATCCTGATTCAACTATCCCTACCTCAGTCCGATCCAGCGGCGACCGACTTCTTCGATGCACGCAATTGACTCTCTCTCTGTGAAGTGATCGATGCCTTCGCCTAGTCTGAATTCGGGGATACTGCTCGCGAGGTCCTGCAGTGGCTCTCATCGTGACCTTTACTTCAAGGCAAGGCTTCTATAACTTGTAAGCGCCACTTTTTTTCTGCGACTCGCTCCTCCCAGCACTTCTCAACTCAACCTCACTGCAACTCCAGCGCAATGGCGATCACCGAAACTTCTGAGAGGTAGCGTATCGGGTACGTGCACCGATGAGTCTGTCGTGGGCCTGCTAACGATGCGCCAGGAATGTCGTTCGAGTTGGCTTCGTCACCGTCGAAGTCGGGCCCGAGCGAGTGAAGCACTTCCTTCACAAAGCTTTACTCGAGGAACACTCAGAGTACAGCTCTCAACGGCTCGTGGAACGAAGCCGATGACAAAGTGGTGTGTCTCGACGACGTCGACTGTGGTACATGTAAGTATACATCGGAACTCATTCCCAAGGATGCAACCAATTGATATCTCATAGTCGAAGTCTTCGTGGATTAGCTATACACGCGCAAGCTTCCGCAACTCGATGAAGAGTGGAATTAGGAAGAGTGGGACGAAAAAGGTAATCATCTCAAACACGCTCAATGGGAAACCGCTGCGCAACTTGCGATGCTGAAGGCATACGCGTTCGCCGACCGTATGCTCTCACCGGATCTACGTAGGGCCTTGGGGTACCAGATCATTGACTTTTCCATTCTTCCCACAAGCAGACCCCGCTATGGAGCCATAATCTACGCGTTCGCTCACCTTCCCGAGAGCGCCCCGGTTCTAGAGCCATGATCGATGCTCATTGCCGGCACTTCAGACTGACCAGCAGGAGGCATAGCAAGGAGAACGGCGAGTGGCAGCTTCGTTCTCAGCTTCCTAACACCTTAATAATCGGCGTCATGGATAAGTTTGCGAGACTCAACGCACAAAAGCTGGCGAAGGTGGTGTTTCGCCGTGAAATTGTCCTCGGAGACTTTGTCGCCAAGCTGGACAGATGCGACTACCATGATCACGCAGGAAAGGAAGAGAAAAAGGAATGCCGTCAGAGTGCATCTACTAACGATGGCTTATAACAACTTGGAGAGCATCGTCAGCGGCTCTGACTAGGAAGACATGCGACTACATGACGATGTTTGATGGACCTGGTATGTTTTGCTGGAAGCAGGCGCAAACTTAGTACCTTCGTCACAGTAGAACTTACCGTATAAGGGCGCAGTATCACGAGATTGAATAAAATTGATAAAATACCCCGCTGTCATCCTAGTATTGGACGTAAGGGTTCCTTCTTCACTTTCACTTGCATCTGCCCGTTTGCTTGTTAGTCATAGCTTCGCCTCTCAATCCTTCCGCCCGGAATTTTCACCTCAACACAAGCACTGCAACGAAAGCAGGTCAAACTTATGCCAGCTCCACCATCGGTCTGGGGCCGACTGTAGCTTCAGACCAAGGCACTTCACCTTCGCCAGCCTGGCGGTACCTCCAATCTCCACCAACATAGCAACATCAGCAAAAGAGATTAAGGAGAACCCTGTGCGCATGGAGTACGTTGCTACTACTCGTGGTGAGTGCGGAGGAAGCTGACACACATGTTGGGCAGCAGCGCGCCGGGGCATCGTCACCGTCGAAGTGGGGCCCGAGTGTGTCAAGTACTAGGTCCATCGAGTAGTTCTCGCCCAGTACTCAGAGCACTTCAAGAGGGCTTTGGAGGGTCCATGGAAAGAAGCAGAAGAAGGCGTCGTACGATTGGAAGATGTCGAGCCTAAGACGTATAAGTTCTCTTATTCAATTTGCTGGCGTTTACTCATGCTATCAGTTGACTTCTTTGTAAACTAGATCTACACGCCAGACTATCTGATTATACACATAGAGATGTCAGCTGCGGGAGAGGAACAGCCCGACCAGTCCTGGGAAATCGACAGTATCAAGGCAGAGATCTTCGGTGATAGACTCCTCGCCTCTGAATTCGCCCAAACTATCCGGGAGGAACTAGTCGAGCGTCTCACACTCGGCCCAGATGTTAAGTAGGAAACGGTCATCTGGGCGTATGCCAATCTTGAGACTGGCCATACGATACTGAAACTTCTGGTGGATGTACGCTGCAAAGGCTACTTTGTCAAAAGAGACAATGATCATAACCATTTTCTGTCTCTACACGATCAACTACCGAAAAGGTTTCTGTTGGACGTCATGGATAGGTACAGTGAAGTTGGTAGTATGGCGGAGAAGGATCTGGGTGACCATGACTACCGTGGTCCCGATTCGGGAGAGAAGAGAAAGACCTGCGGTAGTTGGTAGAGAGAGGTACAAGCGAAACTCAGGCCTTTCATGTATGCGGTGGGGATATGGGTCCGTTATCGTACATGGAGCTCGTTCATGGCAAATTCTACGAAGCGTGTCAGAATAATTGGAACAAGTAACAAAGGTCCTGACAAAGCGCTCCAAGGACAGAGGGCTGTCAGATCATCAGTGAGTAATGATCAGTGCTCGTAGCTTCTACCTTCACCCAAGGTTTATATCAGAACCATTCACTGCTCCACCGCGCAGCTTCCTTCCCTTACCATTACACGCAACAAATGACAATGACAAGTAACGGCGAGAAGGAGGAAGTTTTGCTTCTCCTGTCCGCGCCCAGGACTCAGGAAGTAAAGTGGCAAAGCTAACAGCTATTTGCAGAGAGATCGTACGCAGTAATGTGGTCACTATCGAAGGCGGCCCTTAGGCAGTGAAGTACCGCGTGCACGAACCTTAAGCTGTTAGCCAGACTGATATAAGCACAGTGCCAAACCTGCGATTTATGAAATGCTCTTATACCTTCAGCCGTACTGTTTCTGTGATCATGACCTTGGTTCAAGGTACCACCAGCCTCGCCTTCATTTACACTCCCTCTCTCGCCGAGACAAGCTGCCACTGCTCCACGTCGCCGCCGTGGAAAAAAGCACGATAGATCATTTCCGGGTAAGTTTCTGCTCTTCATAGTTTCGCATTGAGCGCTCTAATGTATCTGGTGATGTAGCGTGTGAGACTATCGTCACTGTTGTGGTTGGGCGGTAGGTGAATAGTTGGTGTCTTTTTTAACCGTGGGATCGAATGGGGCGAGAGGATGGTTCACACAGAGTTTCTATTAAAGGAGAATTGCTTACCACTGTCACAGTACATCGAGATACAAATGACCTTCCTACACATCGTTAGGAAACACCGTGCTCTCGGTATCGTTGAGGCGAAAGTACTTTGCATCCAGCTGCTTCGCCTGGACAGCCTTTCATGCCGCGAAATTCCGAGGCAAGACCCGCGCGGAGAAGTTGTGAGGCAGTGTTACCCAGACAAAATTAAGGCCGTAGAGTAGGATGTTGTTTAAGTGCTGTGGGCCCACCGAATTAAGGGCGCAGAGTGAAGCGGTTAACTCGTGGATGTGATAACACTCGTAGCAAGACAGATTGAGCAAGTCGGCGAATAAGTCAGCACAATTTCACACGCTGGAGTTCGTGTCTCGTGATTCACGATTGCGTCGTGCTCAAGCTGGAGTATCTTGTACCGTGCCCCCTAGAGATCTCAAGCCTTAAGGTCTTGTCGCGTGCCATTTGTTCCTGGAAGTGGGTCGAGTACATGGTGAGGATGCTCTCGGGACTTTCGAAACTCAGGCCTTGTGCTATGACCGTGACTAGAGGGTCTGGCGCCGTCCTGAGCGCATGAGCTGATGCTTCAAACGTTTGTGCCATCTGATGATGTACGCGACATTGTGCCATCTACGCGTCTGAGGTACCCTGGGCATGTTGATCGCTGCTCTCATTTTCCTAGGTCAAGGTTCGTCGAACAGCTACTAGCCGAGATTCGATCAAGCGTTCGAATGTGTGTCTGCTGTAGAGGACACCGAGAAGGGAAACGAGTCGTGGCTTGTTGGTTCTCGTCACAAGCTTGATAGTTTCAACCCATTCCAACGCCAGTGCTTACAACCCCAGACACCTCATCTGTAACCGTCACTACAGTGAGCTACCTCCATTTGTTCAGCTTGCTTTTCTGGAAGCATATCAACTGAGACTCGAGCTGAGTTGGGTACCTAGGACCGCCTTCAGCGAAGGTGAAATCGTCGTCGTCGACATCGCAAATGGTATCAAACATCACATTCGCCGATGTTTGCCCGTTCAGCACAGCCAATACCTTGAACACAGCTCTGAAGTCCGTGGAAGGAGGTCAAAGAGGGCATGCTTCGTCTTGAAAATGTGCAGCGTAAGCCGTGTGGGCATCTATTCGCTCGTGAGCATTTGACCTGTTTCTAGCAAGCCCTAAAGTCGACATCTTCGTGACATGGCTGTATACTCAGACGATCACGGTGCGGTCTCAGTCTGGAAAGACTATGGATGACCTGGCGGACATTGCGGAGCTTGGAGCGATCATGCTCGGCGATCGCCTCCTGGTACCATCTTTCCAGAAGGCGATGAAGGCCCACACCATCGAGTTGCACACCAGCAGAAGCAGAGCGGCACCCTTCAGCGTCATCGCATACGCGTATCGAAACCTGCGCGATGACAGCTATATTCTCGAGATGCTTGCAGAGATGCATGTCAACTTCGACGTCGAGACGGTCCCCACGAAGACCGCTGGGCATGTCGAAGTCGAGACCGATTTACCTTCCGGATCCCCCCACAGTGTCATGCACAAGTATGCACAGAAGAACGTCGTGTCGAACCGGGACCGAGCGCGCGCATGCGACTACCTCGGACACAGCACTCCCACCAGAAGACGCTACAGTGAAAAGTGTACCAGGTGCCTCAGAACTATGAGCAGCAATTACACCGAGACGGACGAGGAGTACTGCGATGAAGTCTGCGGGAGCTTCGGTCATCTATGAGCCCGAATATTATCAGAGGATCTGATTGTTGGATGGAATTAGTTTCGGGGGGTTTAATGGAGAGCTGCGAAACGCAAATCAAGGTCCCAGCTCAGGTTTACAGCCAGGCAAGTGTGCGTAGACCATAGAGGAACGGAAGCGGATATGGCTCGTACGGGAGCGGATAGACGCTCGAACCAGCGTCAGCCGTATGCGCTTTGCGTGACATAGCGGACGGGGAGGAAGAGAGACAAAATCGCGCCTCTCAGGTGCTGCGTAATCAAGAATATCATTGTACACCCCACATACCGGTATCGACGGTGCGATATGAAGAGGTTTTCCCCGCATAACGTATGAGATAGAAGCTGCATTCCTCTGTTAATTTCTCCATAATCTTGCGCTTGCCAGGCATCGTTGACAACGGTCGAGCAGTATCGCCGGCCTTTGCGTCACACCTGAGACATCTAGCCTTCCAAATCTCTTTCAATCTATGTGCTGTGCCTCGCTACCGGATAAACTTGAGCAGGCCTACGCAAGAATTTCCAGACCTTGACGGAATTTCTTATCTTGCGGAAGGGGATGCAATATCTGCAATAAATCTAAGTGTGCTGGGATCATGAGACCTCTTTACGTAGAGTTTTGAATGAACGGCAGTTGAGGTCGTGATCGTCATCGCTGGCATCGCCGATAAATTGTGCTAACGTTCAATCGCCGCGGCTTTTTGCACGTACACAATGCACATCCATGGCCTTGATGGTGCTTAACGCGGGTCAATATACCTCTTTTCAGGGTCTCCTTTCGCTGCTTGTGAGGAACAAGATGTTGCTGGCTCCTTACTCGAGGCATTGCGACCAGTCTCAGGCGAGTGGCAGTCTTGGAGACGCAGCCCTCATCTATCGTATGGCGTCCGCCGAGCTCGTAACTACTGCGTGCCGTGTTTTTATCGAGTCTCGAAGCTGAAGGACGCTGTTCAGAGGGTGCCTGCAGGCTCGGGAGGTCCAAAGATGTTACTCTGCGACACATACCAAGCCCCATTCTCCACCAATCCCCGCATTTTCGCCGTGTGCCGCTGCGGCCAGCCGTCAGCAATTTGTCGATGGGCCCAGATGGAGCATAAGGCGATGGTGAATCATGAGTAAATGTAACGGCTATCATTGGTGCAATAATTGAACGCTTGGCGGTCGATCTCGAACCGACGGACAAATTCAAGGCCCAGCAGTCGGTGACCTTACCAAGCATCCCGCCCTGGCCCGCATGCGCACAACTGCCCCAGAAGATGTGACTTTAGCGGCCATTCTAACGGCATATTCACCGTCCAGCCATAGAACGGGTTTAGAGGGAGACAAACGCGCGGGTTTCGCGGAAGCTTGGTGCTTCCACCTGGCTTGGATATGGTGCTATCTTACATACTATCAGTCTTCAGACGCACGGCGATCAATCTTCACTTTGTTTTATATCGCATCAGACGGTTAGACCTGCAGCCATCCTCTGTTTTGGAGGTCTGTATTCATCCATAAGCTGCCCCACAGCCCGGGTCTTTCGTCGAGGACACGGAGACATGGTAGAGGCGGCGGCCGTTGGAACCTGTCAATTGTATACCGCCCGCCGCATCGTCGCCGAAATCCAGCACCGCGTTAACGGCTTCAACGCCTACGGTTAATACTGCCTTCCTCGAGTAGCGCGCGACACTCGTCGCTCACATCGCAGCCTTACATGGCGACCATGGTGCAGGCCGAGAGCGTAACCACGACGCACCTCAAGACTCCTGAGGTCACTATCGATGTCCACGAGGTCCCCGGCGCGGTAAAGCCGTCGCTGCTGATCCTCCACAACGAAGGAGAAGAGGACATCGTGGGCATATTTGCAGATGTACTGGGACAGAAGTGGGAGTCCACGTCCTCGGTAGACGTTGCGAAAGCAGGGCCCCCAGAGACGGTCTATGGCTTGGGAATAGGAGCTGTTGGCGCACAACTGGACGGCTGGGACCGGTCAAGATTACTGATCAACACACACCGCGTGGACGGAGGCCATGAGCTGGACGAAGCCCTCACTGACCGCTGCGACTACGAGTACCTCTACACACGCACGCCATTCTTTCGGCGAGACGTCTCGCGCTACCTCTCCCTGATCTTGGGGCAGATTGCGCCTCACAGAGATCTGGCGAAGAAAGCGCGCACCACACTCATCTCCACGACCTTCCCCGACGTACACGCCGCGCTACCAAACCTCGATATACTCTCAGTCGGCGCCGACGCCATCGAGATACGTGTGGATCTGCTGGAAGAGCCACTCGCAGATGGCACTGTGGCGAAGGCGCCCACTAAGATACCCAGTCTGAATTATGTGGGAGAGCAGGTCATGATCCTGCGCCAGCGCACAGAGCTGCCCATCATCTATACAACGCGATGCACCAACGAGAACGGCCGGTTCCCCATGGACGATCCCAATCTCTTTTACAAGTACTTGGCGCGCGCGATACAATGGGGTTGCGAATACATTGACGTGGAACTGTGGTTGCCAGAGGAGATTAGACGGAAGCTTGCAGAAAACAAGGGCTGCAGCAAAATCATCTCTGCGTTTCACGACTTCTCGGGCACGTTCCGGTGGACAGCGCCAGAGACACAAAGACTGTTCGAACGGGGAGCGGTGTACGGAGACATCGTAAAGATGTACGCGCTAGTAAATTCCATGCAGGAGAATTACGAGCTTGAGTACTTCAGATCGACCATCCAAACGAAGTATCCACACCCGCCTTTTTCTGGACTGAACATGGGCCCGACTGGGCAGCTGTCACGTACCATGAACAAGATCTTCACTCCGATAACACATCCACTGCTGCCAATGATTGCAGCGCCTGGCCAACTAAGTGCTGCCGAGATTAACGCAGCACTCCACACCATGGGTCAGGTGCCAAAACAGGACATCTATGGTATCGGCAGTGTCCGGTCCACTTCACAAGCAATGTTCTTCGAGAAGTGCTTCAACGAACTTAGCTTGCCGCATTCTTTCATGTTTGCGCCTAGAACACCAAAGGCCTCGATCGAACACATCCTTCGACGACCTAATTTTGGAGGAGCATACATCAATCCTCCATTAGCGGCATCTTCGGCTGCATATCTGCCCTCCCTGTCGAATGCTGCGCGGGCTATCGGACAGGTGGACACGGTGCTGGTACGCCCAGGCACTAACAGCCCATCCTTCATCGGTGACAATGCGAGATGGAAGGGTATTCGCGCAACATTGACCCGCGATTTCGTGCCTTCGGCATATAGCGGAGCAGCCGCACTTCTCCTTGCCAGCAATGAGGCTGACGCATCAGCATCGATCTTCGCACTGAAGAGTTTAGGCATAGGGCCAATCTACACAATAGGTTTCAGATCGAACGGCCCACTTTCAACCGATGTGCAGCCTGTGCGCTCCGTAGAGGACGTAAAACGATTGCAGCAGCCGTTTGTTATCATTTCGGCACTTCCAGCAGAGAAATCGCTACTCGTGATTCCTTTGTTGAAGCACTACAGAGTTGACGGACGTAATGGCAGCACGAACGGGCACGGCGGTGCCGGAGGGAAGCCTGCAGGCAAGGTGTTCGTCGACTTGGCCAGTGGGCCCCGTAAAGCTGACCCACTGGCTATTGCAATGTCGGCAGGTTGGACTGCATACGGGATTAGTGATGTCTCGGCGTGGACCACAGTCGAAACACTCAGGCAGCTTGTTGGGCAGAACGTGTGCTACGATTTCGTACGGTTAGCATCTGGGAGGGGTCTTTTTTAGAGTCGAGTAATCAACACAAGTATCATACAGATGAGTTCACGTAACGGTCTGTGGCTAATATGCACCGGGAGCAACGTACAGGGCGGGATAGTCCTGAATCCTTTTCGTACGCACCAGGTCATTCACCGCCAATCGCTGCTGCAGATTGCCGGCGCTCCCAGGCCATCCCGGATGGCTCGAGATGAGAATGCCTCGTGGGCGCCGTGCAGTAGTGCACTGCACACTCAGTACTGGCATCGACCACATGCTGGCAGTTGCAGAGGTCTGGATTGGCTCGCTTGCAGCAGTCTCAGCTACCCCGGATTTCTCACAACTCGAAAGGTACGTGCCACTTTTGCTCCGGCGCCAAAGAACTGCGCTATACTGCGCACAGAATAATGCGTGCGACGCATGCAATCTAACGCCCAAATTGCAGCCAAATGTCAGGGCTACTACAGCCGAGGCAGAGTGCGCTGCTGCAGAGGACTGCATTCAGTGGACCGCTGCGCACTAGCCTCCACCCCCGGCCATGGCCTCATGATGCACTCAGATTTGCTGCCCTCTCCGCACTTGCGTGCCCTGGCCCCTGGGCGTCTGCTGCTTGGATGCGCCGTAGCCATAAGCGCGCCGAGCAGCGACAAGCATACGGCCTTCGGTCCAACGGTGCTTCACGACTGCCGCATAAAGATGGCCCGAGATCGCCCATCACGCGGTGCCCCAGTAGTCTCCAGCCGTTCGGCCCAGCATTTCCTGGTACTGTCCTGCGATTCACGCACGCGAACTCGTTTCAGTCCGAGAAGGCGTTCGCTCCCGCAGATGCTCATCAAGCCTTGCTCTGTGCGAGCCCCCTGCGCATCCCCACTGTCAGAGGCCTTAATTTGAACTACTGCAGCTGGCGTGTGCATGCTCATTGCCGTGAGCTTTCTTCTTCCCAACGTCTCGTTCGCGCTGTGACGTTCCAAGTGCTGGCCGCCGTATCATGCTTCTTCGTTGTTCCAACCCGCCGTTATAATGTCCACCGAGGTCTCGCAGTCACTGGCAGCCGCGATGTCGAGGCCTCAGATCGGCATCGACCGTCTGCCTGCCCGCCGGGTCTCGAACGAGCCGCGAGAGGCTATGAATTGCAAAAGCTGTCGCAAGCGAAAGGTGGTGTAGCTCTTCCACGTGGTGACGACTGCGCTGACAGGCTGTCCACAGATCAAGTGCAACCGGACACGACCAACCTGTGAAGCGTGTCAAGTGTTTGCTGTTCCTTGCATCTACGGTATGCTCCACTTGCTGAAGGGTGCTTGCAGTCATGTGTTAACACCCCGCCAGACGCAGTGCCAAAGAAGAGAGGACCCAAGACCGATGTCCTCGAGGCCTTGCTGAAGCGCGTCGATGGCCTGGAAAAGCGCCTCCACTCAGAAGGAAAGAGCGATGAGCTGGTTGAGGAGCTCTCCTCTGCGATCCACGATGCCGCCGACAGCTCCAAAGCCAGCAAAGCCTCACCGAACTCACAACACGCTGTCGACATTGCGCCAAATCACAGCAACACAAATATCAGCAGTCAGCTGATGTCGCCCATTGAACCAAAGTGCGGAGCCGCAACTGCACTTGCATGAGCCTTCCACGTGCTAACGTCTCGCAGCATACAAATACCAGCGCTTGCTCCAGATCTATTGCTCGACACCTACTTCGCCAGATTCCACGGAAAGCCATATTACATCCTCGACGAGGCAACGACGCGGCAGCGGTTACAAGCTAACCAGCTACCGTCACATCTAGCATTCGCGATTTACGCAGTCAGCGCAAGGTAGGACACCTCCCCTTGAAAGCTGCGCTGGAGGCTAACTTGTCCAGATATGCACCTCACTTCGGCGGCTACAATGCCGCAGTACGAATGGGCTCCGAGTACGCGCGACGAGCACGATTGGAGCTTGACATCGACGAGCCTTCAATTGAGGCATTGCAGACATTGATGCTTCTTTCTCAGGCAAGCTTTCAGCTGGGGAAAGGCAAGAAGACGTTCATGCTTCTCAGTAAGGTCCACAGCACCCCTGGACACGATCAGACAGCTAACACCAGGTTCAGACGCCGCCACAAGCATGGCATTTGCTCTCGATCTCCACCGCGAACTGCCACAAGGCTTGAAAGTCACACCCGCCGAACGAGAGGGGCGGCGACGACTCTTCTGGTCATGCTACCTCATGGACCGATTTGCAGCCACTGGCTCCAAGCGCCCTTCCCTTGTACCAGACGAATCGATCGTACTTCGCCTACCAAGCTGGCAGCTGCACCCTGGCGCAATGCTGCTAGAAGGCGACTACTTCCCCAACGGACAGAACTTGCAATATATGGGCGGCTCTGGAAAGGGAGGACAAGGCAGCATGGGCATGCTCATTGGCATCGCCAGAATTCTGGGCATCACAAACCGCTACCTTGCGGCCGGAGGTGTCAAGGGTGACTCGCACTTCCCCTGGCATTCACTCTCCAACCTCTCCAAGATCCGTCAGGAGCTCGACATCTGGGCATCGGAAACACAAGATACATTCACCTCGATCGAGGCGTTGTTTGGACAAACCGACAGCACTATCCTAGTCCTCTCGAAGCTAGTGTATCACTTGATACATTGCTTGATCTACCGCCCATTTCTACCGGTTGATCTGACTGAACTCTCGGGAACATCACAGCATCAACCCTGGCAGATTGAAGCAACAAACTTGTGCTTTCTTCATGCTAATGCGATCGCTGAACTAGTTGAAATAGGAAGAGCCTCCTCTATCATCGATTGGCCGGCTTTCGTAGGCTACTGCGTGTGCACCGCTGGTACTATTCACGTACATGGCGCGCACTACCCTGCAAGGGAAGGAGAAGTATTCTCCGTCAGTGCAGAGTTTCTCTCTCGGGAGATGCAGCAGCTCTCTGAGCTACGTTTCATTTGGACAGGGGCCCAGCACCAGCGAGAGACCCTACAGACCATTTACGGATGCCACACCGAGCTTGTCACATCATTGGCGAGCAACCCAATGCGCTTTTCCCCTGTGTTTCAACTCGAGGATTTCTTCGACAGGTACCCAGGCCAAGTGTTCGATGGATCGCACGTCACTTTCACAGATATACAGGTGGAGTCTATCCATGAGGGGTCAGTATCACCGTAATCCATAAAGCTACGATGCTAACTAGTTCCCCAGGCTTGCGACGTACAACATCGAACAGCGCAATAACATGTACATGAGCAGTGGCATAGTCGGTAGCTACCAACAACAGCAGCCTGTGCAGCCTCACTACTCTAACGGCCAGCCTAACAAGAGGCGCCGAGCAACGCACTCCAAAGCAACACCTCAGATACAATCGGCACCCCTGCCGACGCCTACATCTGCCAACTACCCTCTGACCGTCAAGACTTCAAGACCCTCCGATGCCGGGCTTTCCGACACAACCTCGAACCCAAGCCCTGGCGACACACGGGTCAACGGATCAACGCATCCTCCTCACCCACCGTTCACACCACCCCCAAACAACAGCACGATCAACATGCCGAGTGCAACTAACGGGACCCACACCAACCAGGCTGGTGGTCTCGCCCTTCCATTCAGTCCGAACTTCTCCTTCTCGCCACTGCCGCAATTTGCAAGCCTTGCTCCATCGCCAGTGCCTCGTGCGGCGCACCTTAGTGCGAACAACGACACCCAAATACCGCATTTCGATCCGATGCTAAGTATGCCGACACCCTACGACCAGCAGCCGACACCAGGCGCCGGCAGCACGTCAGGCGCATCAGTGCATACAGATCCAGATAGCAAGGATCCATTCCTGAGCCTACTGGAGCAGCTCGCAGAGAATGAAGTTAGCCGTGGTGGACCCAGCGAACTGGACTTCTTTTTGAGTGGGCAGAGCGGGTGACTTCTTTCAGCTGCCTGAAAAGGACATACCTCCGCGAAGGTTCCGCGGTACATCAAAATTCCCAACGCATCAGATCGCTAACCACATTTCATCATCACTTCGCTTCTGTAAATATTGTAATAGCTTTGAAAGCTACAGCACGGCATTTCTAGGGACATCACAAGTTGGATGAAGACCGGGAGTGGTCATCACCTTTTGGACAGCAGCGAGGCGCTTTGGGATCCTGGAAGCTGGTGTATGAATCATTGACACCATCATGGGATCACGTACAGGAAAAACGGTCCTAGAGATGTACTAGCCATCATATTGTACATGTGTAATGAGCGAATATCATTACCTCGCAACGGATTGCATTGCGACGCACTTCATGTACCTTTTCCGATCGGTTCTGCTAGTCCTGCAACCTCGATCCTAAAGAGAAATCGCAAATCCGTGGGTTCCTAGGTAGTAGTCACCGTATAAGGACAAGGACCTCGGTGGCAGCGCCGACCCACTCAAACTCACGCCACACTTCTTGTGGGATTTGATTGATTATCTCCACCTTCCAGTCCATCTCCACACACACTGTGTGGATGACCAGAATACGGGCTGTGGAGAAGCTGACAGCGCCCGAGCAATAGGGACGGGCATGCTACCCACGATAGAAGCTTAACCGGCCCGGCCGCGGAATTTTGCCAATGCGGTTAGTGCTAGAAGCCGAGGTTAGTGCTCGAAAGAGGAGTGTGGTCAAGTGGTCGAGTGAGCTCCTTGTGAAGGATCGATATCCTGGGAGGATAACGGTGGGCACTGGTGCCCCAGATCTGCTCGACCAAGCACCCCGGCTTCTGGCTCAAGGCAGGGTGCTCACTGCTGACGGAGGTACTGGGGTACTGGAGCTTAGCGAGCGGGCTAAAACGGTGCGAATACGGATGCGAGATGGGTGTCATGGGCGCGAAATCGTCGGACTGTTACAATGCCGGGGTTTGAGGAGATGAGTTGTGTGATGGCATTCAATGTCTGCTCCGTCACAACTCATCTGTCTGTTGTCCCTCCTGTTGTGCATGTACAGCTCCAACATTCGTCAGCTACCGGAGCCATGTTTTGATAGATTGGAAGGATCATATTGATCTCACTGCTTGATGGGCCACTGTTGAGAAGCATCCGACCTGGCTGTTCTTGCCTGTTCCACCCAATCATTGCAATCACGCTCCACGATTCTTCAACTCACCGAAATCGGAGTTGACAGCCAGACCCTGTCCACCCCGGCCACGTTGCCATCTGCGAGGGTCTAGACAAAGTGGCAGTGATCATCAGGGCCAGTGGGTGCTGAGACCAGAATGAGGGCACAGGCCCGAGTCCACACAAGGGTGTTGATGAAGGCAGTGGTAGGGCTGTGTCTGATCAACAGTTGATCTTGCAGTCCCGGTGCAGCTTCGAGAATGAAGAGTGATCTCTGGAAGGTGGATACTAGGGAACCTGGGGTATAGAGGCATAGTCGTGAACCCTGTGTACGTGATGGAAGTCGTATTGCTGTAGGATAGTATGCCGCATTGAGACCGCGAGAATGAGAGAGACCACCGGACAAGAGCAGAGGTGTGTCAGACTGTGGTGTTCCACGTGCAGGACTGGCAATATTGCATGCATTAGACCAAACAACGGTTTGCAAGCGAAGCGTGGGGGAAGCTCGTCCCTCATGCAGGACCCGTAATTGCTTCTCGTAGCGATCATGTCGGTAGACAAAAGGAAAACTTTGTTGATTTCCTAGAGCTGCGGCGGGTACGGGACGAAGTAATGCAGCGTGGTTGAAGCGTTGATGATTGATGCGTGTAATTGATTATTCACATGTCATTCAGGGCAAGGGGCTGTGTCAAATAAATCAACTTGGTTTCTATGTTGATCCATACGCTTTCGCCTTGTATGGACGCCTGATCTACCTCTTGCATGCTGAATATACACGCGGTGGAGTGGATACACGATTTAGGTCATGGTGACCAGCTCCTCTGCAGAGACGGGATGGATAGCCTGCATATTAAGTTAGCTCAGTTTAAGCACGGTAGTACAACCGCCAAGTTCGTTTCCCCGCATCCACGGCCTTGTTGTGCTTGTGCTGGTGCCTGACACGGTCTGCATACGCCTCACCCGCCAGCGTAGCACTTGGCGCACGTGGCGCGGGAAAGGAACAAGACCGGAAGGAAAGGGTCACACTTACCACACAGTTATCAAAGTCCTGCTTTGTAGCACCCATCTTGATCGCCACACCGAAGCCCTGCAGAATCTCACTGCTGCCCTGACCCAGGATGTGCAGACCGACGACCTTCTCCTCCTCACCAACGCAGACGATCTTGTACGCTGTGGGCTGCTTCTCCTCGGGCTCCATCATGGCGAAGTACATGGCTGTGAATTCGGTCTTGTAGATCTTGACCTTGTCACCGTACTTCTCGCGCGCTTCCGGCTCAGTAAGACCAATGGAACCGATCTCAGGGTGCGCGAAGACAACGCTGGGAATATTGTCGTAGACGAGATGGGCATCCTTCTTGCCGCCAAAAAGACGGTCTGACAGACGGCGACCGGCCGCGATGGCAACAGGAGTCAGCTCGTAGCCGCGGTCGCAGACATCGCCGATGGCGAAGATGTTCTTGAGATTGGTGTTCTGGTACTCGTCCGTTACAATGTGGTTCTTGTCGTTGAGCTTGATGCCAAAGTCCTTGATGTGCAGGTCTTCGATCTCAGGGTCACGACCGGTTGCGAAGAGGACGGCCTCCACTTCGACTGTGCCGGTCTTCTTGGAGTCCTTCTCTTCGTATGTAACGCGCTTCATGCCGTTGCCAATGTCCTCGACCTTGATGATCGATGTGCCCTTGTACAGGTTGATGCCCTGGCGCTCGTACTCTTTGGTGACAGCGTCCTGGATCATAGGGTCGAAGGTTCGCAGGAGCTTGTCGCCACGAATGAAGAAGTGTGTCTTGCTGCCCAGTGCGTGAAGCATACCCGTCATCTCAACACCAATGTATCCTGCACCGCTCGTGGCAATGCTCTTGGGCTGCTTCTCGAGGTCGAAGAAGCCATCGCTGTCGATGGTGAGCTCCTTGCCAGGAATATCGGGCTTCTTCGGTCGACCGCCGGTCGCGATGAGGATGTGCTTTGCCTTGACACGCTGGGTGCCTCCGTTCTCGAGCGCAATCTCTACCTCGTTCTCGGCGACAAACTTCGCGCGTCCCCTGATGTGCTTGATCTCATCTTTGTCGAGGTTCCTCTCGTAAATGCCGTTCAAGCGCTTAACGTAGGCGTCGCGCTTGTTCTTGAAGTATGGCCAGTCGAACTCAGGTTGCTCCTTGACCTGGAAACCGTATGCCTTTGCGTCCTTGAATGTCTCGGCGATCGCGGCAGCATTCCATGTGACCTTCTTGGGCACACACCCAACGTTCACGCAGGTACCGCCATAGCGGCTCGATTCGACTGCAACAACCTTTGCGCCGTGCTTTGCAGCTCGTCTTGCGGAGGCGATACCTCCACTGCCGATACCAAGGACGAGGTAGTCGGCTTCTTCAGTGTTCTCGATAGGTGCCATTCTGACTGTTGACGTGGAGAAGTGGGAAGAGAGATTCGATAGGCGCGTAGAAGCCAGTTTTACTTCGGTGGTGGCTTGGAAGTGGGACCGGGGGAGGAAGCTCGTGGATGGAGGGGTACTATGCGAGAGACTCGGTGTGTGAGCTCGTAGCCTACAAACAATTGTTCTACGCATTAATGCAGCAAGTGGGGTACCGGCTCAACTTATAAGATGACGCAAGGATAACCAAAAATGGATTTGCAATTGCAGTTTAGTAAGCCTATTCGTCCGGTGCTCCGAATGCAGAAACGCTTCACTGCTTGGTGAGCGGCCAGCAAATGCGTGGTCTAGAAGACTGAACGAATGAGTGTTGACAGATAGGGACCGAGCTCGTCACTATGCAATGCGTGCGCGACTTGTCCTGTACGAGGCGCACAAAGAACGCGAAATGAAATGGCTTTTTCGAGATGGTGATGACGGAAGTCTCGAGCGTCAATTGCGGAAGGCGTGCATAGCGCTAACCTCCTTTTGATAGCTAGGCTGCGCTGACCTCATGGATTCGAGCTGGAGCTTCACAACAGCTCGTATGATCACGCGTTGAACTTCAAGCCTCTTCCAGGTACAATAGCTAAGATACTGGGCATGGGAATATGCACATTGTTAACAGCTAGACGACTATATTCCTTCAGTTGAATTCCTGGAGCGACCACACCGCGATACGAACACCTCTACCGCAAGCATGGGTGGAAGACTTTCAACGCCGAAAGGAGCTGATGGTATGAACGAGAGTTCAAAACCTCACTCCAATGATGCACCTGCACGTCTCTCGCGGGGTGGCGGGATTATCAATGGTCGAGTGGGTGCTCTCCAAGCGTGACAGCATAAGCAACTGCTGAGTCCAGACAGACCATGATGGCACCACTGGCTGCCATCACGATGGCCGGCATCCTCTTCGTCTACGCCAGAACCTCGATCCGCGCCGCCAAACTGAACGCTCAGAAACACAGGGAGGCAGATGGAGGGCAGATCAGCTGGCACAAGGAGAGCTTGAGGCGACATGGTCAACTAGAACGCGTGGACAACGATCGCGACACCTTGAAAGAGGCGCTTGCTTCGAGCTTCTCAAGGAACAAGAAGAGGACCAATACAGAAACTGAAGAGAAGCCACGCAGAGCGTACTCGAAAGACGAGGAGGAGCTGCGCAGAATCGTAGGCAAGAAGGACTGATTGCAGCACTCTCTCTGGATGTGCTGGAGTTTTTATTCAGACTGCGTTTCAGTACATCGACGAGGCTCTCAGGTCAGTAACACGTGCGTGCGCTTTGATCAGCGATAGCCGTGGTGGACGACTGCTCGAGGTATTATATGCAATGAGGGTCAGCAAGACTGCCACGTGCAGTGCAATCGACATGTCATGGCATCAGACTTGGCACCGCAATCTAGCATGTGGAAACGGTGCGATAAATACAAAGAAGCCTAAAAGAGCCGCGGCCACCACGGTCGGGCACCTCCGCGGCCGGTAGCCTCTTGTCTTACACGACAGCTGTGAACCAGACTTCAGCAGCATGCATCACATTCACTGAAGCTGCAAGACATCAGCGGCCATGTGCGGCACAAGATAGTAAAGTGCAGACGGTGTAGCGAACCAGAATTGAAGCTCATCATTCGATGTGTCGTCGCAACTGGTCGGTCGCGATCTGATTCGCCGAAGCTCTCATCAGTGCGGTTGTGGCCTCAAGCTTCACATGCTCATGATTGGAAGACCCCGCATTTGACCAGAGCTCTGGAAATGCAAGATGAACGACCAAATCTGACAATGCCATGTATTTGCGACTGCAATTGCTCTTCAAGAAACGAGACCATGAAGCAGTGATATGCGGCGAAGTCTTTAGTGTGTTGCATGAGCGATTTGAGATGTCCAGTCAAGATATGTGTAGTTGGTCAGATCACGGTGCTGTAGCCAATCGCAATAGCTTAGGCTGTTTCGTTGCTTTAGATGGCACGAAACCCCACCACAGCATCATCGTGCTCCCCCGACTCGATACGCAACACAGTCAAACATCAGCCATTGTCACCCACCCTCCCTCGCAGCCATACACGAAAACCCTCCGCCGCCGTCGCGCACCCCCACCGCCCACACCAGCCTGACCTCAAAGCGGTCTTGATGGAGCTTGCCCGGCTACTGGCCCAGTCGCGATTGCCGTAGGAAGACGCCGCGTCTTCCACAGCTAGCGATAGCCAGTATGCCCGAGCAGGAGGAGAGTAGACAGCAGCTCACCGCCATTGCCGGTCCGCCGCGAGACCTCACCGACGTGTCACGAGCTGTGCTGCGCAGCGAGCAGGCCAAAAGATGGACCAAGAGATACAGGACTGAGGTTGCAGCGAGCTCCAGCAGCTTGCTATCGACAGTTGTTGCAGTACGTACAGTACTCAGGAGATGTGCCAATTAAGGTCTCTGCTGATATCTCGCAGTACCCTCTCGATTCCGTGAAGACACGCCTGCAAGCGTACGTGCGCGTCATCGACTTCTACGAGCACTGCTGACTACAATAGCTACAAATTCAACTCCTTCAGCGACTGCGTACGCCACACATATCAAACAGAGGGTGTGCATGGATTCTGGCGAGGTATTGGTCACACATACAATGGTCTGGGTGCAGAGCTGACACGTCCCTGATAGGTGTTTGGTCACCCCTGGCCAGCATCACCCTCGTCCGAACTGTCTCTTTCTCGATATACCAGCGCTCCAAATACACCGTCGACGACTGGATATATCAGGCAACTGGCAGCTCGCCGCTCGTTACTGCCAATACGAAAGGTGCATGGCCTACGCTATCAACGATAACATGCTTCGGTCTTGCAGGAGCCACTGCCGGTGCCACAATCACGGCAATCGCCTGTACGTTGCAATGAATTCTACTACAACTGCGGAGCTAATACAAAGGAAGGCCCGTTTGAGTTGACAAAGCTGAGCGCCCAGATCTCTGTGCTGATGGCTGACCGCAACGACGGCTGCAAGCAAAATGACGCGATACGAAAGAGCTATCAGAACCTAGGAACGATTAAGACTGCGCAAAATTTGGTCAGACATCGAGGCTGGACTGGGCTGTATTCTGGCTTTCATTTGCACTTGCGTAAGGAAATCGGAGTTTTGTGGGGACGGACAAAGACTGACCGACTGTAGTTCGAGACTCGATCGGCACCGGCATCTACTTTGTCACGTATGAAAGCGTGAAGCAGATCCTTGCCAATGCACGAGGCACTTCTCCTACACACCCACTAGCTGTGGTGATTGCTGGAGGACTGTGCGGTCTTGTCAGCTGGGCTTGTGTGAGTTCACTCCCCGCGTAATTCTAGCTGAAGGTACTGACACTGTCTCAGATCTTCCCTATCGACACTGCCAAGAGTATCTATCAGCGCAACTGTCTTGTTGGCGGCAAAGACAAGCAGACTCGGCCAAAGATCCAGTTCCTGAATCCACGGATGTACCGAGGTGAGTCTCCTCCACATCGTCTCTTCCTGTGCAAACTAAACCAACTAATTCTTCAGGTCTGGGGGTCTCTATGTCTCGATCGTGCGTTGTGAACGCCATATTCTTTACCGCATTTGAGTTTACCAAGAAGCGCATCAACCGTATGGATGTCGATGAAGAGCTCCTGCGCCGACACGACGAGGGTGTTGATTGATTTATACCATACCCCAGATCTGCGATTCGATTGTACATGCATAGGATTTGGAGTAGCAGTGCGAAAATAGGAGCACTAAGGAGTCATATTGGCGCCACATACGGTATGTAAGGTAGTATTGATCGAGTGCCTGTTTACTTGCATAGCATTGAATACAATGCAACTCTTACATAACATAGACTTGTCTGGTCTGTTTGAAAGCCGACCTGCATGTCTCGGTCATTCTTCCCCGCCCAGTCAGATACATTGTCCGCCTCCGTTTCCATGCCCTGAAGGGCCTTGGTGCTTCGCTCAAGAAACGAGTTGTCCTTCGTCCTTCACACTCTTGTTGCTGATCCATAGCATGGCGTATACCTCGTCTGGCAGCTGCTCGAGGTCGTATCTATCCTGATTGTCATCACGTGCGTCGACTAGCATTTTTAGGAGCGCTTTTACTTCAGGCATTCCCTCCAAGCCGCATCCAATAGTAGCAATGAACCGCTATCCACGCGCGGAAACAAGCTTCTGGAGTCTTTGGGTCTTATGGTGTCGCGAATCTGTGGAAGGTGACACACCTCAGATAGTTGGATTACTGGAATGGAAGGAAGAGTTGTTCTGCTGACTGGGTGAAGAAGGTAGATCAAGCTTGGCAGTGACAGCTCGCATCCGCTCATGGAAGTTTGCCCCCGGACGTTGCTGCTCCAGCTCGCTGTGCTTCATACCTGCACCTCAACGGGCCATCTGGAAATATGTCCCCTCCCTGTTCACACTACTTCCCAAACTTTTCGATGCGTGGCATCTCATTTGTCGCCTCTCTCGTCGTCTGAGGTATGTCCATGGTCGTCGCAACGATCCAGAACTTTCTTAGTGCCGCATGTATCTTAGCATGATACCCACCAAGAAGTCTTGTGGCAGTTGTGATTTAAGCTCCAGCTCCCCACTATTTTCGCTATCTGAGCCTTCACGGAAAACGTGGCAATATGCATCGACCATCGCCTAGGACACAGGGCTTCTGTACAGCAGATGTTCGTATGCGTATATGATGGACGTACAGTAAGTATCGCAGTCTGCGATGAAACTGTCAACAAGTGCGCTTTCCGGTGCAGCCGGAGTGCTGGGACCAGGAAATCGTCGCCGAATTCACAGATGCTCAGCCTATTCAGTTGACGTGTCCGGCTCTGGTGTTCGCGGCCAAAGCGGTGGTCTTTGGGGTATAGCTGGAAGTACAGCCATTCTAGAAAAAACTCGACTGCCGCGTTGTAAATTTTGCGCTCAAGATTCTGCATCTTTCACTGACATGTGCCGCATTCAACATCGTCCAGCGTAATGACGCGCTGTTCAGCTTCCTTCCAGGAGCCATGAAGCGCTCTTTTGAATTAATCTGGGTGCTGCAACATAAGCTCTGGGTGGATATAGTATTCTGTGCCTTCTGGCCCGACCTTGACCTTGGCTACAGCTCCGCGTAGCGAAGATTTGGGTAAGGTATTAGCATGTTGTCGGTGCTGGTCCCCAGCAGGTATGTACCCATAAGCTAGTTGCACGCCATCCGCCGTGGCTATGGCCTCAGCTAGAGTTACTGTCGTCAAATTGGTGTAGCAGCGGTGTAGTCTGAGTGTGGTGGGCACGAGAGGAAAATTCTGCTGAAAGGAGTGGGGTTGTCGAGAGAGGGAGCGAAGAATACAAATGCGTTTAGTCATTGGAATAAGGCGTCTAAGTGAAAGCAACGATGGGTAGTCCGTTCTGGACTTTTCTGGTTCGAGTTTCACTTCCCAGGTGGTCCAGAGATCGGAAAGAAGCTTAAACTGCCAAGTATATTACATGTTGCTTAAGAAGACACTGTGTAAGCGCGTCTGTATGCTTTCGTACTACTCAGAGTCTGCCCCTGCGGTTGCATCCTTGCTTTCCTCCGCGCCATCAAGGAGCTGATAGTCGTCTACGCTGAGCTCAATGTGACGAGAGGAGGTCCACAACTCGCTATAGCGCACCATAACCCGCAACAAAAACTTGTTTGGAAGGCTCCTTCGATGTTCAAGCTCGAGACCTTCATCTTACGTGGAACCGTAGTTCTTGCACTGAAAGTCAATCATCAGCCGGAGAAGATGATTGGCATCAGGTAGATTATTGAAGGCATGGCTGATAACCGCGAAGTATACCGCTTAACCGCCGTCCTGGTAGAGATATAGGTCGACTTGCAATTTCAGCACAGCGCGCTTGAACTCGAGTACTTGGAATCGGTACGTCTGTACGATCTGCAGGACCCTTTCCTTAGCTGTAATTTCGTTCAGATAGTTACCAGGCAGCGTTCGATTGTAGAGCCAGGCTACGAAGACGTCGACTAGAGTGGTAAATTACGCTAGCGCTTGCATGTCAATCTTACGTTTACTTACAGACACCAGTATCAACACCTGTCAATCGGATGGTGTCCTCATCCTCCTCATGCCACGCACCCGTAAGCGCCTCCTTGAAGTAGTCGGGCACGTCGATTGAGTGCACCTCATAAACCTTGTGTTTGCAGTTTTGCGGCTCGAGGATGACGGTCACGATCGTGCCTTCGAAGAGCAATGCTGTACTTTTGGTCAGTTATGGTTTTGTGAGTGGGTGTGCTCGAGCTATTGCAAACCTCAGGAGTCCCTGTTGTGCATTCATAGTGTGCGGAAGTGGAGTGTCGATGTGATAGTGCGGTGAAGGCGCTGGTTTGGTAATTAAACGAATTGAGAAAGCAAGCTCCAGAACGACCACGCTGTCAAGTAAAAGAAGCAAAGGCAACAGAAGGGTTAGGCAAGGGTTTGTGGGGCAAGTGAAGGGTCACGATCCATGATCGAGCGGCTTTCACTTTTCCTGTGATACGCATTCAAAAAGGTCGATTGCAAATAAAACGGCCATCATCAACCAGAAAACTGGTACACTTGACGCCCAGTGAGTGTCACCCAGATGATCGTTGACATTTTAAAGTTTTCCAGCTCCATGTTGCGTCAGTCCTCCACTTCATCTTCCCCTGCATCCTTGCCATCGATTGCTGCCTCGCCGAGCGATGGTATGGGGCGGTGTGTAAGCGCTTAAAAAGATCTTGTGGCCATCAAAGAATATAATCATGAATACAGCTGCAATAAGATCAAACATTGCTAGTAGAGTAACTAGAGATAAAAAGCAAAGACGATAATGATACATGCTGCTCTCAGTCCAAATCACTATCAGTCTCCACATACCTCGATTCCCCCCCACAAGTATCAATCTCCTCACTCAACGTATGCGCATGGTCCTCAAACTGGTCCAGATTATCCTGGTTGAAATTAAGCTCACTATGTCTGTCTTGTATATCAGAGATGAACTGAACAGCTGCAATGGCTTGTTAGTCTCGTCGTCTTGACTGTGACGGTATCCAGAGCCGTGAGCTGAGACCAGTTCCTTCAGTATGAGACAGTTCTGCTCGAAGTTCGAGTATGCAAAGATTACGGCCGAGTAGTCGACCATGTGGTTTTTGAAGAGCCAGAAGACGAGGTTTTTGTAATCGTCTTGGTAAATTACGGTGCAAAGAATCGGTTACCGAAGATATAAGCATGAATCAGGGAGACTTTGAGGTTGGCCCTCCACTTGTGATCATCGTCATCGCCTTGTGTTGCAGGGAAGTCGGGCTCATGCTTCGAGAACTTTTGCCTGTATAACCAGCTCACAAAGATGCCAACCAATTCAATTAGTCACGGCTCACTGGCCTGACAATATCTTACAGGCATCAGCTTCTTTCCACAGACCCTTGGAGACTCTCGTAAAGTACTCCGAGTACTCGGAAAGGAGTGTCTTGTGTACATTGTACTTGCCAAGATCTAGGCCCACAATTACGGTAACGATATCATTTGTTGCGGTTTCGCTACGAAAATGGTTAGTCAGTAACCTACCTCAAAAGCGGAATTAACGAATCCAATGAGCCAAGAGTGATCACTTATGGCTGTGCCCATAGTTCAGCTCGCAGTCTCAGGTAGTTCGAAGGATTCGGATCTGTAACCGAGAAGGTCTTTATGAAAGACACCGGAGATGTTTTAAAGACGAGAACAAGCATTACGGCAAGCACAATAGCGAACAAGTGCGTCGAACTGACTTCGACACCAGCATCCTCCCTTGTCGAGACACGGCTGATCCAGATATTTGTCTTCCTATCAGATGGTCTACTCCGCTTTTGATGGTCCACTCCAGCGCGAGCGGCTTCAGCAGCTCCTTGTTGATGTACACTGCCTGCATGCAACGAAGTGTGATATGCCGACGAGGCTTCCTATGTATTGTTAGAAACTCGACATGTGGTTCGCCTTTCACAACCAGATTGTGCAGAAGATGGCGCAGACGATGCACTATACGGGCATGAAGGAGTTGGATCCGAACGATTGCCAAGCTGAAGAGCTCGATGAGGAAGATTAGACATGGCTCAAGCCCTCGGATTGTAATTGGATTGGATGAAAAGCTGGCAGGCAGGTCCTCTGAGCTTGGGTGAGCATATGATACTGAGTAGCCTCGGTACGCAAGAATGGTGTTGTCAAAACGCGTACTATCAGTCCTAGTATAGTCCGTATCCATGTATGAGTTGCGATAGGTAGTATTACTGGCGATCATGTGAACATGTGCTCAATACCGTAGGGCCGTTTCAGTGGTCCTCGTATGTCGATCGCTCTTACAATGGTCTTACTTACAGTCTTGCACCCAAAAATACCACTCAAAGACGGATCTTTTCGGCAAGTCATGCCCGTTGACTTGCAACTCACGTGGTGGCTACAATGTCACCCCAGGCTTTCCACCGTTGCGCGTGCAGATAGCCGAATGGCAAATTTCAGCTTTGACCGCACGTTCAACGTTGCTGGCGTTGCTGCAGAGTTCACGGTCGGAACCTGTCAGCTTATGGCGACACGCGGTGTCAAACTCGAATTTCAATGCAGCAAAGGGACAACTCTCGGACTGATGTGTTTAACGATTGCGCGTACGCATCAGATTCGGGAAGGTGTCAGCGATGTATAATGCATGAGTAAGGCTACGGGTCCTTTGGTGGATTACGAATAGGGCCGCGGTAAAGTTTGTACGGGCATCACAGCTCGGGAGTTCGGCGCTTTCGCGGCAAGTATCGCCGAGAGGGTTGCCTTATTAATGTTGGGCACATTTGACACGAGATGGCGTAGGTACTGCAGTATCCGACGTCTAGTGAGGGGAGTCTCCGCATCGCTTCCAAGCACCACACGCCCAGAACAAGTCTAGAGGTTCAGGGAGGATGTATCGCAGACAGCTACTGCACCTTTTGCCCTACTTGTAATCATTTGTAGAGAAGTTGTATTTTCGAAAGGCGTCAATAACGCTTCGGCAAAATATCGGAGTCTCAAAGCTGTGACACTACAGTGGTGCGAAATTGTTGGTCAACCTGCCAAAAGCGTCACCCGTAATCGTGGCCTTCGACCTTGTCCTCGGGAATGGAACTGCTCCTTCCAAGAATCATTTTCGACGTATCCTGCTTGTGACCACGACGTCAAATCTCGTCTGGGCAGACCACGCTCAGAAATCCGATGTTTGCCCAAAAGAGGCATGAGCCGATGCTAACGCGTTCTGCGGGGTTAGTGTCCTCGAATCTTGGTCGACGTTACGCAAGTTCAGCCCTATGAAAGGTTGTGTGGGCAAACGCGGGCTTATTATTCCCCTGCATCTGCGACTAAAGGAGACCTGCAAGGAAGGGCACCGCCTGCGCAGAGGTGTTGAGTTGCTGCTGGCCAGCTGTAGGCCACCAAAGCGATGAGCATTATTTTCTCTTTTACCCAGAAAGTCGAGACCAACTTTCTGTCCCGACTTCGTTCACGTCGGGATGATGGGGGGCTTGAAATGATGCTTTCGTGCCTCAGGCGTCATGATCGGCAATCGTGTTACCTCCGACGGCGATTGAGCGACAGAAACTTCGTCAGAATCACGCCGACGCAGGGTCTCACGATCCCGCAGTTGCGGATTGGTGGGCTGTCGCGCTACGTCAAAGCCAGCAAGGCGCCCGCTCTTGAGTCCACTCACTGTGGGCTTGCGGACACCATTCCGCAACCCGCCGATGATCATGATTGCATGGATGCCGCTCTGAGAAGTGATGCACGCCGTCGATGCCCAGCAAGATTTTAATGTTGAAAGATAGGAAACGATGTGCAATCGCAGGACATTGTTTCGCAAATAAAGATCGTGAAGCAGGAGTTGATGCAGAATTGTGGCTGGTGGCTCTGGGAGGACGACTGTTGGTGAGAGTTCCGGAAATACTGACATCATCGGTCATAAACGACGCTTGGCATTTCGCTGAATCAAAGCGCGTGCGAGGAATATCTCTGTCCGCAAAATGTCCAAGTGCATCGGCATCAAGAATCCGAACCATACAGAGCGTTCGAGCCTCGGTATCACCGGTATGCAGCTTGGTAATGTGGCTAGTATCTTCTACACTCCACAAGTCCACCAAAATCGGAGGTCTCGGGGAAGGCGCGCCCGCGTGGCTGTGCCAGCCCTATGAGGACCCTGAAATGCTCTCATCCAATTGAATTCTGCTTGGCCTTCCACAATGGGCATCTTGATTCCACCATCTGTTCATGGCCATGCTTGCGGGACGTTGCAGTGATGACAGCAGCCTTTGCGTGGAATGTGGAGAGACTCCAGTGTAGAGACTTTTTCCTCACGTACCACCCAAGGACTAGTCGCAGATGCTGACATGAATCTACGGAATGCGCGAGCATGGCCTCAAGGCCCAGATGTACTCGGCGGTATGACAGATGCTGCTTGATACAACGCATAGTCATCTTCGGCACCTATCGACGGTTGGACGGTCAAGCTTGGTGCTCTCTGACCAAGCTTGTGCTAAGAGCGACTATGGGCCAATAGGGATGGCTCAGCTCATGCTCCAGCGAGAATGTTTAAGCCGTGAAGCTACCATCCCCTTTCAACCGCATGTGGCCGCGTGCGGACTTGCGCGTCCTGGTCGACAAGAGACTGGAGTCACAATGGGCGCATGATTTGATCTACAATGGAGAGAATACGAGCCACAGCCATGTGGCCTGGCTTTATGCGAGAGCTGTGGCTGTGACTCCTCCGCCGGCAATGCTATCGACTGTCCCGAACCTGAATAGCGCAGCATAGGAGTGCAGTGCATGTAGTCTGTGAACACGTCGTTCGAAGTACACTGCCGCCGACTGCTAGCCTGAGAATAGGCGAGGCCCTTATAGTGCAACTGAGGTGCGATACGACTACACGGTTGCATCTGAATCTCCGTTCAGGAGATCTCACCGAGCATCCCACGCGGAAAAACTGTTTTTCATCTATCCGTCTGCAACTCGTACATGTTAGGGCTGTAGGTCCTACAGTATGTCTAACCACTGTTGGCTGGTATTCTTAGGCCTATGTCGTTTGCTGGCATCTCGGATCGCACCCGAGTAGGGTTGCATGGATGCAAGTGGAAATTTTCAGCACTGCCACTTTCTCGGGTGTACAGGGTTTAGGTTGGGTGACTCCACATCGCTGCCCTTAGCGTGTCTTCTAGAAACGCCATGCATATACGGCAATCGCACCCCTGTCATTCTTTTGCTATGACGTTGTTCAAAAGCACCGTCAAATCCGCACCACTTCTGCACACCCAAGCCGTCTAAAATCTTCCAGCAAATCTATAATTCATTGCGACTCGGAAGTACAGCATATTAAAGCCGTTAGTCCGAGCAAAGCCGGACCTATTCATCTTAACATTCCACCACTTTCCACAGATCACCTCATCCAAAGACCCAGAGACCCTCTTCGGCCAACCCTACCCGAGTCACCGGCCGTCGCTTCACTAGTATAAAGCAACTTGCCACCCGGCTTGGTCTATCTCCTTCTCTTCCGACATTATGTTAGCGCAACCCACAAGACGTCAGCATATTGTACCACAACACTACTCGACCATCCCGTCACCTCCTTCCTCACAACACCTTGCCTACCAGCAACTACCCCAACAGCGCTTCGCCACACAGCAACAGTTGTTTGACCAAAAGCTGCTCAACGACTACCTTGAGTCTCAGCAGCAGTCTTACAACACCCCTGTCAACGCGCCCAACTCTTTTATGACGAGCGCATACACCGACTTTGCAAGCCCGGCGATTCGCGTCCAGCGGTCGACACCTACACCGCAGTCTCTATCAAACAACTACCAGTCATCCATGCTCTCGAACGGCTGGAACACATATGGTAATGTACAGAGCCAGTCACTGCAGACACCTGTACAGAACCAGAACCAAGGCCACCAGCGCGCATCGTCCTCCTCATCAGTAGGATCCAGCGCTTCGCAGTACCAGACAGCATCTGCTACCAGCTACCAGTACGTCGCTTACCCTGAGACCGCGCGTCTACCTTGCATACCACAAACTTCTGCTGACATACCTTCTAGGTCTTTCTCGAACCATCTGCCTACTCCTTCGCACACACCTACTCAGGAATCGTTCATGAGCCAGGCCACCTACAACGACTACACACAGCAAGCCAGCATGGACCAAACTATGGCTGCCCATATGTCGATGAAGCAAGCATTGATGGATCAGGGTGACGATGTGCCGGACTTCGCGCATTCAGCGAGACAATCAGTGTCCAGCTACGACTCACCTGCTACGCCGCACACGAACTTGGATGAGGAGGCTAAGCCCGCAAATGGTAAGCCTCTCTGCGAGGTCGACTCGTGGCTTTTCAACCAGTTCTGTTCTTACCATATACCAGACACAAGACAGCAGCCGATCGTACCCAAGTTCGAGAGGACCTACACAGATATTGCTGCCGACAACTTCTACGACCCCAACGCTATCTCTGCTCCCGCAGTGCAGCCCACAAAGCCGGCACAGCCATCATTGTTGTCGCCTTACCGCTCCAACGCTACAGAGAATGTTCAGCGTGCGCTGCAGGCAGCGCAGTTGGCGCGATCGCACTCGCCGAGCAGCACAGCATCTCGCGGTGACTCTCCATTTCGCAAGGGGTCGCCCTACCGCCAACCCAGCCATACCTTCAACTCACCAATGCTCGGCAATGCTGCTGCGACACGTGAGCAGAACCGCCAGGCAGATGCGGCATACGCAATGAAGCCACAGATGCGGGCCGAGGAGTCCATGGTAAAGACTATTTCGCCGAAGGATGCCCTTTTGGATTATCGAGAGGACGAAGACTCGAAGGTGCCATTGTTCCCGGACAGTGGCGCAAACGAGTACGACAACCAATACAACACTGGTGACCAATACACAAGCGCCACCCAATCCAGCTTCGATACAGCATCAGCACAATCCTACCGACGTGACAGCTGGGCGGCACCACAGTTCACACCCAACTTCTCGACATCAACTGCACCTTCGCTGCCAACGACATCGAGTTTCAACTTCGTCACTCCTGCTATACAGACCAGCATGCCCAGCATACCCAACATGCCTATGGGTGCTACATCACAGTACCGCTCTACTCCAATGACTTCTGCTGTGGAGCAGACACCCGAGTTCCCAGCTCATCCTCACCTGACTTCTATGGAGTCTAGTGCCAGTGAGGCAGAGCCTCCGAATGGCAGCCAATCGAGCGTCGAGCAGTTCTTACGCAAGCCCGCAAGCTCCGCCGCGGACTCCGGGACTTACTCTTGCACATATCACGGATGCACACAGCGATTCGAGACACCACAGAAGCTCCAGAAGCATAAGCGTGAGGGTCATCGGAATGCAAATCTCGGCCCCAGTATGACATCAGCGGCTATCTTGGATCGCAATACCCAAGCGGGGCCGCACAAGTGTGAGCGCATCAACCCCACAACGGGCAAGCCCTGCAACACAATCTTCTCTCGACCATACGATCTCACTCGTCACGAGGACACTATTCACAACGCTCGTAAGCAGAAGGTGCGCTGTGCACTTTGCGTCGAGGAGAAGACCTTCTCGCGTAACGATGCACTAACAAGGCATATGCGCGTCGTGCATCCTGAGGTGGATTTCCCTGGAAAGCACAGGTCTCGCCGCGGTGGTGATTGAGCGAGCATTTGGCGATAATTTTGTAACGACATCTAGCCTTTGAGGCATCCAGGAGGTCCGGACCGTGATGGTGTCTGTGGCGTCGACCGCCGGCGAACACCAGCATTGCGCAAGCAGAAATCCGCTGCCTTGGCAGCAACAGTTGCACTGGGCTTGTCCAATTGCTTATTCACGCATTGCATCCCTTGCACCTCCGGGCGTTGCACGAGACTGCGACATTTCCTTTTTCTGGATTAGTTTGCATTGCAACCCAAGTTTCGCTGGACGGAACAGCGCAACGTTCGACAACCTTTACCATGTATCATACTAAGATTTGAGTTTGTGGATATTGCAGTATTCTTTTTGGCAGCGTTTAACAAGCGGGCGCATGGTACGATTCTACGAACAGCTCTCAGCAAAAGCGATGATGGGTATAGACGATTTGTAGGCCAGAGAGCCTTTGATATCTGGGTCAAATTTCATGATATCCATTCTGTAGTTGATGCTCTGTAAGGAGCAAGATCAAATGTACAACATACAACCTCCTCAAAATATCCCCAACGTGCCTCCAGTGTCCGAACTCAACATGCTCGACCACCTCATAAAATTCGTGTCAAAACGATAATCATCTTCAAGCCAGCGTCTTCGGCATCACCGACCATCGACTAATCGTCTATTTCCCAAACGAGAACAGCCTCCTGCAAGATGCCGGCGTGCTGACTCTCCACATCATCACCCAAGCATTCAAGAGCCTCAAATCTCAGATCTAGATCTCCCAAACCCCTACACAGCACACATTCCTGTCAACATCCTAAACGTGTGGGCCACATCGCACTGCAGTCCCAACGTGCATGAGATCTGGGCCCAGAGGCCCTTCCCGCCCGTGTGCGCTAGCGGGTCGCACTGGGGCTGAGCAGTAACGTCGAGATCTAGACGCGATAAAAATGACATTCACATATTGGAGTTGCTTTGAAATACACACAACGGAAAGGAAAGGACTAACGGGTTATCACGGAGTGCGCGAGGTAACTATTATTGCGTCCGCTGATGGATGTTGAATGCGCAGCACAGCAGGAGCTCATTCGGCGGTAATCGGCCGAAATGCGGATGATGCCTAGCCGCGATCTTTGCGTCATGTAGGGCTGGGTCGAATCGGATCTCAACGGTCGTGTGCGCAGCTCGATCACGCCGAACTCGACATCTCCGCGCGCGCCGCAAAGGGCGACTATCACCAGATCATGTGCAGGCATGAGGCTTGTTTCACTGCGACGTCAAGATTCGATTTTTTTCCGTCGTCACGCGCTCTTTTCCCGAAGGTGAAACTATGCGCTGCTTGGATGTGACGGAGTAAACGATATCTCTTCACGTTTCTCATGCGCTTAGCCCTGCGAACTATCGAGCAAGCTCAAAACGTGGCTTAAACTCCACGTCGTCATCTGCTCCAGAGAAGCGGTTGAGCGACTGCGCTTGACAACCTTATCGACATCCTGATCGAGCGAAAAGCGTCAAGTGAAAAGCGTCAAGCGTCAAGCATCAAGCAAGCATCGAGTGTTTCCCCGTTCTGAAAGCTCTCCTCATCCGAAGCCACTGGCTCCTGTAAGCGTAAAAGTAACTCGAAGGACGAGTAAGGGGAGTGGAGAGCTGTCATCGAAGGCGTCACATGTGTTGCTTGATTGGGTGAGCCGCAGATGGACTTTTCACCGATGTTCAGACCTGCGGGGATCATCAAGAACTTGTGTTCGAGAAGGGGACTAAATAGAGAACCTTGAAAAGGCGGCCCCCGGTGAGGTGGATGTGTGGAGCACGATCGGAGTGACGGTTGCGGTGAGTCGGAAAGTGGATACTGGAAAGTTCGTTTCGAAGTTCTTCATCGAGACGACCGAGGTTGATCTGAGAGATGTTCATCTATGATGCTTCTTGAACTCACATCAGTATACAGGATAGAGCGTACACCGGCAGAAGCCATCTAGCTTCAGGCACTGGCCTCTATGCGCGGAGTAGTGGCCCCAAATGTCAACGCCCTTGGGCTCCTGGAAAGGAGATAAGCCCATATTCTCGAGTCGTGTTGGAGGACCTCAGTCACAGGGACCTAGATTGCATCTACTGACCATCATAAGAAGTCAATAACAAGCCGATTCTGGCACTGTCCAGCCGACTGACATGACAATGACTTCTAGAATCTGTTTACTGCCCATCATGTGGAAATGTCACATGCACTGCCAGAATTTGCCTTTGCAATTCTTTTGCGATCCTCAGTATAAGTGAAACTCGTGAACAGCTAGGCCGCTGTCTTGCCCATGATATAGCTGTGCTCGACGACATACCTGGCCTTGTGGTCGATATACTTGTAGACGACGAGCCATTACGTGATTATGAGAATGAGCACCTTCCAGCAACCTCAGACATAAACCTCAGACACATGGGTTAAGTACATTGAAGCAAAGTCTGGAAAGCGGTTTGAGACCTGTTGAGAATGAAAGAACCTCAGATATATACCAATCAAGACATCGGCATCTTAGTGATCATCATTTTGCTTAGCTTCATCAAGATCCGTTACACGTTCATTGACCCACCGCCCAACGAAGGTATCTTGTGTCAAATTTCAATTGACAACAATAATTGGAAAGGTAATCACCTTCTGGCCGCAACGAAGACTCCTGGCAATTTACGAAGAATTCTCGGCAGAGCGCTCTCATTCGTAGACGCGACCTGGTATGCTCGCAAGCTCTACTTTCAAGAGCTCACATCCTTATATCAGACTCCGCTATCATTGTCCGATGTCTTGCTGAGGATCGCGCAGCCGATGACCCTCAGCCTAACTCTCAGACGAACGATAAAAAGTCTGCAATGTTGTGTAGCACTGCTGCAATGTTTTACTAGATGCATGGTATACACGAGTTCGACCCAGTGGGTGAGTACTCAAATGGCGCCACCATGAAGGTAGGAAGCTCGGCATAGGACGACACAGAATCGCACTTTGTTGGGTGAGACTCGAGGTCTATAGGTCAGAGCCGTTGTCAGCGCTGATCGGTACCTAGCCTCACTGAACGTGAAGTCAATCCAAAGCCCCGCAAGGCATGAGGTTATGACAAGAATAGCAAGGTGAGGTTTGCGACCTTCATGTTCAAGTATTGATCGCGTGGTAGGCCATGACTTCTTCATTTACAAATGGCTGTTCGATGACACAATCCGAAGATGTACTGAAGACACTCGGCTTGATTATGGAGAATGAGGTGGATGAAAGTAGCGAGCCGGAGAAGCGAGATCACAATTCAAGCAATATGAACTTGGTACATCGGCCAAAGGGTACCTCAAAGAGGATATGCGAAACCAAACCTTGCAGTCGAGAACATCAGCTGGACATGAGCAGCGCCATACCGACGACGAGGATGCTAGATCTGAAAATAATCTTATGGAGCAAGACGGTTCCGAGGGGACGCGGACAATGTTGATAGCGGTGCTATGGGATTAGCGATCAGAACCCAAAAAGCAACGCATTGGAGGCGCTGTTGTGTTGGCTTAGAAGCCCTACCTTTTGACCAGTACAGCTGCACTACAAGCACTACACACCATACCGAGGATGTCAACACCGGTCCTGCTCGAAGATCGTATAAGGATGAGTTAAGCACAGAAGAACCTCACGAGCTTGTGAGACGCCTGGAAGTAAACGTTCACCCCTCGTTACGGATCAAGTTGCTAATACTCGCAGGAATAAGACACACGTAACCGCTAAGATGAGGAAGGAGTAAATCAAGAAACGCAAGCAAGCTGCGTGCAACGAAAATAACGTCACTAATAATTTCAAGCTCGTTAACGTAAGGAACAATAGGCGTCGCAACTACAACCCACAAAGCACAATCGTGATTGACCGTATAATGTCATCTAGAGCACATCAGAGATAAGGAGACAAATTAAGCGACCTCACAGAGACCTGCAGTGTCTCGTTAGCACCGCATAAAGACGACATACATGTCGAGTTTGCAGCATCTGTTAGGTATTGACATGTTGCAGGCGTGCATTCCATTACCTAGTAAACCTTCGCCTCACTCGTCACTCACCGAAACCTCTACATGCCAACGTGTAACTATCCGCTCTCCATTGTATCATCGTAATTGTGCAGTCATTTTTGTGTGTGCATCCCGGTATTATGTACGTGTACAGGCATCTCCCATCACTTCACGCTGACTTCTAGCTCTACCATCAAATGGAGTCACGCCGATGCAGACCTTCTCTGACCTCCAATTTAGTGCTCTGATCGGCTATCTCAATAGTCGAGCAACATTCATCATCTACGCGCGCCCGTGACTTTTTTTCCTCATCCTCCACGTACCTTTTGATCGACACGGTATCATACTTGCCATGGCCATCCACGAAGACTTCCCTGGGCTGAAAGTCGAAGTGATCATCAACAGCAAAGCACTACCAGAAAATTTTGACGAAGAAAGCCAGGTTGATCCAGATGAAGTCGTCAGATTCGTTGAGGCCGAGGCTGGTGCCGAGTTTGCGATCAAGTGGTCTTTCGACAAACACTTCCCAAAGAGCAAGGATATCGGTCTCAACATCTCTGTAGATGACAACACGATCATGTCGCCCATAATTAACAAATCATTATTGGGATATTGGTACTCCAAAAGCTGCGCAGCTCAAAAGATAAAGTCTGCAGGGAAGTGGCTAGCGCGGAAGCTGCAGTTCACCCATTTGACCGTCAGCAAGTGACGCGCCCATGGTCGCACCTTACAATTTTTACTGATAAGAATGACTGTAGGCGAAGTAAGTAGCATAGCTGATATTGGGGACGTCTTCGAAAAGCTTCACGAGATCGTTGTCGAGGTCAGATTCGAGAAGTCTGGCAAGCAATACCCGGATTGGGAGCCAAAATACACCTTCTCAAACGTCTGAAGTACCTCGGAAGTCATGCTTAAGGGCGATGCGAAGTCCTCGCAGACCAGGTTCGCCATCTGTCTGCGGCTGGGAAACTATTCGAGCACTAATGTCTTTCAAGCCTAGGTGCAGAACAAAAGACTTCTCGGATGCGCTGTTTGAGGTGGACCACCGATAAGAGCAAGCGCAGTTTCAGATTCATCTTCAAATGTCGTCCGAAAGGCGAGTTAAGATGACTCTCGCACTGCAGAGCTTCATTCAGCTAATCTATCTAATATTAGCAAACCTCCAAGCACTTGGAGTGATATCTCGAAGCCCAAGTACAGCGCGGGTCCAGCCTCAAACCCCTGCCGTGACTGTTCTGAGGGCAAGTAATGCCAGCACCAGAACCGAACTGAAGCAGCACTCAGATCCCTCGCCCAAGCAGCCCAACCCATCCCCCGGAGCTTCTCCTTTGCTACAGCAGAGCTCAGTCTTTGTCATCAGCACCAGTGCAGATGGTCTGACTCGTGAAGAGATGATAGGACTCATCAAGCAGTACCACGGTAATGATGATGGCCTCGCTAGCTACAGCACAAAGCATCTGCAGATGCTGCTCAAGTTCTACGAAGTCAGTGCACCGACCCTCATAGGTAACCAATGCTGACCGCCTACAGGACCAGGACACAGAGACTGCATCGTGCAAGATCAAATCGGTATTCACGGGCCATAATGACGGTCGTTTCAAGCGAGGGCGTGAGGATGGCGCGTATGTAACTGGGGGACGGAAGCGCAGCAGGACTGAGGCCATCGTGCTTGACGATTAAGGGGGGAAAGACAATAGATAGAGCAGAGCGGCAGAACGGCAGATAAGTAAGGACAGCTGGACGTTTCATAAGGACCTGCGGCTCTGCTCTGCAGATGATGGCCGCAAACTGAGCTAGGCTGGAGGCTGGACTACCTCTCGACGATGAGAACATTATGAACACGAACCCATTACCTGCACGAGAAAGGCGTGATTGCAGTGCCCATTCTCCCCTCTACGAAATATCATCAGCACACTCAAGTGGCACCGATAATAGCATGAAATAAGATCATATCTCGGGTTTTGAATGCTTACTGGCGCAGAGACCGCAGCCGAACTGCCATGGAGTATTTTCAAGCTGAGAGACCAAATCTCGAGTGCATTGATCAAAGACGATTTTTTTGTGAAGTATTTGAAGGAACAAAGTACATGCTCAAAATTCTACGAACAAATTCAGTGTCTCATTCATCAATGGCCTGATCTTCCAAAGTCTTGATCGTCGTTCAATCGCACTGTCGCAAATCGTCTCTTGGACCCATTCAAATCACGATAACGTAACCAGAAAATCATCACCTCAGCTCTCTCTCTCCCTTGTGCCTTTCATACCTACTTCACCCACCTCCAAATCGACACTACGATACCATGGCTAAGCACAAAGGCCAACCAGGCCTCGGGATCGAGATAATCACGAAGGGCAGGAGAGCTCGCGAGTACGACGATGAAGGCGTGATCGAAAACGATAAGATTATCGCCAAATATGTCCAGGCGCAGGCGGGTGCAAAGTTCAAGATCAGAGTCACCTTCGACTTACCTTTCCCGGCCGACAAGAGCACTGCGATAGAGATTTGGGTAGATGGAGAACTGGTCAAGAAACCGGTCATCTCTATAATGATGAAGCAGCGGCCGATGATGTATGAATACGATCGGATCAAGACTCTGGACAGCGAGGAAGACTTGGGGCGTAAGCTCGTCTTTGGTGATCTCAATATCGGTATGGACAACGTGCACATCCATGGAAAACTTTAACTGACAAGCACGACGAGAGGAGGGGCCTGGCACACTAACGGGAGACAATTTCCCCGAGTCGGTGAGGTCCCTGGGATAGATCAGAGTGACCGTTGCGTTCGCGCAGGTCACGGAAAGTCACAGAGATGAAACCAGATGTACATTACCAGGAATTGGCTCCATTTCAGAACAGGTGTTGTAAGGCGGCGCCAAATCCCTCTTCACCAGGTACCCCTACTTCTGGCGTGAGCCGTTTAACGACAATGTGCCAATCGCTAAACATACACAGGCTCGGTGCAACGGTCCCTGTTAACAAACCCCATATCCGCAAGACCGACAACAAGGAAGAGATCGCTGACTTCGGGTTCAAATATCGCTCCAAAGGTCAATGACATCTTCCTCCACTCAATTGATACAGGGCCTGACGTACCATCAGCGGACCTCCAAGCACTGTAGATCATATCTCAGGATCCTGGGCCAACGTCGCCGAACGTCATACCGCGCAAACGCGCTCCACGTAATGGAGGTCCAAGGAAAACACGATCCGATAAAGGCGTTCCCCGTCGAAAATCCCACGCCACCGCCGTTGTACATGTATCAGCACCTATTACTGCAGATGCTTCAAGCTCCAGCGACGATGCAGGAGGCCTCACGAAAGAAGACCTCCTTGCGCTTCTGCGCCACTACCGAGGCCCCAGCAATGACTGGAGACGTCTGAACAAGAAAGATCTCCAGGTTCTGCTCGACCGCTACAAGGTAGGGGCCCCGCTTGTACACAAGGAACGTTGCTGACAGTGTTCAGAGAAAGGCCACAGGTTCCGCGGTCAATCACAAAACCACACCAACGCGACCTCATGGAGCCCACTTGAAGAGAGAGTGCGAGGCCGATAGTGGTGCAGTGGAGCACGCGAAGCGCAGCAAGCCGGAACTGGACGTCATTGTCATCGGCGACTGATTGAGCATACACCACGCGTTCTGTACGGGAGAGAAGGCAGGATGTAGACACAGAATACTGTGACTTCACACGCAACAAAATGCAAGATAAGGGATGTGACCTCTGCTGATTCCCAACCTCTCATGATACTCAGAATGAGTTTATCCAGGTCGGGCGCCCAGCCATGGGCCTGCTCTCCTCTACGCCAGCGCGAAAACAACCCTCGCCATCGGAGACGATAGGGCTGCCGTAAGTAGTGTTTGTAGTGCTGGCGATGTAGAGGGGAGGAGGCAGAGGCTCGAAAATTTGGGTTTTGGACGTTGTCACTTGCACTAGGCTCGACAAGGCAAGGTGCTTGGAATGCTAGACCGCAGTTGCCAATCTGGCCGCTTGGGACAAGCCCACCAGCGACATCGAGAGCTCCGGTTCAGTACACATTGCAGTCCAGCGGTATTGTTGCAGCCTGTTCCTGCTGCGGCCGCGCTGTCAATTGCCCGACGCCCATCAAACCCGCCCCTCGCCCGCTTGCGCACCGCCAGCCCCTCGCTATCGAATTGTGGGCGCCCTCGTTCCCCTCCACGAGACATTGCCCAACCGCCGCCGCCGCCGCCGCATAGACACCACCCGCCATGGCCGACTTCGAGGCATTGAAGGACCAGTGGAGCCAGATCGAGGACACAGATGGCGTCCGTCTCAGTTGGAACACGCTGCCCAGCTCGCGCATGGTACCGACTCCCGCAGTTCACCGCTCAATAGGCGCAACGTCGACATGCTGCATGCTGACCTGTATTGAAGGAAGCCTCGCGCCTGGTCGTCCCCATCGGCGCCCTCTACACGCCACTGAAGGAGAAGACGGACACTCCGCTGCTCCAATATGACCCCGTTGCCTGCAAAGCGCCTTGCAAGGCCATCCTCAACCCCTTCTGGTAGGACACACATTCCACGATGGACTGCATAAGCTGACTCTGCCCCAGCCAGGTCGATATGCGCGCAAGGATGTGGATATGTCCCTTCTGTCTGCAGCGCAACGGCCTGCCGCCGCACTACAAGGACATCTCCGCCGAGCAGATTCCCCCCGAGCTGCACCCCGGCAGCACCACGATCGAGTACCGCCTGCCTCGCCCGGCGCCGGCGCCACCGATCTTCATGTTTGTTGTCGATACCTGCCAGGAGGAGGACAGCTTGAAGGCGCTGAAGGACTCGATCATCATGAGCTTGAGCCTGCTGCCCCAGTACGCCCTGGTTGGTCTGATCACATACGGCACCATGGTACGACGATCCCTGCACGGACTTTATGCGACTATGCTAACAGCTCAAGGCTCAAGTACACGAGCTTGGCTACACCGAATGCGCCAAGTCGTACGTCTTCCGCGGCAGCAAGGACTACTCCACAAAGCAGGTCCACGAGATGCTGGGCCTCGGACAGGCCGCTGCCCGACCAAACATGCCCCAGCAGCCTGGCCGACCGCAAATGCCTATGGGCAACGTCGACACACGTTTCCTGCTGCCCGTCTCGCAGTGCGAGTTCCAGTTGACCGCCGCTCTCGAGCAGCTGCAGAGGGACCCCTGGCCAGTTGCGAACGACAAGCGCCCCTTGAGGTGCACCGGTGTTGCGCTCAGTATCGCTGCTGGTCTGCTTGAGTTCCGCCACCGCGAGGCTGGTGCGCGCATCATGCTGTTCGCTGGTGGCCCGGCTACTGAGGGCCCTGGTATGGTCGTTGGCCCTGAGCTGAAGGAGGCCATTCGATCGCATCATGACATCGACCGCGACAACATCAAATACTACAAGAAGGCGCTGAAGGTAAGGAGTTTATCAAATCTAGGGAAATTCGGGATTAACATGCGGTAGTTCTACGAAAATCTGGCCAAGCGCGTTGCGCAGAACGGTCACATCGTCGACATCTTCGCTGGTTGTCTCGACCAGGTTGGTCTGCTCGAAATGCGCGGCCTCGCGAACTCCACCGGTGGACACATGATCCTGACGGATAGCTTTACATCGTCCATGTACAAGCAGTCGTTCGTGCGCATCTTCAACAAGGACGACCAAGACAACCTGCTCATGGCCTTCAACGCCAACCTCGAGGTCCTCACAACGAAGGAGTTGAAGGTTACGGGTCTGATTGGTCACGCCATCTCGAACAACAAGAAGTCCGTCTCCGTCGGCGAGACAGAGTGCGGTATCGGCAATACATGCTCTTGGAAGATGTGCGGTATTGATCCCGAGTCGTCGTACGGTATCTACTTCGAGATCGCCGGCCAGGGCGGTCCCAACCAGATGCAGGCTGGGCCCCAGAAGGGCATGATGCAGTTCCTCACATACTACCAGCACTCGTCTGGTCAGTTCCACCTGAGGGTCACCACAGTTGCGCGCAACTTGAGTGGGCCCTCCGGTGACCCTGCGATTGCACAGTCCTTCGATCAGGAGGCAGCAGCAGTTCTGATGTCGAGGATAGCGGTCTTCAAGGCCGAGGTTGATGACGGCCCAGATGTCCTCAGATGGGTCGACCGCATGCTTATTAGGTTATGCTCGCGCTTCGCCGAGTACAGGAAGGACGATCCATCCTCGTTTAGGTATGCGCACCGCACTCATCTTCTTGACGTAGCACTAATTCCGGCAGGCTTGAGAAGAACTTCACATTATACCCACAGTTCATGTTCCACCTCCGCCGTTCGCAATTCCTGCAGGTCTTCAACAACTCGCCCGACGAGACTGCTTTCTACCGCCACGTGCTGAACCACGAGGATGTTAGCAACTCCCTCATCATGATCCAGCCCACGCTCGACAGCTACGGTTTCGACCACGAAGGCGGCCAGCCCGTCCTTCTCGACTCGTCCTCGATCCAGAACGAGACCGTCTTGCTCCTCGACACCTTCTTCCACATCCTCATCTTCCACGGCGAGACAATGGCAGAGTGGCGCAAGGCAGGATACCATGAACAGGAGGGCTACGAGAACTTCGCCACCCTCCTCGAGAGCCCCAAGGAGGACGCCAAGGACCTCATCCAGGACCGCTTCCCGCTGCCGCGTTTCATTGTGTGTGATGCAGGTGGCTCGCAGGCGCGTTTCTTGCTCTCCAAGCTCAACCCGAGCACGACGCATACAACACAGAACTACGGCGGTGTCAGCCAGACGGCGCAGACTATCTTCACGGATGATGTTAGCTTGCAGACGTTCATGGATCATCTGATGAAGTTGGCTGTGAGCGGTACCGGTTAAGGATTGTAATGATCAGGTTTGCAATGTATGTTCAATGTACGTGGAGGAGACCTGAAAAAATGCAGACCTCGTGCAGAAGCAACATTGGTGAGCCTATGAGAGGCCTTGCTTGGTATTCATTTGACGAACTGAGCCGATGTATCCTCGGACGGAGAAAGTAGTTGTAGCAGCGACGAAGAAGCAATCACCATCTCAATCGAAAGAACCGAGCCTCACACCATTGCCCTTGACACTTCCGAAATTTAACTCAATCTCTCAATTTCTCGATCCTAGACAACTCCCACATCAAGTGCGGATTACGGTATAATGCGAACGCCCCTCATCAAGAAATGGTATAAATACGAATCGCCGACATGGCATCCCAGAAGCCAGTCTGTCGCCGTCAATAAAGCTCTCGTCCTGCAGTCATTACAATTCGTCTCCACCGCCGTCGCTCGCGTTCCTTCTTTCTCTGCGTCATCCTCACTTCGTGGTGAGACGAGCAGACACGCCTATCCGATCATACCGGCGAAGCCACCGAAGTTGTTCACCGCCGCGCTCGCGGGGAAGCTGTTCATACCGCACAGGCAGCTGCACGTGCACGTCTGGCCTGCACCATCGGTGCCACTGCCCGCGACGACGGTGGCGGAGGCCAGCGCCCCGCTTCCACTGGCGGTCGCGAGCGCGCCGTCGCCTGCCAAGACGGTGACGGTGGACGGGGCAGCGGCGGCGGCGGGGTTGACGTTCTGGATGGCGCTGTCCTTGAGCGTGGTGCCGTTTGTGTTGATGGCGAGCTGTTTGAACTGCGCCATTGTCTTGTCGCCGTCGAACTTGGCGTTGATGCTGAACACCATGCCTTTGCCGCAGTGCTCTCCTTGGGATTGTTTGCAGTACATCCCTACAAGAAAATTAGCGGCTATTCACCCTCGTGCATTCGGCGTCTTCGTCGCGTTAGAGAGGGTGGAACTTACATATCGCATCTGTAGTCTCCACGGTCATGTTCCACGTCACACCCGCCTTGCCCTCCGGATTCGGCATGAACCCGCTGTCTTTGCCACCTTCCATGGCTTTGCACGGCTCGGCGAAGGTCGACTGTGTGGCGGTGTGGTTCTTCTGCATGAACTGGAACTCGACGACGTCGCCGACGTTGGCGGTGATGGCCTCAGGGCGGTAGCCCAGCACGGGCGCCATGCCTGTTTCCACGGGTATGAGACCACCGACGACGACCTGTGCTCATTAGATATTGGCTATGTGGGAGACTGGTGTTGACAAACGGTATGTGTAGCGGGCCCGCTGGCAGCAGCCGGCGCGAGGCTCATGACCTGCATCTGGGCGGCCGCCAGGCTGGCGACAACGGGGACAGCGCTGATGAACTTCATTATGACTATTGGTATTGTGTCTTGAAAGTCAAACTAAGGAACGGAACCGCCTGGGCTGGATATCGAGTCGTTGATTAGAAGGATCGAAAGGCGCTACGAGACCCGGCTCGGACAGAAAGTAGAGAAAGACTGTTAAGGAGAGTGGAGCACGCGCAACGAGACAGTTATGAGGCAGAATGGGGGATGAAAGCATGTGTGCCTGGGACATCAAGGGCTTATGAAGACGCATGAAATTGTTATCTGGGGGGCGGCAGACGGCTGCATGCGTGGCGAAACATAACATTATCGTGGCTAGGCATTAAGACCCCGAAGCGGACTGCTTTCTGCAAAAATCGACAGATTCCAGGCGATGTGCTCAGGCTCGTGGCCGTGGCGGGGTATCATGATGCTCGGTTTGTAGGAGATGGGTTCGAGGTTGTCGCGGTAGCGTCGCAGATCTGTCTCGCGTCCTGGCTGCACGGCCCAGCAATGGCAATTCAGCGCCGGGCGCGAGGCTGCAACCAGTGAGATCGCCTGAAAGGGGAGGCTGAAAATCGCGTGCTGCATGAACTTTCTGGGGAGTCCATCTCGCGGTGCCGTGCTCCCGAAGGCATTGAGGCAGGAACTGTTAGTGGTTGCGGCTCGATCAGGCTAGCCGGGTGCCATACGCCTTCCTGATTGGCAGTCGAGTTCCATACTCGACTCCTAAAGCTTTTGCAGGACTCAACATTCTACTCTCCAACGTGCGCTGTTTGTAGCGATCGTCATTCATAGCGCCTCATTGCTGTGGCGGAGTAGTCTTCGGAAGTTGCTGGCCCGCATGCAGGCCTGTATAGTACCCTGCGTAGTACCACGAAATCATAACGTTCTTGAGGTTCTCGTCTTGCACTGTCGAAGTGTCAGTATCCATAAAATGACCGAGGTGAAACTGTCGTTCCCAAAACATACCTGTACCTAACAGAGCCTGAGGCATTGCCGCCAAGATGTTGTCATGTGGCGCTGTGGTTCCTGCATTCGCTGACTGGGGCTGGTTTTGTTCTTCGGATGCTGTTGTTTCCTGTCGTATGTCAGTCAAGGATATACGTGTCGCGCGCGTGCTACCGTGTCGTACCTGCAGCTGGAGCTCTGCTTGAAAGTCTTGCTCGACGTTTTCAGGCTCTTGCATTGAATTCTCAGTGTCCATCTGGTCCGAGTTGCCATTCGCCTCGACGATTTCACCATCGTCTTCTGCATCGCCTATCAGATCACCATATTCCCTGCCAAACTTAGCACGACACCGTCAACTTTGAATTAATTGACTCACGCTTGCAGCTCCTTCAGTTCTTCTTTAGACAGAACATCCTCCAGGCGCTTGCCAGATTTGGCGATGCTGTGGTACTTCTGGATCCAATTCAGTCATTGAAATACGGATGTGAGCGAAGACCTTACCTCATATTCAGCCACAGCTCCATTCCAGGAATCTTGGAGGAAGGAGTCGTCCCACGCGTTCTTGTCACTGATATCGATACCCGGCGCCATGCTGAAGATGAGCCCTCGTGACTTCGTGGTGATTTGCGAGGTGTCAAGTAGAAAGATGAGCAATTGCGATTCGGGTCAGAAGTGAGGTAAGAAAGTTTACTAGGGTAACCACGAGCGCTTTCCAAGATAGTCGTTGATGAGAGTCGTGGTGTTGTAGGCAGTCACCGCCTACTAATAACCTTAGCGGGAAGTTGCTAGCGCCCAAAAAAGTTCAGGCGGAAGGAGCTCTCGCTCAAGAACTTTTGAACTTTCACAAGACTCGCTCGAAGTCCCTCCCCACAACACACCAAAGCCGTCACCCATACACAATGGCCGCTGCAGACGTCGCGAGCAAGAAGCGCAAGGGTATGCTGCATGCACGGTCATGTTCAAAATTTGCGTACTAACATTTTCAGGCGCAACCGACGCCGCGCCAAAGGCGAAGAAGCCCAGAAAGTCGGACGACATTGCTGTCGCCGCAAAGCTCGCCAAATCCCCCAAGGCCGCTAAAGCTGCGTCCAAGCCTGCCGCTGAGAAGCCCACACGGAAGTCTGCGCGCAAGACTGCTGAGGACTTTTTCTCCGACGAGGAGGCGCCCGCCGCGCCTGCTGCGAAGCCCACGAAGGCTGCTAAGGGCAAGAAGAAGGCCGAGCCTGTCCCCGTGACCAACGGCGACGAAGACGAGAGCATGCTCGACTTCGACGTTATCGAGGCGAAGAAGGAGACCCCCAAGAAGGTGGCACCGAAGGCCAAGGCGAAGAAGGGCAAGAAGGAGACCGCCGCCGCAGAGCCCGAGGTCGTTGAAGAGCCTGTTGTTGAGGCGCCCAAAGCTAAGGCAGCGAAGGCGAAGAAGGGCAAGAAGGAGACCGCCGCAGAGCCCGAGGTCGTTGAAGAGCCTGTTGTTGAGGCGCCCAAAGCTAAGGCGAAGAAGGGCAAGAAGGCGCAGGAAGAGCCCGTGGAGGAAGTTGAGGTCGACGCAGTTGTCACTGAGGATGGCGACGCCGAGGATGCCGCAAACGACGACGACCAGACCGCCGCTCTCCTCGCCGGCTTTAGCAGCGACGACAGCGATCCAGAGGACGACGAGGATTTCCCCGAGGACAGTGCCGTTGTGCCCAAGCTCACAAAGTCACAAAAGAAGGCCATTGCTAGGGCGAAAGACACACCTAAGGCTACCGAGCCAGGCGTCATCTACGTTGGGTACGTACTCGATCATCCTCTCAGATCCGTTCTGTGCTAACAGCCACCAGCCGTGTCCCCCGTGGATTCTTCGAGCCCCAGATGAAAAAGTACTTCAACCAGTTCGGCCGTGTGCTCAACCTGCGCCTCTCGCGCAACAAGAAAACCGGCGCCTCAAAGCACTACGCCTTCGTCGAATTCGCCTCCGCAGAAGTTGCCGACATTGTTGCCCGCACAATGAACAACTACCTCATGTTCGGCCACATTCTGAAGTGCTCGCTCATCCCCAAAGAGCAGCTCCACGAGAATCTTTTCAAGGGCGCAGGAACTCGTTTCAAGGTCGACCCGCGAAACAAGAAGGCCGGGTTGGCTATGGAGCGCGGTGCCGAGAGGCAGGTGTGGGAAAAGAGGGTGGAAAAGGAGAACAAGAGGAGGACGGGAAGGAATAAGGATCTCAAGGAGACCTTTGGCTACGAGTTCGAGGCTCCCAAGCTGAGTGCCGTTGCTGCTATCAAGGCGGGGAAGAAAGTCGAGGTCGAGGCCAGTGAGCCCCAGCAGCTCCTCACCGAGGCGTCTGCGGAGACGGAGGCAGAGCCCAAGGGTAAGAAGGGCAAGAAGGCCACCAAGGTTGCTGAACCGGAGCCTGTCGTCGAGGAGAAGGCCGAGGAGAAGGTCGAAGCCGCATCCAAGAAGACAACAAAGAAGCGCAAGTCCACCGACGCCGCCGAAGTTCTCGCTGCCGTTGAGGAGCCCAAGAAGGCTGCCGCTGCACCCAAGGCGAAGAAGGCGAAGAAGGCTAAGGTTTAGAAGGTCCTGGCTTAGAAGCCCGCTGCTGTTGCATTCACGGGGAAGAAGAGGAAGAAGGCCAAGGCTTAGGCGCCCGACGTGCCTCTGTCTATGGAGCGAAAGAAGACGGAGAGAGTCATGGAATGGCTGAGACATGTGACACCATTAGTCTGAGTTTAGAGGGGAAGAGGATTCTGTTGTTATATGCAATCTGCGTATTTAGAAGATAACATAGGGAAAAGCGAATGCATCTTAAGATTCCACATATGTTGCATTAGAGTCAAGTGCTAGGCATTCCTGGTGTGATGTCGGAGACTTTGTTGCGTCAAGTCGTTGCACATCGAAGAGAAGTTTGTGTTATAATTCTCATTTGGCAGAGAGCTCGTTGAGCAGACTTTGACTTCATCAAGTCAAGTCTAACATCAAGCTCGTTGTCGAACCTCGAGTTAGCACTACGCTGGTCTGACATGATTCCCAATCGCTGAGCCTAGTCTGGACAGGGATGCTCTATGAATGTCGGTCACAATAGCATGTACGCTGGAGCTGCGCGTGTGGTGTGGTTTTGAGAAGGCATCGTGAGGGTTGCGGTGTTGCTTCTAGCACGCGCTTGCGAGCGATTGTAAGGCTTCACAGCTTTCTCTCAGGTTCGCCTGCGAGATCAATGGTGCGGGCCTTCATTCGACAGTGGGGACATTTCGGTCGGGTCCTGGGTCTTTGTTGTGAGTTCATTTAACGCTCATCCCACGGCTCGGCTGTAGTCGAGCTGGTCGCTGCACGCAGCCTTCGAGTGGTAGCTTTGTGCAACTTGTAAGTCTTTGGAGCTGCGTGTCCTTACATCTACGCATGTTTCGGTGTCTGTGTTCTGAATAGCTGTCGCCGGATTTCCTCGCTAGCCGTGCCAGATTCATGTTATAGGATCCAGGTTATGCTGCGGCCAACCTGAGGTATTCCCATCCGAATGAAGTCGTAGTCCTGCCTGTTGCAAGCCCCGAGAAGGGGTCTCCGTAAGCAAACGTGTTGGGCAGTTGCGCACTGAATGCGTGTTTCAAGATGCAAGTTTTGGCGCAAGTGGGCGTGTGCATCACGGCATGCAAAACCGCAAACTCGATGGATTAGAAATGGCCTGTACCCAGAAACTCATGTCGCTCGAAGGGCGAGCCCTGTAAACACCATTCCATGCCTGCTTCGTCCGTCTAATTGCTTCCACAGGTCGTGCGCGCTGCATTCGCTGATGGTCGCGGCCCGCTCATCTATGCCTTAGGTATTTATTTTTTGGCGGCCTCGGCCTTCTTCGCTTCGGCTGCGCGACTTATCAGCACCGCCCACAGTGGACACACGGCTACGCTGGCTCTCTCAACGCAGAGGCTGCGCATGCAGAAATACGAAAGAACTGGAGGAAGGACATAAAGACGTACCTGCGACCTGCTTTGCACGCATGATGGCAGCGGCGTCCTCCTTGGCCTTTGCTTGCTCGGAGCCGGACATCTGAAGAGGTCAGTCGTGCCCCGGAAGAAATCGAGCGCTCAACGCCAGAGTGCAGGCGCAGTCGACGATGAGGTCTGTTAAGTGATACATACGCTGTTCTTGCCTTTCTGTCGTAGTTGTCAGCGTGTGGTCAGTGGGGAAGGCTGAGGCAAACCCACCTTGCCAGCCTGCTCCTTCAGGTTCTTCTCTCTAGCCTTGTCGCGCTGGTTACCACGAGCCATCTTATCGACTTTTCTTTCGGTGAATGGTTCGAATTTTGCTTGTAGTGCTGCGGTGGAAATCGAGGGTCAAGGGGATAAGCGTCGACGGAAGGCGTTAAAAGCAGCGCTGTTTGCAGGTCTGTGATTGGGCAGGCGCTGCGAAGGGGCTCGAACGCAGGGGTGGGGCTCTGGAAGGCGCGCCATGTTGGGCGTCTTTGCTACACTTTACAACCACAATCTCCGTTTATGTTGCGAACGACTACAAGCAGTCATGCGTGACTCAAATGGGGCGATCCAATCTCATTGCTACATACTGGCGAGGACGCCTAGGCGTGTTACACAGGACGGCAGCCTGGTGTCCTGATTCCTGAAGCCTCACAATCACAGACAACACGACCGTACTGAGTCGACATGGATGATCCTTAATAGCCGTGACCCACTAAAGCCATGGTCTTCCAAGGGCATATAATGACCAAAGGCTTACGCCGGTTATCCACTCTTGTGGCAAAGTTGCTGATGAGTAGACCACAGCACACTTGCATGATCCCCCCTTGCCATCTTCGACCGTGTCAGACACGAATCACGCTTGCATCAAACTGCACTCTTCTAGTCCTTCATTCATTTTGTAGCCGCAAAGTCCGCCGTTGTGAGAGGCCAGCGCTCATTGTACTCCATATCTTCTTTTTTGCAGAAGGACGTCACTGTTTCACAAGACTGCTCAATTTCCATGTCGCGTAGTAACTCAGCCGGAGGCCAGGACATCAAGTCAGTACACGAAACCGGCGTTCTCAAAATTCGTTCACCCAGCATCGCGACATGATGGCCAGTGAGTAAGTGTACGCCAAACTTGCTGTTGGTCTGCTAATATATTGAAGCTTAATGCGTAGGCGCTGTCTCAACAGTCATATAGCCTGTTATACCCATAATCAAGATAAAATGGCTTAAGGCGATATCAAGATCAGAGACGTCGACGTTCAAGCAAAAACTGACGAACGCTCGCCAGGATCGCTCAAGGCATTGCCTGATAAGCTAACTGATAACGTCAATTGGCTTCCGGGACTTCTGCTTGGTATACTCACGCTAATAAGAGCCATGAAGTCTTTGTAGCAAGCAGAAGAAGCGAAAAGACTCCCTATCATCCGTCTCCTTAAAGTCTTATGATTGACTTGAGGGAACAGATTGATCCAGCAAAGACTGGAGGCAGTCATAGAAGCGGAGATTTGGTCATGTGCCTGTCTTCCACGTGGTACAGACTACAAGGTCAATACTTCATTGGCCGTTTGCTCAGCATATACTGCTCGAACATCACCTTGGCGCTTATGACAAGCCTGTTGGGGCGTGTCGCTCAGCCCCAGTGCTGACTCATCGACTCAGCCTCCATGTACGTTTATTACTTTCAATTCCGCATCGCGACTCCGTGGGTCTTGACGTATACAACGATTGTCATGGTGACAGGTAAAGCACAGAATCTTGGGGCATGCAAGGACAGTCGATTCCTGCATGCTGTGCTCCAGTGTACGGCTATGGTATCTGAATTCAGCGCACAATAGGTGGGTAGAAACAGGCTCAACATTAAACATGTGTGTTCTACTACCATCTAAAGCTCAGTAGATGTACGGAATGAACTTTTTCGTCCGTGCCCTGTATTCTCTCCACTGCTGCCCGAACTCCTCCTCCATCATTACTTCTTCGTCCCTCACCCTCCTTATGAACAGAGCTATTGGAATGCCGAGGGCGATGACAGGCACCAAGTGAGCAAACGTTGGGTCCGTAACCAGATTCTTCTCTATCATTGGCAGCCAACAGCTTACTAGCCCTCGCTGGCGGAAGAACAACAAATTTGTTGCCAGAAGAACCGTGAGGAGTCCAGTGTACGATGAATGGCGAACGTATGCGTATTGTCCGGAGGTGACCAGTCTGTCAGGCCGTGCGATTCGGTAAGTAAAGTTTGTGCCAAGTTGAGCATACGCCTGAAAACGGACATAGCTCCCGAAGTACAAGAGTGCGAGGGTCCCGGTAAGGGGCAATGACCATGTAAATAGTCGTCGATCCAGGTACTCTGCTGTCGGACAGACGGACTGCAGCACCTCATCGCTGCGGGGTAGCGTTTGGGAAAGCGACAGGGCGACAACAGCTTGGTGGAGAGCGAAGACCATTGTTGTCATCCTCGCGATTATCATGCCAACGGGCGACGCCATGACCCACCCTATCCATGATCCAGTCTGAGTCGAGATGACTTTGCTGCTGGGCTGTCGAAAGGAGAGTTGAATCAGATAGCCTGCGTGGACGATGACGAGGGCGTAGAGGATGGCCGAGATATCCATTGTGGATGTGCAATGACTGAATGAGGTGCAATGCGACTGGACGATTTGCGATATGGAATTTGGGGCGGCTACGTCATTGGTTTTGCGACTACCCAGGAAGATCATGCGCAGACTACGCCTTCGTTCCAGCTTCATGTCCATCATAACAACACCAAGGCAACACCAGGACAGCATCGTATCATCACCTAGGCAGTCTGATCATGCTTGCGCGAATGATAGTTGACGGAATCACGTGCACCCGAACCGCAAAACACTTTGTGTGCCTTACCCGGCGAGTCTCGAGAAAGTAATTATTGCGGTGCAAGTCGGTCCGACAGGCCTTGATCGTCACCTCTGTTGACTACCTTGGACTAGCACGTCTCAGGGTATGTATATATGGTCGCCTCCTAGCTAGCAAGCAACTCAGCGCAGTTTCCATCGACTATACAGCGGCTACGTCTGCCGCAACAGTGATGAGTGTCACGGGCAGAAGAGGTCTACTTAGCAGGCCTACTTTGAGGTACTAGTATATGTACATTTTGCCTCCTTTTTGGCTGTTACAGTAATCCGATAATTGGAATGGGCGGCACCCCTCCACATGCTCAAAACCTCTGTCGCGAGGAGTCAGTAAAAACCTTCCAAGGGTTATTACAGACAAGATGTTTAGCACAAGGGTCTTATTGTGCCCAAGTGTGAATCGACGAAGCCACTAGCGGGTTGGAATCATAAACCGGCTACAGACCTGAATGCTTCAGTCAGTTTAGCGAATTGTTGATGGTATATAATGCGGCTCTGCGAGGTCGAGCGTTGAGGTAAAGAACGGAGCGAACCTTAGAACGGAGCGAACCTTCAGTTTGCCTCTTGTGATTTCCCCGAGGTGAGCTTTGAGAGGCTGCATGCTTGCCAGGGCCAGCGTCAGCATGCATGGTCTCGTGCAGAGTACCCAGCCGATATCTATGTTTAGATAGTAGGCTATGTTTGAGAAGACAGTAGAATAAAAAGGCCAGTGACAGTGGCAATGTATGATAGCGTGGCGCTATTCACGCTTTAGACGATGTGACGTTCAGAACACGTACCTATATGACAGTCGTTGTACAGATAGAATTATAGGAGTTTCGACATCTCCACTTGAGGGTGACTTGCTCTTCATGACCACGCGACAAGCTCTTGCCTCTTGACCTTCTCTTCCTCATCATACCATCCTAGATAACGTGCCACATACTCGCCGGCCAGACCTAAGCTGATCGCTCCTCCAGTGAAGAAGGCACCATTGACAAACCACCACCAGCAGTTCTTGACCTCTTTCAGCTTGACACGGCGGATCATAGTGCCTAGTGTAAGCGCAGCACCACCACAGGAGCCGATGTAGAAGAGAGGGCCGAGTCCTGCAGCGTAGCCTGATGCCGCGAGAAGTCCGATCTGTACGACAGCAAGGCCCGAAAGCACGGCCTTTGTCTCGTTCTCATGCTTGAGCGCGATGCTCTTGATACCAGCTTTGACGTCGTCCTTTATGTCCATGTGAGCGTAGATCATGTCGTAAAGTACAGTCCAGGCGACGTTGCTGGCGTACAGGAAAGCAGCTGCGGTAAGTGCAGCTTGATTGGCGAGAAGGTCAATGCCGAGGGCAGGAAAGCCCATCATTGCTCCCCACGAGAAGGTGAGGCCAAGAATAAATTGAGGGTAATAGGTGACTCGCTTGGCTAACGGATAGAGTGTGACGAGGACAAGTGACGGTGTGGCGTACCAGAAACACTCGAGAGGTAGAGAAAGCAGTACAGCCAGACCGGTAAATAGCTGACCACCAAGGAAGACAATGGCCTGCTGAGGTGTCACTGCTCTCCTGGCAAGGGGTCGCAGTCGTGTGCGTTCGACGTGAGGGTCAAGATTGCGGTCCCAGAGATCATTGATGGTACATCCAGCTCCCCTCATAATCAAGGCTCCGGTGAGAAAGAGTGCTGTGGTGCCAATGACAGCAGAAGGTGCAACCACAGGTATAGCCATTGCACCAGCCAGCAGCGTGCTGAACAGACATGGAAAGAACAGATAATACGTTCCCGCAGGTGCCTGAAGCCGCATAAGCTCCGCATATGGGATGGCTTTCGCAGGAAGATACGAAATGAGACCCGTTGTTGGAGGCTTATATGCCGGTAATACTTTGACTGTTGGCTCTGATGTCGTTGTTGCTATGCTCGATGCAGATATGGTGAAGCGAGCGAGGGCTTGTATTCGTGGTCGATATATCTGCGAGCTCTTCGATGTGACGAGTTGTGTTGGTCTTGCTTGATGCTTCACAGGCAATAGCGATACTGAGCACAATGTTCTCTGCCATGGAGTCCGAAGTTGAGAGATGAACCTGCCACTCTGGGGAAGGGGTGCGCCGCAGCGGCCGGCTTGAAGAAACGAGGATGCCATAGCCGCTACGCTAGTGGTTCAGGGACCAGTCGTTGATGGTGATAAAGCGGGTCCGTCGTCTGCCGAAAAGTATTTGGTGAATGATGGGATCGGACGCGCCCTTGAAGTTTCTGGTCGTCAATCTACGTCAGTGGGACATGTCGTGATATATCATAGAGTCCTAACGCGTCTTACACTCTCTTCAGACTCTAGACGATCGCCGTTGACAGTGAGGGTGAGGTCGGAAGAATAGTCCAGGAAAGTACAGCTGCACTAGCGCGAGTCTGTGCGCCTTCCCGAGCCGAGCAGGAGCTCCAGCCTCGCTACGGTAGTTCAAGCTCTTGGTCGCGTCCGCAACAACTCCAGGCAACTTTCTCGCTGCCGCCGTCACGACGACAGCGCCGCCGCGCTTTCCCGCTGCCTTGGTGCGCTTAGTGAGCCTGTCTGGAGCTCCCCCGTAATTCGACCACATTCGCGACAGCCCTACCACTGTAGAGGCGCCTTCACTCCCGCCTGGTACGCGCAACTTGGAGAATGCGCCTCTGCATATAATATGCCCTCCGCTCGCCCAAGGGCTTCATTTGAGCCTATACCGCCAGATTTCGATGTGCGCACATTCGTCGAGACCGCAGACAACTTCCAATATGTGGATCGCATTTCCTATGAGATGATCGCCAGTAATGGCATCGAGCAGTTCGAGAAACTCGTCTTGCTCCATGTTATTATTGGCGGGAAGCCTTTAGTCATCGACGGCTTCGAAGAAGTCCTGGACCCTTGGACGTTCACACCGTCCTGGCTTCGCGACAACCACGGTGACAAAGGCATGATCCTAAAATTCACATGAGTTTGCAGGGACAGTAGCTAATAGATCGCCAGTCGAGAATGCGCGTAACCTTACGTCAAAGGAGAACATCCCTCTCACTATTAAGCACTACCTCATGCACCTGACAAAGCTCACCGATCAATTCTTCGGCAACCCAGACGGCTACAGAGACAAGACACGCCAGCGGATTTACCTGAAAGATATCGACTGCCCTCAGGTCTGGCAAGACAAGCTCAAGGACCACATACCTTCCGGTCTGTTTTATCTCAACGACAGTACTGGAGAGGTTGATGGAGCTGGTGCATGGGAAGACTTTACCGGACGCAAAGGCCGCGGCATTGGGCGCGCTGGAGACCTGATGAGCAGTCTACCGCCAGAGATGCGCGCCGAGAATCTGATGTGTTACATTGGGCACGAAGGGACATATACACCATCTCATCGAGAGATGTGCGCTTCGCTCGGTCAAAACATCATGGTGGACGCGTCCAAGCAGATCGGCGAGGACGGTAAGCCTGAACACCCTGGATCCTCGCTGTGGTTTATGACCGAAATGAAGGATCGCCATCTGGTTTCCGAGTACTGGCTGTCAGTGCTCGGTCACGACATCGAGGTTGAGGACCACTTCGCCCAGCTGATTGCATGGAAGAAGGCACCCTTCAAGACGTACGTTGTCGAGCAGCGCCCGGGCGACTTCATCCTGATTCCACCGCTGGCCCCACATCAAGTCTGGAATCGCGGAACCCGTACCATGAAGATCGCTTGGAACCGTACAACCGTCGAGACCCTCGAACTTGCCATGTCCGAAGCTCTGCCGAACTCCAGGGTCGTCTGCCGTGACGAGCAATACAAGAACAAGGCCATTGTTTACTACACCCTTTCGAAATACTCACAGCTCATCAAGACTGCTCGCGCACAGGTCGAAGCCGGTGGCGAACAAGCCGAAGCTATTCAGCATTCAGTCAAGGTGCGACAAGTACAACGCGACTTCAAGCGCCTTTTCGACCTCTACAAATCGATCATGCTCTCAGAGATGTTCGACCACAATTCTAGAGAGCAGTGTGAGTTCCTTCCTTACGACAGCAATGTCACCTGCGCGTACTGTAGGTGCAACATCTTCAACCGCTTCCTTAGCTGCAAGACCTGCAAGAATTTGTTCAGCTCTGAGATCGAGGAGCCATACGACGTCTGCATGGACTGCTATTGTATGGGACGCAGCTGTGGTTGTCAGTCTGGCTACCAGTGGGTCGAGCAGTGGAAGTGGAAAGATCTCATCCACAAATACGAAGAGTGGCGCGCTCAGATCATTGATATCGACGGTCATATGACCGAGAAGACTCCTCTCCCTCTGCAAGAAGAGCGGCGATACCTTGGCAAGAAGACACTGGCACAAGTGTGTCAGAAGCAGCTAAGGATCCGACCGTTCGTGGACATCAAAGCACCACAGATTGAGGACAATTCCGAAGATGAAGAGGTCGAAGTTGACGCTTATGGCGTCGCGAAGAGGGTCAAGAACAAGAAGCCCAAGAAGTGGTTGAGGACGCACAAGTCTTGCCATGTATGCCTGCATCGGCACCCCAATTGGAAAGTGGCGTTCTGCTCGAACTGCGACTTAGGCTTTTGTTACGGCACGCTATTTCGGGCTCACGATATGATGCCTCTGAGCGTTATGGAGCAACAGAACTGGAAGTGTCCACACTGCCGGAGGGTGTGCAATACAGGGCACTGTAGACGTGATCCCCGTCAACGTCCGTACGAACCCAAGGGCACTCTACTTGGCCACGACACCAAAAAGGTAGCAGATCCTCGCTCTGTCGAATGTCTCGTCGATTTCAGTGTCTCCAATCTCAACTGGATGCGCGAGGAAGAAGGCATGGGTCAAACTGCAATTCAGCGGCGCATGCAGCAAGCGGAGCAAGACCGATTGGCAGACCCGTCGCTGGATCCCCGATACATGGACGAAGACCCTACGTACCGAACCGGTATCGCATACTCTCCGGTCGAAGATGCAGACGGTAATGTCAACGACAACGGTGGCTTCATTAAAATCGACACAATACAAAACGGCGAGTACCCTCACGACCCGGATGGGGATATACCGAGACTGGGACAGAAGCGAGGGCGCGATGATGAAGATGAGCAGACTGGTCGCAAGAAGAAGTCCAAGAAGCAAAAGAAGAAGAAAGACGAAGATCAGCCACTCGAACCGAAGAATGTCTCTGGCAAACAATATCAGAAGGAGATGCAGCGTAGGCTCTTGGACGAAGCCAAGCGCGAGGATCGTTTCATTCTTGTCGCCGCGAAAATGAAGAACAAGTCCAAGGTGATCAAACTCTTCCTGGACCCGCAAATTCTCGAGAACATCAGCAACCGACCGGTGCCTGAGCGTCCTTTGGCTACAGCACAACAGGAAACACCCGAGGAGGAAGCCGGTGGCCACATGGTATCAATCCTTCAGTCAGACATCATACCTAAAGGCAATGCTGCAAGGACCATCGGTGAGAAAGAGAAGGCCACGAAAGTGTTCCGATACAGAGTGGAGCCTGACGATTCGTATAAGTCAAAGAAGCGCAACAACGACGCTGGCGGACCTGCCAAAACATCCGGTCGACCTCGCGGTTCAAAACGTTACGAAGAGATCACACTTGACTCCGATGAAGAGTTGTTCGATGATGGTGATGACGACGATGCGGACGGCGCATATCCTGGGCAGATTCGTCAACGTAAATCGAACTGGCTGGCTCGAAAGAATCAAGATGAGGATGAGGGCCTGCCAACAGAGCTCCCTGCCGACTTCAGGGACGGTGGTATGCGCCCGGGACGTGATCGTGAGCGAGAGCGCGAGCGAGCCCGTGAACGGACCGAGAAGAGGAAACTGACGCCAGCCAAGCTACAGCCAGGTATCAGACCGAAGGGTCGGCCCCCAAATAATCGTAGCAATAGCATGGGGGACATTGCTGCTGGGCCGGAGATTGAAGCCCAAGACGCGCCACAGGAGGTCCCAGAAGCGACTGATGAGGAGGAGGAGGAGGACCAGTCCGTTGAAGCACTCATGCTTGCCGAACAGGCTGCTGCTGTCGCTCTCGTGGCTCAACAGTGCGAAGAGGAGGCTCGCAAACGTGGAGAGGAGGAGGTACAACGCAAGGCGGCTGAGGAAGAAGAGAAAGCGGCAGCAGCCGAGCGTGAAGCACAGGAGAATCTGCGCGCCAAGATGGCGCTTTTCAACTCTGATGATGATGAGCCTGTAGACGATTTTCTCAACGACCTTGTCGATGAGGACCCAGTCCTGGACGATGACTTTGACTTTGCTGAGCCCATCCGCACTGGCCCGCCTCAGGCGACGAACTCTCTATTCGATCGTCCAGAGATGAACGGCAAGAAGATCAAGGTTGTCTCTACTGCCTCGAAGCGTAACGGCGAAACTATCAGAACGACCACTACAACCACCTTTACGACACCTGTATCGACATTTACGAGCGTCAACAAGGAACCACAAGCAGTGGACATGTCAGACTCTGACGATGATGACGAGATTCCTGCAAGTGCTCCTGTACCCAAGAAGGCTGTGGGCCGACCTCGTGCGGTGCCATCGAGAGGCGGCATGGTGCCAATTCGAGGTGGTGGTACGCCAAAGCGTGGCCGTGGACGACCAAGGAAGACTACGTAAAACTTGGACAGAGCTGCGGCGGAGAAAATTCAAGTACAGGGTTTGTTAGTGTATCCTATCTTCTTTCTTTGCATCCCAGCGAGGCGCTTGGGAATTTTCACGGTATCTACGTTGGTTTGCTTTCCGATTAGGATAGCTCGGTCAACCGTAGCAGTCAGCCATACAGCCCTGTAGGCTCAACGATACCATTTCAACCATACGACTGCATCGTTTCGAATTTCTGATATCGAGAGAATAATCGAGCGGAATACCCCTGGCACCCTGCCGCCGATTGATGATCTCATCCCACGTGACGTCGCGCGGACGCGTTTCGGCGCGTTTCCCAACCTCTCTTCCATCAACAAATGCTTCACACATCCACCATGTCATCTCTTCACATCAATAGCATTTCACTTGAGCTCTTCAAAAGGACATTAGCGCGCTACGCGATCATAGCACCATCCACATTAGCAGACCTCGATACCCTGCGCTATGAGACAATCCCCGCGAAGCTCGCCAAGAGCAAGAAAGACACGCATCTACCGAAAGCCGATGTTGAGAAGCTTGTAGAATGGAAACTGTAAGTGGTGTTTCTCGTCCATCTCGATTTATCAATCAAGAAACACAGCTGACACGACGACAGGAAACACGGCACATTCCGTCCCACGCTGATGAACCTCGTCAAATCGAATGCCCCGGATGCCATCGAGGAAACAACCCGCCTCGGTTTTCTTGACAACGATCCTATGCGCTCCCTTAAAGTCCTTGCGTCCCTCCGTGGAATTGGTCCTGCAACCGCATCCCTGCTTTTGAGCGTCCGATCCCCAGATTCTGCGCCGTTCTTCTCCGATGAACTGTTCAGATGGACGCACTGGGATGCGCCAGGTAAGAGTGGGTGGGAGAGGAAGATCAAGTATAGTGTGACAGAGTACAAGGAGATACTTGCGAGTGTTGAGCGTTTGAGGAAGAGGTTGGGTGTCAAAGCGGTAGACGCGGAGAAGGTGGCGTATGTGTTGGGGAGGGAAAGTGTGGATGTGGATGGGGAAATTGAAGGGAAGGGGGGTGCGGGAGAAGCTCTAGAAGAGAATCTCAAAAAGAATGGAGAGAGGGAGAAAGGGGTGGAAGATGTGCAGGAGGAGAGTAGGAAGCGGGTACAGGAGGCGCTTGAGGAGATCAGGAAGGAGAAGGCTAATAATAAAGAGAGCGGAAAGCGGCAGGAAGACGCTGTGGTTGATTCGGAGCAGCAGGCTGACAAGGCCGCAAAGAAGCAAGGCACGAAGAGGAAGGCGAAGGAAGGAACCGTACCTGCCGAAGGGGCGCGAAGGAGTACCCGAAAGAAGACTTAGAGCGGAATTTATTATCGAATGAGCAGGGTTGGCTTCTTGACGAGGGCAGAACAGAAGGCTGGCTAAAAATAAACGCAACGACAGTGATAGCTCGCGTGCGAGCTTAAGGCAACTGTAGTAGGCGTCTGAGGAGGGCAGAAAATGATGCCGCGCTTCCAGGATCACAGAACATTGAGCAACTTGTCTATCTGTCAATGAGTTGTACCTCCTCTGATTGACCTCATGCGCGACTATTTAAACTCGGCGCTCCCTCCGTCACTCTTTCATTCCATTCATTCCACACGACGTTCTCTTCGCTAACCTCGATCGCACGTATGGCTCTGCAAGTGCACGATAACGGTACCGTTACTTTGCCAATGTACATCGAACAATCCTTTTTCCCGAGACTGCTAATCTACTGTAGTCCGGAAGAGCATCGCCGCGTCCACTCCCACGTCCCAAATGACATTCTCAACATCCACGAGAAACTGATGGACATCATGGAGTCGACGTGGAACGACGGTTGGAAGAGACTTTACATCGACGAGAAGGGCGAAGACCACTATGACGACAACGGTCTGCTACCTTGGGTGCTTCGTACTCTCATACTCTGGCTGTACAAAGGCATTCTTCCAGGCCGTGACCTGCTCAAGGACTGGATTGACGACATCCCGCAAGATTGGTTGCAGGGCTTAGAGGCCAACCCGCTTGCCAACAGCATCGCCATCCATCTTTACATACTGGCGTCGGAGAAGGAGTGGTACACCTTATGCAACATAATGACGGCCGTCCTCTTCCAGCAGTATCAGAGCAAAGGGTTCCCGCCATCCTCGGGTCGAGTGTGTCAATTGTACGAGGGCGTCATTCGCTGCAAACTCTAGACGTTGTTTCTGGGTCTTCACCACAACCCCCGCGCAACTGGGGGAGGAGAATCGAGAGTGGCCGATAAAGTTCCTGTTCGGGTTCTTCGCCTATTGTGCAGAGCTGGAGTACATGCCGAGATGGCGCGAGAAAGTTGAGGGAGGACTTGGAGACGATGCGCAATACGCAGACGGTGGAGGCATGTCCCTGGGGCTCATTGATTGTCACAATCACTTCACCAAGGATCTTTACGGTGCGTCAGATTGCGCGGATTGCAAGACTCCCGAGCTCCGAGCGACTTTCACGATACCTTGAGGACGCCCGAGCAGTATCCGGCCGGCTCTGGATGTAGTACCGCGTCACGACTGCTCCGTATCATATTAATGGCAAGGCAGGGGGTAAAACAACGCGAGATGGATGAGAGCACGAAATGAGCCGGAGGATCGAGGTAATTGAAGGATTTTCGTGGCCGAGAACTTGGGTTCAAGCACACAGCAGCACTGATATGGCTAGCCAGTGTCTGCAAATTCGAAAACGAAGCCAAACATAAGCCCAGACAGTATACGTCGGACCTAGTGAAGGCACATTGGTTGGCAGCATCCGTGACCCGTTCATGCTGCTTTCTCTCACTTTCCACCACTGGTAGAAAGAAGTACCTGTCCCTTCGCTTCCTCGGTGCACCGTGCCCTTAATATATTCTACGGGAGAAAAGCAGTCCCCGTTACTCCTACACCCAAACCTCGCGACCCGGACCTCATAGAGCGTCAGCGTCCCCCAAGATTGGAAGAAGGGGGCAAAAGAACGATCCGCTGTAGTGCAGCCTCAAGCTCAGACTGTATATCTTCGCTTTCGATACGAAGAATTGCTCTGATCTTGCGGATGCAATGGCGGCAGTTCTCTTCCGCCAGTACCAGCCCGCACTTACTAGGCGAGTATGTATGGGCGGCACACATGCCTTGCACGTTTCACTATTGTGTGGCCTCGCCTTCGTGTACAAAGCTCTGTATGACCGCAAAACTACGCACCATCGAAGATCACTTCATTTTCTGGAACACTGAAGACTAGAAAGACTCAGAGTGGTGGGCTGAGGAGGGACCGTGCGTCCAAGTGGTCACCAGATTAGCGACGATATGGAGGGGTTCCGTTTTAGTGATGATGGGTGATTAGATAGTCGCGTGTTTTCCCTTTGCCTCTCTCCCCTGGGGTCGGCTTTGCCCCTGGGCAACGAAGATATCGGAGACGAAGATTGGTCGAAGGAAGCATTAGGTGAGAGAGGACGATCACAAATCGTGACGAAAAAGGGGTGCAGTAGTCGAGCCCGAATCGCAAGGTAAGAAGAAGTCAAGCTCGCAGAGTGTGATAGTTGGATTATCAATAGACGTAAGGATTGTCGTTCCATCGTAACCTTGACCTGTCAGTAGTAACAACAGCAAAAACGCCTTGCGCCGCATTACCATGGGTATACCGAAATCATGACGCCCGCTAAGCCCACATGCAGTCACTCAGGTACCAGGAACACCGTCTTTGGCGCGTATCCTGCCTTCTCTCACTGCGCCTATTGTGACAGCTGCCTCGCCTGTCATCCAGCCTGGCATCTTCTCGCCATCCACTATGCCTTCCTCGACCAATTGCCTAATGCCGGCAAAGACGTGCGTGCCTGTGAATGCAATGCGGACATTCGGAACCCATCCTTGGTCGTTTTGCAGCTGCTCTGTCTCTTCTGCAGTGCGATCAAGTATTGACGGGCGACCTCTGCGGCCGCGATTTGAAGGCTGGGCGCTGGTTCTCGACGTCTCGACGTCCGGTTCTGCAGGGTTGTTTGGTGGGGCAGGGAAGGGGTCGTCGATGCGCACTTCGAACCGCTCGAGGCCTTGACCGTCATCTGGTTGGGCAGAAGTGCCGAATCGACCTTGTGCGACTTCTCTCCTTCTCTTCGACTCGGGTGTTTCGGTGCTGTCCAGTGCCCTCTTCGGCCGCCCTGGACCGACCTTGGCCGATGTGTTGGCGAGGGTCTTCGGTCTGCGCTCTTTGTGTTGCTCGTCGCTCTTCTGCGTAGTGATAAAGTCCAGTGCATTCTGGCTGAAGCTGTGGTCCTGGAAGATGCTCCAACCTCCTGCCGCGCCATTGCTCTTTCCCGGCCCGCGGTATGTGAGGAGGGCGTCGAGGGACTTGGTTGTGAAGTTTGTGCTTGTCAATTGGTATCTTGCTGAAGGTCTTGAGAAGGCCTTTGGTATGGCCTGCTGTACAATGTCTCTCAAGTGACGCCCCTCGTCCCCCACCACCTGCCCTGTGTGTGTGGCTAAGGAGGAGTAGACGAACGGCGAGCCACTTGGCCAGACGAAGAAAACCGCCTTGGCACTGTCTGCGGTGCTCGAGTCCAGCGCCAGTGAGGTCTCGTTGCTGTACGGCGAGTCGTGGATGTAGACGCGCAGGATGGTCATTGGCGATGTCTTGATTCTCGTGATGAGGTAGTGCGCCTTCATCAGCGGCGTCAGCTCGCGAGCGAGATTCGACATGAACGTCTGTGCTTGGAAGCGGGGGAGGTGGTCTGAGTCGTTCGTGACCTCCATGTCGGTGACGGCTGAGCGGGCGCTGGGTATCCGGGTCAGCCGTCGGGCGGTCCAGCGCAGGGCGTTGGGATGGTCGAGCAGATACTGTATCTCGGCCGTCGCCAACATGTACATGGACACGCCGGTCCGCCAGTCGCCCTCGAGGATGCGGTCGAGCACCTCTCTCCGACCGCCCTTGCGCGCGGCCAGCTCCTTGTACGTCTCCAGTAGCTCCTCGTGGCTCTGCGCCGGCTCGTACAGCTCCTCATTCAGGTCGTCCTCGGCCTCGGCCTCGTTGCGGTCACCGAGCAGGAACGGCGTGCAGAAGTCGCGGTTCTTCTTGCTCAGCCACTGCTGGGCGAGCGAGATCAGCGACTGGCGCGACAGCTTTGTGAGGGTGCGCTGGACATCGCGGTGGGCGACAGGCAGACGGTGCGAGTGCGGGATGTTCTTGTAGTCCGGGGCGGTAGCCATGACGTGCGGCGCATCGATGCTCTACATGGGCGATGCGAGTTGTTGATCGTCCCTTATCGATTGGGAAGCGCGACGCGCGACAAGCTGCACGTGACCAGGACGCTTCTCTCGTCTTGGTCTGGCATGTCCGACGTCTACTGTGCTGAGAAGCACAACGAGGGGGTCTTTGCAGGGCCTGACTACTTTGACGACGTCAATACCTCGGACCATCGCGAGACCCCGTCTCGTCCGTTTGCGGCATTCACGTGTGCGGCCCTTCACAGCAATCCAACGCTGCTACATGCCACGGCCTCACGCTGCGAACGCTCCAGTGGCAGCCCGGCGTCCGCCGCGATCGCCCTCCACGCCGGAGCAATTCGCGGAGCGCACTGGTGCGACGTGGTTGGTTGCGCCCTTGCGATGATTTCTTTGATTACAAATCTGACAATTAGTGAGCAGAACAACACCACGCAGCTGCAGCCAGCCTGCAGGTGGGCTCGCTGTGTATATGTAGCAGTGAGCAGTGCCGCCAGAAGCGCAGCACACTCGCGACGCCAACTTCACTCTCGTGACCTGCATGCCCGCAACTGGAGACGAATTGCGAGGAAGCAACCCGCGAACGAGAGAGCGAAAGCGTGGGGTGAGGGACTGGCTACGGACTGAACCGGCACACCACCTCGGCAGACGCTACAATTGTTCTGGTCGGGCTAACGCTCCTGCGCTGCGCACGTCCGATAGCGCGGGGCTGAATTGGCTCACAAATCCTCGCAGGCACTGAGTTTGACCCAACGTCACCACTTGCATGTGTCAATGTCTGCCACCACCGCCCACGTCTCACCATCTCTGTAGCACGACATTGCCTCGTGTGGACCACTGCACTTCAATCCAACGACTCGGAGATAGCGGCCTCAAACTCGCCTGACGCACGCGCGCCGATTCGGACCCATAGTCAATAGCCTCTCAACGGACCCAGCCTACTGCGCCAAAACCCCCTCGATATTGGATTTCATCACTCCAACAACATCTGTTCACATAACCAAAGCCAATCCCGCCCATCTTGCCGACCGCCCATGTCGGGATACAAGGGACCGCGAGGACCCAATGTGTCCCAGTACATTGCCAATCTGAACCAGCTGTCGCCGCCCGCACACAACCTCGCAGAGCCGCAGCCCGTAAACGACGACTTCTCCGCCTTCCTGAACACCGACTTTTTCGACATCAACGGCGGCACCAACGTCAACCTCAACTCGCCCATTGACTTTGGCGTCGACTTTGACATCAAGCCCTCGCCCCAGCCCACTGCCGAGAATTCCCCGAGACACAGCATCAGCGCTCCCAGCGCAAAGCCCAACATGGAGTTCAACTTGAATGGTAAGTTTGCCGTTCGCTAGACGCGCTTGTTGCTCTCTTTCTCTGTTTCGTAATCCTTATTCCCTCCGTCGTTGTCCATCTCAAGTCCTGCACGCTGCATCAGCCAATCACAGCTGCAGCATGTGCACACGCCCCACACTATGCGCTCCACAACCCCCACACTTCTGCCTCCCGGCCACTCACAGGCCGAGGACGCTGCAGACCTGCCGCTGAGCATAACTTCACCCCCAAGCACGCAATTGCCGGCGCAAGCATGCCAACCTCACGACTCATGTCTTGAACGCTGCCTTCTGTGCATCTCTTGTCACACCACGCGATGCTTCAATCGATTCAAAACGCGACCATGGCTGACTTTGACCTCTTCGCAGGCGACTTCCAGTTCACAGACTTCTCCAACTTCAACACGGCTCCCATCCTCGACGCATCCATGCCCGGCCTTCCGCAGCCCCCGCAGTCCCACTATCCGCTCCCGACCACATACGCACAGCCCAATGCCATGTCGCCCATCGACTACGATGACTTGACCCCCAAGAAGCGCAAGGTGGACGACCTGTCCGTTGACACGCCCATTGAGCACATGGACGAGCACGCCCGCGTTGCCGCCGAGGAAGACAAGCGCCGCCGCAACACGGCCGCATCCGCGCGCTTCCGTGTCAAGAAGAAGCAGCGCGAGCAAGCCCTCGAGAAGACGGCCAAGGACATGAGCGACCGCGTGCAGCAACTCGAGGCCCGCATCGGGCAGCTGGAGACGGAGAACACATGGCTCAAGAGCCTCATCACGGAGAAGAACGTGGGCAAAAGCTCAACGTCGGATCTCAAGGCCATGCTGAGCGAGCACGAGAAGCAGAAGGCCGGACGGAGTAGCCCCGCGCACACCGAGGGCGTGGGCACCAAGGCGTGAGAGGCACGAGGGCCGCAGCCAAAAGTGTGTTAGATTTACTCCGCTTCTTACGATGTATATACCCCGGTTTGCAGAGCTGAGGGTCATGGTGTGCGTTGACGAGGACGGTGCACGAGATATGAGTCATGCAGTGCGATACCTTTTGATTTCTTCAACATAAATCCAATAACTACCCTTTCCTTCTTGCCTCGCATGCTCCCGTGCACATGCACACTGCTCCCCTCGTGCCTCTCACAAATGCCGCCTGTTCCGCCCCACGTCCTGGGTCAGAGTAAGCGCAACATCAATCCTACAAACGACCGTGACCACAGCGCTCTACACTCGACGCCCTCGATCCCCAGTCCGCACCCTCCGGAACCCCCGGGACTCGCGGAACTTCGGAACGCTGAGATCGCTGCGATACCGAGGGCCGCTATCAGATCGGGAGTCGCTGCACCGGGTGCGGGCGAATACGGCCTAGCACGAGGCGCGTTCGCTTGTTATGATGGTAGCAATGACGGGTGCGGAAATGTTTGGAACGAGTGGACGGTTTTGTTTGTTTTCGACATTTTGATGAACAAAGTGTTTGACGTGTGAGCAAGATTGGCGTTTGCGAGATGCGCAAATGTGACGTCTAGGGCAAAAGGCTTGCAGCCAAGCATTGAACATGTAACGCGGGTGTTGAAACGAACAGTCATGTAGGCGAGGTTGAGCCGCATGTAGCTCGCAGCGAACTCCTAGCTTAGATGAAGATTGTGGGGAAGGATGCCGTTGATGGGCTGCATGTAAACAAGAGAGAGGCCGAGTTGTGTCTTGAATCTTCGGGGATCGAGGGATCGTAAAGAGTGGTTAAGCCGTCGAGGAGAGCTTGGGATGAAACCTGTTGCACCCGCTCGTGAGTATTGGGAGGCATTGAATACGCCGGCCTGAAACAGACGTATGAATTCGCTGGCTTATGAACATGCTACCAAACGCCTTTTTACAAATGAGTGAGCCCATGTCTACACCAAGGTGCTTTCCAACTTCCACGCAGGAGCAGGTCTAGCCCCCTTGTCCGATGCGACAAGCGCTGCAATGGACATGTCACTGATCCAGCGTCCGTGCGGCGTAGAGTAGCCCACCTGTTACCCAGATCAAGATCGTCTTTCGTCATCTTCTTGACTGCATTCTGGAACTTTAGTAAACTCCCGTAGCGGTCGGCCACGCCCTATATGGCGATCCAGGTGATTGTGATGACAATGTCCATGCCCTTCTTCTCCGCAGCCTCCCACTTGTAGCTGTAAGTCCCGTCTTTCTCGTTGTTCCAGTACGCGCCGACTGCGCTGTGCATGCCGCGGCGCCCGTGCTTCTCCGGTTCGCTCGGCGAACCGATGTGCTGGATGACGGTGCTGTTGGCGATGTACTTATATGCTGGTTGGGCGGGCTCGCCGCCCTCGGTCTTTACTGTTGTGGCCTCGATGAGGGATTTGAGAATGGTTTGCTACACAGTGTTAGCTGCGATCGACATGGCGGTGTGGAGATGGAAGGGGGGGTAATTGTGGGGGGTCAGAGGTGCACAAGGCTGTGGTTTTGTATTCAGATGGCGGGGTCTTAAGCCGCTTCATTAACACGGACCAAATTCTCTCATCATGTAGGGTTGGGAGGTGTTGGGGGATGAGACGGCGCTCGCGTGCGCTTGGGTGGCTTACGATGATGGCGGTGTTCCAGTCGGCGACCTTGGAGTGGTCGTAGAGCGCGGCCTCGCCAATTGCCTGTTCGCAGGCCTGTCGCCATGTCAGTCGCATTGCACAATGTTGGTGCCTTGAGATACTCACGCTGCTGGCAATCTTCTGCAGCTGCTCAGTGGGGAGCGGTGAAGCGGCCTGTCCGTGTCAATATCCGTTGTGAAGGCAGTGGGAGGGTTTACTGACAGCCATCGTGATGTGTGTGGGGGGTATTTAGTGTATAGGGACTGTAGATGGAGGCTGGACGAATACAGATATTGATGCGTGTGGCTGACAGCGATACCGTCTGTTGTCGTCAATGTTTGTACTTGCTAGCGCGTCGTCGTCAGGGCGGCCAGGCCCGTTTTGGCCGCGCGCAGACGCTCGACCGCCCGCGTCACGTGGGGCCGCTGATTGGTTGCAGGCGCATCACAGCTCGATCGCCGTTCCCACTGCAAGGCAGGAGCTTGAGCTGGAATCCTGCCAGACTTTCTCACCACCGCCCGCGTTGATATCTGAAGGATCCCCGACTGTCGTCTGAAGTGCTGTGCGACGAGAGAAGCCAATTGACCAGCAACACCCCCGGCGTCACCTCGCGCTTTCCGTCAGTAGCAGTGGGGCCTCAGCACCGTCATGTCGAGCCAGCCTCTCCTCCAGACAGCCCCGGGTACGTCGCCCCCTCAGCACACCGGGCTCCGCTAACAGACCCAGGCAAGCGCATCGCTCTCCCCACTCGCGTGGAGCCTAAAGTCTTCTTCGCCAACGAGCGCACCTTTCTCTCATGGCTGAACTTCACCGTTATCCTGGGCGGCCTGGCCATTGGGCTGCTAAACTTCGGCGACAAGGTCGGAAAGATTAGCGCGGGCCTGTTTACCCTCGTTGCTATGATGGCCATGGTCTATGCGCTGTTCACATTCCACTGGCGCGCGAAGAGCATAAGGATGAGGGGCCAGGGCGGCTTTGACGACAGGCTTGGTCCTACGATTCTAACCCTCGCGCTGTTCGCGGCGGTGGTTGTCAACTTTGTGCTCAGGATCACCATGGGTGACGACAAGAAGCACTGAAAAGCAACACGTCGCGATGGCATGAGCAGGGCTGGAGGTTGGAGCACAAGATGAGCGCATTGGAACAGCTGCTGAGGAAGACGGGGGCAGGCCTCATTTCGAGGACAAGGAGGGAGCTTGTAAGATGGCTGTCGCTGGGAGAGCATGGATTGAAGCCACAGGCGGTCGTCATGTTTTGAATACTTGTTTGACGGTAATCACGGTTGGTTTTATCGTTACTAGACTGGAGCTGGAGGCGCTCAGCAGGCTTTGACTAGCTGACAGAAATACAAGAGTGCTAAGCCAATGACACCTCCGCCTCTGATGTCGAAAGCGACCCCCTGGAGGGCCTCAGACTCGTTTCGCAACTTTCCTCGCGATATTCAGACGCGCCAGCAGTGCAAACATGCTCGAGACGAGAGCTACGGCTCCAGCGTAGAAAATTGCTGGGCGGTATACATCGATGTTGCCTTGCCCGGCCTTCTCTTGTCCTCCCGATGCCTGCAGAATGTAACCTGCAACAGGTGCACCCAGGAGGTACCCAAACGTCCAACCCGTGATTGACATGCTCATGGCAACGGCTGCTCGCCCAGGGCCGAAGATACTGGCCACGACGGTTGGGAAGACGGTAAAGTAAGCTCCGTTCGCTACGCCGTTCAGGACAGCAAAGACAAGGAGCGGTCCCAGTGTATTCGACACCGGCCAGATCGCCAACATACTGACAGCGTTCAGCGTCATGGTGATGACAAAGGTATTCGTAGATCCGATCTTGTCGCATAGAGGGCCTCCAGCAAAGCGGCCAACCGCATTACAAGCATTGAACGCCGCGACCAGAGCAGCACCAGTCGTCGAAGACAGGCCGAGTGACTGCGCAAAGAGAGGCAGATAGTACGGCGGCACGAACAGTGCAAACGTACCAATCGCGCCCGCCACAAACATGGCGCTGAACGGCACGCTGCGGAACATCGTGAGGTCGATGAACGGCGCTTTGCGAACGGGCGCAACGCGGTCTTTCATCAGCCAGGCGGCAGGCAGTCCCATGCCGACGGTAATTAGCCCCTGGATGCGGAACGTCCACGCTATGCCCACACGCTGCACCATCTTCTCGAGCGCGATGGCCATGACAGTCCCGCCGATGCCACCGCCAACCTTGATCAACCCATTTGCAAGCCCCAGGCGGCCGGAGAAATACTGCACCGGTAGCTGGTTAGTCATGGTGTACGCAGCATTCATGCCAATGCCAGCTAGCAATCCAATCGTGCCGAAAAGACCAGGCACATTCGAGGTACAGCTACCGGCAGCAATGAGACCGAGGCCCATCATCGCGATACCCGCCATGGCTGTGTATCGCGAACCAAAGCGCTGACCACATTTTGTGGCCAGCACGCCGAAGGCCACGCCGCAGCAGAGGTTCAGAGAGCCGATGAAGGAGACCGTCGAGGTAGGCACGTGGGAAAGCGTGCTGTTGAGGAGCGCGCTCTGGAGGATACCCCAGCAGTTGATCATGCCATTGAAGCAGAAGGTTAGGAGGAAACCGGCAAGGACTACGGCCCAGCCATAGCCTCCGTCGGGGATGGCAGTTGTGCTGAAGGCGCCTGCAGAGGCATTGACGGATGTTGGTGTAGGTGAGCGAGGCGGTGTTTGAGTTTCCACATCTGAAACTGAATGCCTCCGGGTTTGGTCATATGTGAGGTCTGTTTCTGAGATGGTGGTCGAGTTTGGAAAAGAGGAGAGGTAGAGTGTTGAATTGTGGTTGGATGTGGTGTTCGACTCTGGAAAATAGCAGAGCTCCAGCTCTGGCTGTTGGAGCTGAGTAAAGGTCGCCATATCGATCGACTCCCGATCTTGAAGTTCAGTACGCCCTCGATTTTGATGTTAATGTTCGAAGCTGTTGGTGACGTTTCTGGAAGTAGCAGGCGAGTTCAGCACTTTCTGTAGGAAATACTTGAAGGCAAATCCTGTGCAACACGCGAAATCTCTTCATGAGCACCCATCGCTTGATGTGGGTCATCGTGGCCTCCAGTATCGTGAGATTCTGGGGAAGGACGTCAGTGCGCGTCACCAAATCGCAGCCATGTAGACTGGCGCCAATGAGGCTGATCGTAGCTTGAGGCTCAAGTGGGCCTGGGCATGTTCATTGCAAATGCTGGTAATCCTTCAGCAGAATCTGTGCGCGAATGTGCTTGTTCACGCCCTGTAAGAATTTTTGCACCTTGTGATGGTTGTCGACAGGTTCGCGCCTTGCGCTTGTCGAGGTCTAGCCAATCATAGAACGGTCGCGCTTACCCCCACAGTTCTAGACACCCCGGCTGCGGTTAGCTCTTTCTCCACTCCAGACCTCCAGCATCTGTGACATAGGCAGCAATCTCCCCATGTTACCGCTATCAACGCATACAATCGGTCCAGCATTATGAGCACAGCCGTGGATACCGAGTGGGAGGCACTGCTCAATTTCTCTCCAGACGAAATCGCCTTCGACTTGACAGCTCTGAATGGCCCACTTGATAGCGGCGGACTTGATTCACCTCTGGTCTACCTGTCTGGTCATTCATCTGGCCAGTCAACCCCAGGCAATGACCAGCATGCGTTGCGGCTTGGAGATAGCCTTCAAACCCTCTTAGACAACACGTCACCTGGTGATGTGAGGGACAGCACATCAGCAATGCATAAAAGCGGCGGACGCTTTTCCAAGGAGGTGGTGCGAATGCTCAAAAACTGGCTTAATACTCACAAAGCGCGACCGTATCCTACAAACGAAGAGATGGAACTGTTGCAGCGACGGACTGGATTGAACAAGACTCAAATATCGAATTGGTTTGCCAATGCTCGAAGGCGTGGCAAGCTACCACGAGCACCTTCGTCGCACTCATCAACAAATGCCTCAAATAAGCCAGTCGACATCGCTCCAAGACCTGACACGCCAGCTCCGAGACGAGAGATGCGCTACCTGAACCCGATGGAAAGATGGCAGTCTTCGCCACCGGAACACGAGCCGGCTGCAGCTTCAGATATCACACGGGCTCTTGAGTCGAATGAGGGAGTATCTTTGCGTACGTCATACGAGTAGTCCGAGAACTTTTTTGCTTACTTACATCTGCTTTAGTCAATGACGGTCAATACTCATTCGATTACAGAGACAATGCTGCGCAATCCTGGTACAACACATCCTCAGCAAGCAGTGCTGCCACTTCGGTATCTAGCGATGTCTCCGGGGCTTCCAAACGCTCTATGCCATCGAGGCCTACGGAACCTGTAGCTTCCTCTCGCCCGCTCCGCAAGCGACGAATCAATAAACAGCGTGCACGCGTTCAACGAACGTCTCTGATAGGGTCTTTGCTGCCGTATCAGTGTACCTTCTGCACCGAGGATTTCAAAACTAAGCACGATTGGCAGCGTCATGAGAAGTCTCTGCATCTCCCGATTGAGCAGTGGGTCTGCACTTTGCATGGCCCCGAAGCTTTGAAACTCGACACTGGACGCATGTGCTGTGTGTTTTGCGGAGAACCCGAGCCAGATGAGGCACATCTAGCGACCCACAACTATCAGCCATGTCGCGAGCGAACACTTGAGGAGCGCACGTTCAACCGAAAAGATCACCTGAATCAACATCTGCAGCTCGTACATAATATGCGGTTCGATAAGTGGTCAATGAGTTCGTGGAAAGTGCCGATGTCCAACATTACAACGAGATGCGGTTTCTGTGGACACAAGATGGATACATGGGAAGAGCGGGTCGACCACCTTGCAGCTCATTACAAAGAAGGCATAACCATGGCATGCTGGCAGGGTGATTGGGGCTTAGACGACCGGCACCTGGGGTTACTCGAGAACGCCATTCCGCCATGTGAGTGCCCTTCAGATCAGTCTCTTCGCCATGCTGACAGCTCGACTACAGATCTGATTGACCTTGAGCGAAGCACACCAGCTCCGTTTGTTGCGAGCCAAACTCCGTACGGATCTCCCACGACTGCCTATGAGCTGATCAAGATCGAACTCGATCACTCCATGCAAACACACTTCGATCTTTCTGGCAGAATGCCGGGTAACCCTAGTATGCAGCTCGAGGCTTGTCGGATCATCTTTGCCTCGGAAGTTACGTCTACAAAGCACGATGTGCCACCAGCATCTTGGTTGCGCGACCTGATCATGGCTTGCCAACCAATTACAAACGAAGCAAAGTTCGGGCCGCTGAGACTGCGGAACGAGTGCAGATTTTCAGCTCTCAAGATCAACGGTCAAGATAACATCTTCGAGCTTTGCCCACTTGAGGCTCAGCTTTGGACGTTTGTTAAGACCAAGGAGGCAAACGATGTTGCAGTAACAGACGAGAATATCCAAGAGGAGGCAAGCAAGATCGTCGCTCACATGGAGCAGATTTCTAACACGCCATCTGACGTTTTTGCGAATTGGCTGATCAAGCTCATACATGAAGACACAAGATGGCTTCAGCGTTTCAGGGTGCGTGCCTGCTCCGCTCAGTGCGGGCCAGCACCTGGCCTAGAACCACAGCTCTCAGGGCTTAGCTTCGCATACACTTCCGCTCCGATAGAGCGACCTCTCCCGTTACGAATGGAAACCAATATCATAGGGCTGGAGCGCTTGAATTCATCGCAGATGGAGACCTTTCCTCCTCCTACTGAAACGGAAGCACCCGATTTACACGTAAGCCCAGGAACCTACCAGCTAGCAAAGGGACTGAACACACCGAAGGATGAGGCCAACTTATTTCCGCCAATTCGATCCAGGACGTTCATCAACAGTGCAAACTTCTTCTCGTGGCTTGTCCGCGACCTTGCTCGGTGGGTGGCAGCAACGATGTCACCAAACAACCCCAACTGTCACGTCCCGACCGACGAGGAACTCCAGCACCAAGCCAGGTGTATCGTGTACGACGAGTATGTTCTTGATTGTTAGGTCTGCTAGCAGCTGTACTAATAACATGCAGCGATGATCCTTGGAACCAGACTTCTGCAGACAACGCGCAATGGCTGCGACAGTTCAAGCGCGACGTTGGCATTCTTGACGAGCCTAACGACCCTAATGAATCGAATCTGAGCGGCTTGTACAACATGAGGAACGCGCTTTAGTACTTGAAGCGCGTGGTCGAAGGCCTCGAAACTATTCGACGACGTGTTCAATCGTCGTCGTTGTCGCGCTTGGCCTTTGTCACCCAAGGATTTTATCTCGACCCTATTCTTGGTGATCGGGCCCAAGACTTAATCGACAGGGTGGTTTGCGTGGTCGCACGGCGAAATTTTGTCGCGGATAGCGTCGACATTTTCCTCGGTGATGTCAACGCGGATGTCGGCCAAAGGAGTGAGTTGCGCGATGATGTGTCTTCTTGTACATACCTACCGGCACGCGTGCATGCTGCCCACCGGAGAAACCGAAGATTGCGAAGTCAGCCTCGCACGTCGCGAACTAGAACTGCGGCTCAAAGTCCCCACTACGTAACTTCCAAGCCGCACTATCCCCAAAATGACTTACGCCGGAGATATCGGCACACAAACTTTCATCGAGCTGGTCACGAGACTCTCGCAATGCTTGTCAGCCCAGACCACATATGTCATACAAGCAGGAGCCGTTTCGCGGCCTCGCATCCAAGAGTCCCCGGATTCGCTGTGGCTTGCTGTGGCTAATGCACGGGCTGCCGGATAGCCGTTGAGGCGTAAGGCTGACCAGTTCACTGTAGGGTTTAGTCGTCACATGGGCGCCCACCCTTGCCTTGATAGGGCGTCATTGCTTCTATGGGCCTGATGTTGGGTACACGAAAGTGTAAGAACCGGGTTAGAGTGCGATGCCAGTGACCCACCTGGGAAGCTTGGGACGGGAAAAACTCTTGACTGCATATGTGCACAGGATAACACGGCTTGGCTATTTCGTTGGTTGCGGGCAGACAAGCATATATACTTCCCTCGGGCCCCCGTGTAGGTTCCAGACCACAGCTTCAGAATTATTCCGACGACGATTGCAGCGCATTGACGAGCAAACGATCAAGCTTCAAAATTTAAGCAAACACCCTACATTACGTAACAACACATCAATACTACATAGTCGACTACCACACCAAGGTCGACGCACACCGAAAACATTCAGAACACATCGCCGATGACAAACTCCAACCACCACATCGACGCCCGAGACTTGTCCTCTCGCCTGAATTGCATCGCGCAAAACGACACCTCAACCATCCATGACTCAACACATGACACCAACACCATGTCTGGAAACCGAAGAGTCACTCGAGCCACCTCCTTCGACTCGCTGCCTCGCTTCAAAAAGTCGTCAACCATGTCCTCGACCTCAACTGGCTCTACTCAATTCTCGGGCTTGCACTCCTACCCCAGCCGCGCACTGCATCGCAAGGACGTTGAAGTTAGCCCCGGCGAGTTCAGCATGCCGCGCGTACCGAAGAGGAGCCGCAGAGGTACGGCCAGCAGTCAAAAGAGCAGCAAAAGTGAGGGAAAGAAGAAGAGCAACAGTTTCGAAGCCCACGCCTACGGCAGGCACAGCAACCAGTGGCTGTTCAACGACTTCAGTATCACTGATGCCGTTAAGAAGGGATACGGAAAGGTCTTTGGCAGGGACAACTAAGCTTGAGGAAGGATTCTGTCGTATCACAATTCACATTACGGTCAAAGGACCCAGCAGGGCACATGGAGAGGGAATCTATCTACACGAACAATACAATCGTTTACACCACCACTCCTTGAGTTCACGTCTCTCTGTCGTTCGCTGACCGTTAAATCAGTCTCTTTTCATACGGAAATATTAGAACACACGCCTCCACGCTTCGTGTTCCGATTGTGTTGTGCGTGACCCTCGCGGCGAAGGCCGAATTCTCACAACTATGTCGTTTCAAGGCAGCCATGTCAATTGCAAGGACTCTGCAGCGCCACTTCGCACCAGAAAGATGCATCTTATTTGTCCGTACGCATAGCTGAGCCGAATTTTGGTCAAATTATCTACTGGCCACGTCCTGCAGGACACCTTTGGAAGGTTGGTGCGCCTCTGCGTTGGCCACTACATTGTGGTGAAGGTATTGGTTAGCGCTTGATGTATCATTCAATACGTGTTGGTCAAGCATTTTGTGAACGCATCGTGTCAAGGCGAGATTAATCCTAAGGCAAAAGAGATGGTAAAATATCGTTGGACAATATGAGCTGGGACCACACCATACCTCCCCAATCTGGCTAGCGAATGCAGAGACGAGCCCAGAAACAAGGCTGTCGAGGGTATCATATGGTATGTAATAGTCGTAGACAGTCACCGAACGCCAAAAAAAACAGACCCAGACTCGACTCTCAAAGACTCAGCAAACCCAGGTCTTCAGTCTGCTCGTCGAAGTACGTCGGATCCCTCTGACCCAAGAACCTCATGAACGGATACCTCGATACCTCCCTAGGCCACTCGACGTGTTGTCTCAGATGATGCGGCACGTTCCTATATATACCCTCGATCCAGCCCATGGCCGCAGTCGGCGCGTCGATGCCTTCGAAACCGACCCTCTCGAGGTACAGTATGGGAGTGAGGATCGCCTGCACGGCGATGAAGTGCGCTTGCAGTATCTGCGCGACACCGTTGTTCGGGTCGGTGAATGCTTGAAACTCATCGTGAGTCCAGCGTGACGGGATGTTATACAGCGTGACGAAAGAAGTGTATGCTTCGATGGGTCGGTCGTACGCTTGCTGCACAGTCGTATCAAGGGCTTCCCAGTAGGATTTCTCGAATGAAGACATGTTGAGGTGTTTGATTGAGCGAAGCGAGAGGGCGGCGAGATCGAGATCTTCGTGGTTGACGCAACTGTACTGTTTGCCACCGCCAATGCGGTTCTTCACGTGTCGGAGATGGCTGTCCTCGCTGAATGCCTGTTGTATTTAGTATCATTGCGCTGGGCATTCATGATGAAGACGTGGCTGACCGTAGTGATCGATGAAGAGGGACTTACATTGAACACCGACTCTGATCCAAAGGTCGTGTCACCACTCGCAATTAGATTGCAGCCCCGCACCATAGTCAGGAACTCGGTGAGACCGTCTTGAAGATGGCTCGATTGAAATGCGAGTGCTAAGGCAGCAGCCATTCTAGCGTCTTGCTCGCTCCTAGACTTTGGCGGTATTGACAGCGCTTCGTTGAGCGACTTTACTGCTAAGATGCGATGTTGTATGGCCTGCTCAGCCGCACCTGTGTTTGATACAGCGTCAAGATGCGAGGCGGCTAGTGCCAGGATCGAATGAATGAGGTACTCATACTGTGGATGTCAGCTGTGTTGTAAAGGAGCGAGGCTCCTCGACGTACATTGTGTGCAAAACTCGGTATCACGTTGATCCAGATCTTGTCGGCGCCAACAGGTAAGTGCGGATATGCAGTAATGAGGAAGTGGTGGAATAAGCGCATATCGGCCATAGTCTGACTCAATTAGACGTTGCTGCAGCCGAAGTGTGCCTGATGATCACTCACGAAGGTGCCAGGCGTCGAACGTAAGTTCACTGCCTCCTGTGGATGTGTGGGACTTGTCGATCTCTGAGTAAGCTGTATGATGTTCGCTGGATAGTCGCATTGTAGCCCTGCCTTGATGCAGTGACTGCATTCTGGATGTTTCTCATTGCACTTGATTCTGCGTCTCTTGCAGTTGTAGCATCCACGGCGTGATTTGGTGTGTCCCTTCCGCGGAATCGGTTTGCGAGGCTGTGACGGCTTATTGACTGGTCTGTAGTCAGACGCTATTGGAGAATCGCTCGACGTGCTTGAGGAATCTTGAAGGCTGTTATTGCGAGAAGGCGGCATGATGCTCACATGAAGAAGAGTCAGCACACGAGACGCGAGCGGCCTTCCCCTGAGGCGATATATACCGCTTGTTGAAACGACACGCAGTCACCCGCGTCAAGTTGACCATCGAATTTGGGGGCTTAGACCGCGAGCGTGGAACGAGAACCCGCGGGTCAGGGGACGCCAGGTGCGAGAGCTGGAGGCGCCTGACTCACAGCCTTACGCGGTAAGACTTGAACATTCTGGCGAATGGTTGTAAGGCTCGTGAAGACTTGTAAGAAAGTCGGTCCTTGGGAAGGAATTCACGTTGGTCAAGCTTCGGTTAGTACCAAGCCGGGACGACTCACCGGTGGGCGGCCAACGGTCAGTTGCTTGAGGGCTGTGCGGCTTAGTACGTCAATTCGCGAACGTACGTAAATGAGATTATACGGTAGAACTGCCTTGCAAACTCTTTGGGCTGCCTTTCGAGCAAGTGACCAGCGTGCTGGCAGCCCGATTCTGAGATTCGTTAAGAACGCACAACAACGCGGTCGACGTGCCACAGCAAAGAAACACCATCAGGACACCTAGCCCTTGCTTGCTTTTGTTCGGCGGTCTATTTTTGCAAGACTGCGTGGTGATAAGCCTCGCCAAGCAGCGTAATTTGCGTCAACTTGGTAAACGGTAGCGATCAACTGTCTCGTGAGTCGTGAAGGGCGCAGTGATCCGCACCCAGCGTTCTTGCATCGGTGATTCCGTAGGCAGCACTTTTGGCCTGTGGTACCACAAGCTGAAGTATATTAGCTCCTTGTCTGATCTCCATGCTAGTGTGATGCGATGTCGCCGGAGGATGGATCGAGAGGCTAAGCCGCCAACCCAAGAAGAGCTGCCCCGCGTTCCAAGTTGTCGGGCTACACAAGCCCTTAACAGTACACGTGTGATGCAACATCGGCACTATATCAAGACGCGTTACGAGAGAACAGCGACTGTAGGCATCTATCAGCATGCCTGTCGTCGAGATAACTCAGCTACGTTTGAAGGGGGTCGCGGTCGATGATCCCGCGTTGCTTGAGAGCCTATCGCAAGCCCGAGGCAAGCTGCAGACCAATTCACGATTCTTCAGCTGCATTGAAGCATCACGCCTCATTTATATTTTTGGCGTCTGGCCAAGTCTAGATGCGCACTTGGAATTCCTGGCTTCTCCGGCACGGGACGAGGTTTTGGGTCCGCAGGAGGCATTCCTAGAGTTCCAGTGGACAATACACCTGGAGCTCGATACCATCAGTCCACTCCTACTCGATGCGCCGTTTTTAGCAATCGAGAGATTCGATATCGATGCAGTAAACGTCGAGGCTTACGACCAGGTTGTCAAGAACCATGCGCGAGAGCTCCAGAGCAGCGGCCGAGAACCTTCAGACGTTACATACGCATGGCGATGCGATATGCCAACCGGCAGCCATGAGGCAGCCATATTGACTAGCTGGACTTCCAGGAAATATGGCGACACCGGGACAGGCAGACACATTGCCCTTAACGGCAAGGATGACGGGTCCTTCCATCGAATCGTCTTCCATCGTGCCTGGAACATGGAGCACGCGCAGTCTCGAGCATAAGACGGCTCAACGTTGCAAGACCCCAGCTTACACTCAAGCTCCGTGACTGGCTGCATCTGCGATTAGCCTCGTTAAGTCTGCTCGTGTGCGCAGCAACATTGCACTACGAAGAGAACGGAGGTGTGAAACAACGGTCTTTCCTTTCTTAGGCAATGGCCACGAAGCTGAGTTGCCCACGGCGCGAACCGTCTAGGACGCTTTCTTTTAACCGGATGCTCATCACCACGGTGGTACTGTAATAAGCGGCTGGGCGTCCAGTTACACAAGGATAAGAGATACCTGCAGGTCGAAGCGGGACAGCAAGACCGGTTGACCAAAACTATGGCAGTCTTCGGGATCTCGCTTGGCGATTGAGCTTCGAGTCATCACGGGTTCTAGGATGATGTTTCGCAACCCATTTCGCGACCCTCTGGGGCACCGGAAATGACTTTATCCTTTGAGAGTAAATTCTTGTCAGTAAAGAGTCAACGCTCCCAACGCAATGAAGCTTACCTTGCTGCAATTCGAATTTCGTATGGCTGCATTGCGGCTGAACATCTCTATACCGGCTGATCCTTTCAAGATGTCGGTGCCTTGAAAGTGTGATGTCAAGCCAAGCATGGCAGCAGTACCATGCAAGGAGCTCGTTGAAGTTCACCCCAATCCAAGTAAGCATTACCACCTTACATCCGATAGCATCAGTGAGCAGCTGTAGTCGCTGACTTTCAGGTGCTCAGCCAATACGGACAGTCGGGCGACAAGGTTCAATGACTCCCATCCATACACGGCGTCTGACATTTATTGTCTAACTCATCAAGATAAATGTACGGATGTCAAAGAAAAGGAGAACTAGGTACTCGGCCCCTTAAAGGTGTTTCCGGCGATGACAAGTTCGTGAGCTATGCATTGAGAACATACTGACTCAAACCTATCGTCACTTACCAACACGTCACTTTTCGTTCGTCAACGCCTGCGTACGCTTTCTCCACGCCGCGCAATCTCCACGCCGCCTCTTCCAGAGCTCACATGGCCTGGACACCAATGAACAGCGGCGACGGCTGAAAATTCACAACGCCAGACTTAAACCTCCGCTGCGGAGGGAAATGATAGCCAGAACCAGAAAAGATGCAGAGTCGTAGCACGTCTGGTCTGGTACGCTAGCATGCTTGACTTCAAGTCAAGCTCCCATGCCAAGTCACTCCGCCTGCCTTCTGCACCGCCATCAATGTCAAATGTCGTGGACCTGCGTAATTTGAGATTCATTCATTGGCTGTCCACCGCAGTGGGACATTCAGGACCATCAACAAAGGTTAAAATTCGGCAGTTGATCCACCAGCCTTACCGCCCTCAGCTTAGTTGCCAAGCGTTTAGGACGCGTATACAGGACAAACCCGTGCAAGACGCGTCACAACACCAAAAGGCCCATGTTACGATGGATCGCTGAGCTGGGCTGGGCCGCTCATCCGCTTTGCATTGCAAGAAGGATCATTGGTTTGCAGCGGCTCACGTGTGTCAAAGAGGTGGGCGCAGTGTTTGAAACGAAACTAAGGCGAGGAAGAAACAGGGCACGGGCATGAACGGATTTGCATGAGCGACGGAGGCTGTGTTGACCAGCCTGATCTGGAGAGTGTGCTGGAGTACACAGTGCTGTTATGCCTATACGACGAGAGCAGAAGGGAGACACATGAGCTCAGAAAGATTGCTCTTTCGTGGTTGCATCGATACCAGCAAAAACCAAAAACCGCACAGCGCCATCAGAATCCGGGGACATCGAAGTTTGGAGATCTCATCTCGCACCGCCAAGCATGTCTCCTGCCAAGTCGGGCGCCAGTGTTCAACCCAGTTGCCTTGCGTATGCTTGGTGACGACTCAGCCTGATTGAGCGAGGCTTTGGATGTGGCATGTCCGCCGCCCAAAGCAGCGTCTGCTTCGGTATGCTGTAATATAAAGCTTGAAGAACCCAGGCCTCTATACAACTATCATCATCAGCATCTTTACTTCTTCACAACAAGCCATTCACTTCTCCTCCACAAGTCATCTTTCAACATGAGATTCATTACCGCCCTCGCTGGAGCCGCTCTCCTCGCTCAGCAGTCTACTGCTCACCCCGGCGACTCCCCTGAGGAGCATGCTCGTGAAATCGCTCAGCGTCGCGACTACTTGAGCACTCACAAGCGCTCTCTTGCCCACTGCGCAGACACCCTGAAGGCTCGCGGCAATGACCTCGCTATGGCTCACCGCCGTAGCCTCGAGGTCAAGAAGATGCGTGCTAAGCGTGCCATCGATGAGAGTACGTCCAACACCACAATGTGGACAGGAGCATGATAGCTAACAAAGTCTGCAGAGAAGAACTACCTTCGCGCTCGTGACCTTGACACCGTCATCGGTACCTCCCACGCCTCCAATCTGACTGGCATCACCGCCGACACCGACCCCTCTATTCTCTTCACCGGCAACAACTCCTGCATCCTCACTCCTGAGGTCACCCAGGGTCCCTACTGGGTTCAGGGCGAGCTGATCCGTGAGGACATCACTGAAGAGCAGGAGGGTGTGCCTCTGCACCTCGACATCCAGGTCATCGATGTCAACACCTGCGAGCCCGTCCCCTCGGTCTACATCGAGCTGTGGCACTGCAACTCCACTGGTGTCTACTCTGGTGTCGTCGCCAGCGGCAACGGTGACAGCTCTGACGCCTCCAACATCGACGCCACCTTCCTCCGTGGTATCAACCAGGCCGACGACAGCGGTGTTGTGCAGTTCGACACCACCTTCCCCGGACACTACACTGGCCGTGCCACCCACATCCACGTCATGACCCACACTCTCAACGCGACTGTCAACGCAAACAACACTCTGGCCGGCAACTCTATGTCCCACGTTGGACAAATGTTCTTCGACCAGGACCTCATCAGTCTCGTCGAGGCCGTTGAGCCCTACGCCGGCAACACCCAGAGTATCACCGAGAACGCCGATGATTCCATTCTCGGTGAGGAGGCCGAGGATGTCGACCCTATGATCGAGTACGTCTTGCTCGGCGACGATGTTTCTGAGGGTGTCTTCGGATGGTTGGCATTCGGCATGGACACCGGTGCTTCTCACGACATCTCTCCTGCTGTCAACCTCTATGCTGAGGGCGGTGTTGCCAACTCCAACTCCAACATGGGTGGCGGTGGTCCTGGTGGCAACAGCACTGGCGGCGCTCCTACCGGTGCTATGCCCTCCGGCGCCGCCCCCTCCGGCGCCGTCTCCTCCGGTACGGTCTCTTCCAGCAGCGCCACTAGCGTCGCTGCAGGCTCCACCTTGCTCACCGTTGTCTCTTCCGCTACTGTCGCCACCTTCTCTGCCGTCGCCTCCTCCGCTACCTCCAGCGCCGCTCACCCGAAGGCCCCTCAGGGTGGAAAGGGCCAGCAGCAGCAGCAGCAGCAGCAGCAGCAGCAGAGTCAGAAGCAGGGCCAGCACCAGCAGGCTCAGAAGCAGGACGATCTGTCCCGGCAACTGGACAGTCAATTGTCGTCGCTTGTATAGATTGAGCACTGAGCAGCAATTAGCGAAAAGCATAGCGAAGGAGCAGTTTTGAACCAACTTTACACACTCGTTAGGGAATCTGGTATTTACCTTTACATTATACCCAAATGCAATCATTTGACATTCAACACCTCGCCACGACTGTGACATCTCTTATCCTCTATGCTTCACCCTCTTCCATATCGAGAGCCTCCACTTGCGCTTTCATATTCCCTTCTTATTCTGTCAATTGACCTTCGATCCAAGCCATCATGTTGACAGCCTTCTCAAACCCTGTGCTCTAAGCTCCACTAGCCCTCTCTAACTCACCACACTCCTTCAGCCCAGCCAGGAGCGCATCCAAACTCTTCTGCCTGACCTCTTCTCTGCCATCATTCTTGCTCGCGGCAGCGCCAGTACCAGCGTCCTGGGCTCCCGTATCATCATCTCCCGTCATCCCGTCCAATTGCCTCGCAACAGTCTCCCTGTCCAGCGTCCTCCGCGCGTCCTCGAACCCGCCAATATCCCTCACACGCTTATACCCTAACTGCTCGAGCCTCGTCTTCGCGATATCGCTCCTTCTACCAGAGCGACAATATAGTGTGATATGGTCATCCTTGCTGACGGCGATATTTTGCAGCGCATAGATATCGGCCAGCGAATCGATGGATGTGTATTCGATATTGACGGTGGGTGCGATGTCGGAGACGAGGGGACCTGTGGAGAATTCGAGGGGCGAGCGGACGTCGATAAGGAGTTCTTGCGGCATCATGGATGCGTGTGCTGAACTGCAATCGCTTGGGTTGTGCAAGTGCTTTGTAGAAGCTGGAAAGCTGCAGCTGCGATTGCGCAAGTTGGAGGGGCAGCCGCACGGCGGGGTTGCTGAACGTCGCAGCGACGAGCCGAGCTCAACACCAAGACCTTGTCACGAAGCAAGTGTAGTTATACGCAGATTTGTTCGATGATTGTTCATTGATCGGCAGATGCCTCTTAATGTATATGCACATGAATAACATGACTACACAAAACTGCTTGCGGCTTGCGGCCTTTTCAGTCGTTGCTTTTGAACGCCTGCGCCAGTGATTCATGGCTGCCGTGCGGCGTATCCGTTCTGAACTCCGTCCCATCATGTACAGGTCTCCAATAAAGCAGTGGTATAGAACAGTGAAAGCAGATGGTAAATGAAACTTATCTGCGACGTAACATGAAAATATGCTGGGTCGACAGGCGCCTGAACGCCTTTACCAGATATGAGATGCCGGATTGGCGTGTGTAGTATGATGGGTATCCAAAAGTAAGAAGGCGCCTGTGTGCGCCTGGTAACAAGTCTATGCGCCCTTCATTAGGCTGTTGGTGGAGAAGTTGAAGTTAAGGAACTCGAATTTGTCTCGAGAAGTGGTGCGGCTCTCGGCAGTGAGTGTGCTCTGGGAACTGTTGTCCACGGATGGAGAGCCCCTGATAGAGTGCTGGAGCTCTCGTGGCTCGAGGAGGAGTGAGCGACGGTAATAGCTCTGAACGTTGGCTTGATCGCTTGATCGAACACGCTGGATTTGCGTCTCCATCCAGTCCTGCATCTCAGGCACGGTAACTAGGCGGTAAGGAACCTGGAATGATTGCAACTGACCGATGATCTTGGCTGTCTTCATGTGCTTGTCGAAGTTGATCACAGACACGCTATCAGATCCGGACTCGCCAGGAAGCTGGCGAGTAGTGCCATTGCCAACATCGACAAAGGTGAGATCAGTAAGATAGATTCCCACAAAAGGAATGCAAGGGGCGACGTGGTTCTGGAGCCTTTGGCGAAGAACTGCGTAGTTACGTCCGACGTCAGTGATAGTCTTTAGCTCGTCTAGGCGGATCTTGGTTTTTGCGGAAACAAGCTCCCAGGTCTTCCTCAGACGCATAACCATTGATGAGTTCAAAGAGCAGATGATGGCCATAAGCGAATCGTAGTTGTTGAGCTCCAAGCACTTGGCTGCGATCTTTACCCAGTGCTTAATCATGACAGCGCGCTTCTTTGCATCCTCCAGATGTAGGATGGTATCCGCGACCAAATTGGCCAAATCAGTCGATAGCTTTGACATGGCTTTGACATTTACAGCCTTCGAGTCGCTTTTCTTAGTCCACTCCAGAGCCAGGAGCTCCTCTGGTTGGATAGCACAGAACAGCTTGGACTCGATGATGGTAAATTGCCTGGCCAACTCCATGGGGTCAAAATCCAGGATGGTGCATTGGGTGCGACCCTCCTTGCTAGCCCTGAGAGCGTTGAGCTGGCTCTTGGTGATGATGGGCGAGGGAGTGCCGTTGTCGTTGGCTGAAAAGATCGTGTTCGACACCCCAGTCTTGCCAATGGAAGAGACGAGTCGAGGGACAAGAGCGCCAGCACGGACCTCCGTAACCTTGGAGGTGAGCTCTGCAAGACGTTTGCCTGCTGCCGGCAGAGAAATTCGGAGCTTTCCAGTTGCGAATGACAAGATCAAACCCAAGGCAGTTGGGTCGCTGTCGGCTGACCAGTGACTCTCGAGCCAACCCTTGAAGACGTTGTAGACCCTGAGGCGGACTGGAACGCCGACTGCTTGGCTGTCGCCAATGTAGTCGAAACGGTCAATCAGGCTCTGAGCTAATTCAATCGGCGTTGTGAAGAGACGGAAGGTGAGGTAGAACGTTGTCACGAAGACGGCGTCCGGTGTTGATTCATGCGTGGTGAGCTGTTCCACAAGGGCAGGAAGGGATCCGCCAGATATTTGACCTTCCTTGTTATACACAAGTTCATGTACAAATGTGGTCTCCAGCAAGTGCTCTTCACCAGCAGCGACGTCTTCAATCGCCAACGAGCGGAGCTCAGATGAGCTACCGAAGCTACTTCCCAGAGTCTGATGACTCTGTTTCTTATTAGGCACGTGATCTGGAGTAGTGGCTCGCGTGGATGTGTGAGAAATAACGCTACCATTGCCGATGCTGAAGTGGAAAGTGCTGCTGGAGTCCGCCACCGAAGCGTTGACGCTGTCACTCCTTGTTGCTTTTGTAGTAGATGATGTGACGCCGGCTGGGCTTCCAGTGGGCTCGTGCGTCGCAATCTCATCCGAGGTGACGGCATGATCTTCGTTCACAGGCTGCAGTGATGATGTGAAAGAGAGTGCTGTCGGGCTATCTGGGCTCTCTGCAATGGCGGCAGGGATAGTGGGTGGCAGCTCGAGGCTCTCTGTATTTGAAGGCGACTGCTCAGGGATGTCGGGCAGTGGCTTTGACTCTGCTGTGATTACAAGAGCCAAAGTCTCCTGCTTCTCAGTAGGTGGCGCAGGTAGAGGCTTATCAATCTCCATGACTGACTCTGAGACCTTCTGTGTCGGGTCAACATCGTCTCGGGGCTCAGCAGGTTCAATCTGCTCGAAGATGGATTGCGACAGTCCCAAGCCGGCTGTCTCGAACTCAAAGTCTCCAATCTTCTCGATGACCAGACGAGCTTTGGCGACACAGTCGCCGGAGGATCGCACACAACTGGTCGCAGCAGCAACAAGCTGCGTTCCAGAGCTCGGTGTGAAGACTGCCTCATCCATGTCGGCGTCCGAAGAGTTGAACATGTCCTTGGTCGCTTGCACTAGTTCAGTAAGTCGCGAGTACATGTTGTCTCTCGATTCTTCCAAAGCCTTCGATCTCCTTGAGTCGCGTTCCCATACTTCTTCAATAATAGTAAGTAGCTGGCGACAAGCAACGACGGACTCCTGGGTAATATGAGCGAGCTCTTCGGAAGATCTCGACTGGAGATGCAGCCCGATGAAAGATCCAATGAAACCCAGGAAGGCGTCTTGAGCAGTGTTCAGCCGTTCTGACGCAAGGTTCTCCTTGCGGGCACCCGGTGATGCTCCTGTATACGACAGCCGATGGGTGACAGAGAGCCTCTTAACCTGCGTCTGGGGCTGAGTAGGTTGAATGGGCGACTGTAGTGAGTCGGATTCGGAGGGTATCGAGAACGCAACAGAAAGACGATTAAGGTTTCGTGCTGGCTGTGTTGTAGCGGAGTCCAGGTCATCATGCGCTAGAACGGACGCTTGTGCGACCGGCGACTCGGACTGATTGGCTGGTAAGCTATCGTTCACTGGTAACACGACAGTGTCAGCAGAGTCAGCCGGGGGTGTGAGTGGCCGTTGTGTGCTCCTGTCTTTCAGCTCGAACGATAATGAGACAGCGTCTGTCGCCCAGATATCGAGGAATCGGACCGCTCGTGTGACAAGCTTAAAGGACTTAAGCACGAGCTCGTCCAGCTGCTCGAAAACCGATGCGGCATCCTCGTTGGTGTGCAATGTCTCCTGCAGCTTCTTGGCAGTCTTCACGAGTGTCGACAGATCACCGAGGAGACCTTTTCGCATACGTCGCAAGCCAATGTGCGCGACGATAAGATGTGAGTCCCTGGATAGACAGTCGGTCCTTTCCTATTCATTATGAGCTGACATGAAGATGACCTGATGCATTAGCTGAGACTTACCAGGAAGAACCGTATACCAGCGATCATTCCCCTAACGTAATCCTGTTTGGTGAATGCAACCAGGTTTCCACTCTCGCCATCACGAACGAGGTCCCATAGATGTGTCAAAGCATTGAGGAGGTTGCGTATTGTAGGGTGGTCGTACGGTTCGCAGTAGTTGGTGGGCAGCCATCCACGTGCTCCAGATCCAAGAAGCGTACCGTCAGCCCACCCATTCGGGTGTACCGAGTGCACCAGGATCACGTCGCCCTGTTTGATCGCCACTGTTATTGACGATTCGTCAGTCGAAGAGGATACTGTTGAAGTCGGAACGTAGTGGTAGAAGGCGCGTAAGTAGTGGTGGAAGATTGGCTGGGCTGTGATTTGTTGTGTGCTCGAGTGTTCGATTGTTGTAGGTGTCAATGGCGGCGAGATCTGGGACTGTGATTGTAACCGTATGGAGAGAGCGCGTGATGACGACTGGCGGTTGTGGCCGTAGACACCGGTGTGCAACTTCCTAGGCGACTTGGAGATGTTAAGAGGCGCAACCCTATCACTCGAGTACGTTTCCACCTCTTCAGAATCCATGGTGTAGTCGCTCATCCTTCAATTGGGTTGCGGAAGACAGTGGACAACGGGGTCCGGAATGAGAGTCGCTAATTGGATGCCGCGACTTCGATATGCCGCAGCATCGAAGCAAGATCTAATTTCGGTCGAACCGTGGTGTTCAGTCGTTCCAATCGCACCAGCGCGATCTGTTGTTGATATCGTGAAGAGGGGTCCGTTTGTTTTGACGATGTGTACTCTCGATGTTGTTCGGTATCTGTCACTATGTTATTATTGTGATCGAGACGGTGGGTTGGGTCAGGAATGGCGCCACCCAGTTGGAACGTGGTGAAGGAATGTGTTGGATATAGGCGACGAGCAAGAGGCGGCGCATCGAATGCAACAAACAGTGACCGTGTCGCGATGGTGGTGGCGGCGCTGTGAATGCGCTCGAGTGCCAATGCCAATTCAAATGCGCGGCCAGCGTGTTGCTTTCACGGCGAAGAAAGGTCAATTACCTAATTGGGGACGGTGAATTGAACAACCGGTGTCAGTGTTCGTCGTGAAACAGCCAGCTGCGTTCAATGCGCCGAGCAGCGCTGGAACAGAGTAGTGACGCGGATAGCGAGCGATTGGCGAGGTCTCAGACGCAGTCTGTCTCTCGTGAACGAAGCCGTCCGGATAACAGGCGGTGATAAGGAGGGGCAGATGCTCGATACGCGGCACCTTGGTGACAGTGGCGGCCTTCTAGTGTCGGTAGGTACTCGAGGAAGGGACAGTGGGCTTGCTGCAAGGGTCGGACCTGCAGTGGAGTCGAGCGCAGGGAGTGACCAGGCGTGGGGTCTTACTTGTCAACGGCGGTCGTGGTGTGGTGAAGCGACCCAGGGAAGGAGCGACAGAAAACACAACATGCACCACAAGCAACACGATTTGGTTGGAGAGGTGAGCCTTCACGCAGCGAGGAGGCAGTCAGGCAGTAGTGGGAGAACTGCTATGATGTTCGCAGGGCACCAGCACTATTATTGCTCAGTCGGCGACGAATCCGCGACCCACGACCTGCACCAGACTGCCGTCTTGAGCGCAAGCTCGAAAACCTCCAGGGCCCGACATGGGCGTAATGAATACGCACGCCGCATGCTGTCAGGGCGCGGCAGGGATGAGCGGCCAGGGAGCGTTGATGGTGCCCCCTGTACTTCGTAGCGTCGTAACCAACCTCGACGATGCCTTGGCCGCCGGCACTGGATCACGATTCGCTCATTCCAGGCCGTGCTCACGAGGGAGGCCAGTGAATTCTCCCCGGCCCCCGTTCCCTTGCGCTTGCACCTTCGATAATCAAACGTTGAGCAGTTCGCGTATGATCGTGTGTAGTCGCGTATGATCGTGTGTGGTCGCGTCCGAGCCGGCAGCCCGGCGTGAAGAATCTATACACGACTCGATGGCAATGCTGCGCGCTCTCACCATGGAGAGTCACTACCCATCCAGATCCCCGCAAGCACACGCCCAAGGTCATGACATCTCTGGCAGCATCGCCGTGACTCGAACTGCCTGTCACAAGTGCGGTAGCCTGCATGGAGGCCCGCGCAGCAAGCACACGCCTGGCCAAGCAGGGTTGATGCGCGAGGCTGCTTGTCAATGTCATACTCCACCAAAAGCCCGCGCGCCGGTCACTCTTCCCTGTCCTGAGGCGGCAGGGATCCACTAGCTGGCTCGAGCTGTCTAGTTCAAGAAGGGCATGTCCCGGACGGCACTCGACCCCCGGCTGCCATGGCGGACACTTCTAATCGCTCCCCGGGGCTTGTCTCCTGCACGGCAAGGCAATCTATTCATTGGCTGTCGCGCGAAATGTTCCGCAAAAGCCAATTGCTGCAATCCCTAATATCGCATGAATTCGACAGAGTCGAAGAGGCAAGCCCTATGGCTCGTCGGATCTGCAGTTTGTCGCACCATTCGAGCGAAGCGGCTCTCAAGGGCAGCAGTTCCCTCCACGCCATGCCGCGGCAAGGAGCATCTCGATGCGTGCGAGTATCCATTTGCAGCTCCACTCTGTATAGCCTTTGCGCCCACTTGAAGAGCTCAAATGTCTTCGATGGCCTGACCCGCCGAACGCCCTGCTACTGCCAGACTGATCCCTTGGGGAACCCCAAGAGCACACATCGAGGACGCACGGAAAGGCGACGGAGGATGATCCGTCCTGACCGTCACTGCATGATTGCGTAAATATTCACCGGAAATCTCGCCAACGGTTGGAAATCTGAAGTATGATGACAAGCGTTGGTTGAAGTTGCAACAAACCCACACGTGCAGCGCAGCGCTCAAACGCTGCTTGCATGGTGTTGATGCTGTGCAACCATTGCTGCAGACTGAGCACACTTCTCCTCGACTCTCAAGTCGATCAAAGGAGGCATGGTCTGCTCCATACCCCTCCTTCACGGAAGAGCTTACCAACAGCTGATGTACAATTAGGCGCTGTTCACACGCTACAAAAATGCCCGAACGCATTTTGACTCCCTTTCGCCTAGGTACGCGTTGTCGCGTCCCTGCTAAAGTTGCTAACCCGTTGCTGCGGCCAAAAGCAACGCTCAACGCCGAAAACAAACCCGTTCACGAGCGATTCGCTAGTCGACGCTCTCCACCAATGATTACGAGCTCTTAGTGAGCGCCATCGATACTCGTAACTGGGCAGATACCGTCTCCCCACGTTCTAGGCGCGACTGCTGTCGTCCTCAAAATCACCTCAAGCTCTCCCCTAGAAAATAGGGTTGAGGAAGGACGCTTTCAGGTGAGATCTATATAAATGCAAACCAACTACTCCAAGCTGCAGACGGAAAGAGAATCTCTGTACGTATCGGCAAGCATCCGTACAAGCCATCCCTGAGACAGCACGTCCTCGAGGCTTGTCTACAAAGGGACACGATCTGCACAAGGGTCGACCAAATTCTCACCAAGTTCCCGGCACATGTGCTTGTTCTGCGCACCAAATGCATAACTTGCTTGCTTTTGAGGTTCTGACATTCTTTTGAAGGTTCAATGCATTTTGCAGTACCCACTCGCCAGGGTCCAGAGTATGTTGAGGTGGCGTTCGATTCCAGGCGATGGAGAGAAGCTGCTGCGGTCAGGGCCACGAACACAAACTCGAAGGCTGCCTCGGTACATGCCCACAAATCGATGTCCTGGCAGAAGATCACCTAAGAATACGATGATGTAGTCTTGTCACGGCAGCGGCAATTGCGAACCCAGCTATCAATAGCATTGAAGTTTGACGTTTGACATAGGATCGTCGTGGTCCATGCCAACTTTACCTTGTCTAACTTCTGTCAATTCAGGTCTCTTACAAGCCTACCGATGCAGCCGTGGACAGACCCTCGGCAGTCTGCATGACTGCATACAATGGAATGCGCATAACGGCGGAGTGTCTAATGGGTGGATTCCCATCTGCAGGTTGGTGCGAATCCGAGCAGTAAGTTTACACCGTCTGTATGATGTATACTGTGGCCTACCAAGGTGCAGCTTGGATTCTGCATCCTATTGTCGACGCAATTTGCTACCAGTCCCGAGCTATTTCTTCCGGCCTGAAGACTTTTTGGCGTTGTCCTCAACAAGTCTTGCTGTGAGGTGATGAAGATGGCACAGCTCTAAAAGGCGCGCCGTTCATGGGGCAATGCCCTAGCTGCCGCTATCAAATCGCCGACCTCTCATGCCCAACTTTTCCAAGGTCATGTCGACGTTGCGCTCGGGCCCAGTCGCACGACTCTATTGGCAAGCAGTAGTCGAGATATGAAGATCTTCTCCAGATGTCAAATGTAGAAGGATCTTCTCCAGACGTGTTAAGCGTAGAGCCTCAGGCTTTGCCTTGTGAGTTCTGCGCAAATTGGTGATTGCCTTTTGAGGCGACTAACCCCTGTCGTCTGAAACAGCCACCGACTCTCCTCACCCGCGCCTATGGGTTGTTTGCAAAACGCTCACTCCACCCCGTGACCTGGGCAGACATGGTTGGAATCACAAACTGCAACTAAGTCACCTTTTGCAGCTAGGTCCTCTCTATACATTTCAGCATATAGAAAGAGGTGCAGGAGGTGGTGCAGCTGTCCACACGTTGATGAGGAAGCCGCCTTGGCAGCGGGACTGCAAATACTCAGGTAGTATAAAGTATACCCGCTAGGCAAGCCCTAGCCTTAAATCACGGGGTGGAGTGAGCGACCCGGGAACTTGGGAAACGACCACGGCTTTGCGAAAGCAGAAGTCTGTCCAATGTATGTATACCGAGGCATGGGATGAGCAAAGGCTTGACGGCGGACCGTAGGTGCGTGAATAATTGTCACGTGAGCATCTCTAGCTGCGACCCTGAGGCACGGCTACTCCGATGGTCTTCGTATCTCCGGGTACTCGCAGCGCGCACAATGCGCATATCGATTTCGTGTCCGCTTACAAGGAAATGAAGCGGCCCGTACACGGCAGATTCGTCACCTGAGTCGTCAGTTCGCCTGCGCAAGTAAGACGTTAGCTCGGCACACTCCGCGCCCGGTCACATTCACTTCAAGGGTCATTCTGACAAGCATCCAGGTTCATCAAACTACCCTGCACGCTGAGCATCCACATATTGCCCCCGGCAGTCCTTCGACAACGTGGATGATGCACGTACAAGGCGCCCCCCACAGCAAGCCTACCTGGCAAATAGGAGAAAACAGAGAAAGTGTACCGAATAGGTACTTACACGTGGGTACACGAGATGCTATTGATGGGTATCAACATGTGATCTCAGAACGATAGACCATGAGCCCGCTATGCCCTTCACCATTTGTACACGGCACTTGCCCGGTAAGTGATTATTTGGTAACGGACCTGGCTCGGCATCACTTCGTTCCGATCTTGTGGCTGCAGTAACAGCTTCCAACAGCTGCAGGTGATGGTCAGTCGCAGTTACGGACCACAACCATGCACGCAGTTACGACGCAAATGGATGTCCTGCATGACATGAAACACGATCATCTAGAGAAGAGCTGAGCATCGCGCCGATATCTACTCGTACGAACTCCCTTCACAGGAGCCCCTTGTATACAGGCCGCCCAATCGGCGGGAGCCTGGTCGCTGTTTAGAATCCTTTGCGCAACCACCAATATCGTGTCTGGGGCGGCAATGCGGCGCAGCGGAAATGATGGAAACCAGCACGTGTTATCCGCCAGGGCCGTAATGAGCGCTGACTGACAACGATGGTCGCGAGCGAAGGACTGTGGGCTACTGGGCTGCGCCGCTTTGGGCAATTCGAGAACCGCAAATTCTTTTGAGGCCAGCAACTTCCTCAACTGGGATCTCCAGCCTTACGCAGGTACCATGTTATCTGAGGGACGAGTTCGGATGCAGATAGTTGCGTGCGATCGTCCTCTGCCCCGAATCCTCGCCTCAACACCAGATTCTTCGGATCATACCCAAATCATCAGTCTCATATACTATGGGGGCACAGTGACCGTCCCACAGTCATGATCCGCCGCCAAGAAGATCGTGCGCATGTGATGACGATAAGATGCTGACGCAGACGGGTCAGGGGTTGTGACGCATCTTGTGGTGTGTTCGCAAGACGACGCTCTTCAGTGACTCTTGGTCGGACATGTCAATCCTTAAACATTTAAGATAGCACCCACAATTATTCGCGGCCTCTTTAAGATCGCTCAAAAAGCAGCAAAGCGACGTGTTCCCTGCAGATCACTGGGTATGATCGTCACTGTGGGCACTGGATCTACGCAGGTAGCACATTACAAACTCGGTCTTAAGTATGGCACTTTAATGCATATGCAAGTAAAGATGGACAACAATCCCGAGATTGTAACACGCATGTTTACAATGCTGTAGGGCTACTAGCCACCCATGCCAGAACCAGCGGTGCGTCCAGAATACTGGCTGATACTGAGGACCAATCCGGCAAAATAATTCATCGAACGCAGAAGAGACACAGATGGATAACATTTGCATCTCGAACGCTCTCGGCCGAACGCCTGTTCATAGGATTCATCACGTGCCTAGGTATGTCGGAAATAATACGATCCACTATAGGTCAGCATACCTATAATACCGTCTCACGACACCCGATGCACAGCACTTCCCGAGGCAAAGTCGCCCTTTGATTGGCGGAACGACTGCATCTCCTCCAGCTCGTACTTTGTCGTGTAGAAATTCCACGAGGTTGCTATTCTGGGATGCTGTAATACAAGGACAGCAGCTATTGCGACGGCAATAGCATCGCAGGTGCTGCAAATTGCCAGAAAAGGTAGGTTTGAGGACAGGTGTCGATTGTGGATATGGTGATCCTGCAGGTCGTATTGCAAATACGGCAGGACGCGATGTCGATAGTCGCGATCCTGGACCAGAACCTGCATCCACAGAGCCTCCGTACTCATCTCAAAACGCCTTCCAGGCTCCTGAACATGCCAGAAGGAGAAAGTCAAGGCTCAGGTATGGATAGCTGTTATGGAGATCATATGGGTTTTGTTGCAGTCTTTCCTACTCTTTCACCTTCAGCCCCATCATCTCAGCCTAGCCCAACGGCTTTATCGTCGAACAGAGTCATACGAGCTGCCGTTCACTGCTGCAAGAGGCAAAATGAGGGTACAGCTTCGAGAGCTGGTATAGAGGTCATATAGCTTGATCCTATTCGTGTCACTCTTTCGTCTTCAGCCTCGGATTCTTAGCCTGGTCCAACGATGCCGTTGTCTCAGAGCGCCATTTCGGGTATCATGTACTACCACAAGAGGTATATCTGAGACATTTTGTCGATGGCTGGTATGGAGATCATATAGTCAAGTACCACGGCCTTGTCCTCTTGAGAACATTCTCAGTTGCTCACTCAGAATCCTCTTCCACATCATTTCATCACATCATTACCCACTTGCCATTCCCATTGGTAGGTTCATTTGCATCAATGACATGGAACAGATGCGCCCTATATACCACCCAACCTAGCTGCCTCGAACATCCCATCACTCCGTCGATCAAGATCGCTCGAGGGCAACGAGATGCTGCGGGACTGAAAGAGGTGGAGACGAAGGTACACTAGAGAAACTCGACAGACCCTCTTTGTATTCTGTACAACGACTTGAACCGTGTCAGACACTAAAATGCAGCTTTCTGTTGGAACTTGAGAAGCTGTAAGGAAATCATATGACCGTCTGATACAAAGCACCACCGCAAACATATAGAGACTGTATTTTGTTACTACGCCGCCAACAAAATCACGGACACACCTCGCCAGCTTAGGTAGGTCGGTACAAGCAAGTTAATTCACCGAACTCACAGCATGGGGACGCTATTCATCTCAGCACCATCTATCTATGGCGCTTAGCCCAGCTCCTCTATCCTGGAAGATTCGCCAATCGAGTCTGCCACTGCAGAATTGCAGCTTCCGTGGACAGTGGTCCAGCCATAGACGCTGGTAACGATTCTAGATTCCCACCACGTTCGAAAGAAGACAGTCAGCCACACTTGGACAAGTTGGACTCGTACATATCCCACATTCTACATTTAAGAAGCGAGTCGGCAAACATGCACAGCAAGCCTCCATCTCGCAGGCGCACAGCAATGTCCCGCACGATCAACAAATATTACACGCTGGGACTGTTTCTACAAACCAGGGCCATCGGTCTTTCGCGAAACGACTCGTACCCCAGCGTCGAGATTAAACGGTGTCTTGACGCAGCATAGTCCCAAAACAGGGGACGATGCATCAGACCCGATTGCCAGCCACCCCATTCAGCCACGTCAACCGTGACTCGTCAAGGATCACCAAGTTTGGACGGACAAGTAATGCTGTAGAAGCTCCTTACCCTGAGACGACTCGCAGGCTCGCTGGAGGAAGACTCAGCGCTCGCTTCGAGCTCACTACTAATATCAACACTTTACTCGCTGTATCGGCTGTAATTCCTCGATTCTCTGGTATTCGCAAGAGCGGCATTCCGATGTCGCTCGCGCTGGCTTGCTACAAGCTCGACCCATCGCACATCAGAGCCAGCCTGTGCTGTATGCGTGCTATTGGTAAAAGCCAAGACCCCAGCGTCAGCAGCAGCAAGCCTCTACAGTGTCCAGAGACATCTCCCACGAATGCTCATGTTCTGTTATATTTGGCTAGGAAAGATACAGGTCACATGAGAGTGTTTCGCTTCGAGAACACATCTTGAAGTTTTTGTTCGCACGAATCGAAATGAACAGGGGTCTGACTTCCGACTGGGCACTACCTACACGAGCGGTTGCTCCGAGCGGCCTACGCTGGATGCACAATCCACAATCCGTCATTATACGTAGCGAGCCACAACGGATCGCTGCCTTGCCCGCGCATGCTGAACAGAGACAGTTGCTTAAAGCCACACTCGCTACGGAATGCCACTCACGCCACGTGGACACGGGAGTCAGCTCTCTGCTCAATTACTGTTGATTCAATGGGTCTATGCAGATGAGAGATAATGTGCAGGTGGCTCGTTGCAGTGCTCAGTGCTTCCGGACAGTCTCGAATGTCTTCCCAGTGCATTCGGTGAGCGGGCTTGTATTCCGGCGCTGTACCTGGTGCGGGCAGGACTTAGTTCCTGTCTGTACGTAGCAAGCTGCATGATGATCCCCGTCGCACTCAGCGCCAACTGATGAATCCCCGAAGCTCGTCCAAGAATTCCCAATTCTCCATCTTTTCGCGCTCAAACCTGCATCGCACTGTGGAGCTTCTCGATGTGACAGCTGCCGCATGTTCCCAGACAGACCGTAGCCCCCAATACACCACATCAGCGGCGCTGAGTGCCACTGTCACTTGTATCTGTTACACAGCAGTCACGATGACCGACGGTGGATCACCAATAGTTGCGGCGGCTATGCGTGGGCGCGCAGGGGTCGGGCCGTGTGTGCATGCAAGCGAGCCGCATGCTGGCCGAACGGTGTGCGGCGGTCTTGGACGCACATTTGCCGGTGGCTCGGTTAGTAGTGAGGCGAGCGTTTGCTTGTGTCGGTGCGGCGTTCATGTGACGACTTAAACAGGCGTTCGCCGTTGTTTATGTTGATGCTGATCTGCGATTGTAGATTGCAAGAGGTTTGTGCCGCTCATTGCATGTCCATCTCGTCGTCGTCGTAGTCGCCCGCGGTGCCTGAGTAGCCGTTTTCTGCTTCTTCGGCGTCGCGGTCTTTGCGTTGCTGTTCGCGTGACGCTCCAATTTTTCTACACTTGATCAGCATTTTGAGCACACAAGAGCTCCAGCATCACGTCGTACCTCAGACCGTCGATAACTCCTGTGATGAATGGCCTGCCCTCTCCTATTTCCATGCCTCCCACTCCGTTCATCTTGATGCCTCCAGCTGCGTCTAGCACCTCGACACCGCTTCGCAGCTTCGACATGCGCACTTCTCGCAACCCTCTCAGCAGCTTTCGCACCTGATCTGGCTCTTCGAAGTCATCTGAAGCAGCTTCAAGCAGTATCTCGCCGAGCTCGAGCCAGTGGTATGGTAACGCGTCTGGCGCTGCATCTGCGGTCGAGGTTGGTAGGAAGGGTGGTGATGTAGGCAGTGTGTTTTCAGAGGGCTGCGGTGGTAGTCGCGGTGGCGGAGAGAACGTATCGCCATGCTCTGTCTCGTGATCGAGGATTGCCGTAAGAGAGTGTGTGTTCAGCCAGGGCGGAGGAAGGATGTTGGCGCGTCGCTGGCGTTTAAGGAGGAGGGCAAGCCAAAGAGGGATGTCGCTCCTTTGAGGTGGATTCAGAGGCTTGAGAGGGCCCTGTGAGCCTGTCAGCATATCTACTCTTGGCTGCATTGACTACATGTGAATGGAGTGGAGTTGGAGGGGCACGTACACCGAGCAGCTCGAGTCCTTCCAGTCTTTGGCGAGGTATGACAGTCACAAGCTCCATTTCACACAGAAACGCAATCTCTGGAGGCGTAAGCCCCGGCGGAAGGGGCAATGCCATGACTGCAACGCGTGACGGTGTGAACTTGAAGGACTCATGAGGACCGCGGACGCGCCAGCAGACAGATTCCCGGATTGGCTGGCGCTAGCGTGATTGAGGCTCTCCCGCGGCTTTTGACCTCTACCATTCGATGCCGTCACTCTATCCATATCATCATCATTTCTCCATCTCCTGTGTTTTGAAGTGCAGATGTACGAAAACTGGCAGGACCATGTTGCTGCGGCCGTCTTTGCTGCCACCACCACCTCCTGGTTCTCTCTGGTTGACAAGGACGTCAAAGTACCCTATCTAGTAAGAAGCGTACGACATAGGCGGAGTCCAGAATACCAATCGTCGTAGGATGAATTCTTCCACATACCCCAGGCCCAGAAGTACTGTGCTGGTGATTACACGTGGGATCCGAAGATCACCACACCTCCAGGCTTGTATATGAACACAAATTCTACTACAACTTGACACATGTCTAACCACACCATACAGATATCTCGTTGCCAAGCTACTGTCACCGGTCCTCGGATGTAGCCTGAGAAGTCTCAGGGTCCAGAATGTCTTCGCGCTCAGCTTCATCTTCTTCAAAGCGCTTCAGATTCGACGTCTGATCCAGCCTCGCGGTCATACTCAACGGAAAGCGGGGCTCTCCATTCCAGACCCCAGTAAAGACACGCCAGACGAGCAGGTCTGGACTGACAACCAGACGCCTTTCTCGACCGCTTTAATTGCTTTCAACATTGCGTCGTTTCCACCGCTGTTCTTCTTTGGCGGTCTGTACTACACAGATGTTATGTCAACAGCCGCAGTCCTCATCAGTTACGACGTCTTTATCAAGAGAGCCGCAAAACCTCAATGGAGTATCACAGATGATCTTCTCACAGTCGTCATCGGCGTGATAGCCTTCTCTTTTCGGCAGACCAATATCTTCTGGGTGGCCGTGTTTCCTGCCGGTCTTACTGTTATCCGGGTTTTGAAAGAGAATGGGCATACGGCCGCTAGCGTTACCGGACAAGGCTATTTGGGGCTTCTACAGAGCAGCTGGTCCAAAGGTCTGATCTACGATCGTTCTTTGAAGGAGGGAGGGCTCTCGGTCTTGGGTAAGCTCAGCGTACTTTTATGTTGACGATGTTATTGACGATGTTCAGATGCTACCATGCTCTTACTCACCATTGCAATCTCTGCCTTGAGATCGCCGCTCAAGTTACTGAGATCTGTAATTCCTTACATCATACTACTTGTCCTCTTCGCCGGATTCGTGGCCTGGAATGGCAGTGTCGTACTTGGTAAGTGAAATGTCGGTCACACCACAACACGAACTCACAACTACAGGCGACAAATCAGCTCACACCGCCACCATACACTTACCCCAGATGCTGTATATATGGCCTTACATCGCCCTCTTCTCTGCACCTATTCTGATAGGCCCTCTCTTCAGCTTTGTAGCCGTTCTGCTACCTGCGCAACTCGGGGCCAAGCTTGGAGCCACACGGAAGTCGCCTTACACAGTCTATCCACATCCTTTGCAAGCCATCCTCTTTATCGCTGCCGGCCTCCTCGCAGTGCACTTCAACACCATCATCCACCCGTACACTCTCGCCGACAACCGGCACTACGTCTTCTACGTCTTCAGAATCCTGCTCCGACACCCCGCACTTAAGTACCTCGCGGTTCCAGTATACTATGTCTGCTTCTGGCTCAGCATACAGTCTCTTGCGCATCCAACCGCTGATCCGGAGGTGCCGAAACAGACCTGTGTAGCCAAGCCCCGTAGTGAGGCTCTCAGGTCTACGAAGCTGCCTGTCCAGATTAGTTTCGTTGTCATTTGGCTACTTACAACCACTCTGTCGGTTGTGACGGCGCCGTTGGTTGAGCCGCGCTACTTCATCATCCCGTGGATCGTATGGCGTCTGCATGTACCGCATGCACCGACGACTTTCTCGCTTGGTTCGAAGACGTTTTCACCGGATTTGCGTGTAATCTTCGAGACGGTCTGGCTGATTGCTATCAATCAGGTGTTGGAGTATCTTTTCTTGTACAGGACGTTCACTTGGCCTAGCGAGCCTGGGAAAGTGCAGAGATTCCTTTGGTAGGCTTTACTGACGTGTCCACTGCTCACTGTTGACAAAATCGATCAAGGGTGAGGTCGATGTAGTAGAAGATAGTCGGTAACAGGTTGCCTCATGTCAGCCCGCAGCCATTTTAAAACAAGCGAGAAGCTCATTCGCTCATCTCATCTATCTCACAACCATGCAAGCCACATGTACTTGTAGACCACACATGATTTTCCAGCTGATTTCCATCGAAACAAAAGCAGTGTCGTGTTGTTGACGACGAAGGCGCAGAGATATTCCCCGCAGCCTCTTGACAGGCATCGGGACCTTATTGGGCACCGCTCTGTTCGATGCGACATCACTGCACTCTATATCTACTCGAGCCGCTTTCCCAAATACTGATGTATCATTCAGTTGCAACAAGTTCGACGATGTAGCAAATTATAACACTAGAGGACCGCTTCAAGCTGAACTTTAGCACAGGGGAATACTCCAGAACTTGTCCACTGTACTCTTTCAGTTTTTCCCGATGCACCCATGGTTGCGCGACAACCTGTTGTCGCATTGCTCCGGTCCGCCATTCTGCATCATATCTGTAGAGGAGGTCATGCACACGTGTGAATTAACACGCATTTGCACAACGCTCAGCCCACCTTTCTAAGAAATGCTCCACGGTGATTGTCCAAAGATGCAGAATCTCATCCCGTGGCACTCCCGATTGACACGCCACACTCACCGGTCTCGACACAAAAGCCGTCGGTTCGCCGTTCGATCCAATCAGCGTTGTTTCCCCGTCACACAGACCTTTGCTCGCCTCGTATCGAAACCAGTCATGCCACTGTAAGGACATCACTTCGGCTCCAGTCAGGCTGCATTACTTCCGTGGTGCAGGATCTAGCCATGACTGGTGTACTGGAGTCGGCGAGACAGGCTTGCAGGCTCCATCGACTGTGTTCACTTTGCTCAGCATCATCGTCAGCGTGGCCGGTGTCGATACACATACTCCCTTACAGCCATGATGTATCGGAATCTGTTTAGATCAGACACGCCTCATTCCGCGATCAGACTTGATGTAGACTGACTCCTACGTAATTGACTCACCGATGCCTGAGGTGATCCCACAGCCAGCTCCTCAGTGCACATGGAAAGCTCTTGTCTATTACGTTGTTCAAAGCCCAAGTCGCCTCGGCCATCTACCCTCGTTCGCCATTTGCCAAGGTCGGAAACCCGGTTGCGTCGTCACTGTGTGAAGCTCAACTGCGTTGCGTCAATTCCAAAGACACCACAAGGCCCCAATGCCGTTGGGCACTAGGACCCTATTGGAGAAGCACAGTCCCCTTCGAAAAGGGGTCGGCAGCTGGGCGACTGAGCTTTGCGGTGGAAAAGCCGGGGCTGGTGACAAGGCGGTAGCGCATCTTGTTTTGAGTAGACGAGTGTCTGCATGAGTGACGCGGCATGTATGGGTTGGAGATGAATATATCCCCTGGCGTAACGTCGAAGACAATACGACCAGTGACCGACACCGGCAAAGGGTCTAGCGCCCTATGCCCAAGCTCAGAGGCCTCGCAAGTCATTAATATATGCCTTCAGGGGCTGTGGGAACAGATCCTCCACTCGGGACTTGCACAAGTAATCTGGCTGTCAGATGCAGAAATCAACTACACCCTACTCGCGCCCTGATTACTCTCAGGGCAAGCGCTCATGGTCAAAGACGCATAAGCGACACGCACTGCGAGCATCCACAAAAGCAGAGTTGTGATTGCTCTACGTTGATGTGAAGGCATTCTTCAGAGCCATAGCAATAGCCAGCTCTTCGCTGAGAGAATCCTGGACGGACGCACGATAACATAGCAAAGGGTAAACCGCCTCCCACAAGCCAGGAGAGCTCACTCAATCCCGCCCAAAACGCCGAGTCAATGTATCCAAGCACCCAGTGCAGTACTCGTCTTTTCCCATAACGCCTTTCAAAGCAAGCAGCCACCGTAGTGTAGCGCAGGGTATGCCGGACCCACCCTAACGCCTAGCTCAATAATGACAAAGGAGAGATAGCTCAGGGCTTGACTTTCGCCTAAGCTAGTGGCTTCGGCGCAGCGAGGCACAGGACAGGTGTAGCAGGAGGCGATGGGGGCGCAGCGATGCCGACAGTCCCAGCATCCTCTTCGTGCTGATGATTGCACTCGAGCCCCGATCCGCAATCGATCTTGCTGCCGGCCCAGCCTTCTTGCCGCGCCATCCACATGACGAGGTTGAGATTGAAGTTCTCGAAGAAGACTTCGTCGAGGAACCTCGCCTTCTTGCCGGCATACGTGTGGTACTCCTCGCGGATGAGCTCCATGTCGAGGCCACAGATCCGACGGAAGCATGCTACAGTGCAGCCGGTGCGGTGCTTGCCCTTGTTGCAGTGGATCATAAGGGGGTGATTTGTGCGGTCCATGATCAAGCGCAGAGCTCGCTGCATTTCGCACGAGTCGATGCGCACTTCGCCTTTGTTTGCGCGGATGTGGACTCGGAAGTGCTGGATGCCGGCGTCGTCCATGAAAGACTGGTACTCGGGCGCGATGGGCTCGGGGACCAGGGTAAGGATGCTCCTGATTTTGAGATCCTTGATGAACTCGTAGTTTTCGGGGTGAGGATAGCTGCAGCGATAGATGCTTCCAGGGACTACGGCGCCGTAGTTCATGGGCGGGATGAGCATGTTCAGGCGGTAAGGCACAACGGATCGGACGGATGAAGGTGTGACCGTGCCGGTTTCAGTGGTCGAAGCTGCAGAGCTCTCGGCATTGCCGTGCGGGAGATCTTCATGATGGACCTCAGCTGCGTGGATGTGCAGCTTCTCGCTGACGGTTACCGAGAGGGTTTCAAGGTACTCCTTGACCTTGTCCATCATCGTGAACTGGGCCTGGTAGCCCCCGATGGAGCTGGCGTTGCTTTCGGGTGGGGAAGACATTGTGAGATGCGTGCGTTGAGTGGATGTTCGGTATTTTATGGCTGGCGTGGAAAGAGTTTCGCTCAGCGTTCGTTCCTCTACGTGCTGGAAAGTTCGCTTTAGGGTAGTTGCGCAGCTCCAGCAACTACTGCAGCTGGCTTCCTGGGGCCTTGGAACCGTTCTTGACGAGTCTCTGAGAATTCAAAGTCGTAGAAAGTGGTCGTGTGCGTGGTGGGAAGTGGTGTCAGATGGGGAAATGTGTCGTGTGTGTGTGTGTGTGTGTGCAGGAAAATCGGGGAGAGGCCGACAGAAGGACTGAAAATACTGTCAGAATTTTGCTCAAACAGTTACGTTCTAGTTCAAGCTGTCGTAAACCGGACTTTGGTGGTTATGAACGGCCAACCACGGTGTGCCCACAGTGCCGTTGTCCTTCAAGACGCGAATAATGACGGCGCACCATGAAAGGCAACAGTTGGAAGTGCAAAACGCGTGAAAAAAGCGTGAAATGTCGACGTTGACGACTTACTCTGCGGTCAGCTCGACGTTAAAGCAGACATTGTGTTTGCTTCTTGCGAATGGGCGAAGAGGCGAGATTCATGTTGGCGGAGTCGAGGTGGTGGGAGTGGGTGTGTTCGCCTTCAACCACCAGGCGCGTAGCAGTCCGTGTGCGGGCGCGTTCCTGGTAAAGAGCAGATCTTGAGGCGGAGAAAGGGTCCCTGGGTATTTTAGGAGAAGTGGGTGCGTGGTGTTGTGGGAGGTCGGTGTTCGGGGCGGGTGCGGTTCCAGTCTTTCTCGCGGTTCGTTACGGAGCGAGCTTATGCGCGAGGGTCGCGCTTACCTGAAGATGACTCGCCAAGCGGGTAGTGACGTGCATTTGTTCGGCGTTAATGACCTTTTCTGCTTTGTGCAGGGCATTATGTGAGCCTCTGCGCCGCCCTTTCTGGTGCCGTGCAGCTTTGTACAATGAGGCTCGTGGTCCAGAAGACAATGCAGCACGTGCGGACATTGCACAACATGCATTCACATTCAGTTTACATTCCAGTCACCACGGACGCCGCCGCCAAGTGGCTCGCGTCAAGCTGCTCATATTGATCACGCTGTGGCATGACGACGCGGAGGTAGCCGGTCTCAACATCGTCTCGGTACCGAGACCAGGCAGGGTCCCGAAAATTCTTGCAGCGTCGAGTTCCGCGCAATTTGACTCGCTCGAACCACCCTTACGCATATGCGGGGCGACTTGCTCACACATGCGCATTAGCTGCATCCTCGCCTGTCCAGGGGGGTGAGTTCTAGCGGAGACAGCCTCGAGACCGCTTAAACAGCCTCCTCAACCGAGGAACGCTAGTGAAGTGTCCATAGCCTCGCAGGCGTTGCTCTGTCGATGTACCGTTCTGCGAGGGCTCTCGGAATCCACCATCGTTGTTAATGTCACAGCGGAGCACTGGAAGCTCCTCAGCATTCCAGCCCGCTGCCAGCAACCGCCGCTTTCACGTGAAACAGCACCTGATTACGCACTAAACCGTATCGGTACTAGCTCCACCTACCCCAGAATCCCGTGCAGCATCACGATACCTAACTCTATCGAACCTCGGTCAGTCGACTCGAAATTCCTATCTGCCATAAGCGCTATAAGCAGCCCTGACATCCTGCCCTGCGCGCAGAATTGATCCAGAAGCCCTCGGACAATGGACGCACCACGCTCGTCCTCGACCTCGCGTTCGCGGCGCTCCTACCCCAACCTGCACAACCTCTCGCTCGCGCCCCTCAGCGCCAAATACCCGCTCGACGCCTCCTCCCCCGCAACACCCGACGACGACGCTCCTGGCGCCCAAACGCCGCGCACCTCGTACATAGCGCAGAAATCCGCGCCGACGACGCCCGGCATCCTCAGCCTGAGCCAGAGCCGCAGCGCATCGCGCAACGGCCGCCGGTACGCGCACGACGGCTACTTTGCCAGCGCGCGAGCCGACGTGCGCGATGACGGCGACATACCAAAGGCGAAGAGCACCAACGCCCTGCACGCGGGCGTGTCGTTTGCGGAGCCCGCGGCGCGCGGCAGACGGCATGCGCGCAAACACACCGCCCCGCTGCCGCTGAGGATGCCGCTGCACCGCCACCACACCAGCGAGAGCAACGACGAGTGGCTGCACCGCGCGGGGCTGGTGATTGCGGGCGAAACGCGTGACGCGCGGGGACAGGGGTGGCTGGTGCGCAGGGAGAGCTCGACGCGTCTCGTGAGCCCTGTGGACGTGGCCGAGCACGACGCAAGGAGTGCCGCGGACGGCGCCGAGTTGGCCGTCTTGTCGCCGCGCCTGAGTCGCGCGGGGAGCCGCATGCAGTCCCGGGTCGGCAGTCGCGCGCCCAGCGCCAGACAGAGCCGGCGGGGGTCGCGGGCCGGGAGCAGACTCGACCTGGCCATGTCCGGACTGCCCTCGGCACGACACAGTCTGGATCTGGACGGCTCAGAAGCGATTGAGCCTGACTTTGTTGACTTTGACGGCGTCGACGACGGGCCGGATGACGAGGAGGAAATCGCGCGTCTTGCGCGCGAGCGCGGGTTCGGGCTTGGCGGGTGGATGGACGCGCTGATTGGGTGGACGCTGTTTTCCGTCGACGAGGACGGCGAGGCATCGTCTGACGACGAGGATCGACAGCCGCCGCATCTGACCAGCGACGAGGCGAGGCTGTTGCGCGAGGTCGACGCGAAGCGAAGGAAGATGGAGCGCGAGAGCATCATCGCCGCCAGCGCGCTGAAGGTGCACGACAGACCGGGCGACAAGTCTGGCGACGAGGGGGGAGAAGTCAGGATCGACGTCCCCAGGCCGCCGGAGGGGCAGGAGGCTGGTGGGTGGAGTGATGCTGCGTGGTTGCTGAGCGTTGCGTCCAAGGCGCTGTTTTGAGCTGTGGCGTGTAGCTTTGGAGAGTGAAGAAGACTTGTCGAGATGCCATAGTCTGCACACGTCACGCGATGAACTCGGTATATTTCTGCTACTGCATCGTACACGCCTCCTCCTCCCTCCCCCTCACTCATCCAGACACCAGACAACCACATCCCCAACCCTCCTCGCGTCATCATGGAAGTGGCTATTAAAGCCTCTCCAGCACTGCCTGTACCGCGTCCCCGCCAACACAACTCTCAGCTCCGCCTCCAGCGCGGCAAAGAAGACCAAGTTCTGCGGCCAGGCCCTGCGATACGCGGCCTTGAACTTGGGGTCCTGCGCGGCCAGGAACTGCGCGGTGCGGCTCCCGCTCGACGAGATGGTGTGCACCGACTGCATGTTATCGCGCAGCCAGCGTGCGGGGCCCGGGCGGATGTAGAACTGATCCGCCTCGTCGAGATACTCTGCTCGCTCGGCGAAAGGAACGTGGATCGGTGGCTCGCACGATAGCGCCCACGCGTTGATTTCAGGATACACGAGGTGAGAGCGCCAGGGCGTCGAGTGGCAGGGCATGAGGAAGCCGACGCTTGTGTTGAGCACCGCCGGCGGGGGCGAGGAGTTTGTGTACAGGGACATGCTGTTGCGGGACTCGTGCTTGTGCCGGATGTAGTGCAGGACGTCGATTACGCCGCGCTGGTGGACTTGCGAGGCGTAGCCTGCGACGGCGATGTTGAGGAGGAGGAGAAATCCTACAATGGAGCGGCGCGATAGTGAAGCGTGGGATGGGAGCAAGGCGGATAGCGGGCGTGCGGCGAGGACGTGCAGAAAGGGGAGGATCGGATAGAGGAAGCGGACCTCTTTGTGTGAAATCAGGCTCAAGGTCATGGGCATGGTGAGCGATGTCCATGCCAGACGGGAGAGTGTGCCATGGCTGAATGTAGCTCTGCTGTCAGGGGCCGCTGCCGGAAGTGTACCTCGCAGTGAGTGCCACAGACCTACAGCGGCAAAGGGCAAGGCGGTAGTGAGCAGCAGCGGTAGGCCTTCTGTGAAGTAGTAGTCTGGACGGTTTCTGCCATAGAAGACGGCAAGCGACTGGGCAATGTTGAAATAGAGAAATCGCAGAGGCGGCAGCGTCCAGACACCGTAGTAGACTCTGTCAGACAAGACTGATAAGCCAAGAATAGCGGATCTGGGGTGGTTAGTCGAGGATGGCCTCCAGCTTGATTTAGCCGGATTGGGGGTTTTGTCAGTCGAGGATCTCGAACCTGATTGTAGCCAGATGGGGGGGGCTCGTCAGTCGAGGATCTCGAACCTGATTGTAGCCAGATGGGGGGGCTTGCCAGTCGAGGATCTCGAACTTGATTGTAGCCAGATTGGGGGGCTTGTGCATAAACTCGACTTACCCGCATAGTATGGCTTCGCGGAACAGAATATACCGCAACCTCTTCGACGCCTGCCATATTGTCGGCACGGAGATGGGCAGCCAGATGAGGAGATTTGTGGGGCGAAGCACGCAGGCAACAGCTGCTAGCAGCAGTGACAGACGCAACCTGTACGAGCGTGAGCCAAAAGTCAGAGTGGACCCGGGGTAGGCGCCTACTGCAAGGTCGATTTGGGATCAGCTTGGGCCGTAAGTGGTGCTTTGTTGCCTTGTTTGGGAGGGTTGCTGGCCGGTGTCCAATGCCAAGGCCAGTGGTAGACGGCGATGATTGTGAAGGTGGTCTCGAGGCAATTGGACAGCGTCCGGGTGGAACAGAACCACTGCCACGGGCTGCACACCGATATTGCAAGCTAGCGCATCACAGATCAGATATCCGCGACTGCGACTGGGACATGTAATTGCGGGACCGTGACATACAGTTGTGAGCGCTGTGCGATGGCCGCGACCGTACACTTTCTCTGCAAGCCTCCAGGTATAGCAGTCGAGCAGCGCAGCGGACACAGCCTGGACAAGCTTGGGCGTTGACAGGAGCAGTTCGGCTCTGACAGGTAGACTCAAGGCACAAAAGTCAGCTATGAGAGCCGCGACTCGGTAGGCGGCTGCAAATAGCTCCGGGTGCAGGGACGACCGCAACTGCGTTCTCCACTCCTGCTCAGCGTGAGACGTGCTGCGAAAGAATTTCTCGACAGAGCCAGACACGTGGGACTGCTCAAGGGCAAAGGAGAGTTACCCAAGTGATGCATGCACTGCTCGCCCCACCAAAGGCCAGCTGCCATGCGGGCTCGAGCGACTGGAAGAACTCGTCTGGCTGAAAGAAGGTGCGCAGCGTCAGTGCATTCACGATGCGCAAGGCCAGCAGCAGGGCGAAGACGGCTAGCGTCGAGTCACGATAGCCGGTAGAGGTCTCTTGTGGAGTCGCGGTGCGGGCGGTAGTCGTGGCATTCGCGGAGTCGCTGGCGGACGGCATTGGGCGATCAGGTCAGAGGCCGCAGCAGTCGAGCACGAGCAAGCAGAGAAAGTCACGATGGGTTGCAGCGGCCAACAGGCTTGGCAGAGTGCACCGGCTCAATGCGTGCTGCATCAGAGCATTTTGTGTCAAGAGTGCAGAAATTGATGATCCGTTCTATGCCTTTCTAGGTATTTCACGATGGACAATGGCCGGCGTCTAGACTGCACGCTCGTCTGTTAGCCGGCGGTGGGCTGCCACAACGCGGTGTGACTGTTGTGGCGGGGTGGCCTGTGGTCTCACGACAGGCAGATGGGGCGTGACGATGGTGCTGTCATAACGTTCTGTGTGCACGGCGGGACAGCGCGAGGGCGCCCTCAACAACGATGGCGATGACGGCAACGGCAAGAAGCAAAGTGCAGGCATCGAGGAAGCAAAGTGCAGGCATCGAGGAAGCAAAGTGCAGGCATCGAGGAAGCAAAGTGCAGACATCGAGGAAGCAAAGTGCAGGCATCGAAGAAGCAAAGTGCAGGCATCGAGGCTGCAGCGGGACAATCTGGGGAAGGGCACCTCGTTCGCAGTGAAGAGGGTCCAAGTGCAGGGTGAGAGGTGAGATGGAGTAATAGAGTTGCCGCTTGTTGGCTCGGCGGGCGCTGCTCTTATCGCGGCTGGCTCAATAAATGCTGGGACGAGCAGGCTGTGTTGAGCGCCGGGTAGCTCCAGCGCGCAAAGATTGAATGCGCGTCGCTGTGGGCGCTGTCTCTGCATGCACCAGCTTCTGGCGGCCATGCCGAAGAGAGGCTGGCGCCATGCAGGTGATTTCGGGTGCTGAGGGTACTTGAGGCACGCCCGGCTGCTCAACAGTTGCTGCGCGGCGAGCAGACTCCAGAGCTCGCACTCGACCACGCACTCGACCTCGCACTCGACCTGCGCCTTTTGCTGCTGCTGTATGGCACTGCGGACCGTGGCTGACGGTACTACCTGACTGCCCGCTCAACCATTGTCAACAATCCGCCCTTGTGCTCGCGGCTGGCGTGTTGGACCGGGTGCTGTTGTCTGGCGCCCCACATCGCCCGTATTGTTCACTCTGACTCGTCCACACCGGCGACGGTCCACCTTTTCGGACCCTCGTCATATCACTGCCTCGTCTGGCCGGCTTAGGGCGATCGCAGTGCCTCAACCACCCATCCCGGCCGTGCAGCCAAGAGTCGTTGCCCGCCCGCCGTTTTACAGCAGCCCTCACGCAGGAGCCCTCACGCAGCAGCCCTCGCGCAGCAGCCCTCACGCAGCAGCCCTCGACACACGACACACCGACACGTCGACACCACTGTCCGCCTGTCCGCCTGTCCGCCTGTCCGCCTGTCCGCCTGTCTACCTGTCCGCCTGTCTACCTGTCCGCCTGTCTACCTGTCCGCCGTCTACCTGTCCGCCTGTCCACCTGCCCGCCTCTCTACCTGCCCGCCTGCCCGCCTGCCCGCCTGTCGCCTGTCTGCGCCCGCCGCGAGCGCAGCATGACCCGCCCGCCGACTCGGCGCCCCTCGAACAGTCTCTGAGCACCCGACGCACGCCCTCTGCCGGACCCTGACATGATTGCACTGCGCGGCTGAACTGAGACGACTGAGCGCTCGCCCGCCATGACTGGCCCGGCCTCGCCCGTGGGGGAGCAGCACCACACTGGGCTGGACGACGCGCCAGACAGCAGCGAGCCCAGCCATTGCTCGCCGCCGCCGCCGCCGCCCCTCGACGACCCCGACAGCAACGGCCCCAGCTACTTCTCGCCGCAGCCCCGCCAGATCCTCAGCCACGCCATCGCCCGCAGCCCGCCCGCCTCGCCCGCCGCCTGGCCCGCCGCCTCGCCCGTCGCCTCGCCCGCCCCGTCGCCCGCCGGCAGCGCCAATGCTTCGACCACGTCGGTCGACCACGTCGCAGCGCTGCCACTGAGGTCCGCCTTGGCGCCCGCGCTGCACCCGCTCAACCGCCCCGCCTACGAGCGCGACCTCTCGAGCATCTCCACCGCCAGCACCGTCACCGTCCGTGCGAACCCCGCCGACGCCGCCGACTCGCCGCAGCGCCATGGGCCCGTCTACCCCAACCAGAGCTACGCCGCGCTGCAGTTCCAGCAGTACCCCGCGCCCTACATCCCGCCCATACAGCGCGCACGCAGCTCCCACCCGGCGCACTTCTCGGCCAACTCGGTGTCGGCCATCCCCTCGTTTGGCGCCTCCAACGTCCACTACCGCGACATCATGGACTCGGCCCCACGCACCGCCGGCAACTCGCCCATGAGCAGCCCGGGCCTCTTCGACCCCGCCAGACACGTGGGCTCGTCAGGCTCCCGAGAACCCACCGACGGCCTCTACTCGAGTCCCTGGCTCCACCACACCCACCGGCAAGCCCCCAAGGAGAGTCACCTTGCCGACGTGACGCACGATCCCATCTCCGGCCGCAAGCTCGTCAACCAGTACGAAATCATCGACGAGCTCGGCCGCGGCGTGCACGGCAAGGTCAAGCTGGGCAAGGACCTAATGTCTGGCAAGTACGTGGCCATCAAGATTGTGGACCGCTACTCCAAGCGGAGGCGTCTGGGCAAGAACACCAGCCACGAGGACAAGATCAAGCGCGAGATTGCCATACTGAAAAAGGCCCGTCACCCCAACATTGTCAGTCTACTCGAAGTCATAGACGACCCGGCTAAGAAAAAGGTCTACATCGTGCTCGAGCACGTGGAGCTTGGCGAAGTCAAGTGGAGGGTCGAAGGCGCCCCCGCGGTCACTCTGGTCGAGTGGAGGCGCTTTCAGCGAGAGTCGCAAGGCATCTTCGACGACGACAGGGCAGCGCGGGAGGACGAACACATCATCAGGAGAGCACACCAGAAGCTAGTCCGTCAGCGCCGCAGGGAAGCCCGGGAAGCCCATCTCCGCCGGCAAACCGTCACCGGCAACGAGCCTTGGAGCTTCGAGTTTGGCGGTGACTCTGACGACGACATGTACTCAGAGGCCGGTCGCAGCTCTCGAGCCTCCAATCGCGAGGACCGTCCGCCGAGCCGCGTCCAGCTCCACGAAAAGCAACAAGGCTCATCGCACACAGATGGCACAATGGAGACTGCGTTTTGCGCTTCTATGCTTGCGCCTGGCCCCAAGGGCGGTGACGGCAGTGCCACTGGCCTCGAAGGCACCATGTACGGCGCCTATGATGCCGAGTACGGCGCCTGTGATGCCGAGTACGGCGCCTGTGATGCCGAGTACGTCCGTGGCCGCACGCCAAGTCTTGCCGGCAGCAGCTCTTCTCACCCAGAGGCCGAGCACGACGAGGTGCCCGAGCACTTTCGCTACGTTCCCCTCATGACGATGCAAGGCGCTTGGGACGCTTTCAAGGACACTGTCCTCGGTCTCGAGTACCTGCACTACCAAAACGTCATCCACCGCGACATCAAGCCCGCCAATCTTCTCGTCACCAAGGAGCACCGCATCAAGATCTCCGATTTTGGTGTCTCCTACCTCGGACGCCAGAAGACAGACGAAGGCTTTGGGGACCAGTCAGAGAACGAGATGCAGGAAGAAGACGAGGCTATCGAACTGGCCAAGACTGTGGGCACACCGGCCTTCTACGCACCTGAACTCTGTAGGACTGATTTCAGTGCCGAAACGCCGCACATTGACGGAGGCATCGACGTGTGGGCCCTTGGCATCACGCTATACTGCCTGATCTACGGCCGAGTTCCTTTCCACGAGAACAACCCCTTTGCGCTGATGAAGGCCATTAGCGAAACCGAACCCTACATTCCACGTTACCGACTCAAGCCTGTCTCTGAGCGTGCCAACTCCCGACCGAACTCGCACGGGCGTAATATGCAACCCATCTCGAACGCCCGGAGAGCACCTCACGATGTCGACTACGAGGAGATTGATGAGAACCTCCGTAATCTACTGAAGTGTCTGCTCGTCAAAGATCCCAAGCACCGCATAACAATACACGAGATCAAAAGGCACCCGTGGCTGCTGCAAGGCCTCAACAACTACAACACCTGGATGGAGGAGACAGATCCTGATCGCTCTTCTCACGGTCGCAAGATCGAGATTACAGACGATGATCTGGAAAAGGCCGTCGTTCCTGTTGGTCTCGTGGAACGGATGCGGTCAGCTGCGAAGAAAGCCACCGATTACGTCACAAAAAGCTTCACCAGGGGCGGTTCTAGCTCTCGTCGCCGCGCACAGAGCTCGGCACACGATTTGCCTCCGAGTATGAGCACCGCTTCCTCGAGCAGTACCATTAGCCAAGATGCACGACGAGGCAGCATAGCACCCAACGCGATCCTGGACATGCTGGGCAGATCACGCGAACCTGAGCACCCGCTCTCGCACAGTGTCAGCGCCAGCCCCGAAGCAAAGGAACGAGCCAGGTATTTTGACAGCCCCGACTCTCGGAAAGCTTCCCCCATGCAAAATGCGGAGACGTATCGGCCAGCTATAGCGGATCGGGCCATGTCTTCCGTGTACACAATACGGCAAGCTGACCTGGACGTCCGATCCACAACACCACTGGTACCCTCAGCACTCCCTGGCACTCCAACTGTATTGGATACGCCTACCGGCTCACATCTTGGAGGCTTGTTCGGAGGTCTTCCGCGCAGGGTCGTCAACAGCATGAAGAGCAAGGACAAGCTCAGGCCTGCGCGAGAACGCATCCGCAAGAAGTCGTTCGACAAGTCGATTGATCGCCTCATGGTTGGCGAAAACGACCCGCATGGCGTTCCGAGCCTCGCCTTGAGCACAACAAACGCCGCCGGCCACGTCGACGCACCAGACGTGAAGGCATTGTCACCCATTGCACGGAGTCGATCGCCCAGCTACTCGGATGCATACTCTGTCGATCTTCTTGACTCGGCCTCTCGACAGTCGTCGGTGTCATCGCTGTCATCTCGCCTGGCTGCTCGGTGGGCAGCTGCAAATGAGCTCGAGGTCGGGCCCACCCTGGACATTCCTCCTGGCTCCTACAAATCGGCAACTTCGTCGCGCTCTGCACACACTGCAAATTCACACTGGCTGTCAAGTGCCCACGAGACCTCGGACGAGCGGTTCAGTCGCGCAAAGGACGAGTTCATCCGCCGACGAGTGCGGGAGGAGAACATGGATCGCGCACGTCCGGCATCTGGAACGCAACGACCTGGCTCAGCCCTTGATCAGACTGCCTGCCCTCCCAGCCCGGATGACGAGACATTCAGTCAGCGCCAGAAGGAAGTGAGTCAACACCAAAAGGAAGTGAGTCAACACCAAAAGGAAGTGAGTCAACACCAAAAGGTGGAGGAGTACCTGGGCACGCAGCACGCCGAGTCCTCGGAGAATAGTCCTGTTTGTGGACAGGAGCGTGGCCTGGCCTTTTGTTCGTCCGAGGAGCAGTTTACGCCCATGTCGCAGTCGACCTCGAACCCATCTATTCCGTCTGTCGCATCCGCCAACTCTTCTGTTCCAGACGACTGCGCTCATCTAGACCGGTTCGCCAACATGCTACCCACAACATCTGCCGACTCGATCGCACACAACCAGTTTGATGCTCCTTTGGACGATCCTGCTGGTTACGACGGCGACCACGCCGTCGATAGCGACGAAGACGACAGCAGCGACGATGACGGTGGGCTCTTCATGGGACGCAAGAGGCCCGCACCGAAGCCTCGACGAAGCAACTCAATCTCCAACGCAGAGCTCGCCCGCTCAAGCATCTCCAAGGAACTCACCAAGACCCGTCGCCGCTCAGCACGCAGCGGTAGCAACGGCACCGTCAAGAAATTCCCTCCGCCAGGTGCGGCCGAGTACTCGGCCACCACCTCAGCCGAGCACACTCCCGAAGCGTAACCACCCCTTCCAGCACAACAACACTTGTTCTCTGTACGATACTGCATACTCTGGGCGTCCTTTCTCCAAGCTCTCTCACACACACACATCATTCTGGGATACCCATGGTTTCTTCAATGGTTTCTTCATTGTACAAACACCACCAACAACAACAATAACATATCACCCCCCATGGAATGGCGCACGGCGTTTATCAAAATCACGGCGGCGGTTCGCCTTCTCATTGCCCACTGGGCTGTTCCTCATTCTTCTTTTCTTCTGTTAGAGACCTTTTTTGGCTTGATTTTTCGCATGGCGTGGCGCTGCGGAATACGTTGCGACGTTGACATGGAGGAGGAACAGACGCTACACGAACGGAGCATGAATGACGATGGATGATGGACGATGGACGATGGAAGATGGACGATGGATGATGGACGATGGACGATGGATGATGGACGATGGACGATGGACGATGGACGATGGATGGACGGGCATGGCTCGGGCGCGGGTTAGCATGGCGTGGTAGATGAGCTGCGCCGCGGCGTGGAGGTATCTTAGTACAAAGTACGGACCGTCGATGCGCTTATCGCATTCCGCTCCCCAAATTCTAGTGCTGAGACCGTTGAGGTCCCCCCGAAGCACTGATTTATGTGATGTTCTAAAGTCCCACCCTCGCGGCCTGTTCCTGCGCTCTCGTCATCATCAGCGACGTGCCCGCTACCACAAACGACTCAATGCAACGCACACCGAATCCAGACCACTTCTTGTCGCCATTGTGCATGTTTATGAGTTTCTTTGTGGACTGGGGGTTTGGAATGCGTAGAGTATGCCCGCGTTGATCTACGTGCGCCCACCATAGCAGCACACGTGACCTTGGAGTGCCCAGAGCGCTATGTACGATTAGAAAGGAAAGGAAAGGAAAGCGTTGATTGTCGTTGAAGGGCAAAGGCACGGGGGGTAGCGACCAATCGGATTCTGCGGTGGCGATTGCGTCGCCCTTGCTCTTCCAACCATACAGGCGCGGTGAGTGTGGTGGAATGTCGGTGTTGCACATTATCTCATGGAGCCTTTGCTGCGCCTTGAAGCGTTGTATTGGATCTGTGCCTGTTGCCGCGTCGAATGTGCTGTTCTGGAGAGGTACATTGCTGTTGGTGCAGTGATACCGGTACCCGCGTTGCACGGTTGCTGGCTTTGGAGGGAACGACTTGGACAAACATCTTTCACGGCGAGTCAGGAGAGGGCACAGACATGTGGTTGAACGGTTGGCTGTTGATGGATCCCTCGATTTTATGTTTTGCTGTGATACCCGCTGGCGGCTGGCGGGTACAACGTCCCGTGCCAGGGTGACGAAGAGGTTCCGTGTTCACGGGTTGTGCGACACAACGATTATCTGGTGACGGAGATTGAGATAGAAGATGGTAGGTTTTTCCGATCCCAAACAGAGAATGATGGCCATCTCAAGGGTCCTCGACATTCCTGACGGGCCACGGCGCCACTGCGGTTGACACACGACGAACTGTCGTCTTAGTATGACCTGCATTTCGTTCTGAGTATTGAGAACGACACAGCTCCGCGGACCATCTTGCGAATATCAGACGAAATCGAGCATGTGTTCGATACCGTAACAGCCACAGGCTACGTGGGTGCTGTCCAGACTTGGTGCCATGACTGGCATGTGGCCTACCATCTGCACTTACTCGCATCGATATCGATGGCGACGGGATTCGCCAGCAGCAAGGCCTGCTGCCGACATCGAGCTTGGCACTCCCTTCACGAACCCCAACAAGGTAGATTCCGGCATGTCGATCAGCGGTCTGACCCTTTTGAGCGAAGACCGGGCTGATGGAAAAAGAGTCAATTCAGGACTTGAAGAGTCAATTCACCTGAGGCTGGACCTTGGAGACGGTGTGTACGTTAAGCCGCTTAACTATGGGACTTTCTCTCGCTGGAGCGCAGTTAGAGAGCTGATGGTGGACATGAAAAAAGACGGCATCATCGTCGAAGATCTGTGGGATGAAGCCGAGGGGATGAGAGTCTGCGGTAGTGACTGGGATGCTCGTGTACGCCCAGGCTGGAACCTGCAGATGCGATGCCAAAAAGTGGAGGCGTCTCTGGAGGAGAGTGGGTCTGAATATGATAGCGACAGCGAAGATACCGAGGATGAGGGCGAGGCCTGGATCGTCGATGTGATCGACCAGTATCAAGAAGAGTGGTGCCTTCCAAGGTGGAGAGACAGAGTCGAGCAAGATGTGTCGACAAGAAAGCGTGCAGAAGAACCGTCCTTGATGGCGCTTGGCCTAGGCTGCGTATCGATTGTCTTCTTCATTGTGGCGATTGTTGTATACACAGCCTGATCCCGGATCGTGTAAAGTTGGAGTCTGCGAGGAAGTCAGCACGAGGAGAGACGAGAGACGAGACGAGACGAATGTGGGGGAGGCAGCTTCAAACTGTGCGTCATCGCGTGGGGGAGCCGCGGCATGTTGGACCCTTGAGCTTCAAGACACGAACGCGTTCAGCACCACACAAAACACACGATGAACAATATGGCTGCACGGATAGCGAACCTGCGCTCAATACTGCCCGACCTCGAGTCTGCGCTGAGCACGTTTGCGCATTCGCCATCCAAATTTCGCGTCGTCCGCACCGTCAACCCCACCGACACGCAGCCAAAGACACTGTACATCCTGGACTCCAGCTTCAATCCACCCTCAATCGCACATCTGTCCCTTATTCAGTCTGCACTGAAGAACCACGGCAAATCAGAGCATAGTCCATACAGACTGTTGCTACTGTTCAGCACACAGAACGCAGACAAGGCACCCAGCCCCGCGGGCTTCGTACAGCGCATTGCGCTGATGACAGTCTTCGCCGAAGACTTCTCGCGGTCACTCCAAGCATCCTCTGCTGGAACAGAGCTTGCAGACCTTTCTATTGACATTGGACTCACGAAAGAGCCATACTACTCAGACAAGTCGATAGCCATACGCGACACTAGCCCCCCATTTTACTCCTCGAAACCCATCCACGTCCACCTCACCGGCTACGACACGCTCATCCGCTTCTGCAACCCCAAGTACTATCCCAAATACGACCCGCCACTCTCAGCGCTTAAGCCGTTCTTCGACGATGGCCACAAGCTGCGCGTCACACAGCGGCCGACTGACCCCGACGACAAGTCATCGAACGAGTTTGGCACAGTAGAGGAACAGCAGAAGTACGTGAACGACTTGAAGGACGGCACACGTGAGAAGGACGGGTTCAGGCCGGAATGGGCAGATAACATCGATATGGTCGAGGCCAATGACGGCGTTGGCATCAGCTCGACCAGGGTGCGCAATGCTGCAAAAGACGGCAATTGGAATGTGGTAGAAGAGCTTTGCACGGAGGGCGTCGCTGCATGGCTCCAAGACCAGGCCCTGTACAGTGAAGATGCCACTGGCAAAAAGCTGAGCAGCTGAGCGGGCTCGCCTCACCCAATTTTGTCAAAAGATCACAGTGTACAAGCAACCCCTTGAGGCTGATAGCTCGCACACCAAGTGTATTCTGCAAAGACTTGAGCGCAAAGCATGTACACTGTGCGGTCGCAGCAAGATTATGGTGCAACAGTGCTCTTTCCTCAAGTGCACTGATACTTGCGGCCATCTACGAGCAATGACAGCCATCTCACACCGGTAGTTATGGCTTCAGCGCAAGTGCTTTCCGACTTCCCTGTACTGCTACTTCCATTCTTCAGTGGTCGTGACGTGAGTGCCTTCCTGCTCTCTGTGTTTAGCGGCCATACCACGTGGCGCAGTTTCGTCCAGTGTCAACAACGCGGGCATCCCTCGAGGTAAAGCTCTCACCTATCTCATCAACCGTAATTCGAATATGGCGTCGACGCTATGTTGTACGGCGGAGCAAGAAGCCCGGTCAGACTCACCAGAGCTACCCAACGCTCGTCCAAGCGGTGCCACGCCCGCAAAGCAACCTCTACTTCCAAAGCTACCCAGCTTGCCACAATCTCGATTCACCAGCGTTCGCACTGACGACCTCCATGAGCTTCAGGAGATCTTTCATCATGCGCAGGACGGCGCCGATAGTCAGGAGCCATCTACGCGTGCGCCTCGCGCACGCTTCAGTCGCGCTTCAATCTACAGTCTGCACAGCCTGCACAAGATGACAAGCATGCGGTCACTCATCAAGCGCAAGTTTTCGAGAGATCTCGCAAAGAAGGACTCGGGACTGAATATTCACATCGAGGTATCGCAGAAGGTCACAACAGTCGACCAGGACACTGTTGTCAGGTCCTCGAAAGAAGAAGCTAAAGAGCAACTGAAGATCACTAAAGAAGACCTACGCAAGGACCTGTTGAGCGACAAGAAGCCAGACGAAGGTGGCTACGACTCTGATGCTGAGATGCTTGACGACTTCGCGAGAAACATGGGCAAGAAAACACCCAGTAAGAGAGCAAGCATACACAGCGTGAATTGGTCTCCATCAGCTGGCAGGTGAGCTTGCCATCATCCCCAGGCAAGCATCTCATGCTGACGTACACAGCAAAGCAACACCAGGATCATCAACCAAGAGCCGCACCGACCCTGATGGCAACCGTGATCTGCAGCCCTACCAGATCCAGAAATCTCATGCTGTCTCACTTGCTACCCGCATTGGTCATGTTTTTAGCACACCGAACTTACGTAACGATGTCTCAGGAAGGAGAGACGGTGCTTTCAGACGCTCGCAATCTGCTGCGTCAATGGGTCTTCCTCAGGTATCGCCCCTTTCGCCCCTGTCACCATTGCGTCTTCCTAGCCTCACCGATCATGATCAAAACGGTGTTCCCTGGGCCGAGGTCATCAACGAAAGCCTTCGTCTGTCGCATTTCCCTCTTCCGCCACGTCATGCCAGTCCACGGGCCTCGCAAACATTGCTATCACCCTATGAGGCCACCAAAACAGCAAAGCATGCAAGCACAGAGCTCAGGTCTGATAGCACGTCCTCATCGCAAGGCGTGCTAAACAATGATAAAGGAGCAAGCGCTCGACCGGAGATTCGTATACAACAACCAACTTCTATAGCAAGTCCCCGTCCATCCGCTGACATTCGAGGTACGCTCCATGAGAACGCACAACCCTCTCCGTCGAAAGCTGAAGTAGCTCGAGAGTACGAAGTTGAAGAGGAGGAAGACAATTCTCGCCACTCGGTGCATCTCCACAGCATGCGCATCTCGCATCATCTACGATCGGGCTCGCTGCTGTCATGGGATCAACTCGCTGATGCACCAGAGCTGCCCTCACCAACGCGACCATACCGGGAGCGTACTGTGTCCGACCAGAGTCGAGTTTCTCGTCCGAACAGACAGCTAGCGCGGCATGAGAGACAGACTTCGAGCTCAGGATTCGCCAGCTCGAAAGTGCCTTCGAGATGGGGTAAGGTTCTGTCAGGGGATCAGGACGTTCGAGGTGATATGGCATCGTCAATCTATTCGAGTCGCCCGCAGAGCCCTCCTGACAGCTTTGTTGCGTCCCTGACCAGCTTGGGTCGGGCAGGTACGGGTCACGATGAATTCGGCGGTGCATCGATTCACTCGCCACGGACGCGCCGGTCCAACTCCTTCCCAACTGACAACGAAGATACCCCTCGGGCAATACCACGCTATGGGCTTTCTAACCTCAGAGCTGTGGAGGGAGTGCCTGTGACAAGCTCATTGCTTGACACACCGTCATCGCTGTCGCGCAAGAACAGCGTTGCTGATACTAAAAAATCAAAATTTCGAGAAGAGTTCAGCCCGTCGCCTCCGCGTAAGAAGATCACCCCATCAGAGTCCATAATGAAGTTCCTAAACCCCAAGCGCCTTAGCGGACGAAGTCAAAGCGAGGCGTCCTTGAAGCCAGATTCGCCAATACGGACTGGCGATGCCACATTCGATTCCTTGGACGTCCCTACCGACCGAAAACGACGACAATCGCACTCTATGTTGAGCCTACAGGTAGAACAGAGTGCTTTAGTGAAGGACAAAGGTGCCGATCATGTTTGGGATCAAGCACTCAAAGCCCACCAAGAGGAGAAAGCTTCAATGTTCTTACCCAAGAATCGCGACCTTGCCGCGCACGCCAATCCCTTCCGTGAACGCAGCGGAAGCATCATGACTCGTCGTAGCGCGCATGAAGACCGTGTTACAGTGACACCAGAAGCACCAAACGCATCAGGGAGCTTATTCGCGCCATCGTTCACTCCAACCTTTGCACCGCGAGCAGCACTTCCCGAAGAGCTCTCTTGTCCTCGACCAACGTCACGACGCAGCGCTGTGGCAAACGCGAACGAAGATACAAACGATCGAGATGTCTCCGTCATCTTCGAGAAGCAGGGTGACAGCCCTGAGATAGTGGGATCGTGGGGTCGCTACCCTTCGCACACTCGTGACGAGCGTACAAACTCTGCGGGGAAGGTAGATCGTGTGGAGAGCCGCGACTTTGCGCTTGAGGCGGCGATCAGATTTGCATCTTCTCAAGATGTTGACGAAGATCTTATTGATCCAACTGAGCGCATTTCCTCGATGCCACTGATGCCGGGCGAGAAGAAGAGGAAGAAGAAAGTTGGTAGTGGACGGATGGCGAAAAGCAACTCGATGACGTTCAGCAAACAGTTCCTCAAGAACTACTCGAAGATCTTCAAGAGCTCGTCCACCGAGTTCCGGAAGCATGGGCGGAACCATCGCAGCTCAATCACAACAGGTGGTGTGCTCGAGTTCCCAGAGCTCGAGGTTCTTCCGGAAGTATGGATACAAGGCTCTTCGGTCGATGGCAGCAATGATCGGGGCCACAGACGAGAGGACTCGGCGGCAAGACGTCGGGCAAGTGACAGCCATCACGCTGAAAAGTCACATACTCACGACTCGATGGCCACACTGCGACCTCGACGAAACTCATCCGCGCCAAATCTGAATGAAATAAATTACGATGGCGCAAATGAAGACAGGCATGCAGGAGACAACGCTCGCGTGTGGTCCGTCTACTACGATGATTGTGTGCCCTCCTATCCTCGCGCAAGCACCGACCTCAACACTGGCCTTGAGGACTTCGGCCCGGCTCGATTCTCTTTTGAGAGTAGACACCCATCTATGCATTCACGCACTATGCCTCCACGCTTTGTAAGGCACTCGCGTAACGTCAGTTGCGTGAGTCGGGGCAGCGCACGACCGAGTCTAAGGTCCAAAGGCGATGACGATGACTTCGCGGAGAAGAGAAGCATGGTCAGTGTGCGACGCAGTACTATGGATCTGATCTCGAAGTTCAAAGAGCAGGAAGTCATTGAGCGCGACAGGGTATTGTCCATCACAAGGGTAGGAAGCCGCTACGACAGTGAGATTTTGGCTGCTTTGTGAGATGCTGGGACGAGCGATGAGTAATGTGTAACACTGCTTTCATCTTTATATACTTCTCTACAAAAGTGAGTACCAATACTTGTGCAGCGTTATTGTATTTGCCATTGCGCAGCAAGTCATTTTTGTATCCCTACGTGTGCGTGATCTTTGTGGTGAGAATATCTCTTCAATGCTCAGATGTCAAAGAGCGCAGATGCAATTTGTGATCTGTGATTTAGCAGGTGCCAATTACGGTTCACGTCTGCAGGGCCCACGTTGACTATCGTTATTCTGGTATATGGCACGATTGGTCGTGGTTCGGAGAAGAATGAAACCAATGTAGGGATTGTTCCATTTCCACATAGCATATACGCAAAGCAGCACGCTCAAGCGTCATGAGCAACCTCACGACCAACAATCAAAACATCGAAGAAACATCACAAAATCAACCGAATAAACATCTAGACACTACGAATCTATGTGGCAGTCACCACTTCGAAGCAGAAATGTCTACAACCTCAAGCTTCGTCTTCTTCGGCCCCGCCAACGCGCCATACCTCACGCGCTCCCGCTCTGCTGCAGAGAAAAAGGTCACCCAGAAGGCACAGATAGCGTACACGTACCCCGCTCAGAAGGCCTTGACTGCCTCCCGGCCGGTGTATCGCATCGAGAAGCTTCGACCAATGCGTTTTACACTCCACCACAGCGGCGGGAAGACTGCAAGGAGGCACCTGCCAGCTCAGTATGTTAAGGTCCAGATCACAGAGGGGGGATTACGCGAATTTGAGCAGGTTACAAGGAGGTTGAGGGCTGGGATGTCGGTGGAGGATCTGGTGCGGTTCAAGGTAGATAACGAGTAGCAGTGGTGAAGGCTCGGGGCTTGTGGTTTGGGTAGCGAGCGAGCGTGTGTAGCGGGTTGGAGCACTCCGTGTGAAGTTAAATCGTACTTTATTTACGGTAGAGAGGGTTGAAGGCCTCCTAGTCAGGTCGGGCGTTGTGAGGTATATGACGATCCCTTCGAATGCCTCCAGAACTATGCGGCTGTCGTCGATTTTGCTGCCTCCCTTATGTCGTATTCTCCCATCTCACTGGTAGTATCTTCTTCGTCTGACTCGAGCAGCTCTTCGTCGTGTATACAATCCTGTCCGATGCTTATCTTGCTGGGGTTCTGGGGTTTCCGAGCGTACCAAATGAGACAATCTTCGTCAACCAAGTCGATCCCGACGCAATTTCGGGGCCCTCAACCCATACGTTCCAGGACAAGATATCGAAGGAGCTAATGCACACCGTCTCACCTACTGGATCTCTGCAACTCAGTGCACTCTGCTCGAGAGACGCATCTGGCACAGATGCGCGACTGGCGAAGCGGTGCAGGACAACATCACCAGAGGCCAGTAACTTGAGCGAGGACGATGACCATGTTCGCTTGAGTGAATGGAGCTTCCCAGGCGAAGACGTAGCCGTTGCCCCTCTAACAGTCATGGGAAAGTCTACGATGCACATATATGAAAAATATTCATCGGAAGGTTTCAAGTTGATAGGCAGTTTTGTTTCTCCTAGAAGAGCAGCTGCACTTTTGGGAATGAGTGCCAATAAACTCATAAAATATAGAAATGCCGGAGAGATCTACAAAGATAAATATTGATTTTCTTGTCGATTTGTCAAATAGAGTTCTTGTAACTACGCAAAACAATTCTACTACGCGCTGGAAACATTCAAAGCCCTCGGTACTACAATCTCAGTTTACATAGAGGATAGCTATCAGGAAACCAATCAACATATCAGTCGTCCTCAGGATCCCAAGTCCCATTGAAATGAACATTCATAGAGTGTTGTGTAGTCCAGAAGACATACATCGAACTTGATTGACCATGTTCAACATAAGCAAGACCAATTCCCGGGGAGGAGATGCGCCACCGTGAAAGGGAGGTGCTGAGTTAGAAACCGGAAGCGTCAAATAGAATACCTGCTTGTTTACCTACCAAATCCGACGGATCGCAGATGTGCTTGCATTTAGACAGTTGACATCGTGTGAGCATTGGTCTCTAGCTGGTAACTACATTGGTGATGCCAGTATCTGGTAGCATGTATGGCACCAATCACCCTATCACTTTCATTAATTTCTCAACGGCGGATCCCAACCTGAGCACGCTCGCGTCATCATGTGGTTTGCCGAAGACGAACACAGAAAACCTAAATAGCGTCAATAAAGATTTTCGAGCCTCATGCTTGTCACAATCACAGATTCCCTGGCGCCTCTGTGATCAGGTCATTCTTGGGATCGATGACAATTTGCGTATCATCTGGATAGACACCCAAAGGCACACTCATGACTGGAGATCCTGCTTTCGCTGCAAAAGTCTGTAAGACTGGGGGTAGAAATGGTATCAGTAGCACGTCGCAATTGTATCGATCGAGAGTGTCGGCGATGCATCCAGCAAAGTACATGTCTTTCTCCAACATTGTCTTGTACAGCTTACCATATGGGTCTGTGGCCTGTGCTCGCTCGAGGCCTGTCACGTTACGGGCGGGAAACTCTTCTTCCGGGCAAGTCTTCGTGAAACCGACCAGGTCCTGGAGATTATTCGTGTTCTGTGGGTTAGTCTGTAAGCTCGACAGATATTCATCAATGGTCACCTTCCTGTCAGTGTGCAGTACGATCTGCGTCTGCTCTTGCGTCAGTTGCCCATACTCATGCCAGCCCTCTGTATAGACTTTTATGACAAATCTGGAGCCTTTGATCTCCAAGCGGAACAGCGCTCGGCCAAAAGCCTCAAGTTTGCATGGCGGTGGAGACTCGAGGTCGACCAAATCGCTAGGTATGCCGGTACAAAGGCCCCTCAGATCGAGCTTCTTTGGCCGGATCGCATCCAGAAGACCGTCCATGAATGCGGCTGAGCTAGAGTCCTTCGGCGAATGCCGCAAGGCACCGTCTGCCATCGACTCTCTGAGCGATTGGGTGACGTGCACAGCATCTTCGACAGCTCTCGTCAGTACACCGACCGTATCCAGGTTCTTACTCGCATAGATGATACTCTCGGACGGAATGAGATCTTTGGCCGGTTTATACCCTACAACCCCGCTCTTCTCCGTCGGACTCGTGATCGACCAGCATATCTCAAGTCTATAGCTGCAAAGCACAGGCCTAGGGCTGTTGCGACTACACTGCCAGATGAACTTCCACTGGCCTTCGATCCCCTAACATACGGTGCGTATGTCTGTCCACCACGAGGGGACCATCCAGAGCATCCGCTTGTCTACCGGAAGCCTGCCCATCCTGCCATGTTTTACTTTCCTAGTATGACAGCACCTACGTCGCGTAATGCTGTCATGAGTGCGGCTTCGTGCCGTGGTCTAGCGCCGACAAGTGCAATGGAACCACATGTTGTTTCTCTGTGATCGAGTGTACGAACGTTATCCTTGAGGAGGATGGGAAGGCCGTGGAGACTAGAGCAGATTTGGTCTGCAGCACGTTCGGTATCGCGAGCTTGCGCGTCAGCACAAGCGTCAGGGTTGGTCTCGATGACAGATTGGAACTCGTGATCCACTTCTGCGATGCGCGCACGATATGCACAAACCACTTGGCTGAAAGTCAGTGCGCCAGAGTCGAGGAGGTGTTGAAGTTCCGGCATTGAAATGTCGTTCAGAGAGGGGTTCGACGCGTTGGTACTTTCACTGGTCATGGCGGAAGGTACCTGCCGACTTTGTTCAGTATGCAGTAATTGGCACACGGCGGTGTGGAGTTAACAGTCATTTTCGTTCACACTCGAGTGCTTCATCATCTGCAGTGAAGCCCTTCAATACATTGGCAGTGACTTGTAAACCGTGAGATTCATGTGACAGCTACGTCGTGACTTGCAGAAGTGAAGCTTGTTAATTAGTGAACAATTTCAAATCATGAAGAGCAACATCGTCTCATCCTTCTTCCACAGCGAAGACCGTAGTATCGAGCAGATGCACGCATATTGAGCAGAATGTAAGGAAGCGTGAGGTCAGGGGAAGCCAAGTGAACAAGTGGCTTCAGCAGCGCCCGCGGATGTGCGGCGGCGCCTAATATGAGGCTAGTATACCAGCCTCTACCATCAGCTGCAGTAAGTATTAGGAATGCTGCGGCTAAGGCGCAGATTCGGGGCCAGAGTATGGGGAGGCTGGAGGCGGACAAAGCGGATCAGGCTTTCGGCATCTTTTGAGACTTCGTGAGGTCATCACGCCTCCGTGCGTTACCGTCACCGTGCCGGGGAACCGTGCTTTCCTCGCAGACACCAAACAGTGCCGTGCCTTGGAACGAAGAATCAGGAAGTTTGTGGATGAGTGCGGAATATTATTGTATTATGTATATGCATCCATGAAGATAGGAGAGGACGTAGCCCGGAGGCGAGTGAACGCCATGTTAGAGCTCCAGGAATTATGTAGTATACGGCAGCCTTTCATGCACAGTTATGGTTATTCGTTGCGCCGAGATGGTGTAAATCAAGGTCTATGTGAACGAAATGATGAGCGCCAGTAATGCAGAGTGATGTCGTGTTCGTGGGGGAGTCGTAAGTCGTAATAGTCGTATGTGATACTGAGTGCAGGGCATCTAGAAGCGCTCACGGGAGGGTTCACTTGACTGGAAGCGCTCGATCGAGTCCACTGGCATAGGATCCTTCTCTGCCGCAGCCATTCGTGATGGTCTTGTCTTTCTGCGCAGACTTGCCTGTACCGAGAAAAGGGCGAGGGTGACCAGTGACAATAGAATCAGCGCAACCTGTAGCCATTTGACGGTGACCTGGAACTGGTCAGCAATGGTTTTGGGGAGGAGCGTTGCGAACTTACTGCCTCGGTGCAACCCAGCGCAGCGCTATCTCGGTCGCTCTTCGTGGACAGGTACTTGGGGAGGAAGTTGCAAGCTGCCATCTCCCTTGTGCAGTACTTGTTCGTGTTGAATCTTCCGGACATCTGGAGGGTCTCGGAACTGCAACCGAAAGCATCGTCGCCCTTGTTAGTGTAATGGAGGATGATAGACACCAGCCCCGTGACAGCACCGACAAGGGACGTCACAGATACAGCGAGTACCCAGAAACGACGTTTGTTCTAGCGTCGTTAGCATGCCCGTTCTCTGAGAGTGCATTTTGGCACATACAGTTGCGTCGAAAGCGTCCATGCCTGGCTTTCGTAATTGCGCCCAAGCAATGAGCGCTAAGACAGCGGCAGTCAGACAGAGACATCCAGACACGATAGTCGCATCGGTGTCGTTGTCGGTGAAATAGACAATAGTCTCGTCGATTGTGTATGATTGTGTGCGCTCGTTGAAGGTGCTGGTCTGGACGTTTACACCTCGAGGCGTAATCCAGTCGCCTATGATCCAGTAATGTGTCGTCAAAGCCACCGAAACCAGCGACACTAGGAAGTAGAGTATCGACGGGACGATAGCCAGGGTGAGTAGCTTCCGGAATTCCATGGCGACTTCCAATGCAGTCGCACTGCAGGTGTAGCAGTGATCGAGATAATGCAGAAGGCAGGAAAGGGACAGGGACAAGGGCCTGTGGGTGTTCAAGTACAGATGCGCTCACAAGGGACTTTGCATTTCCCTGTTACCAACCTTCACTGGGCTCGTGGCCACCGAACAGCGAAGCTTGTCATGCCAAGGCGCTGCACTTGCCCATCCGCCTTTTGCGCTTTCCCGTCCGGCGCCATGCTTAAATCGAATAGTGGATTCCGTTTCGGACGATTGGATACGGTGGATGTTCAACGAGGCTTGATCTTGCCTTGATCAGGCGGCGCTGCCTACACGACGGTATCCGTCGGTCTAGCGAGCCCAGCCACGTTTGGCCATCAAGGCTGGTGAATAAGAAGATCAGAGAGGTCCTGCGGATCATTTTTCACCGTAAAAAAGAAGGGGGTTGCATACATTTCATGGACATCACCGCATGCAAGCTTAGAAGAAGCACTAGCTGTGCTGAGAGCGGACGTCATGAAAGGGTCTATTCGGAAAGCGGGGGCCGAGGGATTCAAGTTGCCAAGGATCCACTAATTGCCAGGTCCCGGGGCCATACTCCCTTCTCGTATAACGCACGAGCAGGAGTTACTCAAAATCGGCAGGTGAAGGCCGCGAAGGCCGCAACGGCCGGCTCTGGCCAGCGCGAGGATACGATGCGCTGATGAAAGAGGAGCTACAAACGTATCCCCATACAACTCTACACGAACTCCGGTCCGGCGCTCTCCATCCGCCATGCATGGACCTCGGACGGCGTTCTTCCTTAAGACCATCAATACGCGCCCCAGGGGATGTGCTTCAAGCATGCAATCGTTCCTGCAAACACGGTACCCTGTCAACCTTGGAAGGATTGCAGGTCTTGTAAGGTGCCTTCTCCATCGAACAACTGAGCCTTTCTTAATACAAGGACGTCCTGCCCGAAGTTCCAGCAGTTGTTGCGAATCGAATGTGTCGAGTATCCGGAGCTTTTGGAACGGAGAGTCGGGAATGTGTAATCCCACGACTTCCGGGTCGGGTACCTGCGGATAAAGTGCACCGTCAAGGACTTTTTTTTTGGAACGGCGACCCTGCATCGGAGGTCAACGATGCAACGAATGGCCCTTGATCTCGGTATCAAGCGAAGCCTGTAGATGGGAGTACCTGAACGCATTGTCTCGAGTCCTGACTGCTTCCATGTCCACACAAATCACCGACGGCCGAGCCTCGGCGATAAGGGATCGCGCTCTCACCATCTCCGTAACATTTCTGAAAGTTCGACGATAGCATCATCTTCATCCTGGATGGGCAGCGATGGCGGGATGTTAATGGTGAGTATAATCTCTGACAGTGATAGGTCCGCCAGCATCTTCCTGTCTACCGTCCTCGAAATATGCACAGCTTCAAATCTTGTCGTTTGCGCCGACATGAGCTGTTTCGTTGCAGGGTCATGTTTTGTACGTGGATTGAACAATTCCTGGATCGGCGAAATTGCAAGTTTTCCGTCCTCGGAGGACGCTGCCCTACACTTGGTCTTCTTTGGGACATCGCACGCCCTTACCACTGGTGTCTTCTCGCATGTCACTGGCGCCGGAGCTCTGCGGACATTGCACACTACTGTCATCTTCCAGAGCCTCACAAACAACTTTGCAAGCCTCTGTAGCATGCACGCTCCGACGATTGTTGTGAGTATCGCCAGGAGCAAGATAAACCACTGAGAGGACGTTCTACAAACTTCATTTGAGGTGCGTGCAATCGCTGTGTTCGACGTCCACTAGCATGCGTCAGCTCACACAGGCTCGTATGGGCATATGGCATTATCGTGTAAACGTACTTCAAAGTTTTCAAACCCTTCAGGAGGCATTAAGTTAGCATGAGCACTTGGTACCGGGCCTCTTCGATTAATAACGTTCTCCCAGACCCACGACAGCAGGCTCTTTGTTACGAAGATCTCAGACAGAGTGGGCCAGCGTACTGCGCCCTCATCGTCATCTCGTCTGATTGCGGGCATGGTAATAAAGAAGGAGGTAATAACGGAACCTGGTTACTTCAAGAGTTGCTTTGAGCGAGAAGCTGACAGGCCGATACTCAAGTACTCCTCTGGCATCACACCAACGTTCTGAGCGCCTTTGCGAGCGTTCAGAGATGACCAATGATAAGCTTATCTCTTTGAAGCGCCTTGCGTTTCCAACATTCATGTTCTCGAGTTTCGTGCCTGCACAGTATCAGCAAGGCTGAAGCACGCCACCTGCGAATAGCATCGGTGCTTACGCATGCATCACCGCCATGCAGCAGAATCAGACCGAGCCTCGCATTCCCTCCTAGGAAGAACTACACTGACTCTATGGATTTAGACCGCAATTATGAACGTTTGACAAATATTTGGCAGAGTTGTGCACATCGATCATCGACTACATCGAAGCAGTAACTGGTGACTTGGATCCAGTTGTGGAAGGACAATTATCGCAATTTCACCAACGCTTAATAGGGGAAGCATTGTGGAACTTTCACCGTGAGGCTGACATGTGAGTTCCGTAGTGCACTGCGGACGTAGGTAGGAGCGATCAACAAGGCAGCACGCATCAAGCTCAGACCCGTGCCACACATGTGCATGTCACGCATCGTTCCTGCCTGCGCCACATCGCTACCAATGGCCCTCCTTTATAACCTCAGATATTTCTCAGTTACTCCAAGGACACATTGTATCTTCCGTATTAACACATTGGGCGATGAAGAAGCTGGCAAGAAGCAAATGGAGCACTGCAGAACCCACATCTTCAATACATGTGCATCGGGGACGCTGGCAAATTGCTTGCTTATCCTAATTTCTGAAGCATTCTCAGCTTCCGGCACTCCCGATCTCACGTTTCAAGCCTACAGAACAGGGCTGAAGCGCATGCCTACGACTAGCAGCAGCGCTTAGACATTCTTAGGAACAGGAATGGCGGCTAAAAGATCATGCAGACTTCTCGCAGAGAATGCGACAGCGCTTTAGCAACTAAATTACGGCTCCCGTTCGGTCCATATCACCTTCCGTTCCATTGCTTTCTGGTATTAGCGGCTGCAGTCTCACGCTGCAAGTGGTTCGGGCATGCGCGATTGCAAAAAAATTGAACAGATGGTTCTTAGTGTGTTCAGCGAACATGTATATCAATAAAGGTACCCTGTTGCGGATCCTGATGGCCTGGTTGTTGCAGACCCTAGTCTGTGGTCCGACCCGCGCCGCCCCTATGCATGTCTTGTGTCTCCGTTGGAAGCACACACAGTCTCACAGCCCAGATCGATTACGTTGCCACTGATTGAATGGTTCGATACGCTTAGCTTACATGTTGCAGGCACCTGAATGGATCTGATTGGCCATTTACGCGGTTGGTACCTTCACATTAACCACTGTCAGCCAAAGAGACCCAATTGGCCCTTATACTTTAATCGACTAGGCCATGATACATAATTCAGATTACAAAGCGATTGCGCAGATCAAGATAAACAACACGGCAGTAAGTGCGCCTTGCAGAGCTGCCTTTATGCCACGGGTGGCATCTTCATCTTGGCTACCTCTTTTCGGTATATGTCCAAGCGTTTCCTGTCAAGGTTGAGTCGTTCCACCATTCCATTGACGTCAGCGGAACATAGTACAGCCCCAGCTCTCTCGGCGTCGCTGAGTTCTGCGCGCATCTGTCGTTGCTGCTTGTTCGCAGCGGTGAGCTGAGCTTTCTTCGCATTGTTCTCGCTTTGGAACTTACTCCTCTTAGCTGGACTGTTCTTGGGAACTGAGAGTTTTGAAAGGACCAGAGCTTTGGTAATGTTGAGGTGAATACTGGTCACTCTAGCCATTCTCGCCTGTTACTGGGTGGAAGCAGCCGCGCTTTGTAGTCATTCGGAGATAGTTCTAATAGCTTCGAAATAGAACTAGTTATAAGCTACCATTGCTCCGAATCAGATCAAAAGTTTTTATGATTTTGATGGCTCAGCCTCTCCACCTCTTCCAAGCGCTTATGAACGTATCCGCGCTGCCATATTCGTTGCCTTTATCGGACGCAGAGCCGCGCACCCTGCCCATGTCAACAATTGGAACCATGCTTGGCCTTCCATGCGCACACATGAAGGGAAAGACACAACCAGCTAGCTTGTCCACTAAAGCCTTGCACTCGGTCAGTCTCAACTCATCATTGAACATGATCGCTGAGCGACAGGCACGAGAGTTGATCATGCCGATCAGGCCTGGCGGACAAGTTGCTATCTTTTTCACCCAAGTTGTTGACTGATCATTGAGTGCCATCGGAGGAAGAGGAGGCGACTCGACGTACTTCCACACCGCGGATCGAAGGAAGGCGATTAAGATCTGAGGGTCGGTCTTGCATCGCTCTGAGATAACCGGTGGCAGAGCCATGATTGAGATCTTGCAATCACTCTTATCTGACGAGCCAGGTCTGCTTTTCGAGGCAGTAGCGGTGCTGATATCGTACAGTATGGCCCATGCGGCGAAGTTGGCCGCGAACGTTCTGAAGTGTGTATGCTCGTGTGGTGAGATGGCGAACTGCAAAGGCTTTTCGAGAATGTCAGTCTCAATGGAAGAGCTGAGCCCAAGGTTCGATTTATAGCCCACGTGCATGCTGTTCTGCGATGATCTGCACAAGTCGCTCAGAAGTGCTTCGACCTGAATGCGCTCGTCGGCCGCATGTTGATCAATCAGAACCATGATATCGGCGTCAGATGTCGTCTTGCTGTCTGCCGGTAATCCAGTCAATTTGACCAAGATGAACTTCTTGTCGACTTGAGAGAGTACCTCAGCACTGCGCAGAGCATCTTTCGATAGCCGGGCTGAATCCAAACCTACGTCATTGAATGCTGTGTGCACCTCAAAGGAAGCGCAGTGTGCATGGATGTGGTGCAAATGGTGGTCCCCACCATCTTCCAGATCACCCCGAAGCGATATTTCCTGGATGTCTTGCTCACTCGGCATGAAAACCGGGTTGTCCCAGTTCTGGAGCAGTCTATCTATCCATGGCGTCTTTGCAGGTTCTGTTTTGGCGGATCTCGGGCCCATTCGAAGTAACTGCCTTGTGTTCAAGCGGGTGCTTGCAGATGAAAAACCACAGGAGTCTGTTTGAGGTCTTTGAGGCGGCATGACGCTTCCTGTTCGAGCGTTGATGAGATGCGTTTTCTTTGTTACAGGATCAGTCCACGAGACGGGGTTGTCTTTGCCGTCTGATTCCGAGGAGAGGCTGTTGACAGGGCCCGAGGGTTTCGAAGTCGCAGCCTGGCCCAATGCACCTTTGTCAATAGAAGGTACATCGAACGCCGCGTAGTAATGTCGATTGCCACCGGTCTGCAGCAGGCTATCTGAAAGTTGGGTAGATGCATCGCTGAGGTTTGAATGACTGGACGCTGAAGACTTTTTGACGAATTGTGTTGTTTCGAAGAAGCTTGACTTTCCACTCTTGATGCGAGACCAATCAGCAAAGGCTTGTGGGTGCAGTTTTCCAGGTATATTTTCCGAGTAAACCATGACCGGCCTCTTGTGTTTGGCAGCATCTGTCGCTGCGGATATTGATTTTGGCGCAATTGTTGTAGCTCTTGCTGGGGCACTCAACGAGGTCTGACGCTTTCTCGATGGTGTATGAGTCTGCTCCTCTGGATTGAGAGGAGGGATTGATGTCTTGGGTCGATCTGTCAATCGGGGTAGCTTTCTCGGACGAAAGTGGTGGACAGACAACCATTGTGTAATCATTGCGCTGAGGATACCTACGACTGCCTGTAGGCTGGACTCATTCTCGATGAAGCGTCCTTCTGCCATGTCTGAGGCACGCTCATCCTTTGTTGAAATTCGCAAATGGAACATGGGGTATTTGTCGACGCCTTTCCGAGCCTTGAGTTGGCGGTTGGTGTATCCATTTTTCTTGAAACGCTTATCTGACTGCCGGCGCAGCTGCTCTTGCTCTTCTACATTGGCGTCATCCTCAGCAGTGCCAAAACTAGACAGGGCGAACAGTCGATTCACTTCGTCGTAGAGCTCGTTGCATCCGTTCTCGTTGGAAAGTGGTCGAATACCAAACGATATGAACTGCACTTGCTTTGTTGGTGCTGGTTCCAGTGAAATGGCTCCCTTGATGGACAAAGCGGCGGTCGTAGCAGACGCTGAGACCCACGATGGCCATTCATCGATATTGATGTAATTGGCTTGCGTCATGATGTGCAGTAGCGACGAGAGATGCGCAGAATGCGGCTTATCGACCGCCGCGCCTCGACTGATTCTTGTTACAGCTACATTCGAGGTGTTGAACAATGCAATCGTGTTGTTGTCGCCATCTCGAATCTTGAGTGACACGGGCCCTTGCCAACTGAGGAGTAGACCAGCAACATCTCTCCTAAGAGCGTCACGTATCCGCACTTGCTCCTGCTTGTGATCTGTGACCATTGTACGTTGTTTCACTCGTACTGGCATGTTTCCAAACAAGTTTCGAACGGTGACTCGAGTTCCATGCTTTCCATTGACGTAGTCGTGTGCAGACGTCGGCGTCTGCCTCTCTAACACATGAGAATGGTGAAACGAGATCGAGTTGTGCGAGCGGTGTGCGTGGTGGTGCGAGGTGACAGTCAACAGAGACATTGCCGATAGTGAGGCCAGAAAGGTGCCATGCTGACCCAGATGAGGCTCATCTGATTGGTACTTGGAAGTCCCTAGATTGTCAGTTCATATTGGGCATGAAGCGTGAAGTATACGCACAGTAGAGCTTCCCTAGGCCACCATACTCGCTAAACTCAGCAGGTGATATGCCCAAGCCATCGTCCTCGACCTTGCAGCCACCTCGCGCAAACTCGACCGTAACATTGATTTTGGCCGCTTTGGCGTCTAGAGAGTTCTTCACGAGCTCGAGGACAACCCCAGTAAGCGACACAATGGCCGTTGAGGACTTGATCTGGGCAGCGACCTCATCTGGTAAGGGCCGAATAGACATGGTCTCTTCAACCGCCGCCCTCGTGAACAAATGACGTACTGCAAGCCATCTCAGAGCCTGATATCGTGATACCCCAAACAAAGTGGGGACGGGTGAGGGATGCCAGGACAGCTGCGACCCACCAGCATGTCGATGATGCATCGTCATTGCTTGGCGCAGCGGGCCGCAGCTCCTCAAATGGACCCTGACCGGGGGCGCTGCACGAACAGCCAATTGCTCCTTCCCCCGTGCTGCATCCAGCCAACGGTCCTACGAAACACATTCCTCTGTCTCAGACAGTGTATATCACGGCTCCACCTGCCATCAACCCTACACACATCATCGTTCCGTCACTTTGCTGTGAACGCAGCTAGCCACCGCTTCGCTCGGATTTTGGGCAGTCAGCTGAAGGACCAGCGCATCGCGCCCTTTGGACTGCAAGCATCTCCCTAGTGATTGCCCACTCCACGCTACACCACGTGGAGCATCAGCGGGTATCCAGCAACCAGAATAGGCCACGCGCACCTCCAACCTGCCCGTATAGACGGTGTTCGAGTGTTCATCCCGTCTGCTGTTCCTGGCGCTAGACGAGCATGGCCACAGCCGAAGCCGCGGCGAGACCGCATGGTACGTCTTTGTATGCTGCACAGCCATTATTGCCGCGCCAAACATAGCTCACAATTCCTCTCTTATCTTTCTTGTCTACACCCCTCGACTTGTCTCGCTCCCACACATTCCGAGTCCTGCTAATGCGCGGTTTCACAGACCGGCAGACGACGCGCAAGCGGCCCTTTGCGGGCTGGATGAGGCGGCTTGCGAATCTCAAGCACTCGTCCTCAGACAGCCAGAACGGCGTTGGAAAGAAAAATGGCGCTGGGAAGAAGGCGTCTGCGCAGAACAACCCGTACCCAGAGTCCGGTCGCATCGATCCGGATGCGCCGGGCCACCTCTCCTTTTCGACGCCCGACACGCCGCACTCTCACGAGAGCTTCACATCGGCCGAACAAGCCGCCGCAGCACAACAGCGCCAACATGCCAAGAGCACGAGATCGAATGCGCCAACTGTGGCGACGATACCGGAAACAGTGCACTCGCAACGGTCCAAGGCAGAAACGGGGAACACCAACCAGAACGGCGGCAGCACTTTCTCGTCGCCGAATGGCTCGGAGCACTCTCTCACCACCACCCTGACGACAATACAGTCCACCGCACCCTCACACATATTAGGCGCAGGCCCGACGACGCAGTCCGCAGCGACAACAAATGCCCCGCCTGTGCACTTCTCCCACCAGTTCCCCACCTCTTCTCCACCCCTCGCGATCCCGCCTCATTTGGCCCCGCAGCAGGGTCCCCATTCGTATCATGTCGCGACAGCGAACAATGTGCTTACCGATGATGCATCGATTCTGACCCTTGCATCGTCCTCGAAGCGTCGCCGCCGCAACTCGCTCGACACGAACGCCTCAGTGCGCGCCATGGCCCCCTCCTCGCACTATGGGGGCAGTCGAGAGTCGCTTCCCCTGAGTGTACTATCTGGTAACGTAGACGCCATATACTCGGCCTCGATCAGGCCGGGCAATGTCAACAGCCTTTCGAATGCAAACGCCGAGCGCGCGAGTGTCTACTCTGTGTCTGGTGCCACAGCCCCGGCGCTTACCAGCGAGCGCAACAGCTACTACGCGAACAAACAAGCGGACGGACTCAGTGTACGGAGTGGGTTGCTCGGCCATGGTCGCACAGATAGCATCAGCAGCATCAGGGCCATGCACACCGCCAGCCCCCTGGCAAGCCCTCGCGAGCCACCGCTGGCCACGAAGCTAAGTCGACGGAGCTCCGAATGGATCCCTGATGCTCGAGAGGCGAGTGATGAGGAGGAGGGGATGGAGGAGGAGGAGAGCGCAGCGGCACCCACACTTCAGGACGAAGCAAAGGATAGAGACCCCTCGAAGCCGGCATTGTAAACGATGTTTGACGTTCGATAAGAACGCGCGAGGAGCGTACGTAGGTGCAAGGATCCTTTTGGCACGAAAGAGTAGACCGGGCTGCGGTTGATTAAATTGAATGCAGGGCGCTGGGAGGGCATTCTCGATTATATACCCATGGCTTTCAAGCAGAGCCTACCAATATTACTGAGTTCCACACAGTCGTCTTAGGAGTGCGTGTCGCACGTGAACCGTGGCTGAATGCTTCAAGCTGACAGTAGGAAAGTGCGATGACCCAAAACCAGCAACCGATGACGTACGAAGTACTCACCAACAACAATCTCACGACGATCCGCCGCCGCGCAGAACTGCCACAGTGCTCGTACGGAGCTCCCTAAGGCTATAGTTGGCAGCCTGTTCAGGTCTCTCAGATCCGCCACCTATAGTATACTGTGTACAGACAAGCCCGAATGGGGCTCGTCGGACGATCGAAGGGCGTGTTCTGCTACACCGTGACCCTTGGGTTGCTATTGTCCTTGTCCGCCTGCTCCAAAGCATTGTGGTGCGACCAGTGACATCAGAACGTGCTTGGTACATGCGTCGAACCGATGCCAATCACCGTGGTCCAACTCCCCTGCATGTCAGTGCAAGTAAAGGGCAGACTCGGCTGCCAGAATACAGGTACGATGTGCGCGGCGGCGCGCTCACGATGGCGGTGCTCGGTGCCATTGCAGATACTGGGCGTTGTGTAGAAGTTTGGTAAGGGAGTCAGTTGGCATGTCGGGCAGAAGTTAGATGGGCAAGAGTCAGCGCCGACGTTTGTGCCCCAGGTGAAGTTGGACTAGGTGAAGGTGGCGAAACGAAAACGCGGGCACGACTGTGGTTGCTGCGCGGGTATGTGGACATTGGTATAGTACAGATATGGCACGTCTCCCTACGCGCTCACCTCTTTGCCGAGGCTGCGTTCTGCAACGACGAAATCCTCCTCGGGCTCGACGACCTCCAGCTCCTTCTTGACCGGTCTGGGCGGCAGCGGGTTGGGGAACTTCCAGTTGGGGACCTCTTCGGGGTAGTACATGTCGCGCCTGATGGACTCGTCGGGGTAGACCTTGCGGGGCGCGGCCAGGACGCGGTCGTCGATGCCGTTGTCGTGCTCGATACGCATCGTCTGAACCATGTCCTGCAGCTGGCGCATGCCGTCCTCGCGGAACTGCGTGACTCGCTTCACGTTCTTGGCCGTCATGTCGTTAATCTTCTGGCTGGGCGACAGGCGGGCCAATGTCTTCGCCGTCATGGCGAAGCGCATGTCCTTGGGCCCGTCGACGAGCTCGAGGATGGCCGACTCGGCCTGGTCTTCCTTCATAGGCTCGATGCGCAGGACGCGCGTGTAGCCACCGGGGCGGGCAGCGTAGCGCTCTCGGATGGGGCCGAACAGCTTGGGGACCATGTCATTCGGTTCCTGCGGGCGGTCAGTAGGCCGTCGGCGTCAGGGCGCTGGGTGCTGGGTGCTGGGGGCTGGGGGCGCGTACGTAGAAGATCTGCTGCGCTCGCCGCCGCGACGCATCTGTGTTCTTCTTGCCCAGGGTGACCAGCTTCTCGGCCAGCCGCTGCGCCTCCTTCGCCTTGTGCCATGTGGTCGCGATCGACTCGTGCTTGAACAGCGATGTGACGAGGTTGCGGAGGAGCGCCTGCCGGTGCGACGACGACCGGCTGAGCGCGCGGTACTTCATATGTCCGCCCGCCATCTTGGGGGGTAATTGGTACTGTGAAGGGAGCGGGGAGAAGAGAAGGGCGTCTGGTACGGCTCGCGATGCCCTCCCGCGCGATGCTGGGCCCAAAAGTTCTTCGGAGATTCGGCCAACTTCCGCCGCCCTAATCTTATCTTATCAATCTAATCTAATCAGTCACATGACCGAGTCACGTTAGTGCCAAGCACTCATGACCTGACTCGGTGCAACGCGCTAGCACCCGCGCCGGCCACAAATCTGCAGGCGCGACGCGTGAGTGAACGTGCTCAGACGCGTTGTCATGCCAAACACTTAAAACCTCCTCCAGCCCCACCCTCTGTTCTCTCCTCACACCACTCCTCCCCCTCCATCCCCTCCCTCCCCATAATTTCCATAATCCTTTCGCGTCTTCACCATGTTTGTCTTCAAGCGAGGTACGTTGGACCCAGTGCAAACGCGTAGAGTAGCCGCGTAAAGTGGTTTCTGCCTGTCGTGACGGATGCTGACGTAGTGGCCAGATGGACGCAAAGAACGCGTGCAGTTCGACAAGATCACAGCCCGCGTATCGAGGTTGTGTTACGGGCTCGATCCGGATCATGTTGACCCGGCCGCCATCACAATGAAGGTCATCTCGGGCGTGTACCAGGGCGTCACCACAATCCAGCTCGACGACTTGGTACGTCGCTGTGAATGCGTCCCAACCCGCTCGCTACTAACACACACAGGCCGCCGAGACAGCAGCCTACATGACCACAACACATCCGGACTATGCCATCCTCGCCGCGCGCATCGCCGTCTCCAACCTCCACAAGCAGACCAAGAAGCAGTTCTCGGCCGTCGTCCACGATCTCTACGAATATGAGAACCCCAAGAACGGCAAAAAACAGCCCATGATCTCGGATCGCGTCTACAAGATCATCCAGGACCACGCCGATGAGCTCAATAGTGCCATCGTCTACGACCGCGACTTCAACTACCAGTTCTTCGGCTTCAAGACACTCGAGCGCTCATACCTGCTTCGCATCAACGGCAAGGTTGCCGAGCGCCCCCAGCACATGCTCATGCGTGTCGCTGTTGGCATCCACATGGAGAATATCGAAAAGGCCATTGAGACATACGAGTACATGTCGCAGAAGTATTTCACACACGCCTCGCCCACGCTCTTCAACGCCGGCACACCCTCGCCGCAGATGTCGTCCTGCTTCCTCATCGACATGAAGGAGGACAGCATTGATGGCATCTATGATACACTCAAGACGTGCGCGTTGATCTCCAAGACTGCTGGCGGGATTGGCCTCAACGTCCACCGCATTCGTGCCACTGGCTCCTATATCGGAGGGACCAACGGAACATCGAACGGTCTCATCCCCATGCTCCGTGTCTACAACAACACTGCTCGCTACGTCGACCAGGGTGGCAACAAGCGCCCCGGTGCTTTCGCCATCTACCTCGAGCCGTGGCACGCCGACGTCTTCGGCTTCCTCGACCTGAGGAAGAACCACGGCAAGGAGGAGGTTCGCGCCCGTGATCTCTTCTACGCTCTCTGGATTCCCGATCTCTTCATGCAGCGTGTCCAGGAGAACGGCGAGTGGACACTGATGTGCCCCAACGAGTGCCCCGGTCTTGCTGACGTCTACGGCGACGAGTTCGTCGCCTTGTACGAGAAGTATGAAAAGGCAGGCAAGGGTCGTGAGACTGTTCGCGCCCAGAAGCTCTGGTATGCCATCCTCGAGGCCCAGACCGAGACTGGTAACCCCTTCATGCTCTACAAGGATGCTGCCAACAGGAAGAGCAACCAGAAGAACCTCGGTACTATCCGCAGCTCCAACCTGTGCACTGAGATCATCGAGTACACTGCTCCTGACGAGGTTGCTGTCTGCAACTTGGCTTCTGTTGCTCTCCCCTCTTTCGTCGACTACAAGCGCGGCGAGTTCGACTTCCAGAAGCTTCACGACGTCGTCCAGGTCTGCACTCGCAACCTCAACAAGATCATCGAGGTCAACCACTACCCCGTCGAGGAGGCACGCCGCAGCAACTTCCGTCACAGGCCCATTGGCCTTGGTGTCCAGGGTCTTGCTGATACCTTCCTCGCTCTTCGCCTGCCTTTTGAGTCTCCTGAAGCCAAGAAACTCAACATTCAGATCTTCGAGACCATCTACCACGGCGCTCTGACCTCCTCTTGCGACATCGCGAAGGAGCTCGGCCCATACGCTACATATGAAGGCTCGCCTGTCTCACAAGGTCAGCTTCAGTACGATATGTGGGATGTCACTCCCACCGATCTCTGGGACTGGGCTGCGCTCAAGGAGAAGATCGCACAGCACGGCGTCCGCAACTCACTGCTCGTCGCACCCATGCCTACTGCCTCCACCTCCCAGATTCTCGGCAATAACGAGTGCTTCGAACCCTACACATCGAACATCTACTCTCGCCGCGTGCTTGCCGGTGAGTTCCAAGTTGTCAACCCCTGGTTGCTCAAGGACCTCGTCGACATGGGTCTCTGGACCGAGAACATGAAGAACCGCATCATCGCCGACGGTGGTTCCATCCAGCGCATCCCCAACATACCTGACGAGATCAAGACCCTGTACAAGACAGTCTGGGAGATCTCGCAGCGTACCATCATCCAGATGGCCGCTGACCGTGGTGCCTTCATCGACCAGTCTCAGTCCCTGAATATTCACATGAAGGAGCCTACCATGGGCAAGATTACATCCATGCACTTCGCTGGCTGGAAGCTTGGTCTCAAGACTGGCATGTACTACCTCCGAACCATGGCTGCTTCTGCGCCCATTCAGTTCACCGTCGATCAGGAGGCTCTTAAGGTCGCCGACACCAACATTGCTCGCGCCCTTCCCTCCAAGAGGCGTCAGCCCGGCTTTCAGCAGGCTGGTGTTGGTTCACCCTCCCCCGCCGCTGCTCCCATGCCCATGTACGCCACCAAGACACCCAACGGTATTTCGGAAGCACTGAACGGTGTGCCCACACCATCGGCCACGCCGCCACCTGCTGCTGAGAACAAGCTCCCTCCTGCATCGAACGTCCTCGCCAGCAAGCCCTTCAAGGCAGATGTCGAGGAGGGCGACAGCCCCAAGCTCGTCGCTGCCGACGCTATCAGCAAGCCTATCGAAGAAGACGCCACAACTAAGGATAAACAGTCTGAGGATGCGGACGACGACTCCAAGGAGCGCGACGGCGACATCTACGCCGAAGCTGCTCTCGCATGCTCGATAGAGAACCCCGAGTCCTGCCTCATGTGCTCTGGTTAAATGGATGTTTGCTTCAAGGGTTGTATATGATGTTAGACGTGGATGCGGGCGACTGCCCTTGGTTCTCGGCGTTTGAGGTCCGGTTGGGTAACGCGTAACGCGCGAGGAGGCATGATTTCATGATTGGATAGCGATTTGTTGTTTGTTTCTGTAGTCTTAATCCGTGTACACCACGTTTGTTCAACCTTGCGTCTGATTGCGACCGTGGTGAACATGGCGTTGGCAGTTCCTGGACTTGCCGATTCCCTGCGGTTGCCGTGCCTACCCATACATCCTCCTCCCCCTCCGATTCGTGCACGCAGATCCGCCGAATACCCCCGCCCGCATCCTTGATGCCGAAACAGCCCCGCGACCTACAGCTGTACATCTCACGCCCTTCCCGTGTACAAGTACCCGCTCCCGACCCCTGAGCTCTACCTTCCATTGAACCGCGTAACTGAGTAAGTACACAAACACCCTCGTCCGCAATTCTACACAACGACCCCGGCACAGCGCAACTTGTAGCTGACGAGGCGCGATATAGATAAATAGCTATATGCTCGCGACTCTGCGTCCGCTTCTCCGCTCCGCCGCATCGAAACACCCCGTCGCGCACGTCGTACCCAGACAGCATTTCATAGCAAGAGCAACAGCAAGAGCAACAGCGAGAGCTATGGTGTCTACCGCAACGGAGCCGTCTGCTCCAGCATCTTCGTCGCCGCTGCAGGAGTGGCTCGTCATCGTGCCCGACCACCCGGGCGCGCTGCAGAAGCGCATTGCGGTGCGTCAGGATCATCTTGGAGGGCTGAAGAAGGACGATGAGAGTTTTTGGCTGTGGGGTGGTAGGTCTACTTCTTTCTTTGACGGACGCTCCTGTGCTCCACTGACACTCTGCAGGCGCCATGCTCGAGGAGCCCATCGCCGAGGGCGCCACGGGGCCGCCCAAGATGAAGGGCAGCGCCATGCTGATCGGCGCCAAGACGAGAGAGGAGGTCGAGCAGAGACTGAAGAAAGACGTTTATGTTGAGGGCGGCGTGTGGGATCTGAGTCAGGTCCAGATCATCCCGTTTAAGAGCGCGCTGAGGAAGGCGCTTTAGAGATGATCGAGGATCAAAGCTGGGTAGATGAATGACTTCACGATATCAGCTCGACTTTGTGAGACTTGCAGTTGCTGGCGTGATGCGTGTCTGGGTAGAGCAGTCTGACAGCCACTTCTAATCGCGTAGGAGAGCTGGCAATGCATGTTCTGTTGCTGACGGATTTGTACACAGAGCCGAGCACCAGGCTGAGCTTCATCTATTCTTAATCGCAGGCTCGGGATATATACCTCATGCGCTGGTAAATACACCCTCCTGGAAATCAACGACAACCGTCTTCTCCACAACCGCAGCAGCGGCCTCTTTGAACGCTTTGTGCGCAGGGTCGTCCTTCACGTAATAATCTCGGTCGTCTTTCGACGTGAATCTGAGAATGAAGGCGTGGCTGAGGCCGTCCTGGGCATGTCAGCAGGGTTTGGAATGTTTGCGCGACGCGGGGCGGGTACCTGCAGGCCCTCACTGGACGTATCTTTTCCACCAGTGATCGACAAGACATACGGGCGTCGAGTATCGGGGTGGACACAGGATTTTTTCAGACCGAAAAATCTAGACGTGATCTACGTGATGTGATGCTCAGTTTCGATAGCAGGCCGTGCGTGTTCTGGAGCGTCGTACCTCCTTGACTGCAAAGCTAGTGGCCGTCTCCTTGAATTGCAACAGCACAATGTGCGTGGTATACGGTACCAGTGGAGCGTGGCTGCCGAAGACATACACGGACCACTGCAAGATTGAATTGGAGAAGAGGAACAGCCCCGCGACGCAGAGCGCGAGCGTCAGGGCCCCGAACGCTTTCCTCGGGATAAGCATCTTGGTGGATAGGGGGTTCCCTCTTCTTGCGCAATAACAGGTGGGTAGCGCGCGTTCTTCGCGGGGAGAGCGCCAGGAGCTGGAGTCGTGCGCTTTGCGTCTACAGTTGACGATTGACGCGCACACGACGGTAACAAAGACAGCGTCGACATTTTCCCGCTCCTTCGTAAATACCTCCCAGCCGTACTCCAGGCGTTCACGTGAGGGGTGAGCGCTAACCTCAAGAGCTCCAGAAGCGGCGAGCGGCCATAGCTCCCTCGCTCCTTCCTCATCGGTGACGTACCTGAACGTCGAACATGCTCTTCGCGAGTCGCGCGACGGCAGAACGCGCTCCAAGGCCATGCAATTTCATCATGCAAACCGATGGCGAGTGCACAGTCCAGATCGCCCCAAGGCAGTGGGGCGTCTTGCCTCATGGAGACGGCTGAAGCTGGATTTTGTGACCCATCGAGCCAGCCTTGGCGTGACGTCACATTGTGTCACGGGCTGCCAGTGCAAGCCTTCGTTGCATGCCGCAAGTACAAAAGCATCCTGGGCCGCTTGTTACTTCGCCATCACCACCACTCAGATACCCCATCACACTACTTTCTCCAACCTTCCATCTCCAATACCATCACGTCCTTCACAATGGCCACCCTCAGCTGTAAGTCGCCATGTTAACGGTGCTGCATTGGTGTTGTGGGCTTGATATGCAGTCTCTGCGTGCTTGGATCACAACACCACACTTCAATCACTGCCCTTGTCATTCAGGACCGTCCAACTAATATCTCCATCAGACCTCCCTCCCGTCAAGCCCTCTGCCATCGCCCTCGGCACAGCCTTCAACCACGCCATTTCCCTTGCCGTCCTCGGCCCCGTCTTCGGTGATGCCTACCGCCGCGCACAGCAGGCGAACTCCAAGGAGGAGTACTTCCACTCCAAGGAGGCTGCCACCGCCGCCGCCACGTGGGGTAGCTCCATCGTCGGCTCTGCCGTTCAGTCGTACGGTGTTGGTGCTCTCATCAACGCTACCGGCACCCTCACTTACAAGGGCGCTGCTTACCTCGGCTCCTTGATCTTCTTCGCTTCTGCTGCTCCTTCCGTACGTCATTCCTTAAACATCGACTATCTTAATACTGTATACTAACATCTTTCATAGATCGTCTCCCAGGTCCTCACCGAGAAGCGTCCCCTTGACACCATCGCCGTTGGCGCTGTCGCCCGCGTCCTCGAGACTGTTGGTCTCTCCCTGTTCCTCACCTACTGGGGTACCCGCACCAACCCCTTCGAGTAAAGTACTCGCTGGCGTTGAGTAAAGTTGTGGCGGCTTAGATTGTCCGTCAATTTCTGGCATGGAGACTGAAGCGATATAACGAGCCTACAAATGGCCCGCTTCGATTATGATATGTAACATTACCCAATGAATTGGTTTAATTCTCCAACACACCGTCCATCGGCCATGCTGTGATGCTTCCCGTATGCGGTCTTCAATAATCATTGATGCAATCTCTTTGCTCGTTTGCCCAGCATTCCATGGCGCACTCCGGAATATCAACTTCTGCGTGTGGGTGTGCAGCACTGCCTATACCGCTATGGTTCCCTTCCTTTCCGCGCTCATGAGATTAGTGGCTTAACACGTCATGCATGTGACCCGCACGGAAAGTCTGGTTCAGCCCATACACCAAGCACGTCAGAACACGATCGGCGCTAGCGGCGATCATCATCGGCTACATACTAGGCTAGGCCTCGGCTCGGCCTCATTTGCTCGAGTGCTGCCGCGATTTTGACATCGCGGTACGATTGTTTTCCTGTTGCTGGGGATATGGAGATATAGGGCAGCGGTTGTAGGAGGGGTGTGGGTGCTTGGAGATGGGCGGGTGGAGGACGTGTTCGAGCTTGTCGAGGTCAAAACGATCACTCGACGACTCAATTGAATCTTCCTATGCTTTCTCTTGGGCACGTTTCGATTCAAGAGCCTTTTGCTGGGGCGTCTTAGTCCTGCGCATCAAGTGTCGTGGAATGAAAATTCATCCACTATCACCAAACAGCTGCTGAACTCGGTGGACTCGCTCAACTCCCCTTTCCCCCCTTCGGCCCTCGCCCAGCAGCATCCAACAACCCTGTCACTGTCGTAATTCGATACCCCCTCCTCCTCAGCTCCGGCAACACCTTCCTCAACATCGGCACCGTCCAGCCCCTCCTATCATGACATATAATGATCCCTCCCGGTCTTGCCATACTCAGGACATGCTTCGCGTTCACCCCCGGATACGGAATCTGCGGATCGTGCGGATAGATGCTGCCCAGAACCATCTGATACCCCAGTCCTCTGACCTGCGAGCGCATACCGCTGCTGAAGAGGCCGCTGCCGGGGCGGAAATACTTCGGTGGCCGTGGGACGTCGACGGACGCATATGTAGCATTGATGGTTGCCTCGACTAACCCGATCTCTTCCTCGAGCTGTACAGGTGCCAAAGAACGGCTCGGCTCGTCGTGCATGGCGTGGTTCCCGAGTTCCATGCCCGTGGACACCATGGCTTTGAGCACTTCTTCGCGCCCGCTGGCTTGCGCCCCGATGACGAAGAACGTCGCCCGCGCTGAGTTGTCTTTCAGAACCTCCAGAATCTCACGCGTGAACTCGGACGGCGCGTCGTCAATTGTGAGCGCTATTACTTTCTCTTGAGAACCGGACGGTAGCGGCACGTGCCATAGCACATCTGGCCAGCGGCGCTGGAAATACTGGATCAGAGTGTGTGGCGGCTTGTAGATGCAGTAAAATGGGAATACAAAGGTTAAGACTGTGCTGAAGAGGAGAAACATGGCGAAGATGCGGGAGCGGCGGGCGCGCCGCTGGAGACGGGAGGGCAGGCGGAAGAGCCGGCACGAGGGGCGGTACATTTGTGTCGAAGAAGATGCCGGAGGGTCATGTCGGTACACAGTTTGAATGTGACATTGGTATTTTGTACGTTGATGTTGAAGTTCGTGGTGATTGTTGTCTTGCTTGTTGCGGTGTGGTCGAAAGGGGTTAGGGGAGCAGGGATCGTGCTAGCGCGGTCGAGGCTCGCCAAATATTTTTGCAGCCCGACTTCATCACTTCGACACTCATCTTTGCGGTTGCAACAGCGGGCCCAGGAAACGCACGCGACGTCTATAATGATCTGGGCGTCGTGTTTGGTTCTCCCGCACGGGACGCAACCGCGAGATGGACGTAAAATCGCGGAACGAATTTGTCACGCTTGTTTGAAGCAATCCCCTTCTCTACAAGCCCTCTATGTATATTCCAAGATCGACACCGTGAGCGTTTAATTGACCTGCCTGCCGATAATTGGCTACTCGGGTCTCATGGCGCTCATACATCCTGCCCTTACCCGTCTCGACTCTGTGATATCACAGCTGCCTTGAGGCGCGTCAGCAACCTAGCCCAGCTGCAGTCTTCCACGTCGGTCGCTTCTTTCAGTCCAATCCCCGTCCATGCCATCTTCATGAATCGAACCGTGTCCCAACAACCGAGTGGTGAGGATTCGCCAGCGATTGATTACGCTCAGCCTCAGCACGTCGAGTAGCGTGATCATCCCGACCACAACGATGCTGCATCCCGTGATCAATCAATGTAGCAATCTGAGCACTAGCTGTGTGCACTGAAACGTCCACATCTCCCCCTGTTCACTCGCACTCTGTCAATGATGTACCAGACCCTCTCGTCGATCCTAGTAGTCGTCTTCACTATCGCCGTCGTCGTCCTTCACATCTTCCGTGGATGCCTTCATGAGTCCAGAAGCCTTCTCCTGCTTTTGAAGCTCTTCCCTAAACACGTCGCGTGCTTCTTGCTTGCCTTGCTCCAGCTTACTGCGAATGTAAACCTCGCTGAGGAGCTCGATGTTGGAAGCTTGGGGATCTTCATCGTTGTCAACCGCCTCGTTTACGATCTGCTTCTCGATCTCTTTGAATCTTTTCGGGGAGTCCTTTTGGGGCGCTTTCAATTTCTTGATCACTGCCGGGACTGGGTTTGGACCAATGAGAACCCAAAGGCCAGATCAATTGAACATCTCAAAAACTTCAAGACGTGTTTCATCAAAGCTTCGCTGTGCCTGCGCACTCCCGGCGACAGGTAGCTGACAGCTTGAGCAGCAAACGCGAAGAACTGCGAATCGAGTTTCCGGACTCCACGCAGCGATCAGAATGTCGATTACGTCCTTCACATGCATCGATCCTTCCAACTTCCAGCTTCCGAGATGATTGAAATTTCGAAGGCTTTCTAAGGGATCCAGAGACACAGACAGATATACTCTAGCACCTAGCACTCCACACGGGGTATAAGCAACATTTTCATCTTCCATCACCATCTCTTCCGATGCTTTACCCTTCTTAGAGCATGGCTTGAGTGATATCTGCTCCCCTCCTCTCCCACACCCCATCGATTCCCATGTCAAACTGGCCATCGTCCTTGTGGATGATGACCGGCTCTTCACTCCCCTCGCTGCCATCTCTTCTCGGATTGCGGAAAATAACACTCTTCTCGATACCCAGGGTCAGATGGATCGCCGCCGGGTCCGTAACCTCATAGCTTTCCAAGCCCCCCTCGCCACTCAACAACTTCTGGATATTACTCGTCACAATCTCGGCCTGCTTTGACGCCGGCCTGGCCGCCTTGTGCGCCTTGGTATCGGCAATATCGCCCAGAGCAAAGATATTCGGGAATTTCGCATCCGCAATCTGCAGCGTGTCCCTGACCTTGATAAATCCACTCGCATCCACACAGCCCTCTACCAGCGTCCTCAGGACATCAGACTGCGGCGTCTGGCCGGTGGATACAATCGCAAAGTCGGCGGGGATCTTGGTTCCGTCCTGCAGCTCAACGCTGAAGTGCGATCCGTCGGTTGGATAACCCTTCTCTGGCACTTGCACCCTGCCACGGCCCAGTACGGTCTTGACGCCAAGCTCCTCGAATCTTTGCGACACGATCGAGTGCAGACCAGGGTGGAATTTGCTCATCACCGTGTCCCTGGAATGCACGAGGGTTACGCTCTTCGAGGGGAAGATCTGAGCGATGTCAGTCGCCATCTGCACGCCCACAGCGCCGCCGCCGATGATGACGATTCTCTCGCTGGCTTCGACCTGAGCTGCGTGTTTACGCAGATACTGCGTGCCGTCGAGCTTTTCGCTCCCAGGCAGCGTGCTGGGCGGGGAGAGCTTGGTGCCAGTCGTTATGGCGAGGGCAGCGAAGGGAACTTGCTTGGTCCTGACGCCATCGAGTTCAATTTCGCGGTCCAGTGTGATGGACTCCTTGGAGAGAGAGACGGCTTTAGCCTGGATGATAGCGCCCTCGAGGCCGAGTCTACTCTTCTGGTAGGGAATGAAAGCCTTGTGCGTGTCGACCTTGGTCGTGAGCGCGTAGCGCGGGAACGCGAATAAGTGCTGGAAATGGCTGTTTTTCTCAATGAGAAGGACGCGGAAACGGTCTCCTGACTGCTTTGCAAGTGATTCGGCGAGATTGAGGCCAACGTATGAACCGCCTACTACAACAACGTTCCTGGGTGTGGATTTCGTCATAACGCTACCTGCGGTTCTGAGCATTGAGAGATCTGTAAATTGAAGAAGAATAGAAAGAGAGGCGATTATGAGGGCAAGGCCGACTTTTTTATACATGGACAAGAGGCATGCATTTGCCGGGCATAACGCCTCTTATCTGATCGGGCGCTTGCGTCGGAAAAGCATTTAGCAGAATTATCAGAATTATCAGATCCTCAAAGGAATTGCTATTGGTCGGTCTTGCGGCTTCGGTGCTCTGAATGGCCGAAATTAACGTCCGGTTCGTATGTCCGGCAGGTTGGTCGGAGCTCCGCGACAATGCATTACCCACTTTCCGATGTTATTCCGCGCATACAATAGACGCGCGGAGGAACGTGACTGAATGGCTCTGGTGAAGTTTGAGTTATTGCGCAGGCCCGGACCCGGGTGACTAGGCCTGAATCAGTTTTTCCCAGTTGTTTGGTTTTGTTTCTGACTCTTTGACGTCAACGGAAGGCGCGTTTGGCTACAATACGTATTTGTTCACCAAATCTGTCTGATCCAAAAAGTCGTGGTTCTCCTTCGCCCATCTTCTCTTTCTCCGTCTGCCTTTTTCTCCTCACAAACAGGCAGCGTATAAGAAACAAATCAACAGTAATCGAAACATACAAGATCACAATACTATCTTTACAGGCAGGTACCCCGGCGCAAGCTTGGTTTGGAACGTGTAAAGGGATATGACGTTGCCAACAGTGAACGCAATTGTGCGAACGATGCTGACGGTGACCTTCTTCGTACTGCCTGCGACATTTGAAGCCTGCAGACGGAGGATAGCCGTTTATCCGATCGGAAAACCACCAGAGACGTAGTAGGTACCCTCGCCTCGGACGAGGCTGTCGCGTTGGACACTGCAACAAAACTAGAAACACCAGCAGCGAAGACCAAAAACGCGTACACCCAGGCCACGGGGTCTCTGAAGCCAGCATCTCAGAGGACGCCAATACCAACCCTACGGCCGTCCCATCGATGTACCGCAAGAAGTAAACACACAAATTAGCGGCGCTATGCAAGTCAAATTCGCAGGAGCTGTTTGCTTGCCTCAGACCCAACAGGCCGGCCTGTCTCCTTGAGTAGATGCAGAGCTGTATCGGCACATGAGCTGCGTCTAGTGGTCTGTCTTTCTGTATTGTTGTGGCTTGCACTTGCCCCTGCTTCTCCAAGACAATATCACCGCACCGGTAAGAGACGGTGAAGGGCCAGCCATACATACCGCCGACTGAAGTCGCAATCCCGTGAAGCTCAATCAACCCACCATAAAGACCACAGAAGTGCAGACCCTCCAAGTATCCATTGCTGCTTTAGAACGTGCATACCTTCTCATCGACGATGTCAGTGACCACACCCGCTTAGTAGTGATGGCTCCAGATTGATCTGGACGTATTGTTGGTGATTGGCGTGAAATATTACCTCTGTTGACAATCCCCCAGTGTGGAATTACGACTCGCTCAGCGAGAGCGGGCAGATATCAAGTGTCTCATGATATCTATCTCCGCCGCATTTGTCGCTGTCATCGTTCATCCCTGAGCCGCCGCGAGCGGGGGCCAGGGCTGGCAGCGCTCTTGCGCACGCTTCGCAGCTCACGGGTTCTCATTGATCTCTCGAGCTGTCAGCGTACAAGCAGTAAATCGCGCGCTTTCGACAGAGTTGCGAGATGTTTCATGTGGAGTGGGTGGAGTGGTGGGTCGCCGTTGTACAGATGGTGGTGGTGGTGTGACGCGAGTCGGAAACAGCCACCGGCTGCAGAGCCGAGGCCGAACCGCCAGTCTTTTGTGGCTTCTGTTCTCGTTTGCACCGTCGCTGCACCACTACACCCCGCGTTCACGACTGCGCAGTATGGCGGGAATATCGATCTTCACGTCAACGTATCACTAGGCACGACTCGTTCTAGCCGATGCCTCTGCCGAAGTCCCTTCGTCGTCCTGTACGTCGCACGTCATCGTCATCTGCAGGAACACAGCGAAGGAAATGTCCCACGTGCAACAACCTCGACCCAAGAGGCCATGCAAGCTCCGTACAAGATGCCGAAGCCCTCAAGGAAGCTCAAGCGACATTGGACTTGGTGATTGATGCGCTAGCCCTGTCCAGAACAACTGGTGGATGCCGGTTCTGCACCGTGCTCCTTCAAGCGCTTGACGCGTTCTTTACTGAATGGCGAGGGGCTCGACGTAGAGTCAACGTGAATATCAAGGAGAAGGGTACCATCAAAGTAAGCCTTGATGGCGCGCAATGGTCAAGCCAAATGATTGAGATATACGCCGGATCAGGTAGGCGTTGCGTACCCATCATCTCTATTCCTTAGTCCGCCAGATCATCGCCCTTGTCATCATTACGCTTCTTAGTCGTCGATATCATTGTTGTATACACAGTAATATCCGCTAGAGCAAGACATCTAACAGTCATATAGCTTCGCGTGCACCGTGGCCTACACTCGGAGCGGCACATCATATTCCAGTGAGTGCCGGTTCTGATGAGTCTTTCAACTTCATCCGTCGTTGCATACAAGGCTGTCTTGCAAATCCGAAGCACACAGCTTGCAGGGTCACTTGCGAACCATCCGTATCGGCTCCGAAACGTCTTATAGACGTTGGCAGGTCAACAAAGCCAATTCGCCTTGTAGAGACGCAAGGAAGAGCTTTCCAATACATTGCTCTCTCGCATTGCTGGGGCTCGGCAACACCCCTGATGGCTACAAAGGCCTCTTGGGCCAAGCTGGCTGTCAACATCTCATTGGGTGACCTCCCGCCTTTGTTTCAGGATGCAATCATCATCACACGCCAACTCGGCTTACGATATTTGTGGATCGACTCATTATGCATTATACAGGACTCTCTGCGAGATTGGGAAACAGAGGCTGCTAAGATGGCCAGTATCTACCAGAATAGTTACGTCACGATATCGGCCACGGATGCAAGCACTGGCAGCGCGAGTTGCCTTGCAGACCGACGAAAAGCAGTCAAGATTCCGTACGAGAACACGACGAAGAAGGAATTTGCACTGCGGGCAAGAATGTACTCAGATCATCATCCAGACGCCAACGGCAATCCGGGAAGGCTTGCAGGTCCACTGACATTACGTGCCTGGGCCCTACAGGAACATGTCCTGAGTACCAGGGTACTGCATTTTACAGTCACAGAGCTTGTGTTTGAGTGCAGGAGCTCCTACCGCTGCGAGTGTATGCCAGAACGCAAGACACGCGCAACAACTCCAGCTCTCATCCCTAGAGCTGTTGCGAGTCGAAAGGCAGATACCATCTGGGCTGCGTGGCATCGCATAGTGGAGCAATACTCGACACGAGAACTGACCATGCCAGCGGATAAGCTACCAGCTATTTCCGGAATTGCAAGCAAGATCAGAAAAGCCACCCATTCGGAGTACATTGCTGGGCTTTGGAAGAGCAACCTTGCCTTCGATCTGCTGTGGCAAAGGACGGTGCCAACACCGACAGATGGAGACTCCCATGCCCTTGAAACATGGCGTGCGCCCTCTTTCTCATGGAGTTCGCTGAACGCGCCCGTCACTTATTACACACCAGACGATGATGAACGGGCAACATCCCGCTCGAGCATAACCCTTGTCTCATCCACCGTAATTCCCACTGGTCTCAATCCCTTGGGTGCGGTATCTGGCGCCTCTCTGACCCTTCGTGGACCCGCTGCAACGGCAAACCTCTCGGGCAGGTATACCGGTAGCAGCTGGAAATATGTGCTCATCATGCGAGGCACCAGTGCGATACAGATCGCGCAAGATTGTTGTCTCGTCAAGTCCCGGTGGGATTCACCCGATGCTGATGAAGAGCAGTGGACTGTTCGACGCGCACTGCCTAAAGAATCTCTAGCTGAGTTCGAAGCACCTGTTCTCTGCTTGGGCGTGGTGCGCTATGGTGATTCCATCTCAGGTATTGTGTTGGGGCGGTCGGATCAAAAACCTGGGGCCTGGCAACGGCTTGGCGCATTCGCAGCAGGTGCAGCGAATTTGCGGCACGCGAAGGAGGAAGATTTGGTTCTCGTATAAACATAACTTGCATATCATCAGGATGCACTGTCAATTGGGTCTGGAAGCGCCCGTGCCCGAGTTGATACCCCACTAGCGACGTTTGTTCGAAACAAACCAGGGGGTATATGAGCATCCCTAATTTTCGCTTGATTGCCCCAGGCCAACTTTCCGCCCCTTGCACCACTCAGCTTCGTTGTTTTAGATCGTATTGTGGACCAGAAATTCCCCGCAGCTAAAAACGTCAGCCTGTTCCCGAATAGGCAGCCGTCACACCCGCTCGCCAGTCATGGGCGTCGGTCCTGGTGTAAATAGGATGTTTCATGGGCCGCAGATGTATATACCTGAGCAACTTCACGCTCGATTTGATCTTCACCGCTTCACGATCTTTGGAAGATTCGTTCTTGTCACTCTTTTCCTGACGTTTGATCGCTGGTCGTTCGTTACTGTCATTCTTTTGTCGTTGCAATCATGCACTCCACACTCGTTCTTTCGCTCCTCGCGACTGCCGTCTCGGCTCAACTTTCCACAATCGAGAAGCACGTCGGCAGTCTTGCGCTCTCCTCTTCGTTCGGACCCGTCAAGGAGTCTTACTGGACTGGATACCCTCACCATCGCCGCACACCTTTCGCCGTGTCCCCTGACGGCAAGTCAGCTTATCTAGCCTACCTCGACGCTACCGAAACTGGCGTCCACGTCCAGCAGGTCGACCCTTCGACTTTCGCCGCCGTTGGTGATGCTGTCACTGTCACTGGTGGTAAGGAGGCTGGTGGTCTCGTTGCCCACAACGATGGATTTGCTCTCCTGACCAACGAGGCCATGCCATCTGGTACTTCCAACGCGCCCCCTGAGAGCACCCCCGTTGCTGTTCTGTACCGCTACACCTCCGGCAAGGAGACATTCAAGACATGGCTTGGTGGCCCAAGCAACCCCGGTGGCATGGGTATGCTCGCCTCTCCTGATATGAACGGTGACCTTGCCTACTCTGAGACCAGCGGCATGTACGGTGCCTACTTCGTCGTGACTGCCTACTCTGGCGACGCCCAGGGCCACTTTGGTGATGCCATCCAGTACGTTAACGACAAAGGAACACTCGAGCAGATTGATGGTGCCAGCTCCAGCTGGGGCTGCTCCCACAACACTGGTATTGCTTTTGAGGCTGCTGACTCCGCACCTTTCCCGTCCATTTGCTCCGAGGATCAGGGTGCTATCTGGCTTAACACTGGTGCTACTGGCATGGACAAGAGCGGTGTCAAGATCTCAAACGAGAACGTCACCAACGGTGCCGGCAACGAGGCTATGGGTGGTATGTCTGGCTCTTACAGCGGCCTCGCTCGTTTCCAGGACAGCGACTCGTACATCTTCTCCTGGGTCTCGCGCGGTGCTAAGGATCTGAGCGTCAACGACTGGATGGGTGCCGGCTACACTCACTCTGTCAACCGCACTGTCAACCGCAACGTCGCCATTTCCACCATGAGCGACAAGAAGACCCTCACTGGCGAGCAGGCTACCTCTGAGCTTGTTGCCGATGGTGACTCTCAGGTCAACTGGATTACTACTGGCTCTGCTGACTGCTCCAACGCCCACGTTGCCACTTTCGATAAGACTAGCGCTCTCGTCACCTGGGAGGAGATTGCCGAGCCCACCTGTGACTACATAGCCATGGGCTGCAGGGGTGCCTACACCGGTTCCTACTTCCAACTTGTTACCGACGGAAAGAAGGTTGGCGAGCCCGTCAAGGCTACTGATGTCTACGTGGCCGGCGACATGGTCACCATGGCTGACGGCCGTGTCTGCTGGCCTTACGTTGACATGAAGTGGACTCTCGACGGCCCCGTCCAGAACGCCGCCAGCGTCAAGGAGATCTCCTTCGCTTGCTTAAGCAACGGCGGCTCCTCCTCGATACCTTCCGCTTCCGCTTCCGCTGCTCCTGCTTCCTCGGCCCCTGCTACCAGCTCTGCCGCCGCTGTCAAGACTTCTACTGCCACTGCTATCCCTTCCTCTGTTGAGGAGAAGGCCGAGAGCACCGGTGCTCCCATCGAGGTTGCGACCTCTGCTGCTCCTGAGGTCCCAGCTGACTCAACCCTCCCCACCTTCGAGTTCGTCACCTCCGGCGCCACCATCACTCCTCCTTCCACCAGCATGCACGCGACTGCTCTTCCTTCCGCAGATTACACTTCTGAGCACTCTGTGTCTATTCCCATCGAGGTCAGCTCCCAAGTTGCTCCTACAAACCCCGTAGAGTACACTTCGGTCGTTTCTGCTTCCGTCCCCACCGAGGTTCCCTCTCAGGTGCCTGCTATGAGCATCGGCACTGATCAGCCTGCTCCTTCTGCCACATTCACTCTCCCTGCATCTGAGTCTTTCAACCCCACTCATGCCCCTGCTTTCACCTCGAGCACCGACATCCCTAACCCCACCATCGGTCCGGAATCCTCCAACATTCCTTGCTCTCTTGAGGACGCCGCCACCCCAGTCCCTGAGGCTCCTGTGGAGACACCTGAGGCTTCTGAGACTCTCGTATCTACTCCTGCTGCTATGGAAACACCTGCTCCCACTCCCGAGGTTCCATCCGACGATGAGGAGACTCCTTGTTCTGAGGAGCCTACGGCCACTGCTTCAGCAGTCGAGGCTGAAGAGCCTACCTTCACTCCTCTGCCCACCGAGGCCCCGTTCCCTTTCCCCTCTGGCACTGGTATTCCCTCGCGTAGCTCTGGCCGTCCTTACCCCACTGGTAAATGGCACCACGGCGGCCGTCCCGGGTTTGGCGCAGGTCGTCCTCGGCCTTCTGGCTGGGGAGCGTGGTCTAGTCGCCCTAGGCCTACTGGCAGCTCCGGCCCTCGCCCCTCTGCCGGCACTGAGGCTGAGAAGTACGACTTCGGTCTCGGTAAGGCGTCCAGCACCCCCTGCACACTCGAGACCCGTGTCAGGCCCACTGCCACTGGCGCTGCTTACTAGACGGTCAATGTATCCTTGATAAAAGGAAAGAAAATGTGGACTGGACCGTGAAAGCGTGTTGCAACCGCAATTTCTTTGAACCTGTTGAATAGCTTCTTGTAAATATCTTCCAAAGACGATCTATGAATGCACAACGCTAGTCAGCTTTTAAACACTATCCCGATCTCCATATGTCGAGATTATTCTTGTGATGCATGATCTTGTCCTTCATTAATGCCCGTAGGCTTCAACCAGCAAATAGACCAGTCTATCCTCCACGAGCCCGCTCCTGCTCGGCACCCATCTTCGCGCCCATCCACAAAGCCGGAAACGATGCAGCCAGTATGGGTACCATCTGCATCAAGTCACGCCGAATGAACGCCGAAAAGTTCCGCGTGGTCTTTGCAGCGTATCTTTTTGCTGTCGAACACTCTGCTTGAGGATCTATCCAAGCTCTTCAATATCTCACTCTTGCTTCTTGACGGTAGCGGTCTGCGTCGCGATGGTCGCTCCGCGGTCGGTAGCGAGGCTCTGCTTGTCCTGGAAGAGCTGATCCGTCTCTTCGACGATATTCACAAATTTTCGCATCTCGACGAGATTGTTGCGCACTTCATCCCCTAGCCCCTTCTCGATCTGCTAGCAGGATTCGGCAGCGCTCTTATGCTCTTGCTTGTTTGCAGAAGTTGCGCGTTGTGTCTTGCCAGTATGCAGCCAGTTAGCGTACATGGCAACACAGCGCACTAGAGAAACACACTCCTTCTACAGCCTGATTGTGTATTTGTATGAATTAAAAGCTGATTTGTTTAAGGCATCTTTAACATCTTTAGCAGTTAAGAGCTGTAATACCTTTTCTTAAGAAGCGCGCTCTTTGTGAAGCTTAAGGTTGAACGAATAAACGCTCTTTCTTATAACTAGTTGCAACTGTTTATTTCTAACGTGTTGCGATGCGGTCCTGAACAAAGCGGAAGAGAAAGGATGAGCTTGCGGGCAAGATCTTAAGGGGCAGAGGCTGCAAACGCATGCAACACATATGTTGTGCTCCTGATTTAGTTACATGTTGTAAGTGAGCAAATTTAGCTGAACATTTGGTTACATTGGTGATGTTGATAAGACAGACTGGTTTGTGGATACTGGAACTGGGTAATTGTAACCTCAAAACAGTACCTTGACAGACGGCGGGTCGGGCAGGAGAACTTGTTTTTAACATCCTATGGTCGTATGTGACATGACTGGCGGCCCAAGCACTTTTGGTCTCGATTAGTCTCAGTCATACTGCATAGAATCAACATAACGCTACTATTCTCCCAATTCTCTTGCCAGATCGCATTTAATTGTCCAGATTACGAATCGACGTTTCGTGGCGCTTGTATTCGCATTCTGCTTGTCAGAATTTACATGGTGGGCATTGCTTGAGGCGTTGCGTCGCGGTTGCGTCAGCTGTCTCAGGTTCACGAAGTAAAAAGCAAAACATTCCGCGGCGCGTTGAAGCTCAATGTCTCTGCATACGGTGGTCTGAAATGCGGGCGAAGGAGACAATTTGGCGTGATTTGACAAAGGATGACGGATATAGATAAGCGTAGGCGCAGAAATAGCTGTCGTTGAAGGTAGTTTCCAAGACTTCATGCAGATCATGTAGATCGTAGATGTTGACGTCAGGGTTCTATCCATAGCCCGCAAGTCTAGACCTGGACCGCCTGCAAGCCTCGTTTCGAACCCCATTATTGAGCAACATCGCTTTTTTGTCGATTACGATCCAACCGATTGAGAGACATGCCCGCATCTGACGACGGTACATTTTGCCGAGGGAATGTCAACAAACTGGTCGTGCAGCTGGACAAGTCAATTGCGCAGCGCGGGAAGGATCCCTTAACATGGACATGGAGCTGCCCTTGCGCCCGCAATTGCCACATAATTCAAGTTCGAACGACCCGGAATTTCTGCATGATCTGGGTTTGCTGGATCTACTCGAAAACGACCCCCGGCCAACGTTCGCATTGGACACCACGAGCGCACGGAACTCGGTCCTCGGACTCTATCCAGTCTTCTCTAACGCTGCGCTTGAAAAGTCAGGAACACTGTGGGGCGCCATAAGCGGGAGTCACGATAATCACATGAGTTTGGGGGAAGATGCTACATCTGTGTCGCATTTCCGGAACTGGTCCTGTCGAAAGCCCTCGACTCTAGACAAACCTTTAACTTTCTGCGGCCACAGTTGGACAAGATGCTTGATCGCTCAGCGTTGGATAGTTGTGAGCGGACAAGCCATCAAGGCGGGTGGGGGATTGAAAGCAAACGAGAGATCTCTATCTAAGAAGATCTCTAGATCAAACTTCGCGACATTCGATTGGACAGACGACCCTCCTCCGGCAAAGTTATCTCCACACGTCGCCTGGGCACGAAGCATCGACTGGGAAAATACACCTCTGGGCCCTATGCGAGAGTGGTCTCCCCAGCTTCGTAGCAATGCCAGTCTTATCATGATGGATCCACGGGCAGCGGTCGGATTCTACGGACCTGAACTTATTATGATCTACAACGAACCCTACATTGAGCTCCTTGGTGGTCTGCATCCATGCATTGGACGCAGTGCTCGGGAGGCTTTGGCACAAGTCTGGAATGAATTCTTTGAGCCAATTATAAAGCGGAATCTTGCTGGCGAGACTGTCGATAACTCTCATACAGAGATTCCACTGGTGCGCAACGGCTACCTGGAGGAGACTTACTTCTCCACTCGCTTCATACCGATCTTCGATTCTCAAGGTGCTACGATTGGCCACTATGAACCAGTCGTCGAATCGGTGAGTGCCTCAAGGTCCCTCTCCAGTCCCTCTCTAGTCTCTGTCCCAGCACACATCACTCTACATGCAGCGAAGACTTGAACGAGTGTTGATTCTGCGCTATAATTCTGAGTTGGCGACAGATGGAACGTCCAGCTAACATCCTGCTAGACTAAAGAAGTTCTTTTGGAGAGACGCTTGGGTACCCTTATGGAACTAAGCCAGGAACTGCCTCGAGCCCGCGACTCCAACGCCTATTGGGACCATGCTGTGCAGGTTTTCTCTCGTAACAGCAAAGACGTTTCATCTGCGCTGTTCTATTCCACTGAGGCAGACACCAGTAGCCAGGACTCGACCACTATAGACAGTGCGACAGACAGCCAGTATCAGTGTAAACTCCGACGATCCATTGGCGCGATCGGAAACCCCGTCTCCCGCATCGATAAACTTGACCTAAGGGAATTCGAAGGAACGATCAAACTGTTTAAAAAGGCCATCATCGCTGATCTGCCCATTACCGTGGATCTGCTTGCAGACCCTGATGCACAGGACTTAGCAAAAGCACTCCGACCGCAGGGCTCGGACGACGTCTGTAAGCTTGCGGTAATATGTCCTCTTCATCTGCCGTCTTCGAAAGAAACCATACTCGGATTCATGGTCATCGGGTTGAGTAAGCGAGACTGCATGGGCTGTAGACTTACGATGCTGACACGACTGTAGGCCCTAGACGGCCGTATGACAAAGCCTACTCGCAATTTATCTATGAAGCAGCTCGTTTAGTCTCCGCTTCATTGACATCACTGATACTGCACGAAAAAGACATCGGACGCAGAGAAAAGGCCATCACTACTGCCGAGCTCATCAAGACCGAGCTCAGACAACAGCTAGCAGAATCTCAGCTGGAGGTAGATCGCGGCCACACAAAATTCCAGGTAGGACGATTGCTATAGCCTAGTACCGCTGAGTTGCACAATTAGCTGATATGAGCGGCAGCGGTTTGCTGAGAGGAGCAACATCGGCATCTTCATCCTCAATATGGATGGCGTCTACTCTTACCGCAACGAAGCCTGGTACAACATTCTCTGCTCAAATGAAGATACGTCATATATCGAATTAGAGCAAGTATGGAATGACTTGATCGATAATGAATACATCGCGTCCGGCCAAGCCATGTTTGAAGCGCTTGCAGCTACGAAAGAAGCACAGTAAGACACGTAAAGTCTGGAAAAAAACATCGATTCTGATTACCAATAGATCTTTCGAGTTGCGTTTAAAAAATACATGGCGTGTAGCAAGCAACAGCATCAACGACTCGTTACCCGAGATACAGCCCAAATGGGTACTTTGTTCGATCTTTCCAGAACTATCTGAAGAGGGTGAGATTCTGGAAATCATCGGCTGCATAACTGAGATCTCTCAGCAGAAGTGGGGAGAGGAGTTGCAAGCCATCCAAGCTACGCAAGCAAAAGAATCCAAGAAGCAGCTGGAAAGCTTCATCGACACAACTTCTCACGAGATGCGCAACCCGCTATCTGCGATCGTCCAGTGTGCAGATAGTATCATATCCTCGCATGAAATCCTAAAAGGATTCGAATGTTGCGAAGATGACTACCAAACGACACTGCTTGCCACGCTTGATTGTGCCGAGACTATCGTTCAGTGCTCCAAGCATATGAAGACCATAGTCGATGGTAAGTGGCCTATTTGTCGCATCTACATTTCGATCTGACACACCACCCAGACGTCTTGACCATGTCAAAATTAGACTCGGGTCTCTTCACCATGACACCTATCGACGTCGAACTCGAGTCGACCGCCCGCGACGCAGTCAAGATGTTCGAGGGCGAGGCCAGAGCAGCCGGCGTGCACTTACAGCTCCACATGGACGACTCGTGCAAACAACACAACCTCGCTAGAGTATCCCTCGATCCTACTCGCGTCCTCCAGATCCTCATCAACCTGCTCACCAATGCCATAAAATTCACCCGCCTAGAAGCCAAGCGGGAAATCATAGTCACTCTCAGCGTCGCCCTCACGCGCCCAACCCACAACGCCGATGGCCGTGTGTCATACATTCCGCGCTCCTCGGGCCACGAGGCCAAAACCCTGCTTGCAGACTGGGAGCAGGGCCAGAGCGTCTTCGTCCGCTTCTCGGTCCAGGACACCGGGACCGGCATGACGGACGCCCAGCACCATTTGCTTTTCACGCGCTTTTCGCAGGCCTCCCCGCGCACGCACATCGACTACGGCGGCTCGGGTCTCGGGCTGTTCATCTCGCGGCGCCTGACGGAGATGCACGGCGGCGCGATCGGCTTCACGTCCAGAAAGGGCGTGGGCAGCACGTTCAGCTTCTACGTGCAGAGTCGGTGCAGCAGTTCTGCTATGCAGCGGCGCGAGACTGTCGACCCCGACTCAACGACGGTTGATGGGGGGCTGCAGGCGCATCGGACGCTGGTGCGGAGCAAGAGCTGTAACGAAACGACGCCGCACCCGAGCCCGACAAGTACTCCGACTGGGCATGTTCCGGATAGCGATCTGCATATCTTGATCGTGGAGGATAATCTGGTGAATCAGCGGGTGTTGGCGAAGCAGTTGCGCGACGGAGGCATGAAGGTCGCGGTCGCCAACCACGGCGGCGAAGCACTGGAGTACCTGCGGACGACGTGGTATTGTAAGGGTGACGGAACGGGCAAGGCATTAACTCTGATACTAATGGACTGGGAAATGCCGGTCATGAACGGGCTGGAGTGCGTGGCCAGCATCCGAGCGATGCAAGCCGGCGGTGCTGTCAACGGCCACGTGCCCGTTATAGCAGTGACGGCGAATGTCAGGTCGGAGCAGGTCGAGACCGCACTGCAAGCTGGCATGGACGATGTCATCTCGAAGCCGTTCAGGATACCGGAGCTAAGGGCCTGTATACAGAAGACGCTGCGCACTGTGGCACCAGCTGAGACAGTACGATAACTGCTGTTGGGGACTAGTTGAATGAAGATACAGGGCTCGATTCAGAGAGGTACCGTAAACTCTCGCTTACAAAACCCGGGTAGTCTAGGCGAAACCCTGCTGGTGAACAATATTTAGGGGGTACTATACTGCGGACAGGGTACTTACTATAAGTAAGGGGGTACTCTAATTAGGGGCCGCTAGAACAATCTAAACTATAGTTTGTTAGCTAGTGTTCCTCAGCAGATGTTAAATCCAACACGTCACCTTTTCCTGCACTGCAATCGTGCAGGCAGCAGCAGCAGCTCTACCGCTACTACTACCACCTATCTATAGGCGTACCCAACGACTACTAACCATGAATCTAGCTACCTACATAGATTAAATGATAATCCTTTTACTTACTTGAATTCACTCTATGCAATACTGTAACTTACATACAAATCGCTAACAAATTTAGTGTGATAATTAAGTCACCTGAGCACGCTAGAGGACTTAGCAATCACATTATGCAAGGAGGTACTGTAATCGAGAATCTTTCAAGGCACTGTGGAGGTTAAATTTGGGGGTACTAGAAACCAGAGTGTACGGTATTACGCGATGGGCATTTAAAGCCCAGCCATTTGCTCAGCGTCGTAGCTTCACCAACATATCGCCTCTGCTAACCAGTTCTTCTGTAAATCGCAAAGAGTTCAAACGCCACTCCTTTCCAAGCCCACTAATTCACAAGCGGCAGAGAAAGAGCTCTGAAGTAGCATAGTCAAGTGTAATTGTCCTGTTTCCCTCGGCAGCCAGCAGCCAGCTCTCGACTGCCACGACCTACTTACTGCGCGTCTAAACCAACCAAAGCAAGACTTCCCAACCAACAAAGCAAAGTACCAAATAAAAAACCAAAGCCAAACAAAGTGAAAGACGCCGAAAGCTATGCACCCCGCAACCGTCTAGTAATGTTTGCCTTGTGCAGCCCAAAAAAACGCCGTGCTATGCAAATTCCCGCAAACCCTTGCATTTCCTTTCCCTTGCAAATTTCTTCGTTCTACTGCAACGCAGAGCCCGGACGATCGAAGCGCGCAACCAGGCTCCTCAAGCCAGGGCTCGTCAAGCCCCTGCGCCTCCTGACCAAGCTGCCATACTCGCTCTTCCTCTGACTCTCGACAGCAACGTCCTACCCTGCTGTCGAGTCCGCGGCGCTGCCTCTCCTGTCGCCGTTAACGCTGCTCAGCTCGCCGCCGCTGGTGTCGCGTCTGCGGCGCACGATCTGCAGGCGCGGCAGCGGCAGCGGCGGTGCGCCCGCGGCGAGGGTTTGCCCGTTCCCTGGCGCGTCGTTCTCGAGATTGAAGTTGCTCTGGCGCCGCTTCGAGATGGCCTCGCCCAGACGCCCGGCAGCGTGCTGCGCGCGCGCTTTCGGGAGGCGGGAGCGCTCTGGCGCACCGGAGCGGGAATTCGCTTGCAGATGTAGGAGGGATGCTGTTGCATCGCGTGACGCGGGACGTGCGGTGGAGGGACGGGGTGTTGTTGTGGGACTCGCGAGGGCGGCGAAGGAGGTCGTTGAGCGCGCGAGGACGGGGGCTTTGGAGGATCGGCTGGCTGATTGCGGCGTGGTGTTGGGGTCTTCTGCGAGGTCCCACATGGAGCTGGAGGATTGGGTGCGTGTGATGTGGCGGTCGCGGCCGCTCCCTGGTGTGGACATTGGGGGGACGAGGAAGTTGCCGCCCTTGAGGCTTGTTGGAGTGGGTGGTGTGAGGCCGAGTCCTGTGCTGGCTAGTGTGGAGCCGCTGCTTGAGCCGGAGCCGTCGCGGCGACCAGATGAGGAGGGGGGGCGGCGAAGGTTCATGCCCATGTTTGATGCCCGACTAAGGCTACGTTTGCCGCTAGACGCTGTGTTGAGCCCATTGAGCTCGACTTCGTCACAGGCTTGGACAAGCTCCTCGGCCATCTGCCGCACCAGAACAGCAGGGTCCTGCTCCATGAGCCAGGTGATGCGCTCATAACAGCCGAAGGCACGAATGAGCCAACACCCCTCCTCCTTTGCGTCGCAGATCGTTCGCAGAATACGAAGCAGATTCAATCGTGTGACAGCATCTTTATGATTAAGCTTCTGCTCGGTGCGTGAAAAGATCTCAGGGACCGCAAGCGACGCGGCGATAGGCGGCGAGAGGCGGACAAGCTTCTGCAGCGGCTCAAGCATGTTCTCAAATGTGGATCGCGATGGTCCGGACGATGTGTAAGCTGTGATGATCGCTGTGGTAAAATTCGATTGGGCGGAGAGTAGGTACTGCTCCACTCGTGCCGTTTCTTCCTGCAGCCTAAAAACTTGTTAGCAAGGTTCATGAAGCCGAAAGGACTGTAAGCACATACCAAACAAAGATGGCGTCCAGAGCCGTCACAGCCCAATTGACATCGCCAAGCAGCGACACGTAGAATGCAAGACCCTTTGCGTCCCAAAGCATCTTTCGAGAGACCTTGCCAGAGTTGACCATCTCGAGCAACACAGGCAATGCAAATTCTTTCAGGGGTCCACCATCGTTGACAACATCCTTCAGAAGCGGGATGATGTCGGATAATGCTGCCTCTTCCTGCCTGCTCTTGTTGTGGCGGCAGAGGTTGTACATTGTGTTCAAGATCTGATTCGAGATCTCGCGCTGGAAGGGTGGCATGCGGTTCGAGTCGTTACCGGTTCTGCTACTCGTCTTCGATCCAGACTGGCGCGTGACCTTCAGCAGCTCGATAAGGATGTCGATTGCGTTGGAGTTCTGTAGTGCTTCGTGAGTCGAGGAAAGCGAGCTGAGGTTCTTGATGAACTTCAGCATCGTGATCTGATGGGGCGGCGCCATCTTGCGCAGGTCCTTGAGGACACCTGTGACAGTTAGCTAACACGTTGAGACTGCCGGTGTGCCGAACTTACGCTTCAAGATCATGCGGTCGGCCACGAGATCCTTTACATGGCTCTCCGCTTGACTGAAGATGAGGAAGATGTGCACGATCCTGCCAACGATGAGTCTAGCGACCTCACCGTCCTCCTCGACCATTCTGTTGAGGACAAGGGAGAGCGGGTACAAGACACTGCTCCTGCTGAAGATTCGACAGAAGTCATTCTTTGGTGTAGGTCCTTGCAGCTCAAAGACGCCATACACTCCATTGACACCAATCAGGACTAGGTCGCGCTCAGCGTCAATGTCTTCTTCGAGGAATTCAACCAGCACGTTGATGCCCCCGCAGCCAATGAACATCTGCATGGTTAGCGTGCTGGTCTGGTACATCTGCCGCACAAAAGCTGCGGCTTCCTTGCGGATGTCACTGGGGTACCTCTTGTACGCAAATTGACAGATGGTGGGTATGCCTCCCAAGAAGGACAGGCTTTCCTGCGCCTCTGCGTCCTCCAAGATGATCAAGTTGATGATCTTGAGCAGGGGTAGTACGAGGTCGTGGGGCGGGATGTTGCCCAGTATCTCTAACACAGGCAGCATACCATGGCTTCTTAGAATGATGGAGCGCTTATCTGGTGCCTCGTACAGGACCTGAAGGAGCTGATCTGCGATATCGAGGAGGACGTCGTCTGGCTGACTAAGCTTCAAGCAACTGACTAGATGCTCCGTCAATTTCGTCAATCGGTCATCGCGATCTCGAGCGACGTTATTCTCGAGGTTGATGGTGTCAAGACCGTCTTCGAGGTTCGCAAATGGATCCATGTCGTCCTCGTCCGCGATCATGAAAGAACCCGACACCTTCGTTGTGACCATGGCAAGACTGCTGTGCTCGCTACCACTGTCACTCTCCGCTGTTGTAGTGAGCACCGACTGAGGACCGCCTTTGATATCTCCAACAATCTCAGAGAAGTCATCTCCTTCATCTTCAGCATACTTCTGAATCTCAATCTCCGATTGCGTACGATGCAACTTGCGGTTTGAAGTTGTACTCTCGGACCGCTGCTTTATAGTGCCATTGCCCTTGGCATCTCTTGGCTTCGGTGCAGACTTGAGATCGCTAGGATGGAACAGGCGTGGCGAGAACGTGTCGGCAGGTGAGCCCGAGGTCGCCGTCGCAAACTGAGGCTGTTGAGGCACGACCACAAAGGGCTGCGAGTGCTGCAACGCTTGGACGCGCTTCTCGAAAGCATCCTCATCTGTAGGCATTAGATCCGAGTAATCTTCCTCCTCTGAGCTCTCGCGGAAGAGCTGACTATTTCGGTTGGGCGCGACTAGCCTCGGTTTGGAGGCTTGGGACACCTGCGGCACGCCGCGCAGAAAGGCGGTCTTGGGTTGAGCATCGTAGCTACGACGTTCTTCATGATGTGACGCGTTCGATGATGACCTGGAGTTGGAGGTCGATGTCGACGCGGACGTTGAGGACTTTGTCTTGGGGGTCCCAGGCCTCGCTTTGGCCGGTTGGCGTGGGCTGAAGGGGCTAGCAACTCCCTGGAGGTGCTGCAGGTTCAATGGACTCCTCATTGTGGCTTCGCCATCGCCACCATCCGGACCGTCAACCACAGCCTCAAAGCTGGCGAATGCCTTCAACTTGTCTCCTGAGAACAGCCCTCCGAAATTGTCTTGTGGTTTGCGGTGCGATGGCATCTTCAAGGCGCGCGACGAAATACTCTCCGCGAAGTCATTATCCCAATTGTCGTCCTGGTCGAGATCTGGTGAGCGAAAGGCTTCAGCGGTGGGCCTCGACTTTGAGATGTTGAGCTGATCGACGTTCGCTGGTGGCCTGCGAGCCGCCAACGCAGCACCGTTCGCATGTGCGGGGGACGGAAAATGCTGCGAAGGTTTCTGCACGCCAGACGCGAGTCGTGAACTTTTGCGCAGCGAGTTTGGCGACTTGAGCGCCTCGTTCCACTCCTGCACAGACTTGACGGCTTCTTGGTATTCGGTGGGTTTTGCGGGCACGGCGGCGACCGTCTTCTTCACGCTCATGATCCAGGGGTGCTTGAGCAGTCGCTTCGCAGAGATACGCAGGGTGGGGTTCTTTTGGAAGCACTCCATGAGGAACTCGCGGAGCAGCTGGATCTGTTAGCGGTGGTCAGGTTCGCGGCGAGACGTGTTCCTTACCGGCGAGGCACTGCCAGGTATTGGCGGGTGCTCGTCGTTGACGATTCTGAACAGGGCCTGCATTGGCTGCAGCTTGTGGTATGGCGGCTTCCCCTCGATCAGCTCGATGACGGTGCAACCAACGCTCCAGATGTCCGAGGCAGTGGTGGCGCCAGACAGCTCGATGACCTCGGGCGCCATCCAGTACGGCGTGCCCACAACGCTCGACTGGTCGAGCCCAGACTGCTTGGTGGCCACGCCAAAGTCTGCCAGCTTCACCAGCCCCTCCTTGGTGGTCAAAATGTTGGCGCCCTTGATGTCCCTGTGGATGACACCCTGCTCGTGGAGGTAGAGCAGGCCGTGTAGGACCTGGGACATGTACAGGGCGACCAGGTTTTCCGGAAACTTTCCAAAGTTCTTGCAGATGCTGTGCAGCGAGCCGTTCTCGCAGTACTCCAGGATGATGTACAGACTGTCGGAGCTGCGCACGAAGCCCTGATACTTGACGATGTTGGAGTGGTTCAGGTTCTTCAGCAGGTCGATCTCCATCTCCATGTTCTTCAGGTCGGCGGCGCCCAGGTTCTCGAGGCGCACCTGCTTGATGGCGACCGTCTCGCCGGTGCCCCAGTTGAGGGCACGGTAGACGCTGCCAAAGGCGCCCTTACCCAGGCAGTCGCCCAGCTGGTAGTCCTTGAGGCCGACGACATCCTGCGCCGCCCGCTGCGCTGCGCCGTCGCGGCTGGGCCGCTGCTCGCGCTGCTCGCGGTCGGCGTTGCGGTCACGCGTCTGGGGCGCGTGGTTGGACGACGTCGAGACCTTCTTCTCGTGGCGGGGCGTGCCCGGGTGGGCGGGCGGCTGCGAGGAGCGCGAGCCGGACGGCCCATGCGAGGGCTTCGAGGGGTTGTGAGACACCATGGCGGGCGCGCGCTGGGCGGCAGGCGGCGTGTCGCGTGTCACGTGGCGCTTGTCGCGTACTGTATCGCTGTCGTCTGGCCCGCGGCCAGCTGCCGAGGCGGTGGCTCGAGGGCGGCCGGCTGCCTTATTATTCACGCGGCTGTCTGCGTCTGCGTCTGCTTGCGGCGGCGGTCGAAGGCGGTGAGTGCAGTCGTGGCGGGGGCGGGTCGCAGGCGTGGGCGCGCATTCCTCCTCGTGCAAATCACTATGGCAGCGGATGCAGTCTAGCCCTGCGCTGTTGTTGTCTGCGCTTTTGTTGTCTGAGCTGTTGTTTGTCTGCGCCGGCGCGAGTCGCGCGAGCGGGCTGGCGGGGTCTGTGGCAGACGCCCGGGTCGTTAGACGGCGGATTGAGCTGCTCGCGTGTTTGGGGATCCCAGCGGCCAAAGGGGACGGGCCTGTGTGGTGTAATTGCGCCCGACGTAGCCTGCTACCGCGAAGAAAAGCGCGGAAGGGAGAGCTCTGCGCGCGACGCCTGAGCCTGCGGCGTGCACTCGAGCATGCGGGGTATGACGGCGGAGTGGGTGTGGGCGAGAGTCAGTCGAGATGCAACTGTCAACAGCTGCATGCCTCATGTTCCAAACCAGCTAGGCTTCGCTGGAGTGGTAGCGACGACTCGACAGCACACCACTCCACCACCGCCACCGCCGAGCATCGACATCGTGCCACAAGCAATTCATCTCGCACCAATGCGCGCATTTGCACGATACGCGTCATGGACCAGCTCCATGCATGAGCGACGGTCCGAGCCTGCCACGAACTCACGTGCACGCAGTCTTTGTCCCCCTTGTCCATTAGATAAGACGCAGATCCGGGGCAGATAGATGTCTAGCCTCAAACAAGATGGTGCTAAGTGCGACGCAGGACTGCATCCCAGTGGCTGTATCGATCATCGAGTCTGTGACCATCACAAGGCTCGCCTTTCCTGCAGGGCAGCCTGCAGGGCAGGCATGACAGTCAGATGACGAATGTGTTGAGCCAGACACTGGAACCAAGCATGTGAAGGTAAGGCTGTGCATAATCTCCTTTGACAGGCTATCGTTGCTTTTATTGTGCTTCATCATCATAATCTTTCAACTGTCCGTGTTCTCGCCAGGCGCCGCCAGTATGCAATACCATCATTCATGAATCAAGAGTCGCCGCTTACCGTCCGGCAACAACGTTGAGAACACCACCATCGACAGCGATGATCTCGCCGTTGACATATGTGTTCTTGGTGAGGAAGAGCACGGCCTGTGCCATCTCCTCATCCTGACCAGCGCGGCCCTGAGGAACGTGGCCCTTCTCCTGGATCTTCTCATCTGGCACATGGCTCTTCTGCTTCTCGTCGCTCTCCTTTGCTGTCATCTCCGAGGGGAAGTAGCCAGGAGCAATGGAGTTGACCCTGACCCTGATCTTCTGGAACTCAGCCGACATGAGCTTGGTCAAGTGGACAGTGCCGCCCTTTGCGGCGTTGTAGCTGAAGTGGCCTTGGGCGTGGCGCATGATACCAGACATCGAGCTGATGACGATGACTGACGCTGACAGGTGGCCGTGGGTCTCGGTGCCTGCCTGGAGAAGGGGCAGTAAAACCACAGTAGTGAAGTATACGGAGCTGACATCGGTGTTGTAGGTGTTGGCCCAGTCCTCGAAGGTTTCGTTGTCCCAGAGCTTCTGCTTCATTTCGGTGGCCTTCTCCGCGTCAGGCTCGGCCTTTGCGCTGCTGATGCCCGCTGCAGCGACGAGAAGGTTGATGTACTTCTCCTTTTTTGACAGCTCTGCATACATCTTTTCAAGGTCCTCCTTCTTGGTGACATCACACGGGCTGAGTGCAATAATCGAGCCTCCTTCCTTGGGGTCGTGGCTCTTTACTGCCGTCTCAAGGACTTCCTGGCGACGACTTGTGATGTACACTCTTGCACCTAGAGACGTTGGTTAGACGAGATTCACTCAAAGTAGGGGTACAAGGCGTACCGTTGGCAGCCAAGGCTTGTGCAGCCATCAGGCCAATGCCCGAGCCACCACCAGTGACTACGCAGACATAGTCCTTGACCGAGAACAGCTTCGAAGCTTGGAGGTTGTGCGTGCTTGCCATTGCGTTGATTAATGTAAGGCAACTACAACGTTTGACGTTGATTCAATGTGTAGAAGCGTCTTAATCCACCAAAAGACTCTTTATACGCGCCCGTTGCGTAGAGGGGAAATGTTTTGACAGTGACGTAGCGACGATGCATGCGTGACAGGCGTCAACCGCCACCCGTAGTTCGCGCCTTCCGCAGAACAGCTAGAATCAAACCCCCCGTTGCGGCTAGCACGGGGGTCCACTCAATCATGTCAGCCGCAACGCGTTTCCACGACTCCGACCTCTCCTGCAGGCGTTGGACATCGAAAGGGTGGCCTCGTTAGGCATTGTATAATATTGTGCATTTCACATCTTCCTTCACCATCGTTTTGCAGCTGCCTTTCTCTTGTATACCTCCTGACGCGGCTTCCACCGCTCGCCCTTTGGAAGTTTCGAAACTTTTTTTCCAGGGCTTATAGCACGTGTCCGTAGGCTTTCACGTCGCAGCGTGCCAGCCTTGCGAGGTTATTTTCTTTCATTCCCATTTTGTATCAACATTCATCGTCTATCGACTTCACACTCTTTACCTAAATATGGATCAGCCGATACCGTCATCTACCGACTTGATCGTCGCACAGCCTCTGCGACCAGCTGATGACCCGCTTCAAACATGGCCTGAGCCAGTCGACACACCTGGCATCCTTCCACGCCATCTGATCAGATCGGCATCCTCACATCTTCCCTTCCTTGAGATCATGCATCGGTTGCTGTATCGCGTAAGGCCAGACTCCCACAGCGATCTGGACAAGGTCTTGGCAGCCATAGCGCTCTACAGCGCTGCAGTTCCTGCATACAAGTACCTGAAAGAGTTCTTTAAATGGGCCTTTACCGTTCAGGTCTCCATACCGGAAGATGATCCCGCTGCGAAGGATGTCTTGGCTTGGATGAGCGTTGAGGTCATTCAGAATCGGCATAGCCGGAGCGCCATGATTGTCACCGAAAGCGGCTCGCAGCATGACCCGATGAACCAGTACGCCAATCCAGTTCATAGATTCAATGCACGCCAGAAGAAGAAAAGGGGGGTTGCAGACAACGAGGTGTCATGCTCGCCTCCCATCGGGTCGCGAATCTTTTGGGTAGGCCTCCGGCCATTCCTCTTCGATCGTGTAGGGGGATCAGGAGGCCATACACATCCTAGCTTCAGCGGCAACAATCTCGATGCAAGCGGCAGATTGAGCAACGCCCTTACCATCACCACGCTGGGCTGGAATCTGGGGCCTCTCAAGGACTTCGTAACGCAATGCCACCAATGGAAAAAGGCAAACATGGCAGGCACGACAACAGTCTACTTCGCTGGAGGTGGTGCCTATGACTCCTACGGCGGTGGGGCATGGCAATCCATCAACAAGCCTGTGAGGAAACTCGACACTATCGACATGGACGAAAGCGTCAAGCTGGATCTGGTGCGCGATGCGGAATACTACTACAGCGAGCAGTCGAAACAATTTTTTGCAGATTGCGGTATTCCATACCGTCGCGGTTACCTTTTGCACGGCCCACCTGGTACTGGGAAAACATCCTTCAGCGCCGCTCTTGCAGGCCACCTCGGCTGTGACATCTACCACATTAACCTAGCATCCGGAGACGTCACCGATGGCAAGCTCCATAGTTTGTTTCTCGGCCTTCCGCAGAAATGCGTCGTCGTCATCGAAGACATCGACTCAGCTGGTATCGAACGCGAGTTCACAACGGAACAGAAACAGGCTGCGGCAGACGTCGATTTGGCTGATCAGATGGTGCCTCCTCAGCACAGAATGAGGACAATGCAGATGCAGGCACCAGCTGGGCAGAAGGGACGCAGCCTCATCACTCTCAGTGGCCTCCTGAACGCCATCGACGGAAACGCCTCGCAGGAAGGCCGTCTCCTCATCCTTACCTCAAACAAGCCCGATGCGCTGGACGACGCCCTCACGCGGCCAGGCCGGATTGACAAGAAGGTATACTTTGGCAATATGAGCAAATCAGCAGGGAAGAGCATCTTTATGCGCCTCATCGGCCGTTCCGCGCTCGCCCACGACGCCGTCTTCTCGATGGCGTACATTGAGCAGTGCGCGGCAGAATTCGCAGAGAAGGTGCCTGCGCATACCTTCACCCCTGCGCAGGTCCAGAACTTCCTGCAGGCATGTCGCGGCAACCCCGACAAGGCACTCGCTGAGATTGAAGACTGGGTCGCTGAGAACCGACCCGCGGCCACTGGCATGTCGTCGAGCCCGGTGTCGAATGCTACGATGGTGGAGGCGGAGGAGAGCGAGCATGAGGCTCTGTAGGAGAGTAATGAGGGATGCGTGCTGCATCGACGAGATACACAGGGTCTTGGAGGCACACAGGGTCTTGGAGGTACACAGGGTCTTGAAGGTACACGAGTAATTAGCAACTCTTCGCATATAAGATTTAGATTTAGCTTCATCGTATCCGCATGCACATCACAGCGTATCGTCGTGCACAAGCAGCGTCTGCGCGTCGCCCAACTACATCTCATTCATTAACCATCGCCCCAACACATCCCCCATGCATTTCCCACCCTCCCCACGCCGCGCCACACCCCATCTCGGCCAAACCAGCGAAACGCCCTCGGCACACTCGGCCGAAAACAATCCACGCCCGCTCCCTAGTCGGCCGATTTCCCGGCAGCCATCGACGCAGAGTGCAAAACTGCCCGATGCAGGAATAACGCTGCATGCACGGGGGCGCATTATCGGCCGATTGCTGCCAACGAGGAAATGACTGCGCAGGGGGGAAGCGCGGGTTGCGCGACAATTGCTCGCGCGCAGTTATGCGGAACTGAGGTCGCGGGGCGCGAGGTCAGCGACCATGCGGATGCTGCGTGTCTGGTTGGCTACGGTGATCGATGGCGTGCTATCTTGCAGGAGTTGGACTGTCATGACAGGTTTCCGATATTGTCAGATGAGAGCCATATTCATGCGATTGTCAAGAGACATGCGAAGAGCCGCGAAGGAAGTGCATCTGGCGCGACGTGGTGCTTTTGTCAAAAAATGGATTCGCGCCCCCCCCCCCCCACGTGATGAGGCTGTCGAGATCCCACGGGCATCTGTGCGAGGCAGGCGTGCAAAAGGCAAAAAATATATTTCCGTCACGGGGAATCGAACCCCGGCCACATCGGCACTTGTTGGTGAGAGCGATGTATCCTAGCCACTAGACCATAACGGATGTTACTTGATGATAATTTGTTTTCATAGTTAATATATAATGTGAATATTATACTCTCCAGCCCTATCACACAAGTGACTGTGTTCCGCCCAGGCCATCTTTATCTAATTAGGTACGCCGCGGCGGTCATCTCTCAAACCTCGTCGACACCACATGCTTTCTCGATATCGTAATCTCCGGGAATCAGCCCTGTCTTGGGGCTATATTACCAGCTCGCGAGTCGACTGCCGGTGATTAAAGGAGAACGCATTCCAGCCCCAGTCAGCACTACAGCAAGGCTTGCACAGCCTTGCACAACGCCAACCCTCACACGCCCACGCTTTACCCTTTCAGACACCACCCTTAATCTGTAAACGAACTAATTATGACTGATCTAGAATTGCACGTGCTGCTTCAGCCTCGTGAAATATTGATGGCGTTCTGATAGTAGACCAACGACAGGTGCTCGAGGTCATGAGTGGTGTTGAACAGTGAGCACGCTGCGGAGTTGGAGGCGAGATAAATTGATTTCGACTGCAAATTCTGGTCGTATCTTCCTGCACTGACTATCTAAATTATTTTAAACCGTAACCTTATAGCAGTCAAGATGCGCATCACGGCTTTCTCTTCAGCGTTGTCAATCTTCTTCTTTGGCCTCGCCAGCGCAGCGAACGAATTTACAGAGCTTCCAGCATCCTGTCCTCAGATCCTGCCCGCGCCTGCGGCTGCGTCGCTCCCCAACTATTTCCTCCCTAAGACCATCAAAGATTCTCAACTTGACGACATCGAAGCCATCCGTCAGACTCTCCACTTCTACGCTCTTGTTCTTGACAGCAAGACCTTCCCTCTTCTCGACCGCGTCTTTGCACCTTCGGCAACTGCCAACTACTCAGGCCTCGCCGGCATCTTCGAAGGCTTGCCAGCCATCCATACGTTTCTGTCGGACTCTCTTGCAGCATATCCCAAGACACAGCATCTGATTGCTAATCACATCATTGACGTGTGCGCCCCCAAGAATGCAGTCAGCCAGACATACTTTCAGGCTACCCACTTCCCGAGCACGACAGCGGGTCCTTTCACCGCGTATGTGACGCATCAGGATGCATGGGAGAAGACTAAGGATGGGTGGAGGATTGTGTACAGCAATTTTGGGATAACGGCAGGTGCCTTTGCTCACGAAGTTGTAGCTGAAGTCTGTACTGACACCAGTTCAGGGAAGGAGATGAACGTTTTGTGTGAAGAGCCGCAAGTGCTTGAACTGACCGTAGTTTGCTGCAGGTATATAGCTCGAATGATACTGCGAATGCTTCGTCTACGGAATCTGTACATCGAGCTTGTACGCCTTGCCAGCCTGCACGTTCTTAACAATATCTCCGTCTACCTCCTTTCCGTCTAAGCTCAACTTCACGGTCTTCACGTCTCCACGTTTAATCTCGACCGCGAAATTTGCACCCCTAAATTGTCTCTTCACCTTGATTCCACGCCAACCTTTGGGCAGCTTTGGAGCAATCTTCAGCCCATCCTTCACACCTCTCAAACCGCACAGGCCTTCGATGACGCAACGATACGCCCAGCTCACTGTGCCAGTATTGAAGAGCTGAGAACTGCGTCCCGCCGTGCGCTGCAGCTTTTCGATGCCCCAACCACCGCGGTAGTAGTTCGGGATGAACACCGGCAACTGACCTCTTGCTCGCAGATCTTCATCATCTGGGCCAGCAATCATCGCGCGAATGCAGTCGTATGCACGGTCTGCCTCGTCGATAGAGTACAGTGCCCAAGCGTAGAAGGACGCTGAGTGGTTGTATACACTCCCGTTCTCGCCTTGCCCAGGGTACTTCTGCGTCACGCGGCCGACGTCTTCGCGCATCGCGGTGAACGGTGGCGCAAACATGAGAACGCCGAACGGAGTTGATAGTTGACTGTCGATCTGTGGCAGGATCTTTGCGATTTGGCCGGGAGAAGCTGCGCCGCCGAGGATACTCCATGCCTGTGGATTGAGCCAGATGCGACCTTCCTTGTCCTCTTTGGTGCCGAAGGTGACGCCGTCGTCTGTGATGCCTCGAGAAAACCAGTCGCCATCCCATAGATGTTCGTTCGCTGACTTATTGACAGCCTTTGCACCTTCGCGGTATCTGTTCGCGGCGTCAGAATTGTCGAGCTGTTCACAGACATCGGCCCAGAGATTCACTGCGTGAGCGGTGGCGACTGTTAGCCAACCTGACACACCAACACCTTTGGGACCAACCATGTTCATCGGGTCACACCAATCACCCTGCGCGATATAGCTTAAGCCTCGAGCGTCCCGGGACATCGAGGAGAGCAGCCAGTCCATTGCGCGGCTGAAGCGTTCGAAAACTGTGTATGTGTCACCGTGCATGCCCTTGATCTCCTTTTCAAGAAGTGCGTAGTCCCCAGTCTCTCTGAGGTAGATGTCGAGTGCAATAGGAAGCCACACGCAATGATCGGTGTGGGGGACCTGGTTGATGTACTTCAGCTCTGCTCCCTCGATGAGTAGAATGCCGTCAGGCATTGCGCCACTTTCTTCCTGTTGCCCAATTGCGGTAAGAATCGCATCGCGGCATGTATCAGGCTTGACATAGGCCATGCCCATATTGTCTTGTAGGTAGTTGCGCGTCTGAGGATCGGTTGTGAGTCGATTCACATCGCCGTGGTAGTATACTTGGCGTGGTAACCAATTGTTGACGAAGTTGTCGAGATCCTTGTCTGGCGTTTCGATCTGAACGCAACCACTGCCTGCCGCAATGTATGCTTCATACTCCTTCCGTGCCTGTGCGAAGTCACGCTCGCTAAGATACTTCTCGCGCATGGAAAGCACTTCTGCCTCGTCAAATGCTGGGCCTAGTAAGAATCGATATTCTTCGGAACTGTTCGCCGCAAGCTCAATTCGGTACTGAACCGCAGCTGTGGGTGTCTCGTAACGCGCATCGCTGTTGCTCAACTGCTCCGCCTTCAGTGCTTGAGGATCGTGCAGGGTGCCCTCGCCTTCAAAAGCCTCCTGCCTAGCTTCCCAAGCAGCCGGTTTCCGCTCGCACAGAAAGTACGTCCTGTCCTTCAGGTACTTGGTCTTCGGGTAGTCTTCCGCCTTCTGGTACGGCGTCTTGCAACTTGCCACAATACCGCCCAATTTCTCGTTCCACTCAGCCTCCTGATTCATCCAGGACATGTATCCGAATGGGAAGTAAGGATACACACTGACCTTGCGCTTCCGATCTGAGACATTGGTCACTCTGACAGTCCACAGTTCAGCGACATCTTCAGTTGGGAGTAACAGGGTCATTTCCACCCTCACACCATCCTTCTCCACCATCCATGAGATGTCGCTCTTGCCCACCGAGAACACGAAGTAATCCGGCTGAGCCCGTACAGGCTCATGAGGTATCGACCAGACGTCCCCCGTCTCTTCATCTTTTACATAGACAAATCGCCCGGGATGGTGCGTATAGTAGTTCTGCTCCGGCTGCATGAAGGTTTTGGCCTCAAGATTCGGAGCGTGGACATACTTTGCAGGCTCAGGCTGCATGAACTGTGCTGTTGCGTAGCCGCGGCAGGTGACTTGGATCATCATCTTCTGGTTCCAGAGGAAGCCGCCGGATTTAGGCATCGCAATTGGGTCGAAAAGTTCGTAACGATCACCATTGTGCGTTGAGCGGATCATAATGGCCGATTCGCAGATGTTGTGAACTGGGTGATAATTGCTGAAAGTCGCGACAGCGAGTCGTCAACCTTCTTGAGGAGCCGGGTGTGTGCTGCCGTTGATTTTCGGGGATGGATGTCGTCACTCAGAAGTGTCCAGCGAGGAGCATTCTTCAGAGCCTTGTAATGGGACTTGGCTCGTTATAAGACTCGGCAAACACTGAACCGCACGTGGAAGAAGTACAAGGCGGAATAGGCAAAACATCGGTGTAGCAGTGTGGGGTTCAGCCTAAACAGGTAATCCTGGGGCGGTTAAATGCTCCGTGACGCCTTTAGCCAAGCGCAATGCAGTGGTGGGGGTGAACCGGAGTTATTCCTTCTTGGCGTGTAACGTTGGAAACGTAAGTGTTGGCGTGAGCGTACAAAGTTTTGGGGGGAAAAGGAGAGATAGAAAGCGGAGCAAAAGCACAGCGACAGAGAATAGTACAATTGTATCCACGCCGTCACCATCCATGTGCCGTCTCACCAAATCTTCACGAGGACTTGCTACTCGTTCTTCGTTCGCTCAGCCCCTGTTTTACATGAAGAATCGCCGACGGTCGCAGTGTGCTGTTCGGTCTTACCTTTCTCTGGTCGTCTAGTGACCATGACCTACTTCCCCGACCCTGGGAACAGGGTATTCTTGGCCTTCTTTGCCGGTGTAGTAGGAGCATTGTCCCATCAGGACTTCGGAGTAGAAGTTCCCGCCGGCCAGTTTCTTACCTTGTCATCGCCATCGACACTGATGTAGCCATCCTGAAAGCCAGTGACCTTGATATACCCGTAGAAGCCGCTATCTGTCCATGCGCTGTCCACGCCTCTGGGACGCATGAACAACTCCTTCGTGTTGTTCTGAGTGTCGTAGACCAGGTTTGTGCCCTCGTAAAAGTACAGGTGTAAGGAGCGACCGTTGTGCGACCAGTCGATGTCTTCGACACTTGCCGTTGACCGCCAGTTCTTATCATCCTCCATCTGATAGTGCTGCATGATTTGGCCTTGCTCGCCATCAAACGGACACCAGACATACCCATGCTTGCCAGCACACAGTGCGATTTGTTTCCCATCTGGATGCCATGCAACGTTGCGACACCAGTCGCGAAACGTTTTGGGAAATGTAAACCTGCTGCGGCCGTCTAGCACGTCATGTACGATGACAGTATGTCCGTTTACTGTGCTCCATACTATATGCCTCGAGTCGGCAGAGAAGGCACCTGTCCAAGCTTGCCCACCTCCAGAGGTAGTCCATTCAAGTTTTCCCGTAACTACCGAGTACATGCGCAGAGTTCCGCCCCAGGCGACTGAGGCTATGTGCGCATTATTAGGACTGATAGCAGACCACACGATAGCGTCGGTATGACCGAAGAGACGGTGGATCTCTTTTGCATTGATGACATCCACAACGACACATAGGAGACCCTCAGGGGCTAGCATGCCGGACTGCGTGGAGTCGTTCTGAGTATGTCAGAGGAAGATCTTGCCGTTGCTGCTGAAAGATATCGAGTCGAATCCTCCGAACTGAGCGTCGTCGAACACCGTGTTGTGTCGGCGGAGGCGAGTTGTAGCCACATCGGTCAATGCTTTCGTGAAGTCTGCACGTGCCTATTTGCAAGATCAGGGAGAATTGCATCGATCGTTTGCGTTGCAAACGCAGACGCATCAATGGGTTCTTCCTGATCCAGCAGGCGCCCCTGTTCGTCCGACTCCCAGAAGACGAGCTGATTGTTGATGCCACTTCTGCTGCCTTGACCTGTGATACTGCAACCAATAGCGTATGCTGGCGTTGGCCTCTCGCCACCCTTTTTGTCAATCGACAGAGAATACCAAATGGCCTGCGCCATCAAGTACTTGGCACAGCTGCTGCGGTTCGATGTGGTAGATGAGGACGCGCTCATGACCAGATGTAAAGGCGAGGAGTGTTCGGTCGTGGCTGATAGCATCCTAGAAGCTTTCAGAGGACTTTTTTAGGCTGCCCATCTCTGATTGCCTTGCAAAATTCGAGCCAACGCACTTCATCTCTCCATTGTCTCGGGTGGCATGGAGCGTATTTCGCGACTTCGCCATCAAGTTCGAAGTCGTGCATCGGGTGCAGAGGGAGGCTCCACTCCACGACTGAGTCCTTGCGTGAGACGCATCGCATTTCAGCCTTTTCCGCCCTGAGGAGTTGATTCGATAGTATCCATGTTAGTTTTGTTGCCTTGTTCCCTGTATGTGAGTATCGTTTTATGCTGATCTTGTCGCGGCTGCCTGGAGCTCGGCTGCCACTCCACACTAGATGCACCCTGCACATACATCTCGCAACGAATAGAACTGTGAACAATACAAGCTGAAACACGAAACGCTGAATCATGACTACAGGCAACATTAATTGAAGAATGATCTTTGCAGAATGTGTGAGCTGAAACGAAACGCCAATCCCATGAGATGCCGACCACCCATCAAAGCTCAACCGTTCCGAGGAACAGGAACAATGAGGGTAATCCAGCAGGGAGAGGTGCCAGATTGACTCACCGAAACGAGACCGTCGACGGAAGGCTAGCTACAAGAGCTGCACAATATCGAGGGGACTCAAAATCATTAATCTTGGGCGTTGCCTTTGTTCAGCAGTCATGCATCAACAGATGCTGGGAGTGACCCAACTGCTGAACCCACACTCAAGGTCCGAAGACTTCGAGCGTGTTACGCCCGTATACTACGTGATTGGTGAGGGTTAGTGTACGAACATGCAGATCCGTAAGGCGGGCAACGAAAGGAAGGGTCGTAAATGGCTAGGCAGCCAGATCACGAGATTTCCAAATTGCCGAGCAGACATTGAATTTACCAGTGCGACGGAGTTTACATCACTGCCTGTGGAATGCAATCAATGCGAATTCTGAGGGCTGAGTATGTCGGTGGTGAGAGATGAAAAGAGTGATCGGAGAGAAGGCTGAAAGGACCAATTTCGAATTTAGCGTGTTTTTCTAGCGTGGCATGTTCGCGTCTTCTCCCCTTGTCCATCACGTTCGTCATCTCAGCTCGAACGAAGCCTCACTTCCATTTTCTCAATGAGAGCACACCCTGACCATAAAGATCGCCGCCTGCTATCCAAGTTTTTGACTCGTACTCTGTGCCAAGGTGGCACGCTAGCGATCGGTCGTCAACACAGGGTAGTTCCCAATGACACCCTTGCAGTCGAGCTCTGTTGGGACAAGGTTCATGGCCAGCCGCTTCGCGTTCTCTGTCGTAGCCTCCCTATGCAAAACCAAACCTTCCCATCCTCCGATCCAAGCAACAAGCGGCGTGTTTTGCACCGCGTTCTGGTGCCGCCCAGCCGCAATGTTCATCATACTCGGATAATGCATGATCGATCTCATATCGTACTTGCGACTGGAAGTCACTGAGCGATGTTCTGTGCCGTCATGCTGGCCGTCCTTGTTCATGTGCCACATATCGTAGTACGGTATCGTTGAGTAATCATGTGGCCCAAAACCGAGCTTCTTCTAGGTGTCCATCTGCGAGTAAATGGGGCTGTTCCAGAGTTTATCCATTGTCATAGTCGGATGGGTGCGGGCGATAATTTCGGCCTTGGCGTAGCCGACCAGGTTCTTGCATTCGAAGGGTAGTGTTCCCCTGCTTGACGGTGAGCACAGGAGTAGAAGCACTCAGAAACATGACTTACGGTCGGCACGCTGGTGCTCGTGCGTAAGGCTAAGGAGATGACCGATCTCGTGGGCGGCAAGCCAGTGCTGCATTGGTGGATAGTCAGCGTGCCACTGAGCCCAACCCAGGCGAATCTGGTTGCGATGAGAACGATTATCCCACTCTTCTGGGTTGTACTCAATCGTTGCATAGCCTTCAACAGTTCTGGTCTCGTCGATCTGGATGACAAGAGTACCGCTCGGGACCTTGGGATTCCCTATTGTGGTCAGTAACGAATCTCTAACATCAAACCAGTCGCCGGAACTTACAGTGCCCCCGTTCCTTGCCAACCGGTAATCCACCAAGACGATGACGGCTTCCAGGCCCGCCATTACCTAGCCGGACGTGCCACATCTCCCACCCGCCCTGGATGCACCGAGCTTGGCTTTGGTATCGAGGTTGGGCCAGCAGTACCTGATGTTCACAAGGCCGCTTTCGTCCTTTGGCCATGGCTTCAGAGGACTTGTGCCGCCCAGCAGGTGCGCCCATCCCATGGCAGGGTTGGCTTCATACTGCGCGATGGTCTCCTTGAGTAGAGTGGCATTGTCAGCGTACTTGAAGTCGTTGAAGGCGGAAATGCAGGACATTGCGAGAGTAGCGAAGGCTGTCAAGAGGAGTAGCATGCGCCCGACCGAGAAGTTTGGTTGCGCCATCGTTGCTGGCAATGGTATGGAAGAGGAATCTGGAAAGGAGAAGCGCAAAGGTTTTATAGAAGCTAGTACATTATTTTGCGCACTTCTCAGAACATCGAACGGTGCAAATGAAAGAAGCGTACAACGTGGAACGTACGTAGTGTAGCTCCCAGAGTTTCCCCTCTCGTATGCCTTTTAGCTGATGCCGTAGATTTTCTCCATTTCTTCCTCGTCCATATATACATCAGTGTGCACGAGTCGTCATCCTACCACATAGCTCACTCTCCAAATCACGACTCTTGTTCCCCGTTGTCCCTCGATAGGAAAAAGACCCAGCGCCTATCTCCAAATCTCTCAAGATCGACGAGCGCTCGCCAACGCGTTCCACGGCTCCTCCTGGCGACCCTGATTGAGCCAAGAACCTAGCCTGCCTTCCCGCTCCTCAATGAGTGAAGTGTTGAGCGCCTTCCCGGTATACTGTTGCTGTACTGTAGTTGCTCTGCTTGATCGTTTATCAAGTCGAACTGTAATTACTTGCGACTTGTCGGTACACTGTATGCTGTCAGTCCCATTGTTATGATCTCGCAGTTGAGTCAGGACTCACTGCTGCAGATGCCATGCTATCCCAATACGGCTAGTGTTGGGGTTTTTGAGTTTGTTCTCTACGGAAAAGTCGGCGGAAGCGATTGGCAATCCGTTGGCAGGGTAGTTGCACGACGAGTTCGAATATCAGTCTGTGCATCTAGTGCTCAAACTCGCCTGACTTCATCCTCATCGCGAGCGAGTGCTGCTATTTGTATACTCCCGATTCCAAGCATACCGGCTCGAGAAAGCCCATGTTGCGCAACAACGATAACTTTACCTGATTTTGCCCTGGCAATGCAGCCAGCGCTGCAGCTCACCAGACCTCGACTCCATAGTGGTCAATAAGAGACCTAGTGGAGCTTAGCGACATCCCTTCGATCGGATTGATTATCTGTTCGAGCCTAGCACTTGGGAGGATTGTATGTTTGATCCTCCTCCTTCGGGTAAGTGCGTAGATTGTAGGTTCATCGTGACTTGGCTGCTTATGAGGACCCGGCGGGCAGTGACACAACCCAGCAATCCAACTGCTCCACGTATCCGTAGAACTTCGTCGACTGCTTCACACGTCCTAGCTGTCAGCCTTACGTTTCAGGTGGCTTGCACCCTACACATGGCGAACACATTGCTCACAGACCCAAGGGGGCGGAATGATTGGGGGCCGCATGGCGTCAGGGGTCTGCGGGCTAGGAAATGGTCAGTGTGCCGGTCTGTGCCCGCGGATCCAAGTCAATCGAGATCTGGTAGGAGATTCAGTAGGGATTCGGTGCTGTGATAGCCGGAACCCTGGGTATGATTCTGGTCGATGTGGTAATTTTGTAAGATTATATTGATGGAAATGGCAAGCTGAGTGCCGTTACGGGTGGTGGATGCCAAATGCACTGCCATCTCGTCTACACCTAGTCTATGTATAGGTATTTCTTTCTCTTTAAGGAACATGTTTGTAAAGTTCATAAGGTGCATCGCCCAGCGGAAGACAGGGAATGTATACAATATACGAGATCATATATTAAGAGTTATGGAAGATTGATGCGGGGTGTGGGTTGCTGGAAACGCACAGACGGCGTAGCCTACGTGAGACTAATCCTCACCTTCATGGTGCTCGTGTTGCTGCAGAAGTTGGACGCAAGCGCAGGATCTCGCAAACATGAGAGCGAGTGTTGATTTGCCGATAGTGTGCGACGAGACAAAATAATTGGTGAATACAATGTAGTCTGTGTTAAGGCCAGTTTTACCGCGACGCAAGAACCTAGTAACTTAAATGAATTCTGCATCGTCGTCGTATGTAATATCTGCTATGCTGAAATCGAAGTCGAAATTGCAAACGTTCTCGGGTAGGAGGGGGTCATCCGGAATCGTGTTCATGAGATCTTGCCATGATTCTGCTTGGTCCATCAATGACTGCAGAGACACTGTGTGGTGGTCTTTGTAGTCTTTGCGAGGCGCCTGAGGCGGGTGAGGAGGAAATGCAATCTTCGAAAAAGCGAGCTGCGCCAGCGCAGCTGCATCATCACTAGAGCTGAAATACTCGAGTTGATCTTGCAGGTGGGGTGTTTTGCCATTCTCTGGATATCCCTCCACACATCCCGTGTTGTGCTGGTTCCACCCAAAATCAGCCCTCAGCTGTAGCTGCGACTGCAGGATCACGAGCCATTCTGCGCGGATAGCCGGTCGCTGAAGAAGGGACAGAATGACGTCGGTTTGGTGCCAGTCTTTCGTGGTCTTGCCATCCTTCTCGAAATGCTGTGCAATATGATTGCACCGGTCCCTCCAATTGTTACTGAAATGTGTGCAAAAACCGCATCCCCACCCAGTACGGATCTGACGGTCCTGCTTCGCTGCGTTCAAATGCCCATCTCGATGGCATGTTTCGCAGTGATGCCGGGTCTCGTGATGGTGAAGGAAGTCCTTCTCAAGGAAGTAGATGGCGGTACAAAGGTTGCATTGGAAGACGAAGCGACGCTCCTGATATGTTTCCTCATGCCGCTTCCAATCGTACTTCTCGACGAAAGGCTCCTCGCAAGAGGTGCACCAATAACTTGGATCTCTCGGAGATCGTCGACTCTGGCGAGCTCGTGAGACGCACGTTGCGAAAGGGTCTTTATCTGAGCCTCCCTGCCGCTGTTTGGGCTTTCGCTTTGACCTTTGTGACAGAGGAGATGCAGCTTCCTCAGCAGGACTGGCAGCATACGATAATGACATGGAGCATTTTTCATTTATGGAAGAAATACTGGCGAGACTGGACCTGCGTTGGTAGTACGCTTGTTTGGACGAATTTGACCACGAAGAGTTTGTCGAGGCCACCGAGGAGCGCTGCCAGCCCGAGATATCACTACCACTCGACATTCTCGAGTCTGAAAGCGATGACGCTTGTGTCGATACTGAAAGGCGTGGGTGCTGCAGGGACTGCTGAAGGGGCTGCTGATATATCGGAGCTGATGTCCATAGATCTGGACCCTGATCTGGGAAAGCTGCATCTGCTATCAGCTATCTTGTAATGAGCTCCACGGAGGGTTTCATTCATACCTGAAATCATATGGTTGCGCATCAGGCGTCATTCTGCTGTGGAACAGGCTGCTGCTGGTCTTCAGTGTACTCCGGAATTGTATAAATTGTAACTTATCGATTATGTCCATGTACATGTTCGCACACATATTCTTCGTGATGTCTGTCATAGTGATCTATGTCACGGGCGAACCTGCGCCAGTGCCTGGAGTATATATAAATGCTCGAAGAGTTAGTCCATCGAAATAATGATGCTGGAAAGCGGGGAATAGAAACGTCGATCAAATGGAGAAGATACGCAAATACTGCAGGAGCATTAAAAGATCTGTTCACTCCTTGCCTCACGGTGACCGATCGTATTATTGGTATCGTGCTCAAGCTCTGAGGCTACAAGATGCGTCTTGATGTGGTTTAGTCAACAGCTGGTGATAGATGCTCACCTGAAACACGCCCGCTGTCAGCACGCTCTGCGATCGCGTTTCAGTGTTTCGTCGAAGCATCAGCACAGGGCCTCCATAGCGGCCCCGATTAGCTGATGTCGACTGCACAGACGAGTATTGCGTTTTGTGCGGCTACACACACTGCGCATGCGTTCATTTTGCCTGTTGGGCGGAGCAAAAAGGGGAAGATGTTGAGGGAGGTCGAGGGGTGAGAAGGCTGAAACGCGAAGCAACCGCGTCGTTCGCCAAGCCAGCCGTCGTCATCGAGCACTATTAACAATCTCGAGGAATGTGTAATCAATGGCATTACTGCTCATCGTTACAGCGGAAGCGGGACACAGAGTATTGATAAACCCTTCAACCGGATCTCGGTTCTTTATTCTCTACTCTGTCTACGATCGTTGTTCACCAGAGCCTCAAATTGCGGAGCGCCCTGATGCTGGGACAAAGCCGTCACCCACTCATTCCAATGATTCCATTATGGATATTGAGTGATGTGAACCAAGAGCGCGAGAATTGTGAGCTTGGAATGTCGGATCAACAACTGACTAGATGTATCGAATATAGGTCGCCCGGACGTATTGGTCACGTGTTGTCAAGCTGCATACCCTGCAATGTGCTAAGTACTAGATTAAGAACGTTTGCGCGTGTGAAGGACTTCATTCTAATGGCTAGGAGCTACTTTGTGGGCCTCTCCACGTCACCGTCTAGCGCTCAGTAGGCCACGCTGCCTCAAACTTGCTGCCATCTCGACCCTTGAAGCTGTATAATGACTACAGGTTCCAACGTAGCTCTCGTCGACGCAGACTGTGCCCTGGTAGTGATTAAATCCCCCTTCCCCAACAGATAAGCCTCTGCCTCCTCTGGTGTCGCCGGAGATTGTAGAACTTCTGCCAAAAGTCGACGTCGTGTTCCAGGAGGCCTTGTCAACGCCATAGGCGGCGAGACTGACGAGAGTGAAGCCAGCCTTCTGCGCGAGGAAAGGGGCGGCGGCGACGAAATTAGCGACCACGTTTGGCCCTCCATGGTCTAGCAATTCGTCGATGAGGATGCGCTCGAGGATGTCCTTAGGAAGGCCACCGATGTGGCCGCAGAGCTGTCCAGGGCTGGAGGCAGGGCGAGAGGAGGGGACGCGGGGGTGATGGAGGAAGCCACTGTGCAGAACTTACACCAATGCCTTGAGAGCAACAGCGCCGCCCGCCTCAACGGCTTCAGAGATGACAAAGTTAACGACTAAGACGAAGACGTTGGCTTACATGCTGACATGCCCAGAGGCTCCAGAAGCAAGCTCCAGGTGCTTCACCCCTCCCTCCGCTCCCCTCCCTTCGCCGTTTCCCGCGCTCCATCGACGTCGACGAGATCCCGGCACAAAACCTTCGGCACGATCTGCTATACGAGCAAGCGCGCATCTCGAGTCGCCGGTATGTCACCCACAGAATGCGGCTTGAGAAACACGCAGCGCGCAGCCGATATGTTCTGCCATAACGCTGCCCCGCCGCCAATAGGGACATCCTCTTACCTCTTTACGACCACAAAACCCCGCTGACAATGCGCGGTCGCGGCCTCTCCAAGTTCTAGCTCTGCCCAGCAGCTTGAGGCCGATCAACTCCATCCGCTGTCGTGCAGTAACGACAGTCCGCACTGCATTTCGAGACACCGAAGCCACAAAGCAGACAGCAACAAGCTTGCTTTGACGCCGGCAACGGGGCTGCCATCAAGATGGACGGCGCGATGACCCCTGATACTGTACCCAGCAGGAGCTTTGGCTGTTGTCATGTTTGGCCTGCCTTGTTACGTGCACTGGTCAACAGCTTGGGGACCGATAAACCTACCTATTGCTAAGGGCAACAACCCAAGGCCTCGCAGCAGCACGATACCAATCCCAGAGACGTCAAGGCAGGAGGAGATTGCAGCATGTTGCAGTCCTATCAGTGGCCATACAGTCTCGAAGCGGCTGCTGCGAAACCGGGGACCGCTACCACGAACAGCGAGATACAAGAGAGCAGAGGAGCCGGAGAACAGCAGACAAAGGCAAAGAACGATCAGGAGAAACAGGGGATATGGCTTCGACAAAGACAATGTTGAGATTCGAGTCCACACAAAGAAGAGAAGGGATCGAGGAACAAAGCACCGTGCCGACGCACTGTGGTAAAGTGACCCAGCGATCAAAGTCCGCCGTCGCCACAGTTCCAGGAACAGCAGGCGAGCGCCCGTGAAGGCAATCGGCGCCTGTTTCGAAATTGATGTCGACATCGCGAGATGCCATGGAAGTCCAAATTAAATTTTCGAGCGCTGGCTGCGATGCTTCTGCAAACACATTCGCTCCAACAGCGATACAACCGTGGGACTTGCACGATGCAGCCACCTTGCAGCAACCGTAAGATAAGAGCACTCGATCTGCATCCGGATGCATGAATCACGCGAGCGAGTGACTTATCTGGCAGCGGCGCAGAAGACCAAGCGTGGGTTACGGGCATTCTAGGGACATACTCGGATGAAGATCTTCATCGATTGAAGATGCTCATAGCGCCAGACAAAAGCTCAAAGATATGATTCAACGTCTTGGAAATTCGGGTACAGGCAATAGCTCTTCAAGACGCTGTGCAATGGCGGCACATCGATCGTTGAAAGGCTCAACATTCGCCTGTAGCAGCATTGTCCAATCAGCCACATCTTGCAGCTTTGTACCGACAAGAGCCGTACGAATGTCTTCGTGTGTATCATCCACTAAGTGAGCTTCAACATTGAAGCTCTTTATGATTCCGTGGTGGACGTTCATGGTGATATCAGGGCCATTGACGAAGTCAAGCTTTGCGTCAAATTGCGGTGTTTGCGCCCACATCCAATCGAGCGTCTGCTCCTGTCAGCATAGTTCTGCACGGAGAACAGGTAAGCACTCACACGGAGCTCATCATACCCCTTTCTGATGTCAGGGATGTTGATGTACTCGTCGCCGACCGATTCGGCGATATCGACCTTGCCAACGCTGGCGTACATCTCTGCAAAAACTTCTTGCAGGCGCTTTTGGTACGCGTTCAGGTCGAGGCCAATGTTTGAGACTGGCGAGCTGACACTCTCAACACCCTTGGCCTCGATGTTGTGCTTCGCTGGAGATCGCAGATATTGCGAGATGATGTGGAGGTTGGGCGACTCCAGGAGAGTTGTTGCATGATGCAAAGCCCTCTGGCGAGTAAGCTTGTATGCCGAGCCTGACACCTTTAGTGGCTTCGGTGTGCCCTCGTCAACCATGTACGGGGTGCGGTGCATGTCTTCAGGGTCGGACGGACGCTTTTCGTGTCCCTGGTCAAGAACGATATCATGTCGTTCGTTGACTCTGGCTCGCTCAATGCCCTGCTTTCGCAACGCCCGCACTACCATCTCAGCATGCTTGTCCCTGGTGAACAAGGTGCGCGGGCAGGTGATGCTCCAGTTGAGGTTGCCTTCGTCATGGAAGACAGTACCACCTCCGGACCGCCGCCGCACAATATCAACCGCGCCTAACCCTGGAGATTCGGAATCTTTGAGCTCCTTTGAGCCGGTCGCAGCATTGAGGATGCCGAGGTTGACCTCGCTCCACGGGTTCTGGTTGCGCCCTATCACGACGCATGGTCGATTCACGTAAAGAAAGAGGATTGTGCTGTCAGGCGGTGACTTGCGCAAAATGTGATCTTCGATGCTGAGATTCAGGTACGGATCGCTACTGTGAGAAACGTAGCTTTGCAGCTTGTGCGCTGGGTTCGATAGATTCTCCGTAAACGAGGAATATGATCGGCGCGCGTACTGCAGCCATGCTGGCGTTGTGGCAGTCGATGAAAGGCGAAGGGTGGTGATACGACACGTCATAGAGCTCATGGAGGCATACGACAGCTGCGGACCCCTCGATGGTGCCATTGTTGTGCGAGATGGCAGAGCTGATGTTGAAGTTTGGATGCCGGCGACGCGCCAAACTGCCGGGCGGTGTCGCAGGGCAGCGGCTCCACGCATCATCTCCGCTCGCAACGTCAAAACTCAGGCCTCAGCTACTTACCCACACCCACAGAAGCCGTTTCTGACGCGTTCCATTCTCCAAGAACTGTAGCGCCGCCATACCGTTGACTAGAGATTAGACCCAGCACCGTTTCGCTCCCGGCGGACCTTCACCCCATTGCTAAGGTTGTGACGCCCGCTTGCTCGAACAAGGATGTCAATATCACGGCAAAAGAGTAACTATGGCCAATTATGATCAGTTATCTGCATCTAGTCATCAGACCTTGGGCATTCCTTCGTTCTAGCATCTGTCTCTGGTGTATGCAGCGTCTGCGTGCCGCTTGCACACATCAACACAATTCAGCGGAGGAGGCTGCCCCTCCCATCCCGGGGTCACTACTATCATCTTCGCCTGTATTGGTGGTATGAAAACAATCACCTGGCGTAATTACTTCCTGTACATCACAGGCACGGACAAGGCTCCGCTCTACTGACCATTTGCACAACGTTCCGACACGTTGTTTCCGTTTCTTCCTTCTCTTCCCATCTCACGTCAATTTGTTTCCGCGCTCTGGAATCCCAATGCTCTCCTCACTGTCATTTCAACATTAATTTCGGGCCCAGATTGTTCAAACACCAGGCCTGACTCTGAAAACATTTCGTACGCACGAACGCGGAAAAGAAAGGTCACCTCAGACCTTTGACATGTTTGCAGCAAGTCAATCCCAGAGACCAACGCTCTGGACTCTTCACGCGCTTCCTAGTGGACATTCATCAGATCGCACCCTTATTCCCGTATTGGTAGTACCGTGGCGGCCTTGTCCTTGCTAGGCGTTATCCGGCGCGAGGAGGCTTCTGTAGAGGTCGAGCAACACCTTTTCTTCACCTGCAATAACTTGCAGCTTTCCAGTCCCTTCACGACCGCATCTCTCGCTGCTGAAAGCAGTGGTCGCTCGGGTATGACATCAAGTATACTCCGATGATATGAAGCCCGATAAAAGGTTGAGTTTCATCAATCAAAAAGACTCATCGACGGCGCGGTGATAGTTCACTCTTTCGGAACACCTCAGCTCCCAAGTTCGAATCTCACTAACAACAGAGACAGGAAGCCCACAAGCGCCACTTGACCTTACTAACTAGCCCCCTCCCCCTCTCGTGTTTTGCTAATGGCGTCTAGGAAACCTCCCCTCCCTTCTCCCTGTAAGTCATAAATCCATTCCATCACTAAGCGAACACCACCCGTTAACGAGTTTTCTTCTTTGCCTCCTTTTTGCTTGCTAGCTCTATCTACTTGCGCGTGACTACACAAAAGGACAGCAGTCAGCTAGCAGCAAGAAGCAGGCTCTCGGCTGATGTACGCAGCAGCTGCTTGCGAAAGACGAGGGCGTCACAGCGTAGCTAGTAGCCAATGCTTTCCAGTTGCTTTGGTGTGGCAGCTGTCGACTCGCGTGTTGTTATTTTGCTCCATCTCGCACTCACCTGGCTCTCCTTTGCAAGATTCATCAACGCACAACACCCGCAACTACCAAAACTACTAACACCAATATGTTTTCCTGCCCCCGCCGCCTCAGCTGCTTCGGCGGCTCCTCCACCTTCACCTCCACCATCCCTCCGCCGCCTCCGCCGCGCCTTGCCGCTGGCCCTCGTCCCCGTCACGCCGCCATTGCGCTTCTCCCGCGCCCGCAGACCAGGCGTGAGCCTAGTGCTCTCCTCGTGAGGCGCAGCCTCACCGGCCCGTAAGTTATCTCCTTCATAATCCTACTTGCAACACAAAAGTGCTACGCGTTCATACTTGAGACACTCCAAGCAACGTGCTCTTTGAGCTGTCAGCAGGAGCATTCACGCGAGTAACTCCGCGCTGCGTTGGGTTGAATGCAGTGTCACTTTGCACGCAGATTGTGGGCGCAGAATACTAACACGGAAGCAGCCCTGTTCCCACCAACCTGGCAGTGGTGATTCCGGTCTGCCATCTCTTCCCTGCTCGCCGTTGAAGGCAGAGCGACCCAGTTGTACACGATTGTTTGCTTTGCATATCGATTGGTAAGCAAACCATCAACAGCGTAGATGTGCTTGACTAACTTCTTGAAAGGAGTTCAGTACCATCAGGGGTCCCACGGGGATTAAATGTCTTTTCCTACACTTATTCTTTCTTGACGTTTTCTATATAATTCGTGATGTCGCGCTGCTTTCACGGTTGAGGCTGAATCACCACAGCAAGGCTGACTCGGTTCCCCACATCCGGCTCCGGTCCTGCAGCATGAGAGCACGCCAGCCGCGCAGATAACCAATGACTTGCGATTCAATCTAATTACACTAATACATAAGAATCGCACAGTGCTCACCATTGCAGGTATCCCTCACAATCCGATACCAAATCTCGTCCGCTCACTAATTCGGCCGCCAATATCACGATCGGTACCTTTGACACAGCATGGCGATTGCAAAAGCATCACAACACAATGAGGACTCGCCCATCGTAGTAGCAGGTGGCGGTTGTGTCGGCCTATTCCTCGCGCTCCTCCTCGTCCACTCGTCCCTCCCAAACCGCATAATCGTCATCGAACCTCAGCAACCAGACCTATCCTCCACCCGCGCAATGGCCCACCAACCGCCCACGTTCCCTCTCTTCGCTCAGATACCAGGATTACTCCCTGAACTCATCGCTGCCGGCAGCCTCAGCTCTGGACTGTGCTTCCGCACCAGTGTGCAGAACGGGAGCAAAGTGATTGCGAGCAAGACATTCCAGAATGACGGGGAGGGGATAAAGGGGAAAGGCCAGTTACTCCTGCCGCAAGGCAAGTTTCAACAAGTGCTTATGGGAAGATTGGCGAAGAGCGATGGCCGCGCGGAAGTCCGGCTTGGGTGGAGCGTCAAAGGGTTCTCACAGTCGGATTCGCACGTCAGTGTAAGGATAGGTTCCACATCTACTTCTACCGAGACGGAGGAGATAGACGCGAGCTACCTCATCGGCGCAGATGGTGCGCACTCCCTTGTCTGCAAAGCTATGGGCCTCAAGCTGGAGGGCGAAACGCTGGACGCGCAGCTCGTGGCCACCGACTTACGCTTCCCGTTCAAAGACCACGGTTTCTTCGATGCGAACTTCATCGTTGATCCCGAGAATTACGGACTCATTGGTAGGATCGATAACGAGGGGTTATGGCGCGTTAGCTACGGGGTACCCGGGAGTCAGAGCGAGGACGAGATCAGGAAGAACGTCGGGCACAGATTGAGGGGTATGCTTCCGAACGGTGGTTTCAACGAGCGTGGTGAAGACGCATTCGAGGTCGTGCGTGTCGCGCCGTACAGGGCGCAGCAGAGGTGTGCATCCACACTAGCACAGGGGAGAGTGCTATTAGTTGGAGACGCGGCACATTGTGAGTCCTTCGTATCTTTACTTCCCTCTTTTCCCCCATACGATAGGAATTTTCTTCAGCTATTGCGAAGCTAGACTGACCGAGTAGTGACGAACCCTTACGCGGGCCTCGGCCTCGCCTCCGGCATCGCGGACGCGGACTCTCTTGCGCCAGTCCTCGCGCACATACTTTCTGGCAAAACGGCGTCCCCTTCCACACTCCTGAAATCCTGGTCTGCAGCTCGGCGACAGAAGTTCTTTGATGTCGTCGACAAGCCGAGTCGGGCGGCGTACAAGCGGGTTAGGACCAAGGCTGATAACGAGGACGATGTGAGGTTACTTTTGGAGAGGGATCCGATGGTTAAGGCGCTGAAGAGTGGGATGCCGGTTATGCCACCGAGTTTGAGAACGGTTGGGGAAGAGATGGAGGGGTGGTAGCGATACATCTCGATGTACCATCGAACTCGATGCAGCAGTGTCTGACAGCTTCCAATAACGACCTGCTTCTCTTCTCCTTGACATCAACGCCCTGCCGTGTGGCCCGTCTGCTCATCAGATAAAAGAGAAGCCAGAAGGGTACACACATGAACGGTGTGATATTCGTGAAGGTGCCATACCACCAGTGCCACCTACTCGCCTCCAAACACCTCTCTGCCCCAGCGCCGGCCCCGCAAACGTATTCACAATATACGGCGTGCCTGCAAACGCCAACCAAATCGCACGATTCCGCAAAGCACTCGTATCCGTACTAGTCCATGCCGTTCATGCCCATCCAGTAGACCACTTGCGCGGCGGCGTACGTCTGCACGTCGCGGCAGCCGGCCATCGTGACGAGAGCTACGAGGATGCAGACAAGGCAGATGAAGAAGCCGTGGGGGCGGCCGACGAGGTCGATAAATTTGGCGAGCCGCAGCTTGGACACGCCGCCGATGAGGTTGGCAATGATGCCAGTTATGCCTGTCAGGCCATGAAGGGCGAAGGAGGAGGTTACTTAGGGCGTCCAGGTGGAGTTAATTTGCTGCTGGAGCGAGTTTGTGAGGGATATCAGCCAGATTCTGGATGGCATTAGCTCGAGTCGGGAGGAATGGAGACCAATGGATTGTAGTCGTTGAGGGGAACGGGATCTTACAAGCAGTAAGCGGTGATGAGCCACTTCTTGGACCAGGTCATGGTGATAGCTTGCATCTGCCTCAGCCCAGCAGGCTGTTGTGAGTCGATACTTTCAACATCGTTTGGCTTCTGGGGGTGCGAATCGTTCCTTGCGTCTGTCTCGGTGACATCAGCTGTCTTGGCATCGCTCGAGTCTTTAGAAGTGTCAAGAGTTTGTGATTACAAAGCGAGGCTAGCAGCCCGTTCCATGCCCTTCAAATTTGTAGTGGCCATGGTGAAGATAGGCCAGAGTACGGCAGGTAAGATCCGTGGTTAGATTGGAGGGAATGTACGATCAGGTGTCTTGCACGGGATTCTGTCACATCTTATCGGATAAGAAAGCGATGTGCTGAGGGTTTCTTCTCAGCCAAGCTAACTGGCCATGCATGGAAGGTGTATATAGAGCGATAGTTATGTACGACTAGGTCATATGTAGTTTGGGTCTGACGGGCCCGGGCAAGGTGGTATGAGGAGAGACTGCAGGTCTCATTCCCACGTGCGAAGTGACCACACTTTGCTATCGAGTCTGGCGTGGTTACTTGGATACGAATGCAGTGCATGGCTCCGGTATGATTGCTTGCCTGTCACAGCGCCTGTAATATGTGGTTTGGACGAAGTTGCTGTTTGAACTGCAGGCTGATTAGACTGTCATTTGTTGCGGCAGACGTAGCCGCTGTATAGTCGATGGAAACTGCGCTGAGTTACTTGCTAGCTAGGAGGCGACCATATATACATGCCCTGAGACGTGCTAGTCCAAGGTAGTCAACAGAGGTGACGATCAAGGCCTGTCGGACCGACTTGCACCGCAACATCATTGTCGAATCCTGATGTGGTCGAGTATGATCTGAACTCGGAGCAGTCAACCGAACGAGACCTCGAGTCAACGTAGCTGCTATTCGCCTCCATCCGATCGGTAACCATTTTGGTACTGCGAAAGTTGGATTACCAAGGCTACTTGACTAGGCTCCTAGACGCTCTTGACGGTGAAGAATGCGCCCGCGAGTTGCTATAGTCCTAAGGCGAGAACATCGAGAAGCACGGGCGCCGCGGACTTGGAGATTCATGTTGAATTTCTACTAACACAATGCGCGCGATCTACTTGTCACTGCGCTTCTCGCTGCCTTCTTCGCTGCCGTCTTTGCAAACAGCAGCTGTCTCGCTATGCAGAATTTTGTCACCCACCAACACCATATCCCCCAATACTGCGCCGTCCAAAGCACCCAAACCAGAATTGACTACGACGTCTGGAGACTGACCTGCTCGACACCGCTCGAGATCGCCTCCTCGGCCTTCTTATCCGCTGGACCGTCCTTACCCTTCTCGGCAGCCTCGACACCCTCGGCCTTGCCAGCAGCCTTCTTCGCCTTCTTCCTCTCCTTGTCGGCCTTCTTTGCGGCAGCCTTCCGGGCCTTTTCCTCCTTGGCCTTGCGAGCCTCGGCGCCACCGAACTGCTCGCGCCACTCTTGCTCCTTCTCGGGCTTGATCTGCGAGAACAGGTAGGCGGCCTTGCCGATCTTGTGGCCGACGGGAAGCGACTTGGCCTCCCAGTTGTCAGGGATGATGAGGAACTCGGCGTTAAGCTGGTTGAGGATGTTCTTGGTTGTATCGGGCCTGTGATTCATGTCAGAGCACGTCAACTAAATACTGCGAGCGATATCAAGCCTTACATGTATGGCTCGATCAAGCTAGCCAGGAGGTGGATGTGGCTCAGTGCCAGGCCTACGACCGCAGCACAACGTTCGGGCTCTGTTGTGGCAAGATTGTTGTCGAGTCTGTTGTCTTGCAGCAGCTGGTTACCCAAGCTGGACAGGTGCAGCGCTGTGCTCAGTGCCGCGCGGATCTTGACATCCTCAAGCTCCTCGATATACCTCTTTAGCAGGTCATTGACCTTCTTCTTGTGCTCGACGAAGTAGTCGTCTTCGAACTTTGTGTAATCGGGAACGACCGAATCGTAGATCTTGGAGTTGACAAACTTGACGACACGGTTCACGAAGTTGCCCAGGTTCTTCAACAGCTCATTGTTGTTTCCTGCAATGAAGCTGTCCCACTCGAACTCCGAATCGCCGGTTTCCGGTCGATGCGAGAGGAGATAGTAGCGCCATACGTCGGCAGGGACGCCAGTCTCCTTTGCGTTGTTGCCGAAGACACCGATGTTTCTCGACTTGGAGAACTTGCCCTTCTCGTAGTTCAGGTACTCGGTTGTCGAGATGGTGTTCAGCATGGTCCACTTGTCCTTTGTGCCGATCTGCGAGCAGGGGAAGACGACAGTGTGGAAGGGCACGTTGTCCTTGCCCATGAACTGGTACAGCTTGACGTTCTCGGGGTTCTTCCACCACTTCTCCCACTCGTCTGTGTAGTTTGCTGTGATGGAGACGTAGCCAATGCAGGCGTCGAACCACACGTACATGACCTTGTCCTCGTAGCCCTCCAGGGGCACTGCAGTTCCCCACTTCAGGTCGCGGGTGATACCTCGCGGGCGCAGGCCCTCCTTGAGCCATGACGCTGTGATCTGCACACCGTTGGAGCTCCAGTTGCCCTCTGTACTCGACTTCTTGAACCACTCCTCCTCCAGCGGCTGCAGCTTGTCCAGACAGAGATAGACGTGCCTCGTCTCGCGGGGAACTGGCGTCGCGCCGTCGAGCTTGCAGCGTGGGTTCTTCAACTCAAGCGGGTCGAGCAGGTGACCGCATTTGTCGCACTGGTCTCCTCGCGCGTCGTCGTAGTTGCACAGCGGACAGGTGCCCTCGACGAATCGGTCCGCCAAGAAGCTCTTGTGTGTCTCGCAGTACGGCTGCGTTGTGGTCTGCTCCTCGAGATAGCCGTTCTTGTGCAGTTTTGTGAAGATGTCTTGCGCAATGTCTGTCTGGTGCTGCGTGGGTGTGCGGCCGAAGTGGTCGAAGCTGATGTTGAACCACTGGTAGACGTCCGAGTGGAGCGCGTAGTACTTGTCGCAGAGCTGCTGCGGTGTAATCTTCTCCTCGATCGCCTTAGTCTCGGTCGCCGTGCCGTACTCGTCGGTGCCGCAGACGTAGAGGGTGTTGTAGCCGCGCGCGCGGGAGAAACGCGCAAACACATCGGCGGACAGCACACTGCCAATGATGTTGCCCAGGTGGGGGACGTTGTTGACGTAGGGAAGCGCACTCGTGATGAGCACATTGCGCTCGCCCTCGACGGGGAGGACGATCTTCTTTGTCTCGCTCATGAGCCCTGTCTGGTATCAGCTGGACACATATATTTGGTAAGGAAGCAGCGCTTGGGCTCTGAGCTTACCTTCTGGTGTGTGTCTACGGGTTATGAGGTAGGTTCTATACTGCAGGCTAATACTACAGTTCAATGGTCCACGAGCTCTTCCAGTGTGTGGTTGTGAAGTGACTCAAGAGTCTCCAAACATTCGTACGAGACCCTGCCCCTCTAACCCCGCCAATTCGCGCACGGCGCACCAGCCACAACGCCACATCACGTCAAGCACTCCTTAGCATCCTCTAGTGATATCAGACTGGGTACTAAAGACGTAGAAGGTCGGATTTCTGCTTGATTATAGCTTATCTGAAGTCACAGTCGTTCTGCTTCCATTCGTGGCTGTCTTGCTTCGTCAGCCAGGTTGACTCGAAGAGCGTGAAAGAAAACTTCGAGCGGCAAACTCTCACACACCACTGTAGAGAACCGGAATTCCATTATCAAGAGCAAGGCGCTCGACCTAAAGAGCTCATCAAAGCGTACCTTCCTGAAGTTATCATCTGGGGATCCAAGAAAGCAGACCGCAACCAAATTTATCAAGTAACCGACCACATTCGAAGAGAAGACACATCTGAGACTCTGGGACCTGAAAAGCCTTAATCCCCATCATCCAACTTCGAACACCAACTTGAATACATCAAGACTGAAATTACAAGCTTGATTAAAGAACCCAACTATGGCTCCCCCCATAAACGACGACCCCTTCGACTCCCTCCTCACCCTCGAGGACACACTGTACACCACAGCGCACTCTCAAGGCGTCGCAGACGGCGCGCGAGCCGGCCGGATCGAAGGCCGGATCTTCGGTCTGGAGAAGGGGTTCGAGAAGTTCTCAGCCTTGGGCGCGCTGCACGGGCGAGGAGCAGTATGGGGCGGGCGGCTGGCAAGTTCGTCGCACTCACTACAGCCAGCCTTGACAGCATCGTCGAGCGCTACAGATACACCACCATCGAATCCCGCTGCACAGCCTCCCCGCCTGCCGGCGCTGCAAACGCCCTCTGCGCGCCTCGTCTCCAACACAACACTCCTCTACCACCTAACCGACCCGTCGACATTCAGCACATCCAACACCGAAGCCGCGGTCGCAGACTACGACGACCGCTTCAAGCGCGCGGGTGCGAAGGCGAAGGTGATCGAGCGGATTGTAGAAGAATCCCCGGCTGTCAGGGAGAGCACACCACGCGCGGGGAAGAGTCTAAGGGTGCACGGCGAAGCGGCGAAGCGGGGCGGCAAAGGTGATGATAGTATGGAGGATTTCGTGGGGTCGCGGTTGATAGGCTGAGGAAATGTAGTGCTAGGTCTTGATCTAGCGTCTACACTTGTAAATGCTTATTAAAAGGTAACGACCGCATGGAAGATTTCACAGTGTCACACTTAACAGCCAAAGAAATATAGTACCAAGCCTCATTCTAGCATTTGCATCAGAGCAATGGAGAGATTCAGTAGCGTGCATGTGCTAGCGTTGGGACTACATCAGTGCCTGAGCATGAAGCGCGACTCAGCTCGATGGGTCGGCGCGGGCCGCAAACCCTGGGTACCAGTATAGTAAGCCATTGATCAGGGACAGGAAATACCAAGTGCTGCACTTATGATAGAAGCCAGCTTGCATTGCAATAGAGCAGCATTTAGTCAGTAAAAGGATGACCTAGACGCGTCGACCACTAAATGAAGATGGTATGAGGAGAACGGCGTGCCCAGCGGTCAGACGGCTCTTTCGAAAGCGAAGTGGGCGGCGCAGATCAACGTCCGCACCGCAGCAGCTGTCTATCAACCCGCGCAAATCAACCGATCGACCAATCGATCATCTCCGAGACTACGCACGCAGCGTGACTTCCGACTGCCGCTTCCGACCCCAAATCTAGCCGCCGCTCCCCACAGCCCCAATCATACCTCTGGTCAGCCTGCCCGTCAGCCTGCTCGTCAGCCTGCTGACGGGCAGGCTGACCGGTTGAACCTTCGATGGTTACCGTTGCTCAGCCTGCTTCATGATGCTTACATCCCCTCTTGAACCCTTTGATCTGCTCGCTCTGAACACACGAACGCAACGCGGGCTAGCACGCACTCCAATCACCAGTTTTCTCCTACAGAACATATTCCGATGGCCACAAGGCTCCGTTGTGAGGACTACACCGTGGGGTGGGTCTGCGCCCTCTCGGTCGAGCTGGCGGCCGCGGAGGAACTGCTCGATGAAGAGCATGAGACGCCTGAATACGACGCCCACGACACGAACATCTACACATGCGGAAGAGTCGGCGAACACAATGTCGTGATCGCTTGCCTGCCAGAGGGCCAGAAAGGCATCAACTCAGCTGCAGCAGTCGCTGTGCAGATGAAGTCAACTTTTACTTCAACCCGCTTTGGTCTGATGGTCGGCATCGGAGGCGGCGTTCCCAGCGAGGAGGCAGATGTCAGACTTGGCGACGTCGTGGTCAGCAAGCCGCACGGAACACACAGTGGAGTGGTGCAGTATGACTCTGGGAAGGCCACTCTGGGCGGGTTCGAGCGAGTAGGCTCGCTCAACTCGCCGCCTGCAATACTGCTTGGCGCAGTCGCGAAAGTACGGGCTAAGCACATGAGGGGAAGAGGCAAGCTATTGACGTATCTTTCCAAGCTTGCCAGCCTGCCTGACTTTGAGCGCGAAGCTGCTGGCCCGGACATTCTCTTCGAAGCAGAGTATAGCCATGAGGGTGGAACTACGTGTAGAGCGTGTAGTCAAGACCACTCAGTGGCTCGCGAGGCAAGACGGCAGGAAGTGGTAGTGCATTATGGAACAATCGCATCTGGCAACCAGGTTATGAAGACCGCTATCGAGAGAGACAGACTTAGTGCAGAGCTTGGTGGGGTGCTGTGTTTCGAGATGGAGGCGGCAGGCCTGATGAACCGCTTCCCTTGTCTGGTGATTCGCGGCATCTGCGACTACGCCGACTCACACAAGAACAATCAGTGGCAGAAGTATGCAGCAGGGACGGCGGCAGCATACGCAAAGGAAGTGCTATCAGTAATTCCGTCAGACAAGGTTGAGGCCGAGAAGAAGATTGTCGACGTCCTTTCTGGTCAGTCCACGTGTATTTAGCAGTTGCTGCGCCAGTGAATGCTAATTGTTGCAAACATGTCAGTCCTCCAAGAGACCGCAACAGAGCACCAGCTTATTGCCAAAGAACATCGAAGCATTGCAGAGGAGGCGTTCAGGTTTCAACAAACGGTACGAGAGCAAGAGCTGTCCAATCGCCAGAAAGAGTGTCTTCAGTTGTTTCGCCTGACCAATAGCACCCAGGACACCACCTACGAGTGGTACAAGGGCCGTATAGAAGACCGGGTAGAAGGCACGTGCGAGTGGTTCCTTCAACATGTACACTTTCGAGAATGGCTCCAACAAGTCTCAAGACCGCTACTGGTTTCCGCCGACCCTGGATGCGGCAAGTCGGTCTTGGCAAAGTATCTGGTTGACCGTGTCCTGGCAGAGTCGGCGACTGTCTGCTACTTCTTTTTCAAAGACCAGGATCAGAACACAGTCCGTCAAGCGCTCTGTGCGCTGCTGCACCAACTCTTCTCCCAGAGGCCAAATTTACTCAAGCATGCTATGAGTCAGTACGAGCAGGATGGCAAGGGCCTAGTTGACTCAACAAAGTCGCTTTGGACAGTCTTAGAAAACGCCGTACAGGACAGTCAAACAGGACCTATCATTGTGGTCCTGGATGCCTTGGATGAGTGTGCAGAGTCAGAGTTCGAGGATCTAATGCGTAACATCGAAGGCCAGTGTCGCAACAGTCAGTCGAGTCGTGGCGCGCTCAGATATCTCATGACGAGCCGCCCGTACGAGCAAATTGTTGGAAGATTCCAGGGTCTGCTCAAGTCTTTTCCGCGTATCCACATACCCGGTGAAGAGAAGTCTGAAACCATAAGTCAGGAAGTCAACCATGTCATCAAGTACCGGGTGGAATGCCTGGCAAGAGATGAAAAGCTTTCGACCGATATTCAAGCCGATTTACTAGATGAATTGCTTAAGATGGAACACCGCACGTACCTATGGGTGTATCTAGTGTTTGACTATCTGAGGTCTGAGGGTTTCAAGAAGACGAGAAAGGGAGTCAAATCAGCAACTAAATGGCTACCAACGACTGTCAACCAGGCGTACGAGAAGATCTTGAGTAAGTCTAAAGATCAACCAATGGTCCGCAGGGCCCTGACTATCATCTTGGCTGCGAATCGGGCACTAACGCTTTCGGAGCTGAACGTGGCCACAGAGATAGAAGAGACTACGCATTCATGGCATGAACTTGACCTTGAAAGAGAGGAAGATTTCAAATCACGCCTTAGGTCGTGGTGCGGACTGTTTGTTTCAGTCTACAACGGAAAAGTTTACTTTCTTCATCAAACCGCCCGCGAGTTTCTCTTGGCAGATGTGTCTTTATCCACGAGCGTTCCTCAAAAGGTGGGATGGCAGCACTCTATTGCAATGCAGTACGCACACAGGACTCTCGCGGAGCAATGCGTGCGTTATCTCAGCTTCTTTGGGTCGGAAACAGGGTCCACCGTGAGCGCGACAGATCAAAACAGCCAGTCTTATAGCACAGTTGCCTTCTTTCGTTACTGCGCTGAGTTCTGGCCGATGCATTTCCGCGAAGCCAGATTAAGCAGTAGCAGAGATGCTGTTGTATTATGTCTAGGGCTAAGAGTGTCTGATCCAAGGTCTGCATGTTTTTTGGACTGGTCTCGTTGGTATGAAAGAAGGCATATTTCGCACCGCATTACTTCTATGCCTCATCTTACTGTTGTGTCATCGTTGGGACAAGATGGAGTTGTCAAGATGCTGCTTAGCAACGGCGCCGACGTCAACGCGCAGGGTGGAGCGTATGGCAACGCACTGCAGGCAACTTCAGCTAGAGGCTACGAGCAGGTGGTTGAACTGCTGCTCAGCAACGGCGCCGACGTCAACGCGCAGGGTGGA